TTAAGATTACATATCAAAAAAAGCTAAATAATTCTAACGTAACTCGGGACTATTTATTACTGTTAAAAAAACATATTTATTTACCATATCTAATTTAAAACAGTAGTTATTTGATATTATATTAAAGGCTATACCGGTGTTAATTTGACGTAGATTATCCATAATTGATCCAACGTTGGACACCGTATAGGATTACTTACCGATACTTGACCGCTGTTATACTTGAAATGTTTTGAAAAAAAGACTTCATGGCAGACTAAAAGAAATGCGCAATAGTAAAACTCAAATCAAAATACACTCTCTCGATTCCCTCGAAAAAAAACCCTACTTATATCCATTTTCCATTGTAAACTCATTCCTTTCTCTCAAAAATCCTAGTTAACCGACTGCTTCTTTCCCTAAGACGTAAAAGCGACAGCAGGGTGTGAAGGGAGACTAGGAGCTCACAATTGTTACCAGTCAGATACTGCAGATGCGAATATTCTTCACAAGAAACCTCAGAAAGAGACCTGAGGTATGAATGCCGAGAGCCTCTTACATCAGCGGTGAGAAGACAACAATAAACCAGAATGGATAGGAAGACTCTCATTTCATTTGCCAAAAAGAAAAGCAAATCCATCGGTGTCGCGGATGGCTTGTTTGGCGGTTGGGAAAGAAAAGGAAATCGATGCCGCCGTAAATTACGCTCGCCAACTCATGGCAAAATCTGCTATTGCTCTTCAACATGAACCACAAAAGGAAGCGTAAATCCCAGGCAAAGAGTTTTTCTAGACAAGAAGCCTATTTTTTAAACACCCAGTTGTTCAAGGTTCCTCAACCGCCTGTATTATACTCTCAGTACTAAATAATTTTGCTCTGCATATAGTCAATCTTGGCAGACAGTGGGTTTATGCAATTAGGGACAAAAAATATATTTACAAATCTCCAGCTGCGCAGCAACCACGAGTTATTAATGTCCGTACCCAATTCAGGAGGACTTCTGCAGTAGCGATATGCCTTGTATTGCTATGAATGGGAAAAAAAATTGGTATGGTGTAAGTCAAGGCTGGAGATACTGTTTATATGTTTTTTGTAGATTGAGTGCAATGAGTTGAATGGGTTTTGCTTGATAATTATTTACCCATATGTGAAATAAAAAAACTGAGCAAACTGATGGATAATGAAACGCTTGAGAGGACTAGTGGGCAATTGGAATGTGCTTTGTAATTCTATTGATGAAGAAATCATTCCTCACTTTAGCTAGGAGATGCTCAGAGGGCTGGATACTTGCATACTGGAGGCATAAAATATGATGGATATTACGGCCATTGTGTCAAATTGAGTGATTCCAGAAGTGTTCGACCAGAATGGGGTGTTAGAAACTGTATTTCGTGGAAGAATGATACGGCTTATTCATTTCAAACTGTGATTACACTGGAGATTCTTCACAAAGGATGCCTCTTGAAGGTTTTGGACCAATCGTAAGATGGAACATTGCTTATGTCAAGTCACGGCACGTTCGCATTAGCTTGAGGGGAACAATGGAAACAGTACTAAAGTAGGTTGGAGTGGTGAATGAGAGGAAATGCGAGATGAGTGGAGCATTGTGCTGGTATGTGGATCTGATAAAGGTAAGGTGATATGGAATTTATATATAAATTTGATATTACTGCATTTGGAAAGACACATTGATATGTTTTAGTTCTCAATTTCGCCAGCGAAACCAACAGGGTGAATTTGCCACATTGCTCTGGTTTCAAATATAATATGCTTGCTTATGGAGAGTAGATAACATGGGAGGATTCTGCAAGATGTTTGATCAGGCTCAACTTAGATCTAGTAACATGAACATTGCTAGTCTTTTTGCTTTTTTCAATTTCTTGACTGGTTCAATTGAATTTTATTTTTCAATTGCTGTGCATGATCAATAAATGTTCAAATTGGTAGATTTAAATCTGGGAGCTATGCTGGGTTGCCCTCATTCCTTAAATGGCTGAAGCTATTTGCAATTTTTTGAAAAACTCTTTGTTTGGGTTTGCATGGAAGGGATTTTTACCGTATGTTGATGTTCAAACTGATGATCAAGGAAGTGCTTCAAAGCTTTTAATTCAGGAGAATTATCATCCAATATGGTAGTTCATTGTTTAGCTATACTTTTTTTTTTTTGTGTAATTTTCTGCTTAATGATGTAGTTCCCTTACCCAGGTTTTTTTCATACTTAATCATTCATTGTGATGCCTAGGATGGGTGTAAGGGGAAATCTTGTGTTGTCTTAGGTTAGATATTGCATCCATTTTCTTAAGTTTTTCCTGGGTTATATCTATAATAATTTCTATTTCTAATAAATAAATAACCAAATAATATGTTGGATAGTAAATTATTAGAAGTCTGACGAGATGCAGTGATTAATTAATTGTTGGCGGTTAAATATTTTAATTCAAATTAAATAATTTAATTTATATTATATTTATGATAACAAATTATTATTAATGAATATACTTTATACATTATTACTAATTAAGTCGACAAGTGTTTTTTCATTCTATTTAAAAATGATATTTTCTATTATTTTCCATAGTCAAATGAACCAAATTCATATTCATAAACTAGTAAAATAATATACCTTTTTATTGTCTTAAAAGAAATTTTTCAGAATTTTTGTGTAAAATATTAACTTAGTTACCTCTATAAACGACAGTATAAAAAAAAATATTAAACACATAAATTATGGCATAACGAGAGAGTAATTTTAAAAAAAATGTTTTTGTTATATTAATATCTTAATCAATTTCACCGAAAAATATGATATAAAAGAAACAAAAATTAAAACTGTGACATTTAAGCAAGGAGAGGGTGATTATGTATTACTATCAATAAAAGCCCAAAAATCAAGTAATCGAAATGAAAAAAACATATATTAATTACAACTATTAAAAGTTTAAAAAAGTTTGTTATTTTTTGTATAGTTTATATTATTAATTAGTGCCCTAATTTTACGGCGGTTTAATTTGGACTATAATTATCCATATTTGACCAACGTTGGACACTTATAGAAGATGATAGATCCGACGGTTATACTTTGAAATAAGTGAAAACGTGACGTGCCATGGCATGACAAAAGAACGCAATCAGAAAAAACCAACAAATATATTAACAACTCTCTCAGTCCTTCATAAAAAAAACCGCACTATTAATAATAAAATTATTCACTTAGTTCCTTCTTGATAAAGAATAATCAAAAAACAAAAACAACATTAAAAGCATATGTCAGAGAAACTAAAACGTCGAAATAAAATCACATTTTTTCAAGAAAAAAAATAAAGAAACATGTTAGTGATAAATGATATCCAAACATGAGCAAAAAAATATAAACGAAGGAAGGATGGCCAAATAGGCCTAACAATGGAAATTGTCAACACAATTGATACTAAATAATTTAAAAAAAGAATAATAATGGCTTCCATAAAACGATTAAAAAAAGATTTGAAGCAAGAGAGAAAAAAAAATAGATACCCTAATAGCATAATAAATGTGGATTCATTCAAAAGCTTAAGTTGCTCATGAAAAGAGCCTTCAATCTGAAAATATTTGACCTAATAAATGGATTATTCAAAGCTTTAACAAATTGAGATCAGAAATTCCAGTAAAACTAAAAATATTAGCATAATAAATTAATCTTAATAATGAAAGAAATATTTTAAATAAAGCCTACAACTCATATATTTTTTCCCGCCAAAAGACAAAACTCTCTATTTTATAGATGTTGATTAAGATTTTATTTAAAAATAGATAGGATATTTAATTGATAAATTTGAACATTAATTTGGATTGATTTAAATTTATATAACCCACCAATTAATTGATTTGTACGAATTCTTCAGGACCGAAACATAATCCACGCCAATATTCCTTTATGGAAGGATATATACATATATATTAATTACGAAAAATAATTAGTTCCCATTCAAAAAAAGAAAAACTTGAAAATAACGGTTGCAATTTGATTTTCAATATTCATAAAGGAAAAAATTCCCTCTCATTCTACGGAAATAGGGTGGAAAAAGTTATTTCAAGACAATAGTTTTGAAATTTACATTCTTTTCAATTAATCATTTGTTGCTATGCCAAAAAAAAAAAAAAATTTGCCAGGAATTTGTATTTTTTTTTGGTGAATTGGAATTTTATAAATCTTACTGTTACTTTTTATTTCTATTTAGTTTAATTGAAAAGATGGCATTTAAGAAATATACATTTTATAATTCTTCTATCAGTCCTGTTTAACTATGTCGAACATACGAATAAATAAATGTAATCTATTAATTTTTTTTACGAAAAAACTATTTACAGTACCAGTAATTAATTGATTCATTGGAATTGCATAAATCCAAATTCCAACATCGCTAATTACATCAACTAAATGTTAAATTCTGTTTAGTGTCCATGTTTTTTATGCTTAGGATATAGTAACAAGAATTAATTTAAAGCTTCAATCATTTGCCTGATTCAAATTACTCAATTAAGACCCAAATCTTCCCAAGAATTCGTGTTAACCAAAACAAACAAACCAAACCTTAACAGAACAAATCCCTTGTTTTGCATTGTAAGATTACAAAAACAAGATATCATCATGATGATATTTAATCCAACTTGCAGAAGGTTACGAACTTTCCTTTAATTACTAAGTCTTCAGAGCTCAAAACTTGACATCATTTATTTCATCACAGATTAGACGGCTTCATAATCATCACATTCACATCAACAAATTTGGCCTGCTCGTTAATTATTTAAGATGGCAAAGTAAGAGAGCGACAATAGAGATACCTAAAGCAATTAACATTTTTCTGATTTAATCTTGAAACCACATTATATATTCTTGATCTTGCTGGTCTTTGTGGAACTCATGATATGGAATTACAGCATTAAAATCTAAAGAATCATGCATTAACAATGTCACAGCCGCTAAGATTAGTTAATCATCTCGTCTAGGGATTTGAAAGGTGTGTGAGCGCGACAAAATGGCAAAGTGTGAAGAACAGATCGAAGCAGCTAGGATAATCAAGACGTGAGCGCGAATATTCTATTAACAACCACTCGACAGGATCATAGCACGAACCAGATTGAAAATGATAGTTCTCAGGCTTGTCTCTTGGGTTAAGGTGATAATCTTGGTATTGTTGGCTTACGGCAAACAATTTATGAGCGTTGAGAAAGAAATTGTCGGCGATCATGAAGGGAATAAAGCGCGAGAATACAGCAGAGCGCATTCCTTACGCTTGGTTATTTGCGAGGCAGTCCACAGGCTGGGTTGTGTCCATTGCCAACGATGGCATTCATATTGCCTTATCTGGTGTTTGCTAGCTTTGTTGATGGTGAGATATCGGTTGCGTGCCGGCGGGGAAGGCATTGTTTTCGCGTCTTTCTTTTGTTTTTTTTTTTTTTTTTTTTTTAATTTTGTTCAATGGTTTTGGTTAAGGTTGCAGATTCTTTGTTTTCCTCTATGTCATAGATTAAGCGAAAGAAATGGAAGATGGAGAGAAATGAGGCGGGAAGAGGACAGACTTTTATATGTCTAAGACAAAATAAACGATTCAGTTATGAATACATGAGTATTTTGCGAACCAATTATATTTATATGTCCAGTTTTTATTATAGAAAATTAATTAATTATTTATATAGCTTTTTTTTTTTTTTTTCTTTTCTTTGAGGAAGATTAATTATATAATCTTGGATTAGCGTTTAAAATTCCTGTTTATTGAAATTTTCACTTATAAAATGAGGAATAGCCTCTTTTTCTTGTAAAGGGGTTATCCCTCTGTGTGTGTTGTTGTGTGTGGTGGTTATAAATTATATTATGAAAATAGTAAAAAAGATGCATTTGTTTCAAAATCTGAAAGAAAAATAAAAGCAGGGTTATTGGGATTTCTCTACAAGTTATTAAATTCTATTACTGTTTCCTAACTTAATTTCTCAAATTTGTGTTCTTTATTGGCTTCATTTTCATGCACATGCACAGCTTGTGTGAAGTTCCAGACAATTAAAGCCGAGAGTTGTAATATCCTTAGTGTCCCTGAGCCCTGAGGTGAGAGGTGTATTCATCAATTTGTGTGTCATGGTGGGTCCATCCTTCAGAACCTCATGGTCACATCTTGCATACGTATTATGTATCAGATATGACTCTTATTCTAGTACAGAAGGGACATTTCCGCATTTGCACCGTTGAAGAAATGTTTTTTGTAAAATTTAAATTTCAGGATAAATTATAATGCATAAGATAAAAAGTCCATCATTGGAAATTACAAATACCAATTAATGATTCTTTAAACAAATACCCAACAATTACAAAAGATATCTGATAATTCTAATTACACATTTTCTCGCTAATATTTTGCCGATTTTGAACAGTTGAGGATCTCTTGAATATGATTCCTAGCTTCCAAGGTGAAGGACCAAAAGTTCTACCTCTATTTGATGGAATTCTAGAATATTATTAGCTCATTGCTTACTAAGGAGGAAAAAATTTAGTTTCCTTCTAGATCAAAGCATATAAAGTGACAAGAACCTCTTGCTTTTCCATGCAGGAAAATTGCAAAACCTCGGATAGATGATTCTTCAGCTGCCAAATTAGACCTGACATATTAACAAAAAACCAAACATGATGGTCAGAAACAGCATTGGAACTTCTCATTTAAAAGTAACTTTATGTTTTTTAACAAAAATTGCTTGATTGTTTTAAATCAGCTACTAAGCATTATCAGATTATCATCTCAAAGGGGAAAACATATGCTTGATCTATCTTCCAGGAAAATTGCTTTAGGTCAACAGTTTCAAAATTGTCCAAATGTTACATGCCCATTCTGTTTTGTGTTGCTTTGAAAACAGGTTACAGCAATTCTAGGAACACATGTATTGGAATTTCGATTCTTTCTCTTGACTTGATTTGGAAGCTCGAGCTCTTTAATCAGCCCAAATGCAGTCCCAGCTCTCTCTCTCTCCTCTCCTCTTCTCTCTCCTCTCTCTCTCTTTCTTCCTTTTTTTTTTTTTTTAAATGCCATACTGGAAGACAGAAGTTTATATAACAGACCATAAAGGGTTCCATACATTGCAACAGCACCTAAATGGACAAATTATGCAGATATATGAAAATAAACAATTCGAAGATTTGAATAGTTTTTCATTTCTCTCTCTCTCTCTCTCTCTCTCCTTTTTTTTTTTTTTTAAATGCACTACTGGAAGACAGAAGTTTATATTAACAGACCATAAAAGAGTTCCAACATGCAACAGCACCTAAATGACAAATTATGCAGATTATATGAAATAAACAATTCGAAGATTTTGAATAGTTATCATTGTCTTATAGATATGAGAATAAACAAAAATTTTGAAACAAGGCATGGCTTAGTGAAAAACTTAGTAGTGAAACAATAAGGCAATACTACTTGACAGATCCCTAACAACTGTTATTGCTTCTGTGGCTCTGCACAAGATAATAGTAAAATAAAAAGGGGTATGAGCTTGAGAAACACGTCCAGAAGTACAATAGCACTGTAACAAGGATAAAAATCCAAATAATAAGGAGATTTTATCTGCAACCTTTTGTGTGATCCTCGATTTTAACTGCGACTTTCCAATTAATTTAATTTAATTTCACTCAGATGGTATTAAGCTTATACTAGAGTTGGTGTTTTATTTGTGGATTTCTTACCCGTGCCTAGTGTCAAGCAGTCATGGCTCAGACTTGATAAGCTCTTCAACAGAGTTTCTGTACTTGGCCATCAGGTCTCTGTTATTAGGATAAAATTAATCTACAAACTGGAAATTGGAAAAAAGCAAAGTAAAATTCTTAACAAAAAGTATAACAAACCTCCGTTGATTTAGCAACTGCTCACTTTCTTCCAACTTTCTCTTTTGTCCCTCAACCGTCTGCATCCAATATATTAAAAGGGGCATAGAAATTGAAAATCAGTTTAAGCTCTTCTCAACCATCAAAATGAATTTGGTTATAAACTTGTCAAACTGAACCAGACAATCAATCAAAAGTAAATTGCAACATATTTTCAGAAGTGATAGATAGACAATAAGAGAAGAAACACTAAAGCATTTAATTTTTCTTTAAATTCATGCCCCCAATATCATGTATACCATCTTCATACTAAACCAATAAACATTACCATGTACAAAAGATGCTCAGAATGGAATATAAATAAACAGAATGTAGTTTAAAATTATATACTATAACAACTTGTTGAAATGATGAGAAAATAGGTGCTGGGCAATTACCATAGATTTTGAATTAATGGAGCTGGATATTGAATTCAAAAGCTGCTGACACTTCTCAAAGTGATTGTTCAACTCATTAACCTTTACAAACAATTAATCAAACGCCCAAAAAACAAAACCAATTAGTTTCTCATAAAATAAGCAAACCCCATACTTAAAAAAGAAGAATAAAAAAAGAAGAAGAAGAAGAAGAAAAGAAACCAAAGCATCGGAGTGTTGATCCCGAGTTCCGTTCTCGATAACTTCAGCTAAATTCTCGACCAGCTGCAATATAAATATTCTTTCTTCAATTTTCAATTTTTAAAAGCATTTCAAAATAGGGTTTTTGACCCAGGGATTATTACGTGTAAGAGGTGGAAGTGGGAGGCGAGCGACTGGTGGTGCTGATTCTGCTGCGGCGGCTGCTGTTGAATTAAACGCTGTTGCTGTTGCTGTTGCTGCTGCTGAAATTGTTGTTGTTGTTGTTGTTGTTGTTGTTGAAATTGCTGCTGCTGTTGAAATTGATTAAATTGTGGTTGTTGTTGCTGCTGCTGCGATTGTTGTTGATGGAGGTAAAACTGGTCTTGGTTCGAGTGAGCAGGGGAGTTACTGTGGGATGGCACGTTGGGGATCATTGTCCAGCTGCCTCCTGTATATGGATGATCCATCGCTCTTTCTGTTTGTGTATAACGTTGAAGCTCAGTGATCACGGAAAAATTGGATCTTTGCCATTGCTAATGCTAATAATAGCAGGACGAAGGTAGAAAACGCTATCGTTTTAATCTCACCTCAACTCAAACATATTTTTCTATCAAAAAACGACATGCCGCTTCACACGGATATATTCTCAAATACAAAAAGTATATCCTTGGCTTCGTATAAGAGAAGAACAGTGACCATTGACACAAACAAATGCAGGAGCTTATTTGTAGCTTAAACAGAGAGGAACAAGAAAGGGGCTTGCTTTAAATATCACTATTTCTCTTTCATTTCCTCTTCATATTCTTCAGCGAAACGACATCATCAATTTCGAAACTTAGGTTCTTTCTCTCTCTTCCAACTCTTTGTTCCTATATGAGATGTTTTGAAATGGAAAGTTTTAATGTGATAATTGAATGTTGAAGCTGAAATATAATCTTGGTACTTTGTGATTTGGCTGTAATTTGTTAGCAAGTCGCTTAATTTAGATCCTTGTTGAGTGTTTATGAGAATCCTGCCCTAAGGTTAATGTTAGGTAGTGAAAAGTGCGAGCGAATAATTTGTCATACCAGTATTTATTTATCATTTATAGAATCGATTTATAGGATATGTAGCGGAGAGAATGTATAGTTCTTCATTAAAAGTTCAAAGATATTACAATTACAGATTCTTTTAATTTTGTGTCTCATGTAAGCATTTTGTATGGTTTTTTATGCGTTAAATGTAAAAATGCAAAGGTTGCTGTCTTGTTAACCGATTCAATCTGCAGTAAGGATGCGTATGCTATAACAATATTCAATTGTTCAGTTAGTTGCAAGGATTGTTTTGCACTTTGGAAAGCAGTGAATGCTATTTGAAAATGTTGGTTAATAAAATGCCTTAAATTGCTATACTTCAAGAGGTGAGGTGGCAGACGACAATTTGGATATGATCTATTTTTATACTGAGAAAGGAAATGAATTTGGAAGATGGCTATTAAGAACTCATATGGGTGGGTGGGTTGGGATATGATTAAACATGAGACCTGTAAGCTTGTGAAAAACTTCCTGCGTTATTTATATCTACTAGAGAGACAACTTCTATTGTGAGAAACTTTTGCTCTCCATCTCTCTCCATTCATGTTTTCTTTCTTTCCTTAAAGGTTGTTGGTGCTTCATTCATGTGTATGTATAGATTTATGTGCTTTAGAACATTGTGGTGTTTTATGCAAACAAGAGCATAGCTAGCCTGGTTTCAGGGGAAGGGGAAGGGCAATAAAAGAACAACGACTTGAACTCCCTCCCCCCACTTTTTGTGCATGCTTCCGATTGGGCAGTCTGATTTCTTTTCTCAAGTTTGGCAGAGTGCTTTAGGACAGAACTTCAAGTTAAGAGGAAAATTAATGATGATGTATTAGAATGTTGTTGCTTGAGGAATTACTTAGCTGTAGCCCTTCAAAGGTAGGGAAATGAAACACTGACTTATAGTTGTAGAATAGAATAGAGCTATGGACTGAGTAAAGCAAAGATTTGGAAAGGGAAAGAATTCTACCTCCTAGGATGTGGAAAACTAATTCTGAATTATGACTTCAGTGGTGGATTGAATCATTGTCTTTCTTTTCAGGACAAGATGCCACTAAGACATTACTCAGACATTGCTACACCTATTAAAGATACTATTTTCAGTTTTATATGTTAGGAAACTGCTGAGGCTTCATAATATTTTCCTGCAAGTAGATGGGAATGTAATAGGCCTTTAGATGATGTTGGAGATAATAAAGGGGCCTCTTTGTGTGATGTATGACTTATATTTTTCTTTTCGTGTCTTTTGATTGTCTAATTGCAGTACATCTGAGTTTTCAAATCCAGCTTACCATTTAATTCCATTTTGGTTGCAAGGAAATGGGGCCTCTTATTTGGAATTGTTGATCAAGTTATATAAGTTTTTGTCTGAACAAATTTATTTGAAAATGAATCATGCAGGTCTTTTAAGAAATGACCGTAAAACCAACAGTCGTTTTAAGGGCTATGCTTGTTGGAGGTCTAGCTGTATTCGCAAAAGTAGCTGGTGTAATGAAGGCTGCTGGTGGTGCAAAGCTGGGGGCTGCCGCGACTGCCATGACAATAGCAGCTAGTGCTGCTATGTCAGGATCAAAACAAGATCCAAGAGATGCTTCTCCTTCAAAATAATGTTTTTTAATTAATTTTTGTACCAGGTGGTAAAATTTTTTACCATGTAGAATAGTTGGCAAATTCCCAATGGGCATGTTGGGAGAAGAATGGCTATGTTTGTACTGTAACCTTGATCAAGAATGGATGTTTTACAGCTAGAAAATAAAAGAAACTAAAGATTTTGATTTGCTTTCTTTGATAAATTATGGTTATGCTGTTTTGGGGGATAGATTTATATAAAAAATGGGGACAATTTCATATGCAACTCACGTGCCACCTGAGGTAAGCAATTTCTTTACATATATTCATAGGGAACCGACAGGCCACAAGAGTATTGGAAACTACACAATAAAGTAACCCTTCTTTTATTTATCAAATCGGTGAGAGCTCGTACGCTCAGAAATTGAACTTGGGACTTCATATTCTCCACGTAAGTAAAAAGACCAACAAGTTGCAGTTAAACAATTTTTTTGGAAATTAAAAGTTCGGGATACTACAACAAATATGAAGCCAATGTACATGCATGGACAATTGCAGATGTTGAGATCAACTGTCGCAGCTATCTGCATGTAATATGTTATTCACTTTCCAACGATTGTGTATAGAATGTATGGCTAAAGTTGATGAACATTCAATCTACTCGAACCGCATGTGAAGTCTGGCCGATCAACTGAATGTATTACAAGCTCCGGATGTTCAGATTCTAACTCAAGTATGACCTGTTCAATACAAACGTAAACATTAAGTCGATGTTCAAAGAATAGCTTGACAAAAGTTGCAATGAAGAAACATCCTAATATTATTTCACACCAACCCATCGCTTTCCTGACATAAAATAAAGTGGAAGAAGTTTAGTTAATATAAGAAATTTGAAAATCAAAGCAACATATAGATAAATTACAAGAAATCAAACTCAACCTTAACATTATATTATTGATATAATTGAGTTTCGGGTATCTCATACCAGAACATTTTCTCCGTGCCGAAGGATTGGAGCAGGTACATAAAGAGTGCATTGTGGTCCAAAAGACTGCAAAGGAGCCGGTTATAGAGAGGAAAAAAGTATGTATAGACAAGAATATGAAACTAAGAAGGCACGCGATAAAGTGAAAATGGATTTCATTAAAGAGCAGAGAGCAAGCATCATTTTTACCGGCCAATATCTTCCAATGTTAAAATCATTTACATATGCAATCCCTTTACCCCAACCACTGAATGATAAGAATGTATCTTTAACTTGATGTGCTTTCTCAACAGAGAAATGGGCAGTATAGAATGTTGGCTCTGTAGAAACACTCTCTGAAAATAAAAAAAGCAAAGACTTGGTTACATAAGCTAGTTACACATAATGGAGCAAGCAGTTACGTAACTGCACAGCCATAATCAACTGGAGTTGGTGCTAGAGAAACAATGAAATAAAAATATGATAGATGATATTCTCATATTTTATGCATAAAAAAACCTACCAGAGTTGTCATCCAACTTCCTTAGAGCTGATGATGCAATAAGTCCCAAATGTGCAACTTGAGCGATGACATTGACTTTTGGGACCTCATTCAGGTTGTGTAAAGGAATTGAAATTATTTTCCATCCATGCAAAATTTTTCCATCCAGATAAACAGAAGACAAAATGCCCTGCAAAATCGAGTCAGAAACACCAGTTAAAAATTATCTATTAGACTGTTAAAATATCATATGAAGATGCCAAGAAAATAAAGAAGATAGAGAAAGAATCCTGATTCAGATGGGAAGCAGAGCAGACAGGTACCCTTGGATAACCAAATTGTTTAGCCAAAAATCATATTTCATCTTTTTTTTTTTTTTCCAGCTGACATAGGAATATCGGATATGTATCAACCACACAACTTAAACCATCATTAAATGAAAATAACAAAAAGAAATACACGTCACAAGAAACAACACCAAAGTGCGTATGAACCAACTAAAAATAAACCAGCAATATAACCACAGTACATGGAAGTAATCAATAATTGCAGATAGGAAGCTTTCCAAGCTCTTGCGAAAAAGCTTTTACCTTCCTATCAAACATATATGGTCCATAATTTACACGGCCCGTGTTTTCAACCTGAAGGAACAAAAAAATAAAGACATATAAATAAATAAATAAAGAGAAATTACAACGTGCATAATTTTCAGTATAAATTTCCAGGCATCAAAATTAAGGACTAATCATGTAAAACAAAAATTATTTTGCAGAACCCTTTAGTTTTGGCATATGCTGAAACCTGGATCCATCAAATATAAGCTTTCAGTTTAGTAATTGTATGATTGCCTTCAAGTCTGTAAGTGCATGAATAGTCTCAAAGAAATTCTATTAAATGGACCAGAACAGACGTGCAGAAAAAAGTATCCCTGCATGGACAAATGAAGTGCACATGCTCCTAAGACAGATGCAAGAAATTAACTCAAAGTAAAGCAATAAATAAACAGAACTACCTCTTCTGCGTCAATGTAAAACAATCAGAAATAATAAGCCCAGGACACCATTAAAAGTTAATAATATTTTTACAGGGATGATTGACAAGTACCAAAACAAATAAGCTGATGTTGGAGACGCATTTGTCGTTAGGAAGGAAAAGTTTTTTGTTTGACCACCTTTCAATTGCACCAACATATGTTGGCCTTCTGCCCTCATAATCAGAAGTGCATAACACAAACACTTTAGCTCTGTCATGCACCTGGAACATGTGATATTAAAGAAGTCAAATTGCATCAAGCATCTCCTGAATTATTATAAACTGAGAATGCATTTCACAGGGATGTTCTAATGTTGCAGTGCCATAATAAAGAAAAATATATAAGAATTCACAACTATAAAGAAGCTATCAGAGATTCAGATTAGTACACTAAGAATAGTTTTTACCTCTGCTATGGACAGAATGTTTCCATCATCCTTTGAAGCATATTCAGAAGCATACACTAAAAATCCGAACATCTGGATATGTATAAAAAAGAATTTATGTAATAAGCGATCTTGGATCAGTGTGGATAGGTATAGTCCTTAAAGAGAGAAGACACATGTAAAACACCTGTCCCATAGACTCCATTGAGACTGGATTTCTGGATTCAATGACATCAGCAGGATTAGTCATATTGAGAAAATCAAAAAAATACGCTGTCTTTTGTAATTGAATAGGTCCATATCCTATCTTTTTATTGTTTGGAGGAACAGAGGGAAGAGATGTTGCACTATGATGCCCAATAACCCTCTGCAGAGCTAAAAGAAGTACACATTCATAAAACTTGCAGGATAATTATATCAGTGAGAACCATCAAGTAAAGATAAGTCTATGTTAAACAAGAAATTTAAAAGAACCATTATCAACAAATAAATCTGACACAAGTATCAGTGGAAACCAAGGAAACAGGAAGAAGTGCAGCAAACTGGTGGTAGGTGATCATTAGTAACACACTCCGTCACGTTAAAGGCATGCTTGGCAGTAACAATATTCTATAAGTGACAGTCAGGCCGCAAATTGTTAGTAGGATAACATATACAACTCTGATATGCTTCTGAGATGTTTGCTTTATACATTTTATGGACAGTGAATAATCTGCATTTTTTAAAATTTAAAAATGGCAAATCATTGAGCCAGACTTTCACAAAAAGTAAGCAAATAGTATGAAACAAAAGCTTGCTGTATAACCCAACAGGCAACAATTAGCAAATTACATTATTGAAAAACCATAGGTACATATTGTTTGATCTGTCCTCAAGTCTCTAGGTTATTGCTATTAGGCAGTAAGCTAGCAACAAAACTATATTAATTTCTAAAGCACCAAAATCAGTAGTTCAGCTCAATGTAGTTAACAAGGGAAAGATAGGGTAGCAACACAACTAATTTTAAGTAACAGACTTTATCACCAAAGAAAAAAAGATACCATTGAATTTTGCATTGTCAACATCACCAGATTCCTTGATAGGTGCATCCTAGAAAAAAAAATATCACGTCAGTTTGGTCCATAAAAATTATACTATGAATGCAACATCAGATATCCAAAAAAGACAAGTGAATAATGTCCTCACATAATCATAAGAAGTGATATCAGCCTTGTAACCAGATCCATCAGAATTGGTATTTGCTCCATTATAAAATCCAAAATTTGTTCCACCATGTGCCATCTGATCATTAGGACAAACCATTGTAGCATTACCATATACACCATTGCTTTGGTTCAGCAGAAAGTATGAACTTCAGAACGTACATAAAGCACAACAGAACCATTTTGTGCAAAAATCTTTTCCAAGGCAGACGCTGTATAATCAGCACTTGTCTGTTGAATCTCCTCCCCCCAGTGTGTCAGCCAACCTGTATAGAATTCCCTGAAAACAATAATCACATGAGCATTGAACCACTGGCTAATGATTACGATACTCCTAAAAAAAGCACTTACGCAGAAAGCGGAGGAGATTTCCCTGGAGCATTGAACTCCTTCTGTAACCTGAATATAGGTTCAGGATCATCACCAGTGGAGAAATCAACAGCTGTGTGTTGGAGATTGAGAATAGGTTATACTCTCCAAGAGAGAATCTCAATAAAATGATCAATAAACGTCTAGAAAAATAACATCAACAATAATCCTTTACGGGAAATAGACCTGATACTACAGGTATAGACCTGCATATACCTTACTGTCTAAACGCGCATGCACTATCCATTGGAAACAGGGAAGAAAAAGAAATTAGAAAGCAAACAAATTTGTGAATAACTGAACAGAGACAAATCAAATTTATATATAAAGGTCACTTCTCTTAAAAATATAAGATATTTGCTTCTTTATACATTTTCTCTTAGAGAATCACTAAGAAAATATAGAAATTTCACCTGAAAAGACAGCGTCTCCACGAATGGTTCCTTTCTCAAGAAGTTCTCTCGAACCTCCATCAGTAGTATACCTATGAATAAATAAGATCTAGTCATGAAGCCATGATAACTGAAAATCGAAATAATGTACGCCAAATGTCAGTTTGAGATGAGAAAGAGGCAGAACAACTTTTCATAAATGTGATGTATAATAGAAAATGTCTGTGGAAGACACCATATAATGTGTTGAGAGTACGAAATAATGATTATCCCAATAAATGAGAGAATATGATTTAAAACCTAGTATATCGTACAGTGTTTTACATGACGAAATAAAGAAATAACCAAAAAACAAAAACAGAACTTTTATTGAGTTCCATTATGAAAGAAATCATGGCTCTAAGCAAACTACAAGGCATGGTAGCAAGCCAAATTATGATCACAGGCAGATGGCGGCAATAAGTATTATTCAAGTAATACCATGAAGAACAAACATGCAACTTTGAGATCAAGTAACGGACAATTAGGTGACGTTATCTCTTATTTTAACAAGATGTATAAATATCATAGAGTTCCAAACGCATTCCTGACACCCCTTTTAAATGGATTGGTCCCCTAACAGAACTACACATGACAGATTATCTCAATCATCTACAGTAATTTCAAATATACAATATAACCCATATTCTGATGCTCCCATATTCCTAGATTCATTCAATCATCTATCTTCTACAATAATTTTAAATAAACAATATAACCTATATTCTGATGCTCTACTATTGCAGAAACTCATAATTCAATATGTGCGTTAGCAGCATATAACAATCACAGCCATGTTATGTACAAGATCAACTCAGGCACTGGTAAGGGAAACACTCTCGAGAGTTTGTATATAGAGAAAAATGTTCTACAAATGCACCTCGCAACTTAGAATATAAAATATGTTAGTGAAACAAAGCTGAAGTCATTGGAAAGTAACGTTTCGACACAGAAGCAAGTTATATAGACAGAAGTTTAACGGTGCATATACTGATGAAAGTGGCTTATGTAAAGGCATCATCAACGTAATTTTAAAGGCATAGAACCTCTTACAAAATTATATTCTTCCCCAGATGTTCTCGAGCCAATTTGACTAGGTGATGAAGATAAGCTTTGTCATGCCCATATGAACCATATTCGTTTTCAATCTGACAGCATATTCCTCTTTACTATTTTAGTGGTGAAAACCAACTAATATCATATATGCAAAAGTACACAAGCAATGGACAATGAATTGAACAAATTCAGTATAAAGGACTCAAAATGACTTTAAAATAGTTTAATTTGAGAGAATCTAGGGCATATACTTCCAAATAGTACAACAATCCCATTATGGAAATCATATAAGAGACACCAATAAAAAGTAATAAATACCTGAACCATTACTATAGGACCTCCATTGTCATAAAGAAGATGAGCTACCTTTGGTAATAGGATTCCCCACCATCTGTCAACCTTCAAAATTTGAAGTCCATATTTAATTGAAGAATTTAAAAAGATTACTGAAACCGCAGACCAAGAATCTTCAAAATGAAGAATCTCTTTATGGTAAGCAAAAGAGACGGAAATGAGGATATACCAATTTCATAAATGATTTTCTCATATAGCCAACTAAAAGAAATCAATACATTTCCTCCATCAACGTTCATACAAATATGCATTAGCTTATTAAGTTACAATGTCCAGTGAAAATTCAACAGGAAGACTGCCTCAGCATAAAGCAAAACGTTTTGGATCTTATATCTGGCAGAACAAACATATCATCGTGACAGTGCAAAAGTAACAGACAATTTTAGTTTATTTTCCTTTATATCTCAAAAAAAGAAAAAAAAAAGGTCACTATAGCAATTGTAGGCAAGAATTAACTACTTAATGGGCAAATTTATGTAAAGTAAAAGAAATTAAACATACGTCTGAAGAGGGGAAAAAAAAAAGTTAAGGGGAAATTAAAGGAAGATATGTGAAGCAAAGAAGGATATATCATCATCATTCATAGTCTCTTTGCAAATAGCAACTAAAGGATGAAAACGACTAGTTGTAGAAGGTTTTCCTCCTAAAAACTGCTCAATGATCAGCACTTTATCTAACTCAATTATCACAAGAAGCATTCAGCAGGCCGATTTACTATGATCTAGATCAAACTACACACCATTTGATAGCGCCAAGATATTCCTAACTCACAAGCAACAAACCACTCTAAAACATACCAATTGAAGATAAGCAGGATCAGAGGACCTCAGTTTGAGAGCAGGTTCTATAGCTAGCAACCAAGCAGGGAAACCTCCTAAATCCCACTCTGCAACAAATACAACAATCGCACTGATATTTGAAAATGGACTCCACAGAGACAAACAATAAATTCTACAATCCCTAAATCTTAAAATTAATATTAACCTGCACATATATAAGGCCCAGCTCGAAGCAAAACAAGGAAATCCAACTTCTGGCAGAGTTTGATAAAAGAAACAAGATCAGCAATACCCTCAAAAACCAACTTTCCAGGTTGCGGTTCATGCAAATTCCAGGGAACATAAGTTTGAATGGTATTCAAGCCCAAGGCCTTCGCTCTCAACAGTCTATCTTCCCAATACTTCATCAAAGAAATAAACTCATCAGTTTACCAAATTACAACAGAAAAATAAAATAAAATGATTAATCGTATGAAAAATAAGAAAAACTAAGTCCAATTGATGCATCTTCTACTAAAAGCTTTAAAATACCAAATTGCAGATAACAATTAGATATAATTAGAAGTACCTGAGGAAGAATTCTAAAATAGTGCAAATCACCACCAATTATCCGAAAAGGCTTCCCATCTTTCCAGAACATATCATCTGCTATCTCAAAGCTTCGAGCATTGGCCTGGTAAAAAGAGTTAACATCGCGCCAATTAAGGGAAAAAAATAGTCAAAAACAAAATAAAGTTCTAAACATTCATAGATAAGAGAGAGAGTTACTTTGAAGAACTTTCCGTGGCGATGGGAACGATCAGAGTGGTGAAAGGAGGATGAGGAGAGAGAAGGGAGAGAAGCGAAGACTGGAACGAAGAGTCCAAACGTGATTAAAGAGACGAATAATAGAAACAATGTCATCGTTTTAGAGCTTCTCTTTCTAGCCATTGAAGTTGCTCTAGTAATTAGAGTAGTCTTTTTAGTTCTGATCATCGGTTCTGTTCAAATCGTTTTTGCCCTTTTGAATAGCTCATCAGACACAGGAAATGTAAGTGTTGCTTACTAACTGTATTAGGTGAGGTTGACGGAGGTTCATAAAAACGTTTTTTACACGTGGATCATGCGAAACTTTTTTTCCTGTTATACTGTAGAATAACTTTGTCGCGCCAAAAGGAAAGGAAAATTATTTGGAAAGATAATGAATATAATTTTAATGTTTTTTTTTATTATTATTATTATTGATTGGGAGGTTATACTACATCATGCCTGGTTGGCTTAACAATTAATAATCTTTTTTGAAAACTAAAAATTAATAATCTTATAGATAATTAATAATATCATCTAAATAAATGAAATACTAACATGAAAAGATTATTTGTTTTATAATAAAATGAAAAAATTATTTTTTTAATGCCAATAAACTATTATTGCCTTCTACTTGGAAATTTGAATATTCTAAAGGTTAATAAAAAACACTCACTGTCTTTTCTCAAAAAAAAAAAGAAAAAAAAAAAAAAAAAAACATCATGCCTGGTTTGGGCTTAACATTAATAATCTTTTTTGAAAAACTAAAATTAATAATCTTATAGATAATTAAATAATATCATTAAATAAATGAAATACTAACATTGAAAAAGATTATTTGTTTTTATAATAAAATGAAATTATTTTTTTAATGCCAATAAACTATTATTGCCTTCCTACTGTGGAAATTTGGAAATATTCTAAAGGTTAATAAAATAACACTCAACTGTCTTTTCTCCAAAAAAAAAAAGAAAAAATAAAAAAAAAAACACTCACTGTCTATGCTTTCAAAAAAAAAAAAAGCATTGTCAAAAAAAAAAAAAAAAAAAAAAAAAAAAACACTCACTGTCTATGCTTTCAAAAAAAAAAAAAGCATTGTCAATTGTTTATATCGAAACAAATCATTTTCAGCCCAACACAACATATACTTATCCTGAAAACCTGTGAAGGAAATGGGCCTATCCAGCCCAAATCGTTTAAAACATGACCGAATATAAAAAAGCATTTAAAAAAAAGCACGAGCATTATGCTATGAGCCGAAGACACGATTTTGGGCTTTAAGGCCGGTTTGGTAATATGAGAATTTGCTATGCTAAGTTAATAAAAGAAGTAAATATTTATTCCCCCACCCCAATACTCCAAAAAAAAAAAAAAAATTAATATAAAATTTTGATAACATGCATAAGGAGTTTGTGAAGAATGTTGCTTATAATTATCCTTCATATTTAGGACCCTTTTCCCCACATTTTTTTTAAATATTTTTCGAATTACAAGTTATTTTAATAACTCAAAATAAAAAAAGACAGAAAAAATTTATTATTTACCAAATAAATCTTTTTTTTTTTTTTTTTGCACGAATGTCTTCACATTTGAGGGGGAAGAACCCTTAACCTTGTATTATAATTTTATTGACATCGTGAGCTATATACATTTGAAATTTCGAAGTAATGTCACAAATCTTAGAAACTAATAATTGCTCCATTATAGGAGGAATATCACTTTGTTTTATCCCAAATCTATCAAAATTCAAGAAAAGTGCAAATCCTAATCTCACAAAACCTATATGTGTGTGTGAGAGAGAGGTGGGACAAGTCAAAGAGAAAAGGCAGCATTATTATCACAAAGGCAAGGGGAAAGGGAAGGGGAGCATCTTTTTACAAGGACAAGTCAACCATACTCTCTCATGAATGTGAAAATTAATAAATATGCTTGAAAAACCCATATATATTTTTTATTATTATGTTTTTAATGCAACTACCGGTATCCGAAAGTCCACTAGATTCTGAATATGTCCAATTTGTATGACTTTCAAAATGTGGCCATTTTCATTCTCTCATACTTTAGTTATGATTATTATTATCATAAACTTTTGAGAGGCACCGGCACCAGCCAGCCACCGCTCACATGTCTTATGTTTTTGGGGATTGCGCCCTATAGCCCACCACCCTCTCTCACCTTTCTGTGATAAGTTGCTGCCTGCCAAGCATTCCCCTGAGAAAAGAAACACAAAACTGCTCATGAGAAGATGGCATTGTTTATACGTTTGTCCACGTTGACAGTCTCTTTTGTACGTGTATACGTACATATGTATGTATAATGTTATGTTAGCCACCTTTTTTATAATTTTATTGGAATTGGTCTATTTTACGTAACTCTATTTGTAAACATAACTTTAATTTGTATTTTTTTTTCTCGAAAATACATTTATTTTCATATAAAATGCATTTTATTGGAGGAAAAAAGTATTTTGAAAATGCCAGTATAAAATATCACATGACTGCTATACTAAAAAGGATTTGAGGGCAAAAGCTAGCTAATTATCATAAAAGGGAATATACCTTTTATGTTTGGAGATTTATAAAAAAAACAGAAAGAGGGATAAAGAATATACTTGTTATAAAAGTGATACGAAACAAGAAACAAGAGATCAAAGAGGAGAAGTGGGAATGCATATTCAGAGGAATCTCACCTTTTTTTTTTTCTTAATTTTTTTTTTTTTTAAAGAAAGAAAGTAAATGTTGTTTATACATATATAATAATCTAATTAATGAAAGGACAGGTTTCAATATACCACTTACAAAGTTAGTCCATGCGTTACGTATATTCCATTTAACATAATATATAATAAATGAAATGTTAGGGATAAGCATCTTTTTTCATACTTGGGTCTTCTCATGCATATTAACTTTATATGATGATCATAGCCTAATCATACCTTATTTCATCACAAATATTTGATCTCTGTCTCAAAAAACAGCCACTGACACATATACACGTGCAAACTAAAGATAAATATTCACAAATATATATAATTAATTAAGTCGAAAATTAAAAATAATTTCTTTGAGCTGTAATGGAAGCTAGAGCTAATTTCAAACTGTTATAACTAGTTAATTAAATCCTATCCTGATAATAGCAAGATTTGTTTCAAGCTCGAAGTAGATTAATGCCTCGTCTAACCATTAAACAGGAGATGAAACGACATTTTTGGTAGTAAATAAAAAAAAATTAATTGACCTCTCTATATATGAAATAACATGGAAAAAAAAGGTAAAAAAAAAAAAAAGAAAGGTACATGTTTCATTCACACCCCAATGAGCAGAACAAAATCCTCCCTCGGGATTGAATCCCACTTCCCACATAAGGTGCCAAATAGCATCTCTTTTGTTTTGTGAATAAGCACAATAGCTATACTGAGCTAACTTGCACACCTAGCTCCTCATATTTTTTAACTTCCTGTTCTTTTAGAGAATCCTATGCTTTTGTGCCCATTATCCTATGTGCCTCCCAATTCTATATTCCATCTACATACATACTCTTTTAATTTATTCAAACTTGCATATTCTTCTAAAATTAGAAATATATATATTACATCCATTATGCTATTATAATACTTATTAGAAAAGAAGGAAAATCATTGTTGAGAGGAAATTTCCATCTTATCCAAATTGAGGTTAAAAAAAAAAAAAAAAAAGTTTAAAAATAAAAAAGAAAAAAAAGAAATGTTATAGAGAGTAACAATGAATGGTGGAGGATGTTAAAAAGAAAAAAGAGTAAATTTATTACTATATTAGAGAGAAATTTATCTCAAAAGACTTGTCTACTCTACCTCAATTAATTTGGTATTATATAACTAAAAATTGACGAGAAAAATTATATTTAACTCTATTTTTAGAAAAAAAAAAAATTTTTAAAAAAAAAAAAAAAAAAAGAGTATGGGCAGATTTAAATTTGAAACTTGACCTTTGAAAGATTAAATGCGTGGAGGAAATGGACCACCATGTTCAAGGCATTAGTGGAGCATCATTTCATAAGTTTACTTACAATGGAAACTTACCTTTACATAATAAGACAGTGAACCTTGTCCTTTTATTACTCAGAAATTATTTATATAGTATATGTATATATAGTGTCAATTCCAACCAAATTGGGAACACAGCTTTCATATTATTAAGATGCTAAAAATTCACATTTTTAAAGTAAATAAATAAATAAAATGGGACAGGAAAAAAAAAAATAAGTGAATGGACAGATTCACATTTACTTGTGTATAGTTGCAATGGAAGTTAATTATTTCTTAGCTGCAAGTAAATGGTGTGACTCTAATCAACCATGATTAAATATTAATTTGCGAAATCATATGAATAATTATGATGTTACGCTGCAAATTAAATGCTTAATTGCCTATCATTATTATCACTGATATAAATACATGAGTAAGATTCGTGATGGTATAATAATTTTTCAATAGATATTTTGCATGTTTGTTCGTTAGATTTAAGTATGTCTTATCGTTTGAGTCTTCGTCAGGCAAGTATTCTTAACTATATTTAACTGTTTATATGCGACGCACCACGAGTAATTAATTTACTCTTTACTAAGTAAAATATGTTTAATCTAGTCCATTTAACAAAAAAATTTAAATTTAAGACTTGGACATTGCTTTTATATATAGTAAGTATCTCTTGAAGTAAAAACTCGTACAAATTAAACATAATGACTTCATAATTAAACTAAAACTGAGAATTTTGCTTCTACTGTATGCTTAATTATTGAATTAACAGTTTATATAGGACAATAAATGAAGAATTACAAACAATAATAAAATATAATTATTATAAAAGGACAGGCAAAAATTCTGAAATTGAGGCTACATATGATTAAGGCATTGAACTATAAATATATATTATATATATCTGCAATTTTAGATGTCCTTCCCTTTGGGAAGCTTAAAAACCAAAAACAAAAAGTGAAACTAAAAAATAAAATAAAACATTTAAAAACTGTAGACCAAAACGAAAGAGTAAAAACTCCATCTCGGATAGGGCTAACCTTGCCATGTTTTTTGCGACTGATTGTGTTGCTCATGAGAAGGGGGAGTGTTCATGCAATTGCCAAAACCAGCCATGCTCAGTATATCACTATGAGAAAAAGCTCTAAGACCCAAGAAATCTCTAGTCAAACCCTCGCCGCCAACGCCGCCTCCACCACCACCATTATCATTTGTAGTTGCTTTAGGGAGAGAATCATGAAAGTTTGCATCTTTTTTTGAATTTAAAACCCCACTAGCAAATGCATCTTCAAAGGAAGCGGTAGTTTCTTGAAAACCAGGGGAAGAAGACAGAGAATTCATCATTTCTTGAAGAAGAGCGCCATTAGTAGTACCAGCTGTAGTAGAACCAGAAGGAAGACCGAAGGTTGCAGCTTTATTACCAAAAGAAATAAGACCATGATGATGGCTATGGACAAATGGCCCACCACTTGCCAGCTCATCACGCGAGGACAAATTCAGACCAAACCCGGTTGCATTTGCATTGTTGTTACTAGAATCAACAGACACGTGAGCTTGTTCTTGTTGCTGCTGGTTGTGGTGGTGGTGGTGGTGCGGTCTGACTAAGCCGGTAGTTTTGCTGCTCATGGTCGCACCCATCTGAGCTGCTTTTTGCAGCAATGCAGTAGCTGACATATGTGGGGATAGAGGAGCTTGAAAATGAGGTAAAGTGGGTCCAAGACTATTAGGGTTAGGGTTTTGGCTCAAATCTTGGTGATGAGTAAGGATTGAAGATGATGATGTTGAATGATCTATAGGATGACGTGGTGGTGGGCCAGCAGCCAGCCATGGTGGTAAGTCTGGCCTAAGAGGAGTAGTAGTAAAACTGGGTTGTTCTTTTTTAAGTGAAAATGCATGCAAATGATCTTGATGAGCGTTGAATTGGGGTATTTGGAGATTTATATTACTATTATTATTATTATGTGGAGTTGAACAAGAAGAATTATTGAGCAGCACTACTGGGTTTGGTGGTGGTGCGGTGATAGCTCTTGCACTCTCCTCTGCTAAAGCATCACAGAAAGCTCTGTGGGTGATAAAACTGTCCCTCCTGAAAGGAAAAAATAAAAATACCATAAAAGAAAACAAAAAATCACACCACAAGAAAACAAAAGCAAAGTGCCTTATGACAATAATGCCAGCAGTACTTGACTTTCTTTATTTCTCTCTGCAATTCTTAAATTTAAAAAAAAAAAAAAAAGAATTTAACTCTAGGAAATAGGGACAGATTGTCCACCTAACCTTCTGCAATTAAACTTTGCCATAAATAAAAAACAATGCAAATAATTAAGGATTTGTAAGAGGAATGTATTTAATGCCAATTCTTTTTGTCTGGTTTTTTCATCTTATTTTCAACAAATTATTAAACAAAAGGTAAGCTATATATGACTATTGTGCTTAAAAGTGTTTGTTATACAGAATTAGTATTACCTTGAGAAAAGAGTTCCACAGTCACATCTGTATTCTCTAGTGCCACATGTTTTGGAGTGAGCTTTCCAATCTGATTGAACCGCATACCTCTTTGAGCACTTATCACATTTCCACTTCTTCTCACCATGCTTTCTGCAAAAGTGCTTCTTGATTCCTGTTAAGTCTCCAAGAGCCCTTGATGGGTCATGATGGACACAACTTGTCTCAGGACAAACATACACTTTCTTTCTCACTTCCTTGTTTGTTCTTTGCTTTAGCTTCCATGGTAGATTATGCCCTCTTCTATGTAGCTGAAGATTCTGATCTCTTTGAAACCCTTTGTTACAGATCTCACATACAAATCTGTTTGTTGCCATTAAAGTCTTTGGTGATAAAGCCATCACTTCTGCATCTGGGTCTGAAATAATTATTCAAGAACCAAATTAGCAAAAATAATCTATAAATTTTGGCTCAGTGGTACTTAATTATGAATTTAAACCCCAATCAAAATCTAATTAATAAAAGACAATAACAAATATATAAGCAAGATTAATAAAAATAACTAATGGCTTGAAATTATAAACCTGGGTTTCCAGGTAGGTTTCTTTTCTTCTTGGGAGGTTGAGATTGAGGAGGTGGAGGAGCAAAGTACTGTTGAGAATCATTTCTGTTGCCTGAAGAAACGCTTGCTTCACCAGAAGCTGATGTCAAATTAGACATATTTTCCTCCTGTTGTTGTTGTTGTTGATGATGATGAATCAACAAATTATTACCTTTCATCATCTTCTCTTAGATAAGCAGTATACACTTAATAAGGTTGTTTTTGTTGTTGTTGTTGTTGCATCATATGTGTATGGATCTTTGTTTTTCATATAATAAATATGTAAGGAGTTATCTTATCTTATATGTAAATATATGTATAAGAGATCTAAAGACAAAGAAAAATCCAAACCTAGAAAAAGCTAAAATAAGGGAAAACTAAGAAAGAGATAAAGAAAACCCAAATAAAGAAGTTGAAACTGATTTCTTATCAAGTGATTAGATTAGACTATATAGAAGTTATAGTCTTCAAAACCCCATAACCCTCAGCTTTGATAGTTTCTTCTTGGTTTGGCTTCAACCAAAGAGACAATTTTTGGTTTTTTGATAACTCAAAAGAAACAACAAGAAAGAAAGAAAAGAAAGTAAACTACACCTGAACACAGATCCTTAACCCTCTATGTATTTTCTTGCTTCCTAATTAAGACCAAGAAAATACAACTAAACCACATGAATATGAACAAAAACAAAAGAATAACATAAAAAGAAAGATAAAAAAAACCCAGTTCATAAAAACTATAAGAAGAAGAGAGAGAAAGAGAGATTTGGATGGGAAGGGTATAGTGTGTGTGATCCTGAAAGAGTCGTCCAAAAACAAAACCAAAGGGGGAACCCTACGGCTGAACTCTGACGTTGCACTTTCTGTCTTTTCTTTTGTTCTCTTCCCCAAACCCCAGAAAAATCTCTTCTTTTCTTTATTGTCTATTTGCTTTTAACAAAGCCATGAATTTTTATTTTTAATTTTCTGCTCAAATGTTTTACTTTCTTTTTTCTTTTTCATGGCTATAGTCTCTCCCACCTTTCCATTCTCCCATAAAGTTAGACCTAAAATTCAAAAAATAATAGGCAGCCCATATGTAAAAAGAGAGCATCATTTCTATATCAATCTCGAGGGAAAGCTACACATATATATATATAGGTTTTATAATTAATTAATTGATTAGAATGATTTAATATTTTACATCGTGGTTAGTAGACCGCACACTTTCACTTCACAGCTTTCTACATTTACAGTGCCATGATTGATCCATTGATTAATTTCTAACAGGCATGGCCAAAAGCTATATATATATATATAAATATTTATTTATTTAATTACTTTTATTTTTCTTCCTTTCTTTCATGATCTCTCTCACTCAAGTATTATTTATCCATGAAGACAGCTGAAATTTCTGACATTTTTGCATGGTTTCTAGAATAAGTTTTTTTCTTAAAAAAAATTATGGGTGTTAATTAATTAGACTATGTTCCACATATATAAGCTACCTAACTAATAATTTTATTTTATTCATATACATTAATCACCAAATAGCACCCTTACATGAATATTAAAAATCGTATATTGATGTTGATGTTTGAACTGATAATATATACTATGAATTTAATTGCATGATTATAACATACTGGAAAATAGACCATCATACATACATATATGTATTATATATAATAATACTAATGAATTAATTGCGATTGATTATTAACATTACTGGAAAATAGACCATCATACATACATATATGTAATTTATATATATATATATATTATATATATATATAAGTACTATATATATATATATAGTACATGTAGTTGACTTGATTGTCAATTCATGGATACACATATGGTTCTTTAATAGAATTTGACTACTTCATAATTGTGTTGGCTACTTCTCAAAGACTTACTTGGTTTGCTTGACGTGCTAGTGTCTAGATATTGACTGTTGATTGAGTCAACTGGTTTGCTTGGTAGATGTGAAGATATTTACATACAATCATACATGTATGGATTTTGGACACAAAGCACAAATTTGTTAGAGCTTTGAGCACAAACCCATATGTATATATATATAATACCTGTATTTTTGTAGTGTAGTAATTTAAGAATTTATTTCAAATATATGTAAATGTAAATATATTAATAATTAATTAATTAATTAATTATACCTTATAGTGACAATTAGTTAATGTTATAGGAACTACCTAGTGGCAATATTTTACCACATAAATTTAAAATATTGTAGTAGTACTTGTCGCACTATATTGTTTTTTTTTTTTTTTTTTCACTTTATACTTTGTTTTTTTTTTCTTTTTGTTAGTCATGTTTCGATGGACTTTTTATTTAATATATGCATAATAAAAATTATAGATTGGAATAATATTATTTTCTCATGAAAGGAGGCATAAAATTATTAAATTAACTGATTATTGTGTTTGTCATTTTAAGTGTTTTTTTTTTTTTTTTTGTTAGTTTCATGTTCTCGATGGGCTTTTTATTAATATATGCATATAAAATATAGATTGGGATAATATTTATTTTCTCAATGAAAGGAGGCATAAATTAATTAATTAACTGTTATTGTTTTGTCATTTTATGGTTTTATTCTTCAATGATTTAGATTTTGAAAATGGGAGATCTTCCAGACCCTAGTCTCATGAATATGCTCCATCCCACCTCATATCTACTGTTTATAATTTTAATTTTAATTTTAAATTTTTTTCCAAAATAATTATAAACAAAAAGGCTTAGAATAATCTTTATAAAATTAATAAATCAATCTATATAAAAATAGAAAAAAATATATAAAATAAGATATCTTGAGGATATTAATTGTGTTTGTATTGAAGATACATTGATATCTTTATATATGTATATAATATAAGGTATGGACATATATATATATATATATATATGTGCATGTCACATTCTAAGAGGCGGCTATGTGATAAATAACAAAAGGGTCGGCCATATCATTATAACTTCATTCGATGTATCAGTGGTAGGTTAGCTTTCTCTCTTGTTTCGCAGTTCTTTCTATTCTCCAATCAATTCCATCTCAACAGCACTTTCAATTTCTCAGGGAATTTTTTTTTTTTTTCAATTCTTGTTTTCACTTAGATAGTAAAATTCCAAAAGTATACCCAAAGTTGTATTCTTCCCCTCCTTTCACATTTTTTCCGGGATTGAATTATTATTTTTGTATTTATTAGGGAAAAATCAGAGGTTTTACAATAGTTACTATGGCCTACCTATTAATTTATCAAACCATGGGGGTCAATATATTAATACTGCAAATATAATAATGTAATGGCAGCTGCCTCCCAGGTTGTAGACTCCATGACCGTTAGCTCCTAACAATCTATCAATGTTCGTTCAGTATCCAGTTTTGCTAATTAAGTTATTTTACTTTGTCACCATTCCTGAATCAAACCTAACCAATCTTCCTTTTATATCCCCAATTCTTATATTCACACCTATGAAATTATTTTTGGTGATTTTTTTTTTCCTACTAGCATTTTTATATTCTTCTTTTGAGCACGAGTTTGATCACGTTTCAAAGTTGGTAATATTGTAATTTTTCTATAGATCAAACCCCAAATTTTATAAAAATCATCTGTTGAATTTAAATATGCCTTTTCAATTAAATCACTTCGTACCAAACTGATGTTTGCTATTTTTTTCTAAATAATGAACAATAAATATATAAAAATTTCACATCACACCTTATAATGTGTACATTCTATTGAGAGAAATTAATACATTTCACAAGATATTAAGGTAGAAATTTTTAACTCTGAGAAAATAATGCAATTATATAATTCAAATGTCTTGTATTTATTTATAGGTTATTGATTTATTATTTATGTAACTGTAAATTTTATAAGTTGAAGTGTTTTAATTAATAAAATTAATATATAGTTAATGAATAAAGTAAAAATTAGAGTAATTCCACAAAATTTTTAGCATAATACTTCAACATAGCAAGAGCCAAGAGGTGGACATAAAAATATATAATTGCTCATGTATCATATGGGTTTACCGCTCACGAGTGGAGTGGGCATAACATGCACAGAAGTGCATAGTATAAAAAATAGGTCCCACACTAAATGATTGATTATAATGTGGGTCCCACCTCAAAATATATGTCAAACACATGATCTCTTTGTAAATCACTGGCCAAAAGGAGGTGGGAGCACGAAATCATCGTCACATGCATGAGATTAACCACATGTCCGGCACTCCACGTGTACGTTTCTAGCATGATGGTTCATGGAGAATAATGAATCTGACAATCGCGCTAATTATTTCTCTTTCTTTTTCCTTTGTTTGGTTTTTGTTTTCCGAATTTCACCATGACAACCCGTGACAAGGTAATCGAAACTCGAATTGACCACCTGTATACGTGGCTATCAATCATTGGAGAAAATGTATGAACCCATGCATGATGGGTGACAGATTATCTCTCACCACCAGTTTGCATCTCTTTCTAAGAGAAATTATTGGATACACCAGAATTATAAAATGACACTAGATAATTTTTAGCAATCTAATCTTATTTTGTGGTTGTGATTCCATTTTTAAATCAATGTCCCAAATTGAATAAATTTTATAAATAATTAAAATGATTGAATATTTTAAATTTAATACAATAATGTTTTAATGAATGATTTTGCTATAATTGAAAATGCAGAACACAAAAACAATTTGATTACTGTATATCAAACATGCTTACAACCTGAAAGTTTGGTGATTTTGCAATTTAACCTATGCATGTCATGTCCTGTCCACACCCAAAAATACCAAATTTTACTGCCGAACTAGGTTGTAATAGTAATAATATATAATTTTTGTATATTATTAGTATTATTTTAAGAGTGAAAAACCCAATTCAATTAAATGTCAACCTTCAATTTAAAATTACAACCTAATTTTGGTCCAAAACCACATCAGCATTCCAGACCCAAATTTGGGAATTTTTTTCCTGACATTTTCATAACCTTTTTTTTTTTTTTCTTGGTTTTGAAACTTGTTTTTTAATACAAACACGTGGAGGTGTTCTAAGCACCTACTCTTCCATTCCATGTCAAAGATGTAATAATCCCACATTAGCCTATCACATTTATAAAAAAATAAGAATAAAAGAAATATTTTCTAAATAACTAATTTTCAATTAACTGATTTATCCATGTTTGAGAAGATGTAAATTAACGAAGGATAAGCATAAATAAGTTCCTTTTTTTTTTTTTTTTTTAATTCCAACTCTTTTGGAAAACCATGCGCCTTCCATGATTGGCTCTAACATGTTTTTCAAGCGGGAAAAAGAGAGAAAAGAACATTTTATTTATTTTTTTTTAAAAAAGGCAAGTGGTAGCCATCATTGTCATGAAAATTTGATTGAACCCTAATCACTTCAAAACAAAAAAAAGTATTTATTGCAACCGACAAGTATATCATTACAAAACCACATATGGAAGTTTTCAGGGATAGAGAGCAAAATAATTGAGGAGTCAATGCCTTTTCATTAGTGCACTGATAAAAGGACACAGAGACTATTGAGTAAGTACTATCCAAGCATTTCTAAAAGTTCTGAGCAACTCCTGAAGAGCCACAAGCAACAAGCCAATTATTTCTACATTTATAAGTAATAATTCATTTTAGTTGCCATTAGAATTTCTAATAAATAATCAGTTCCAAAAAAATTACCTGGGATTCTAGCTTGACACATGAAGACCAGGCAAGCATCGATGCCGGACGGACGAAAATCACATTGTGCTTTACTCAAAAAAGATATGAAATTGATATCATACAAGTTCATGAGGAACTGATTGACATTTCAAGCAGTGTATTTATTGAGAAAAAGAATACGGAAGTAGAAATAAGGTAGAAGTTAAAGTGTTGCTGGTATCCTCAACCCATCATAGCTTAGTTGTACATCAAGCCCTTCTGTCTCCTTTAATTTCAAAAGATATTCATTTACTTTCTCATGATCCATCAAGTGCATCATGCCTACAAAATTGAGATGAGTGGATTATTTTGTCTGGAATAATCTTCCAACTGAGTATGGTTAATAGTCTCATTAATAATGGCATATTACAGGGTCGGTTCGTTTGAAGCTCTTCAAAAAAGACTTGACCGCATCATAGTGAGAAAGGAACAGGAACTAGTTTTTATTCTTCATAGAAAATCAGAAATGCATGTACATACCAGTGAAAAGTGTTCTCTTTGGTTTAATTTTTCGCACTTCATCTAAGGCCTGAAATAAAAAAAATAAAAAAAATAAAAAAAATAAAAAGAAGTTAAGGTAACCGCAGAATCCAATTAGCACAGGTTTGATTACCATAAAAGGAAAAGGATCCCCTTTTCTTTTGACAACAATTTAGCATGAAAGAAAGAAAGAGCTTATTGTGATGATACAAGTAATTTTCTCTTAAAATGAGTTTCCACCGTTTGTACAATATAGGTAGCCTGCTTAAATAAATCAATCTGAAACTCGCGAGCAAGATCGATCAGATGTCATTACCACAATAACTACTAGACTTTTAATTGATAGAGACAATATCCATACCGTATTATAAAAGAGGGGGTTGTTTGACATCTTGTGTGCCAATTTTAATAAACATAAAATAACAAAGAAGACATTATGGTAAAATTAAAAACAGGTATTCTTTTCATCTTACCCTTGGAAGCCCGAAATGTGTTGAAGAAGATCGGTCAGGCCTCAGAGCATCCTGAATGAATTAACTGACATATAAGCTGAAAAAGGAATATATGCGTGAAAACATAAAAAATAAGTGAAACTGAGTGTGTGTGCGTAGGCATGGGTGGCCCATTTGTGCAGGCATGCCTATGAGATAGATAGATAGATTGAGAGTGAGAGAGAGAGGAGAGAGACCAAAATCAGAATTTCACAGTCCTTGAGTAGTGGATAAGTTTCTTCAGGTATCTCGCTAACATCACTGCAAACAAAGGATTAGCCCCAGAATGTGGTTAGGAAACTAAAGAATTTTTCAAAACCCTATGGTGATTAAAAGCAATACCTGATGTAACATATGTTACCAAAGCGAAAACCAAGGGAACGATAACCACTGCCATGCCACACTGGTAATGGAGTAAACTGAAGCAAAGCATGAAATGGTTCACCATAGAGGAAGCATTTAGCTTTACTCATAACATATAACGACATAATATTTGACCACACTTGCACGTTTGCGCTCATAAAAAATCTAAAAGTGAATTTTCCAATAATATAATAAGATTTTTTTTTTTTTTTTTTTTACATTGTTATAGCATGTGGTCAACAATCCTTCTGGTAGTGCTAATACTTTATCACTTAAAATTGAAAATTAAAGCTTCATGACATGTTCAAAAGACCATAGCTGTCAATCCTAAAAGAAAATCTCATTCAATGCTAACAGTATGGATACCTTCAAATCACACGCATCAAATGGCTCCTCATGTATGATGTTAAATTGTAACTCTGAGACAGCAGCTCCAGGTATAATCACACTTGTATCCACCAAATAATAATGAGTCTTCTTCATCACCTGAATTGCTTTGACATCAAACAATCAGTTCTGAGATTTACAAATATCATATGAAAAATATTTCACAAACCAAAAATATCTGTGAAGTAATATTAATATCCAGTCATTTCTAAATTCCGTCAATCAGGTACGTTTCTCATCAGATTAGTAGCAGAACAGTATTTCATGCACCAGTCTAAACTAACTGTCAGTTAAGTAATGATCACTGTACTGCATACAACACAGAGAGAAGGAATGACTTCAAATAAAACTACTGGAAGTGAAAACCTAGCACAAATTCCACATCATTTTGAGGCCAGCAGAAGAATTTCTTAAAACTAATTTCGGCTAGAAATAATCATTACATCTTGTTACACTGCATGCAAATTTATGATATTGTTAACTTCAAAGACAAACTCAGATATAAAAAAGTATATATAAAAAAAAAAATCTATAAACAAAGCAGAAGTGGGATCTTTTTCTTTTTCCTTTTTTTTTTTTTTTTTTTAAAGTATATATAAAAAAAAATCTATAACGAAGCAGAAGTGGGATCTTTTCTTTTTCCTTTTTTTTTTTTTTTTTTTTTTTTTTTTTTTTACCTCAAAATCACGCCGTGCCACATATATCGGAATGTGAGGCTGGACATTGTTTGTCCAATCCCGAAGATCATCCAGACCTGGGGAAGCAATTTTAGCAGAAAAAAGAATCCTCTTTGGCATCAGATAACACATGAAATTCTATTTGAAAGAAGAACTTCATATTGTTTTATTTTTCACAAAATAACATTAGAAAGTGTTAATGTCGGAGACCTCCAATTGCATCAGCATGAGAATGAGTAATAATAACCGCATCAATTGTTCTTAGCCTGACAGAAAGGCAACTAGTTACAAAAGGGCATTCACATGACTATAGGTGTATACAATATAAGAGAAACAGTAAACAACTTTCAATTCAATAAGCCCCCCACCATCCACTTCCTATCAACATTGAAATGCATATCAGCAAACTAAACAAATAATAACAGACTTATTGAACAGTGCAAAAGATAGTCTTTTAACCAGTGTCGAAATGGGAGTGGTGGCATCCAGAAACTATAATTTGGGTCATGACTCAAGGCTGAAATTTTTCAGTTGTTTTCGTGCTCTATTGCGCTATTACTGATGTGCAAATACTCAACTTGGAACTTCTGAATAATGATAATTTATACACAATCAAATTGTTGCTAGTGTAATTGATACAAACAAGGATAAGAAACCATTCATGACAAAAGTGGAAAACAAAATTTAGAATGAGGGGAAAAAAGAACCTCAGAGAAATAGGAATAGCAGTGCTCCGTTTCATTTAACATATGCTTGGATAAGATTATGATCACCATATAAGATAGAGGGAACCAATGTTGAAATCCAATTGTCTAGCAACTGCTAAAGAGCAATTAGTCGACTGCCTCATCTCTGTGCTCATATATGTGTGTATTCAACTCCATGAATTAAGACCAACACCCAAAAGCAATCATTTATACCAGATCAAATTATTATGCCAACATACTTATCAGAAAGAGTTATGACGACACTGCATTTATTTCAGCCAAGTATATGTAAATCAAAAATCATTTTTCCATCCTTATGTACATGAGATACAAGAATCATTTTTCTCATCCTGCATTGCTATAGCACATAGTACTTATAATTCCTAAAGTTCACCTTATAGAACTGCATACGAATGTTAGATGTAAATTTAATGGGAAAAATATTTTTCTATCTTTGATTCATCAATAGGGACACATATATATACACATACAAAATACTATAAACCTAATAGGAATCTAACTCAATTTAATGGGGAAAAATATTTTCTATCTTTGATTCATAAATAGGGACAGCATATATAATACACAATACAAATACATAAACACTAATAGGGAATCTAACTCCTAATAAGTTTTTACAACTAATCCTTAACACTCCCCCTACAAAGTTGGAGCATAGCTATTAATCATGCCTAAACTTGTTTACAAAGATAGTCAATAATTCCCGGGTGTCCGTTAGAGCTTTTGGGTAAAGATATCCCTAACTGTTCACGTTGTTTAAACGTGTCCTGCTATGAGATACACCCTCCCCCTGTTGTAATCTTTTTACGAATTAAAAAAGCAATCAATCTGAATAATGGTTTTGTTCGTTCAATGGAAATACGGGATTTGATGCAAATGTGAAGAAAGCAGCTTGATTACACACCATAACTTTGGCAGGCAAAGGAGACTTGAAGCTAATTTCCCTCTAACAATGACGAATCCAATTAATTCACAAGCAGATTGGTGCCATAAGCTCGAATATTCTGATTCAGCACTACGATCGTGAGACTACTTTTTGTTTCGTTGCTCCTCCATGGATATCAAGTTTCCACCTCAAAAACACAATATCCTGATTCGATCTTCTATCAACCTTCGAACCGCTCCCAACCGCGCATCTGAAAAACATTCAATGTTCAAATGCCTATGATTACTGTAAAGCAGGCCACGACCTGGATTACCTTTCAAGTAGCACAAAATCTGTCCTAAAGCATCCCAATGGATAACAATAGGAGAAGACATAAACTGGCTTAAGACGCTCACAGAGTAAGCAATATCTAGACGTGTTACGATAAGATAATTCAATTTGCCCACTAACCTTATATACATCTTAGGATCATCAAATAGCTCACCACCAATTGAAAGTTGCAAATTTGGAGTCATTGGAGCACTGCATGGCTTGGCACCCAACTTTCCAGTTTTCCTTCAGTAAGTCAAGGACAAATAATTCCTTTGGAAGATAAGAAGAATGCCTCTCTTACACCTAGATACTTCCGAATACCCAAAAAATACTTCAACAATCTAAGTCTTTGTCTGGAACTGGGTCTGGAGAAATGACTTGAGTGATAATAATGCGCGCTGAATCACTCACCTTCACTCCCTGTAATAACAATGTCATCAACATAAACCACAAGTAGAATCAAACCAGTCTTAGTACTTCTGAAAAATACAGAATGATCAGAAGTACTCATCTGCATGCCAAACTGATTTACCACATTGCAAAATCTACTAAACCAAGCTCGAGGACTCTGTTTTAGGCCATAAAGAGATTTTCGAAGTTTACATACTTTACCCGACTCCCCTGAGCAACAAAGTCTGGTGGTTGCTTCATGTAAACTTCCTCCTGAAGATTCCCATGAAGAAAGGCATTCTTAACGTCCAGCTGATGTAAAAAGGCCAGTCAAAAGTAGCTGCTAAAGAAATAAATAAACGAACAGAAGACAATGACAATTTGGTGACAGGAGAAAAAGTATCAAAATAATCAAGGCCATAAATCGGAGAATAACCCTTAGCAACTAATCGAGCCTTGAGACGAGCAACAGACCCATCAGGATTCACTTACATGGTGAAAACCCACTTACAACCAATAGTTTTCTTACCTGCCAGGAGAGGCACAAGATCCCAAGTACCATTAGTATCTAAAGCAGCCATCTGCTCTTTCATTACTACACACCAACCAGAATGGGACAAAGCTTGGACAACAGTTTTAGGGGTAGAGACAGAGTCTACGTTACTTACAAAACAACGAGATGAAGAAGAAAGATGATCATAACTGACAAAAGAAGAAATACACTTGCGTTTACCTTTTCGAAGAGCTGGGAAGGTCAAGGTCTGACTGGGGAGTGTCTGACCTGGGGAGTGGATGGCACAAAGGCTCAGTTGAGTGGAGAGAACCGGATCTTCTTGTTGAAAACGGTAGGTGGAGGGAAGTGAGTCAGAGTTCTTGTCCTCTCTGAAATAAACTGTTCAAGAACGAGCGTGGTAGATTTTGGTGCAGGAGCGGGAATAGGAGCAGACAGACGCTGAGTTAGGAGAGTTATGAACTTGCGGAATAGTATAGGACTAAAAGGTCGTCATCCTCGCCTACTCTTATATAGTAGAAATAGGAAAAATGGAGTATTCCTCAAAAAAATGGTGACATGCTGCGAAAATAAGATAACGGTCAAGATCGGGAGAAAAAAACAACGAAACCCTTTTTTGACGCGGAATACCCAGGAAAACACAACGAAAGGGACTTTGGATCTAATTTGGAAACCTGTGGACGAACTCAAACGAACAAAACAATACAACCAAAAATACGAGGTTCAATGGGGATAGAAGCTTTAGAAAGAACAAGACATTTTAAGGAAGCACATTAAAGCATGAAGAAGGCATGCGATTAATCAAAAAGATTGCAGTCGGAGACAGCATCAAGACGCAAAAATGTTTTAGGGGCTTCATTTTGGGAATAAAAGTGCCTAGCAACCTCCAAGAAAAGATGTCGATTCTTTTCTTTCTGCACACCTGATTTTGAGAGTATCAACACAAGATGTTTGGAAATGGAGAAATAACCATTTTGTGACATATAAGATTAGAATGAAGTAGTATTTAGAATATCTTTTAGCATTATCACTGGCAAACATGCGATACAAAGTATTAATGAGTTTTAATTTCAGGCACAAACAGAACAGAAATTAGAGAAATCTCAGAACGAGTTTTCATTAAAAATAACCAAGTAACACGAGAATAATCATCCACAAAAGTTACAAAATACCGAAAGCCAGTTGTAGAAATAACAGGACATAGACCCCAAACATCAGAATGAACTAACTCAAAAGGGGATGAAGCCTGTTTATTGACTCGAGGAATTAAAGGTAAACGATGATGTTTGGCAAATTGACAAGATTCACATTCTAAACTGGATAAAGACTGAAACTGCAGACACAACTTCTTGAAAGTAGACAATGACGGATGACCCAAACGACAATGAACCTCAAGAGGAGAGAGAGCACCAGCACAAGCCAGAGATAATGAAGATATGAAACGTTTCATACCAGAAGATAAAGGTCACTGGAAAAGAGTCTGGATCGTCGATGTCGTCCTGGAGAACAATCACGATCTAGCGGTAAACTGCCGGGATCGCCGCCCCACTTGCGCTTGCGCGTTGAGCTGACCGCCCGATTCTTCTGACGGCGCGTGCGACACACTCTTTTTCCAAAGAAAAAAAAAAAAAAAAAAAAAAGAAAACTATACTGAAGCCAAAGGCTCTGATACCATGTAAATTTTAATGGGAAAAATATTTCTAATCTTGATTCATACAATAGGGACCAATTATAATATACACATAGCAAGATAATAAAACGCTAATAGGAATCTAACTCTAAATAGGGACACATATATATACACATACAAGATACTATAAACCTAATAGGAATCTAACTCCTAATAGAGTTCTATTTACAACTAATCCTTAACATTAGACAAGCAACTTAAAAAAAAGGTTATTGATTGTGATGGACCAAGAAATATCAGTAGAGCCAAAGTTGATAGCTTCAAATATTGAAGATAGTAAATAGAACGGAAACTAACCCGAAATCGGGAAACCATCGAAGAGCACTATGGTAGAAAAACCTACAAAATAGAAGGTACAATGAAAACCTTGATCAAATTATAAAGGGGCAATTAGTCAAACCAGTAAAATTTTCAGTCACCAAAAGCTTCTTGTTTGACGACATTATTATCATATATATAGAACATGTTTTCTTTCCTAATTTATCATATATATAGATATGCTTGGCTTTTTTTTCCTACAATAGGAAATGAATTGAAAAAAGCAACAAACCTGAAGGATTAAGATTATGGTGCGTCTCAAAAGGTCAATCGTCTCATTCACATCTATGTATAAAAATCTATTTGAATTCTAATGACAATCAAAGCATGCAATTGTCTCATTCACAATCTATTCATTAATCCAATATGTAGAACTTCAACATTGTAAATCATTCCCTACTCCCCTCCCCCTGATAAGCAAAACCGCAATCTGAAATACGGCCCAACATGTAATTAATACCAAGCCAAAATATAACTTAAATTTCACATTCCAATTCCATCCAGACCTAATAATATTAATATGAAAGAAAATGCAACTCAAAATGAATAGATGTTAGCAAAATGAGATTTTAACATTGGTAGAACAAATGAATTCCTATACATATGATTAGGAATGCATTCTTACCTGAGTGGAACTTAGCATCATGCAAAATGAGAGTAGACATTGAGAATTTCAATAGAAAAACAAATTAGTCAAGCTAAAAGCCCAGAACTTTCTATCACTTACTTGCCAGCATCTATTAGAATGTTGCATATTCCACCAGGACCAGAATAACGAATAAGAAGGCTTGTGTTCAGTCTCCTGTTTTTGTTACCAGGTTCCACAGCTTTTGAGCACACCTGAGAAAGCAAGGAGCATTTGAAGCCTTGAAACAATCAATGACACTGGTAGAAATTTTTGAAATTCACTCCACAAACAAGAAAAGAAAATATACCAAATGTTAAAGAAGTACTATTGCAATGATGGTTTGCAGCAATACCGGACATTTCTTTAAAGGATTAGTAAGACAGCTGACACGGGGAACCCCTTCACTAGTTCCTGTCCCCATGAATATGATTTCAGATTGGTCTTTGGGCGACTGTGCATCAGCATTTCCACTTGCATCTGTGATGAAAAACCTGGTTAAGACATGACTCGTTGAAAGCCATCATAAAAGATGATATGTGCAAGTGAAGTCAATCAGGATTTGTACTATGAGAAGCAACAAAACCAGCAACAGAACTCAGATTAATATGTTAAAAGAAGTTAATCTTAACTTAACTGAAAAAGCTTGACTTTTGAATATATTGAAGAATTTGTCAATGCATACAAATAAGATTACAAATATCCTATCAAAATGCAATTGATAGCCACAAAATGAACACATCAATTTTTGAAATCTTTTACTCTACGAAACAAAACCACCAATATTGCCAGGCTTAAAGCCGAGAATAACTTGGCATGCATAAAAAAGCATTTATCAGCTGCTGGCTAGCATTCATTCATACATAAACAATAAACCTTCAAATTAACATTTGTGACAGTAATTAATAGATTAGTCCGTGCAAGAAAAAGCATAAGCTATAACATTTAAAAAAGTAAGTGATGTTTGAACTTAAATAAAGTATTCTACAATATAAACGGTAAATAAGTAATCACAAAGAACTATCTAATAAAATTATAAAAAAAAAAAAAAAAAGAAATCACAAACAAGAAAATATAATGCCACTTACTTGAAAATAAGCTAAGCTCGCATATCTTCCTTTTTGAACGGAGAGAAGCCCATATTTCTGGAAAGCGAAAATGAGCAGAAAAAAAAAAAAAAAAAAGTAATCACAAAGAACAGAAATATAAGCCACTTACTTGAAATAAAGCAAGCTCGCATAATCTTCTTGAACGGAGAGAACCCATTTCTGGAAAGCGAAAATGAAGAGAGCCCATTTCTCGAAAGCGCAAGTGAAGAACTCTGGAAAGAGAATTGACGCCTGTGAGGTACAAAACTGGCTAGAGCAAGAGAAGGAGATACACGAATTGCGCCAAGAAACTGAACCATTGTTTGAGCAAGCTACAAAATTTTTGGTTTCTGTGTCTTTGAAAGAAAATAAAAAATTTTGAGAAGAAAAAGGAAATATGCTTTTCAGATGCGAAAGGTTAGGAAACTATTCACTGTTAAGTACAAACACGTTGACCGTCCGTCTGTAAGTTCTTTTCTCGTATACCGTTTTCTGTTTACAAATTGACAAACCCTCTTTTTTTTTTAAGTCCGTATTTAGATTCTTTTACTAAACTTTTGGCCCATGGGCTTTTTCTCCTAATGCATTCAAGCTTTTCATAATGGAAATTAAGCTTTGGAGGGCAAACAATGACATATCGGTGCAACCTGATCCAAATAAAGCTGGTCCGACCCATAGTAAATTAACTCTGCACTCTCACATTTTCTTCATCTTTTTTTTTTTTTTTGGTAATTAACTATTTAAGCTTTAAGTTTTACTCCAAATTACTATCATACCCCTACTATTTGGTAAATTATTCATTTGTACTCAAAATTTTGTCTCATTGAACTTTTAAGTTCCTCCATAAAAAAAATAAAAAAAAAAAAGTAATTTTTACTCTTAAATGAGGAACTAAATAGTGATGCTATATTAAATATGAATGATCAAATAGTTAAATATTATAAGATATTTAAGCCGAAAAATATATTTTTAAACGGATGACTAAATAGTTTAACGATGCTAAACTTTTAAGGACAAATTAACAATTATACTCTCTAATTGGATATTAGAGGTTATAACTTTAAGTATTTATTAAATTAAGTTGAACATTATTGAACTTAATTACAATCTTAATTTTCTCTCCTCTCCTCCAATAAATTATAAAATTTTAAAATAGATAAATTGCAAATTTGACAATTAAATTATTAATATAGTCTTCCTTTTGTTATATTAGAAATTAATAATAATAATAATAATAATAGTAATAAAAAGAATAAGAGTGTTTGGTTTAAACTTCAATTCTAAAATATAAGCTGGATTGTTGTTGGACTAATCCAACGACAAAATTACTAGCCTAATGGCATCCTTAGATTTTTTAAAGTCATGGAGCACATTTTTTGGGTCAAACTTTAGTGTTCCTAGATCACAAGTTACCCTGTCAATTCTTAACATGGGACCATAGGATAAAAAAATTATATTTGGACCATTAGATGAGTGGAATATTATAAAATGAATTCAAATGATTGACTAGTTTAAATGGATTATATAAGGAAATGTCAAGTGAGGGGACCTCTCAATTTTTTTTTTCCAAAAAGGTCCCCCTTTGTATTGAAAACTTGCATAAATTTATTATTTTAGTGTATGAAATCTAATTTTATTTGCGCGGTAAATTAGGGTTATTTTGTACTATTTTATTCCAAATTTAAAAAAAAAAAAATTATTCTCAAGAGAAATAAAAGAAAAAGAAAAGGCAACGGGTCGGATCAATCTTTGATTAATTGAACTCTAATGCATGAACCCGAGCCTAGAATTACCAAAAAAAAAAAAAAATTTATTTTATTGATTTTTGTGTAAGTAATTATTTAAATTATTTTTTGTACGTAAAAGACAAAGCTACCCTATGTTATGAACTAAATTATAAAATTATTTTATAGGTAATTTTTATTGATGTAATTCTTAACTTTATAGAATTATTCATCAATTCTTGGAGGAAAAAGAAAACTATTAATTTGATCAATTGGTTAATAATCATTTTCTGGTTATGATTGTATTTTCCACATCATAATTTTATTATTTTTTATATCAAGTACTAGCTGAAACAGTTTTTAAACATTTTTCTAAAATATAAAAATAAACATATAATTATGCTAATTGTTTTTTGAAAAGTTAATAATCACATTTTTTCCGAAAATCTCAATAATTTCATGTTTAATAATCCAGAATAGTCAGAATTTTAATGGTTACAAAATTGAATTTCGCATTTTAATTGCTGAAGTTGAATTAACAATTACTTGCCTTAAGAAAAATTCAATTAAGTCAAAATTGACATCCAGACCAAATTAACATTAAATTTCTTATTCTACTGTTACTTCAACTAAACTTTAATCAAAATTACAATTTTAATGATTTTAAAGCTATATTTAAAAAAAAATTGCCATGAAATTTTTATATATAGAGATTATATGTCGAAATTTAAACTGACTTTTATATAATTACAATTTCGAATACAATATAAATAATTACTTTCTAAATCTTGTTAGTTCATCTCGATTAGGCATTATCTTGTTAGTTCAAGAATTTAATATTATAAATCTAATGATCCATAATTTTTAGGATTTAGTCTTATAAATACATTTTGTACCCAATTAAATCGACTCTGAGACATTTTAAATTAAAAAAAAAAAAGAAAAAAAAATTATATTGAGACGTGGCACTTTTGACTACTGACGACGACATTTACGTGAGTACATGGTTATGTTTTGATTGTCTGAGACAAGAAGTGCTTTAAATGATGTTCTTGCTCTTGTCTTGTGGTCAAACCTTCTGTCTCATTTTTCCAAACTCATGATCATCATTTTTTTATGTAAAATCATAGGCTGCGGTTAGGCACAAGTTACTGTTTAATCAATTTTCCTTTTTTTTATTTTTTTTAAATATATTGCGTATGAGGATATTATTGTAATTACACAATTATAATTTTAAGTTCAAATTGCATTAACCATAATTTTTTTTTCTTGCATTTGACATACTTGAAAAATAGAAATTATTCTTCTAATCAAGAAAATACAGATTCTTTTCAAAAAAAGAAAATTTTCATGTATAACAATAAACTAAATGATTATATAACTATAAGAAAATTAGTCATTGCCGATAGATTTTATCAACAGAAATTCATCAATTATCAATAGAAAATTTTATCGATAAGTATGTGCTTTTATAAATTTAAGTATTTTTAAAATCTATAAATTACAAATGAAAAATGTTAATATCTTTCAATAAATTTTCATTTTTATAAAAAAATAATGGAAATTTTTCTTTAAAAAATCATTAATTTAAGAAAATATTTTCTACAAATAGGTTATTTTTGTTTTAAAGGAAGGGACTCGAAGTCTTGAAATGTAAGAGGTTGACTTGTGTAACTGGAATAAATAATAATTGTCAAGCCCTCAGATTTTGATTTTTGCTTATGAGACCAAGTCACCTACGTGTGATCTTACACATTCCAAATGTCGCTTTGACTTCTCGATTCACCGTCTGCATTTCTCTTGTTAACACTCAAAATATAATATATAAAATTTATATTATAAATTTTTTATTCTTAATATAATCACACAATTAAGGTTAATTAGTCAACATTTTCTGTTAATTAAACAGAAAGAAACGTTCTTTTCCTAAATATTCTGTCATTATAAGATTCGGTGATTTGACAAGAAACCTAATATCACACGAAATTTTTTATTGAATATATATATAATTATATATAAAAAATTATAGTTATGAGTTGTGACTCATTTGACAATGCAAGCTGAATATGTGAGAAAGAGCTCTCGAATTCGATCTCGCTAAACGCACTGCAGAAAATGATGAAAAGTCTTAACTGTGAATAAATCTCAAGCGGATTAGGTTGTCTATAATAAAGGGTCTGGATACCAATAGTTTACACTGCAAAAACAAAAGTAGTCACAATTTCCTTTTGTTTATTATTATTATTATTATTATTATATAGCTATATTTGCATCATTTTTCGTATGGAGAATAAATTTATAAAATATGTTTCGGTGCAATAATTTAAATGTAAAACTTTTAAAACTTATTAAAATATTTAAAGTTTATATTATTATAATTTATTTCTGTTGTTCTAATCACACGGTGGAAAAGAAATATCTCATTTGATATAAACAAGTTTTATTAAGTTAATATAAAATTTTATATATTTTCATATTTGTTACGAAAAGAATTATTTTATTTAATTTTACTAAATCATAAATTATGTTACAATTTGAAGTACTCCTCAATAATGCTAAATATTTATTGCTAAGCAAAAAGAGGTTTTTTTTTTTTTTTACTGTAGAGTTGGATATTCAATTAATTTAAAATCAAATTTCCTTTTTCTAAAAAGATATTATTTATATTATTTTGTGGATAAGGGATAATTGGATATAACAAGCCGTAAGTATACAATGGATCCCACTGACTGTGCACTTCTCTGCATTGACTCTTTTGATGCTTTCCCATATATTAGCTTCAAATAATTGGAAAAGTCGAAAAGAAAATAATTAAAAGAAAAAAAAATTTCCTATCTAGCTCTAATAGTTTAGTTTTTATTATGAAAAATTGCGAATTTATTAAAAAGTCAAATAAACTTGCGAAAATGCTCTATATTTTTATTCTAATTTTACCAGTAAAGTTAAAAATTTGAAATTATTATAATTTAATAGTTTTATTCGTATATTATCATTTTTTATCCGAATTTACGAAATACTTGAATCTATAAAAATAAACTGTATTCTCTATTTAACTTTCAAATTTTTAAATGCTAAGAGTTTGCATATTTAATAATTTATAAATTATGTATGGATTACTTTCATACGCATAATATATATTATAAAAAAAAGAAAAGAAAAAGAAAAATTGTGAGATTAGTAAACCAAAAAAAGTTGTCCTTATCCACGTGGTCAAAATCAAACCCACAAAAAGAAGAAAACCATCAATATGCTTAGTGCATAAGATTATAGTTAAAAAGGATAGGATAAGATCTTCTAGTATCTATAAAAAAAAGAAAAGAAAAAGAAAATTTGTGAGATTTAAGTAACCAAAAAGTTGTCCTTATTCCACGTTGTACAAACATTCAAACCCACAAAAAGAAGAAAACATCAATATGCTTTAGTGCCATTTACAGATTTATAGTTAAAAAGATAGGATAATATCTTCTAGTATATATTATATATATATTATATAATATAATTATTAATATAATAATAGTCTTACATTATTTTTATGAAATTAAATTGATTTACCTTAATCTAAGAGATTATGTCTGCTTTCACTTAATTAATTTAATTTTTTGATTTGATGGTAGGAATATATAGTCTTACATTATTTTTATGAAATTAAATTGGGTTTACCTTAATCTAAGAGAGTATGTCTGCTTTCACTTAATAATTAATTTTTGATTTATGTAGAATTTATATACAAATTAATAAAATTAGTGGCCTTCATGTTAAATATATTATTTCCAGTTTGGTCACCTCCTTGCATTTATATACCTTGTCCAGTTCATTACATGTAGGATGTCTCCTACATTTTCTTTCACGGGCAAACAAATTATATGACGTCGTTTTTTAATTCGTAAATCTTTAAGATATAGAATATAATTCCAAATCAAGCATATTTAAAAATAATTTAGAAATTGCTGCATTTAAACTTTATTTGTTCGGGGTGTGAAAATTCTTTTGTTAAAAGGATAAAGGCTATGAATTAAAAATATAAATAAATATTTCAAATGAATTAAAAATAATTTTTTATTTTAAAATACTTTGAATTTTTCACCATTCACTAAAAAAAAATTAAAACAATATATATCAGGTATAAACAATTTTATTAAAAGATATAATTACTTTCCCATGTGTCTTTTTTCTATTATTATAAAAAGAAATATCAATAAATAATAGTCACGTGAACCTTACGAATAACCGACATGTTTGTGACAATATTAGACTTTCTTCTAAAGAAAAAAAAAACTTTTTTAAAAATTGATATTATTATATATAGAGAGAATTAATTAATAATTATTTTGAAAACTAGCACTAAAATATATAAACATTGACCTTTGACTTTATACGGTGACAGACTGACAGATGATACCCAGCTTCATGGATGCTTCCGTATTCTTTCTATTATTTTTGTATTTTTATCATATACTTACGTTACTTGTTGATGTCGATGCATATGTGTTAGAGCTTAATCTTATAATTTAAATTTTAATCAATAAATTAAATAATACAAGCTAATTTTTGTCTCATATTATAAAATTTTTAAATCTATAAATCTTTCCATTAAAAATTATAAAAAAAGAAACATATATGTAAACGTGTGATAATATATTTTGATTCGAATTTTTATCTTTTAACACTAAAAAAAAAGCATAAATATGGGAAAAAAAATGAAAATATGTATAATTTTTGAACTTTCTGATTCATGTGGCCCAAATATTGCAAATCACATCAAAGATTACTTTTCTAATTTTCTTCGTTGCCACCAAACGTCCAAACGTCCAAGTCTCTCTTATTATAAAATCCCAGTAGAGATGGACTTGCCTTCTCATCTTTAACCACTCAAACAACTTAGAGAAAACATGGCCACCTCTTTCTCTTCTCTTACTCTTAGGCTCTTCTTCTTCTTCGCTGTCCTTCTTGGCCACGGAGTTTTTGAGCTTGAAGCTTCTCATCACATTTATGATCAGACTCTTCAAAGTCTTGAATCCACAGATTCTACTTCCATAACTCAACCTTACAGAACTGGTTACCATTTTCAACCTCCCAAGAACTGGATGAACGGTATATATGTATATAGATATTTATATATTTCTATATGCTTATTACCTAACCTCTTCCCTTTCCTTTTCTTGCAAACATTTTCTAGTTTTGATTTTCTTGCTTCTGTGTTCTTTGTATTACTTTCTCTCTAACAGTTTGTTTGTTTCTTTTTGTTTGTTTGGCTTCTTGTTTTTGTCATTTGACAATGGACACAATTGGGGTTTGCAGATCCTAATGGTAAGTTCTTTTATTTGTGTAAAATTTTCTTCAGTTCACATTGAGTTCTTGTTTTAATATTATTTTTGCTAATCTATATTTAATAAACTATATATATATATATATATTATGTTCTCTTCTTTGAAAATGAAACAAAATGATAATCCTAAGGCACTGTATTAACAGATAAAAAGTTTATTGCAGGGCCAATGATTTATAAGGGAATTTACCATCTTTTCTACCAATACAATCCTAAAGAAGCTGTGTGGGGCAACATAGTATGGGCCCACTCAACATCGAGGGATCTTGTTAATTGGACCCCACATAAATTTGCAATCTACCCATCACAGCCAGGTGATATCAACGGTACCTGGTCTGGTTCAGCTACATTTCTCCCTAATGGTACACCTGCTATCCTTTACACTGGAATAAACCCACAAAACCAGCAAGTTCAAAACTTGGCCATGCCCAAAAACACATCTGACCCATACCTTCTAGATTGGGTCAAAACCCCTAGAAATCCATTAATGGCACCCAATGCCCAAAACCAAATTAATGCTACTTCATTTAGAGACCCAACTACTGCTTGGTTAGGTGCTGATGGTAGATGGAAAGTGATTATTGGTAGCAAAATCCATAGAAGAGGATTAGCAATTCTTTATACAAGTAAAGATTTCATTAACTGGGTTAAAGCTAAACACCCATTGCATTCTGCTGAGGGCACTGGAATGTGGGAGTGTCCTGATTTTTTTCCTGTGTTAGCAAATGGTAAAAACGGAGTTGATTTGAAAATTCAGAAAGGTGTTAAGTATGTGCTTAAGTTTAGTTTAGATGATACAAAACATGATCATTACACTATTGGAGATTATGATCATGTGAAGGATATTTATACTCCTAATAGAGGATCAACTGATGGTGATTCTGGGTTACGATATGATTATGGTAAATTTTATGCTTCAAAAACTTTCTTTGATAGTGCTAAGAATAGAAGGATTCTGTGGGGTTGGTCTAATGAGTCTTCAAGTGTTAGTGATGATATCAAGAAGGGTTGGGCTGGAATTCAGGTAATATATCTCTCACTCTTCTCTTTTTTTTTTTTTTTTTAAGGATTCTGTGGGTTGGTTAATTGAGTCTCAAGGTGTTAGTGATGATATCAACGAAGGGTTGCGCTGGAATTCAAGGTAATACTATCTTTCACTCTTTCTCTTGTTCTTTTTTTTTTTGGGTGGTAAAAGCATTTGAATAATTGCGAATGGCATTATTAAAAAGGGGGTATTTTATTTTCTTATTTTTTCTTTATTTTTTTTTTTTTTTTTGGGTGGTAAAAGCATTTGAAAATTCAATGCATTATAAAAAGGGGTAATTTTTATTTTTATTTTTTTTTATTTTGAATAGTTGGTGGAAGTAAATTTCTTACTGGCATGCATTTAGACTCATTTTTGATTGATTATTGTAGGCAATTCCAAGAGTTATTTGGCTTGGCAAATCAGGAAAGCAATTGATCCAATGGCCTATTGAGGAAATTGAAAAGTTACGTACAAATCCAATCAACTTGCCTAGAAAAGTCCTTAAGAAAGGGTCTGTGCTTCAAGTTGCAGGTGTCACAGCAGCTCAGGTAAAATTATAAGAGCTAGAATTTGAATTTTTTTTTTTTTTGCTAATTATAATTTACCAAACCATATTAGACCCTAATTACTATATATACCTACCTGATTAACAGGCAGATGTGGAGATTTCATTTAAGGTATCAAATTTGGAGAAAGCAGAAGTGCTAAACCCAAGCTGGACCAATCCACAATTGGTTTGCAGCCGAAAGGGTGCATCAGTTAGAGGTAGTTTAGGTCCATTTGGGTTGCTAGTTTTGGCTTCAAATGGATTTGAAGAGTACACATCAGTATTCTTTAGAATATTCAAAAGACAAAACAAATATGTGGTGCTTATGTGCAGCGACCAAAGCAGGTTTATTTGTTTTCCTCAACTTGTAAAGCCGCCAATTTTTACCCAAAAAGGCTTTCTTAATTAATCCTCTTTTACAATAATTTTCCAGGTCTTCACTAAACCCAGGTAATGATAAGACCACTTATGGAGCTTTTGTGGATGTGGATCCTGTTCATGAGCAGATTTCATTAAGGAGCTTGGTGAGTTTTTTGTGGGTTTTTCTTTTTATGCATTTCTAAGGTCAATAGTCAGCTTCTCTTACATGAAAGGTAGGATCTTTGAAAGCCAGCCAAAATTTTCTAGACTAACATTTTTCAACACATGGGGACAAATCTAAAATCAAAGGTTCCAACGAAATTAATGTTGTGTCTTTAGGACCACCATTTATTTTATTTTCCTTAAGAGTAGTTTGTACAGTTCATACTTGAAGGTTCCTCCAAACTATTTGTGGACTCTAGATTCCTAGTTTCTATTAGGTTTTTGTCTTGATGCACTTGAGTTTTTTGTCCTTTTTTGCAGATTGATCATTCTGTGGTGGAGAGCTTTGGTGGAGGTGGAAAGAGCTGCATTTTAACCAGAGTTTATCCCCAGTTGGCTATAAATGAGGCTGCCCACTTGCATGCTTTTAATAATGGCAGTGAAAGTGTTACTATTACAAGATTTAGTGCTTGGAGCATGAAGAAAGCTCGTATCAACTGAAACGGAAAAAAGAGTTAGGGAAGTGGAGATGATAACTAAAGCAGCAAGGAATGAGTGACGGATTTATCATTATATATATATATATATATATATTAGGAAATTTGACTTTTATTTTTTAATTAACTAAATATATATATTTTTAATTTGTATTGTCTCTAGCTAAGATGTAATAAAAGAATGCAATGGATTTTGTATTTGCCAACAAAGCAAAGTAATTAAGAATTAGAAAAAATACAGGAAAAAAATATTTTCTATAAAATTTTAACCATATTTTACTTGCTAAAAGCTCAGTTTCAATTAATAATATCAGTTATCAAATGGGGTTTATCAATTTTGGCAAAAACAGAAAAGGATTATCAATTCAAGTTCTGATCAAACAATTGAAAAGTCACTTGAACCACAGTTGGAACTCCCTTTATCTTCCTTAAGCATTTACAGGACTATTGTTTTTATTTAAAATTACTTACTGATTGGTACCGAAGTAGCCATTGAACCACTAGCTTTCAATAAGTTTGCAAATTTAGCAAAGCTGACCGGAACTAAACTTTAGGTATTGGGGGTGAAAAATAGAAATAGATGAGAGGATGATTATATATCTTAACCACCTAGCTTTCAAATAGTTTTGCAAATATTTAGCAAACTGACCGGAACTAACGTCTTACGGTATGGGGTGGAAAAAATAGAAATAGATGAGGGAGGATGTTATAATATCAATATATACTATATATATATCATAACACTTTTTGAAAAATACCATACGAAAATGGTTGAGAAATTTTCAATTATGAAAGCTTAGCATTGATAATCATGATTCACTGAATAGCTTATATATATATATATATATATACACTTTTGAAAAAATACATAAAATGCGTGAGAAATTTTCAATTATGAAAAGTTAGTTGATATATGATTCACTGAATAGTCATCCCCTCCCACTGAATAGCTTTATTCCAATTATAATTTTTCTACCGCACCCTTTTTAGTGCTAGCATGTGATAATATATGATTCACATGTTAAAGGGCATTTAGCCAATGGTAAACCACTAGCCAACAAATGGTTCTATTTTATCCCATATTGTAAACAAGAAGCAAAATTTGACAACTGAATACATAGTTGCAAATTGCGACTATTTTTTTTTTTTTTCAATTTTAGCATTTATCATCATGTGATTGGCCAACTGTATGTGGCTGTTGAGAGAGCAGCAATCACATTCCAATATTTATTATTTACGACAAGGTTTCAAAATAAGATGAGAAAAATTATGACAACAACTGGGATTACAATTATTCAAGTTTTGAAAAAAAGAAAGATAATCTCAGCAAATGAAAATTTATTATTATAAGTAATAAAGAGTAAACTATGAGGACAAGATTCATTAAAGATAACCATGTAGAATATACATCATAACAAGCGACAAATGGAAATAAATACATCGACTGACTTTCTCATGTCTAGAAAAATGCACACTTTTGCAACCCAATACAAATAAAAGGATGCAACGAAATAGACATTCGAAGAGGAGGAAGAGAAGGGAAGAGAAGAGAGGCAGAAAACAATGATGATGAAACTACTAAGATATACAGACACAATAAGGGAAAAAAAAATGCCAAGGCCCAAAATTTTCACCAACTAGGACATCACCGACACCACGCTGCCAGCCACCACCATGTTTAGCCTGAACCCTAATACTACTGTTGCTTGCACTCAGGTGGGCGCTCACCATGCTGACTTCCCCCGGCCTGCACCCGTCCACTCTTCTGCAATTAAAGTACCATAAGACGCACACCATAAATAAATGGCACTTATAACTTGATAACCTAGACCAGATATTTGGTCTTGCAGGATCAACTCACCTTAGTTCCACCAGATAACTGCAATGAAATTAAAGATGAAACAGTGGAAGAATACATTAGCAACTTCAAAACTTGCAATCTTAGAGTCAAATGTTCAGAGAGGCAAAAATCTTAGATGTTCATACCTTCTTCCTGTCTTTTTTGCCATCATCATCATCCTCGTCTTCATCATCCCCATCCTCATCTTCTTCATTTTCATATTCATCATCATCAACATCATCGTCCTCGTCGTCGTCTTCTTCTTCTAAATCATCATTCTCAACGGCCTCCCCCGTAAACCATGATACAGCATGAGGAATGATTTTGTCCCGAATAGTAGTACTGAATAGCAAGATCAACGAACATTTGTTCAAGTTGATAAAACTGAAAAGAGAAGAATAACATAATTCAACTGAAATCACACTGAAATTAGTACTTACCCTATATTGTAGTCTTGTTCCATTCTATCCTGGATTTCCTCAACCTGCAAATACATGCATCAAATTGATTAAGAATGCTCATTAACCATCAATTGCATCAATATCCTACAAGCAAGGAAGCAAAACTTACAGCATCATCATCCAGGTCATCATCATCCTCAGGGATCCGAGGAGTGTTAAAGAAATTAAAGAAACTAGCACAATTCTCAGTTTTAGTGATGGGTTTAGCATTCTTTGATCCTTTTCTTGGTTTCTTCTTAAGGACCTTCTTTGTTAAGCATTTTCCAGGGTACCATTCAATCTCCGTTCTACAAAATACAAAGACAAAATAAGAAAAACAGAAAGGTAAAAGGCAAAAATTTTCAGTAGGGCATGCATATGATTACCCAATTGTTTTCTCCAAAATAGGATCATCATCATCAATCATGTGATACGTCTTTGTTAGAACAGAATTTTTGAAGTAATGATTAGGATCAAAGTAAAACTCCAGCTTGAAACCCTCAGGATCATCAATTCTACACCATTTGATATCTTTAAGGAACTTTAGAGCCCCTTCATCACGTTCTGTTATCTATTCCAAGAATCAGCAAATCATATCGTCACAATCAGGTAAATCAGTGCAAAAACTACTTTATGCCTTACATCATCCAATTACCTCCTCCCCCACTACTTCATTAGTTTTCATTGCAGTAAGCCAGAAACCAGGCACCCCTTTCTCTGCATTAAAAAAAAATGTAAATCACACATAATAATGAGCTGCCATCAAACATCTTTAAAAAGAGGTTATCTTGTGTACCTTCATCCCCTTCCTGGTTCACAGCAACTTCATCTGTAGCCCCTTCAACTTCTTTTATACCATTCACAATCTCATATCTCTAAGAAAATCCAATAGTAAATTGAGTCAATTAAAAGGAATAGATAAATTGCTGAACCTTGTAAATTAAGCATCACATAATAATTTGATTATATGCTCAATCTAAGTTAAAAAACTTTTAAAGCAGAAAAATTATTATAATTGTAACATTAGGATCCAATATCTGAGATGCAAAACAATAGCAAGGCGGTAACCTAAATACCTTAGTGTAAAGTGGTTCATAAAGTTTCTGGTATTTAGCTTCTAATGCCCTTTTTTCCTCCATAAATTTTGCCTCAAGCTCATCATGTTGGCTCTGCAAATTTGATAGGCAAAATTAATCTTTATATCTATCCTCTAACAGTAAATTTAAGCCAGAATGTGTGTACATTTTACTACAAATCTAACAATTTAGAAATAACAAAACAGCATTCTTCAGTGAATTCATAAAATTACAAATTAATCCCCTAAAAGCCAAGATGCATCCATAGTGGAAAGACTTACAAATAATCACCATGATCTAAACATATACCAATCTTGGAATCATCATAAGTAAGAAAAAAGCACATGACGGCATGTCAGGCACATCAACTCAAACACCAACAACATAAAACATGAACTGTGCTATCACTTGCACTTCCACATTTAACAGGCTGGAGCATAAGACAGGAAATTTGAATGACAAGATAAGGCAAAATGACTCCCATGGATATTTCGATGTCTTAATCCCTAACATATCAAGTACCCATGAAGAGAACCTTAGCAATAATCAATAGAAAATACCAATTTGAGCAGCTAATGGTCCATTATAAGCAATTCATGAATTATATTTATTAACCTTGTTGTGACTGAATCCATTAACCATTCACTTGGAAGAACAAAATATAATCAAGCTGCATAATCCATTTAAGGAACAGATTTGGCATTACAACACCCTAAATATTATTTTCTCACTCTAATAATCCCAACTTCAACTTCTTCCAAATTTTAAACTTTCAGAAACAAAAAAAATTCGTAAGTTACAGGAAATTCACCCAACAATAAAGTTTCTGTGGGCATATTACTTGATCTGCACTCGCAATAACAATCCATTTTCTTAAAATCCTGCACAGTATATGCTGCATCATCATGGTTACCCTGAACAAACTTGCAATTGGAATCAATTTCATGATATGCAGAATATACATTTTGAGAAAGCTGATTATTTAAGAACAAAGAGGTAAATTTATAAACTACTCAACCTTTTCCCTTAGAAGCAGAATAAAGGAGTGTATAGACCTAAAATGCTCATATTGTGAAGGTAGGTTTGGGCCAGTTCGCGGCAGGGGAAGGAGATTGAGTGGGTTCTTGCCACTCAGACAGAGAAGGAAGGCAGAGGGTTCAGATATTTCTATTCTTAATTGTGACGCCAAGTACAGAGTTACTCTTATCTTTTCAGCATCAGCAATCAGTTCATAAAATCTTATAATAAATTACATTGCAATATTCCATCCAGTTTATCAAAGATTAACAGAAAAAAGTTGGAGACTGAATGAATAATCATCCATGTTGATAATAGATAGCCAGCAAGAAAACTTCATAAATGATAAAGTTAGGAAGTATAAACAACCTGAATCTCACTCAGATACTCAACTCGCTTCCTGACACTGGGTGACAGAGTTTCGAGAACATTTGAGTGTTGTCCAGCCAAACTCTGAAGTTTATTCTGCAACACCATCAAAATAATCAATGAGTAGGGAATTTTGAATATACAAGCATCCATTTGACCAAGGAAACCTTTTCTATTTTTTGAAAAATGATCCACAAGAATTGTCAATAACCAGACATAAATTTTGATTAAAGGAATATCCCAAATAAGCCCACGTTTCGTCTTTCTCTCACATTCAGAAAATGAAAACTATCATCTTGTGCATCACCAAAGCCATTGGAATTTTTTTTTTTTCTTCATTTCAAACAACAAAATTATAATTTTTTTTTTCTTCATTTCAAACAACAAAATTATAATTTTTTTTTCTTCATTTCAAACAACAAAATTATAATTTTCCCAAATACTTACCTTGAGGGCGTTAACAAGGTCAGCACGATCCTCTGCACTAAGAGCTGCAAATAATAGACAATGAACGCAATGAGAACTCTAGATTAATAAGTTGTTTTACCGTCTCAAAACACCTAAGGATAAGAAATTAGTGATTAAGCACAATATACGCAAAGGCTAATTACAACAATAATCACACAGAATTACGGTTATTTTGGGGGGAAGAGATTACCGGCGGCAGCGGCAGGGAGGGAGGCATCGACATCGGACATGTTAAAAGAATCCTTATGGTCGTCACTCATTGCTTAGGTACTTTGAGAGGCTGTTTGGGAAACGAGAAAATGGAACAGCCCTAGATAGAAGATCCTTGAGAACAAGGGAAAATGCGGAGTGAGTGAGGTGCGAGCGCGCGATTTGATCAACCTTATGCAGCGAGAAAGAGTTTTGCGGTATAACCGTCCCCACGCTCCTGTCTCGTCGGTTAGAGTACACAAACCAATTGGCGTTTGCGACAAATAAATAAAATAATATTCTTTTGGATGCGCAAATTTATACATCAAAAATCTACAAAATATCTAATAACTGATTCAAAAATATTTTTTATAATTTTTTATTATTTACGATATTTGGAAAAATAAATTACGAAAAATATTTTTTTAGTCAAAAAAAATTTAAATTATTTTTTAAAGTAAATAACTTCACATTTTTGAGGGGTAAAATATTCTTTGAACGTTAATAAATCCTATAAATTATTATTTTTTAATTTATTAATCATTATAATCACTCGCACCAGTAACCATTTAACACCGATCACTAACACCGGCCATTAGCTACTGGGAGATTTCATAATTTACATTTTTTTTTATTCCTCTCATATTTAACAATAAAATTTTTAAATTATAAAATTTCTATTATTATTAATATTTTTATGGTTTTATGAGATTAAAACTTTAATATTATTTTAACTAATTTTCAGTATTACAATTAAACAACCGAATGAAAAATATTTTTCAACAAGTTATTTTACGAAAATAAACAGAATATAAAATATATAAATAGAACAATAATTATTGTATATTTAAAATAGTTTTATGATGTACTCCGGATAAAATTTTATTTATTGATAATTCCTTTTCCACTTGTAAAAAATAATTAGAGTAAAGAACTATTTTAGTACTTCAAATTTGGTCACAATTATAATTCGATTCTTTTACTAGGCAAATACACTAATTAGCCTATGAAATTTAGCCGTGTTAAATACACTAATTTATTTACTAGGTAAATACACTAATTTATTTATTTATTTATTATAATTGTTATATCACTTAGTTATGTTGTTATATAAATGCATTATTACCATAAAATACCTAAATATATTTGATTCTTTACATGTAATGTAACATTACCATTTAATCCTTCAAAATTTTCTCAATAAAAAAAAGTCATATTTACTATGAAAAAAAAGTCATATTTACTATTTTCATAGCACTTCAAATAATTTAATAGGGAGGCCAATTAAACAAAATAACGGTGCAGGTTAACGAATAATCCTTTTATTAGCTCACAAAATTAGTGAAAATCATTATGTACTCAAACTCGACTTTCAATTGTATAAGTGAGAAAATCAATGGCACTACAATTGATAGACTAATAGTTTAATGGAATTAGACCTTAGAAATTAATCAATGTATTTACCAAACATGATGAAGGAAATTGTAATTATGATAAGACTGATTGACTAAATAGTTATTTAATCGAATAATTAATCTATAAAATACTTGATATGATGATTTGATGACTGAGCTATGTACTAAATGAACTCATAATGGGTGACAGCATAAAATATAGTATATTTCTTTATCATGTGCACTTACAATTCTCCATTAGCAGTTTTAAGCGCAAGTCGTGCTTTAATTGGCTACATTACATCATCAGTGGCCTTAAACTATAGATCAATATGCCTATAAATTACAAACAACAAATTGTCTAAGTTATTGGAAAACAAGAAATCCAGATTTACTGAAATGGAAAAACGTAATGTAAGCTTAAGCCTGGTGGAAAGAACATAACCAGACTAAAATTCATTTAAAAGCCTGGAAGAATACAGCATCCTGAAAACATTTTGTACACGCTGACAAGTATTGTTCTATTTTACTCAGGACTTTGTTTTGGCTTTCAATGCTTCAATCACTGCAGAAAAATCGCTATCACTAAGACCGAGACTCTTAGCTACCTTGTATAGTTCATTTGCAGCTGCAGCAATTGGAGTCGGTTGAGAAACACTTTCTGCTAATCCCAGAGCAAGTCTCAAGTCCTGACACCATTGATCGTATTTTAAGATGAAAGCATAATAAGCATTCATTTAATAGTGCAAGAAATTTAGATCAATTATGAACCTTCTGCTGATGCTTTAAGGGGAAAGCAGTAGGGTATAGAGATTTGATCATAGGAGGACCTTTCAGAGAGTACATTGGTGCACTAATGGCACCTTGTGACACAACCTGCAATCACAACAAATATAAGAAAACTTCAGAAAAGATGTTCCGACAGAGACTTTGTGCAGGAAAATTGTTCATCAGAAAAACATTTATCAATAAGAAAAAGATTTGCGGTAACTTAATTCAAAAGTTTGATAATTGTCTTAGCAGTTGAGCAGCAGGCAAAATCACCTAATAAATATAACTCCAAGTACCAATTACTCAATCACAGATTGTAATATTGTATGTTATTTATACTTTATAGTTAATGCCCTATGGTTATTTCATCAGCAAGTACTACACTGCGAGACACTGACATAAAGTTTAACAAGGAGGAAAAATTGCATGCTTATAACCCCGGAAAGGACTTAAGATGAAGAATTTGATCAATTTACTTGGGAGGGTAAAAAACAAGGAGGTAAATAACTTTAAATACCACCAAAGCAAGCAAGACAAATCCAATCAAATTGCTGAGGTGCGATGGGAACTGAAAAGTTGTGCAGAAAATATAATCCAATAAGGTAAGTTTTGGTTGTGGAATACCTCCACTAATACATTTGGATCCAGTCCAACTTTCTCAGCAAGAAGCAATCCTTCAGAATAGGTTGCCATCATACTGCAAATTGTTGAAAAAACAGCAGGTGTCATAATCTAAATCAATATAAGAACAAAATAAAGCAGTGGACGGGAAAGGGACTTTATAGAACCTTCCCATGATCATGTTGACGACAAGTTTCATTGCAGCCCCATTTCCGACATCACCAAGGTAAAATCTTGACTGGATAAAATCACAAGTATATGCGAAGCAGTAGTCATACTTTGTTTTGGGTATTAAAAGCAGTTGTTGTGTTTACATTTTTAGTTATTAAAGAAAAAAACAATGTACCTTCCCCATGATGTCCAAGTATGGAGCTGCTATTTCATACAGAGATTTGTCACCTGAAAGATGGCATCTTATGCTTCAGTTTCTACTAGGCCATTCACTGTGTTGTTGAACACAGATAAAAAAAAAGTTACAGTTTTTATCATAATTAACACCAGACAGTAAAATTTGCAGTGAAGGTTTGAAGTAAACGGATAGGTAAACTTGTTAATTGGGTTGGGAACTTCCAAATATTTCAACGATCTATACTGTGTACAAAATAGGAATAATGTTATGTAGAGTCGAGCACGGGGATGCAGATTTGAGTCTTAAGAGCAACCACTGTATACAAAAATGTTAAACTGTTGGACCATCTCTATATTCTCTCCCCCAGGTACTCCCTTTGATGGGACCATAATTGTGTAATAGCTCCAACAGATTTGAACATATTAGATTATAAGAACAATTACCAGTTACCTGCAGTAAGAAATATGAGTTGCCCATCTTCTGCTGGTTTTTTAGAGCCAGAAACAGGAGCCTATGGAAAAACACTTTGACCTTTAGAATGCATCCCTTCAAAATACCATCGTCATGTGATTTTGACTAATTAAGGAAATATTTCAGTTACAATAAGAAGTATCATCACCTCCAAAAATGATGCCCCAGTAGCTTTGATGTGTCCATTAATCAATTTAGAAGTACCGCCATCGACAGTTGAAACATCCACATACCTGCCAACATTGTCAAGTTCCAAATATGTTGGGAAGGAGAAGTAAACAACTTGAAAAAGACAAATGATAGCTGAGAAACATCGCTTTTTTTTAAAAATCCATATCATATGATGCTATTCCCTGAGCCCAGTCAAAACAGGTCTGGATTTAGCAATCCTCTATAATATGACCACTTGCTTAATGATGAAAATTAGAATGAAAGTTGATATCATTCAGGAAAATGAATTGGTAAGATGTCTTCTTTGAAATGATTTGCAAAGTAGTCTGTGATATGCTATTAAATCTTCTGTGAAGAAGCAAGCATTGCCTGTGGCTGTTTCTAAGAACTAAAAACATTAATCTAGGTCATAAACTGGCAAATTGAAAGAGTAAAATCCTCTAATAAATACTAATCTACCATGCAAACTTCTAACCTAATAAAGTATCCACATGGAAGGGTTCTCACATAATCAGAAGAATACAGAAACACTGTCATGAGTAGAAAAACAAGGAAATGATACCCTTTTCCTGGGCCAATACCACTCGCTGCTCCATACTTTCCACATGCAACCTCCACCTAAAAAAATGGCGCAATCAGTTACTATGTGTAAGAGTACTACAATTAAACAACTAACATAAAAACATACGCACTGCACTTTCAGGATCAGCAAGCATGGCAAAAGTAACATCACAGGAAGCAGTCACTTCTTCAGGAGAAGGTTTATATCTGCATAAAGGAGTCATTGTGAGAAATGTTTCTCCCAAGAGTGGATCTTGAAAGCATGCATTTTGAAGAGTCCTAGATGAAAGCCCAAGAGCAGTTAATAAGTAGCTGATTTCCTAACAGATGACATTTGACAAGTTGAATTGAGTTTGATCAAGTTCAGATCTAACTACTGAATAATACTCTGTGCCAATGTTGCTAAACCAGTTAAAGGCACCACCACAACCTTGCTTTACCACTTATGTCGCGACACAAGAATCTTTTAACAGATTCAATTTTTAAATGTCAATAAAGTCAATACCATCCAAGAAGCCTCAAGATTTTTCAAGAATTATTTTCTTATCTTGGAAAATTCGATCGAGTTCTGGCCTTCTAGGTAATAATATAATCATGTAAAGCTCAATTTTTTTTTTTCAAAAAGAAAAGAAAAAACAAAAGGCAAAAAGAAACAAAAGCATCAAGAGCCTGTATGTTAGGTACTTACTGTGCACCTAAGCTGATGAGAGGATCACATTTGCTCTTTGTCCTATTCCAAACAGTCACATTGCATCTACAATATGCAAAATGTATAGTCAAACTCAAATTTATGCCTGTCTAACAGCTAATTTCTTTTCTACTTTTCTTTTATCATAGGCAATGAAGGAAATGTAAGATGCTCTTCAACCAAGGCAATGAAGGAAATTATACGTAACCAAGGCAAACCAGCAAGCCTTGATTTCTTCGAATCAACACAATGTAACATGAAGGAAAATCGGAGTTTTGATACCAGTAATAATTAAATGCTAATTAAAAGTTTAAAAAAAGAGATATTTCGTTTCTATGGGAAAAAACTGTTGAGAGTTTTGTTGCTGACAAACCAGATCATACCCAGCTTTTATGAGATTTTGTGCCATTGGAGAACCCATAATTCCCATACCCAGAAAGCCAACACGTGTGACTGATTCACCAGCTGAAAATTCACAACACTTAGGTAAATGGGATAATATAACAAACACGTAAATTATATGCATTCTAAGCATAGCTTAGGAGTTAGAAAAGAGCTAAATAAAATCTAAAGAAGTTGCTAGGCATGGAACAATTATACATGTTTTTCTGCTTTTATAAAATTATGCTTTATTGATATCTTCTATTTACATAACTGCATCATCACTATCTGCATCATCATCAGCATTGTAGGAGTGAGATTGAGAACAGTCGTTTTTCTTTTCACGTGAATAAACAGAAAGAAACAGTAAACTCCAAGCTGATTAAACTTCCGAATTCTTAATTGCAGCCACCAAAAACTACCTTGACCTTTATGACCAAACATCACTAACATTATCAAAATGCCACCAGCACCTCCCAAAAATCAGTTGTCATTGCTGCAATCAATGGGGCAATGCCATACAAGCTATACAACAAAAAATGAAGCTAAGAGTTGATGAGTTGTGATGCTGCCTCATGAATGTCCACGCAGAATGAAGTTTTAGTTTTTGTAATCAATACTGAAGTGTTGTATCCCTTTCATATTGGTTATGTGCCAACTATTTGACTGTCACTCTGTGCAATTCTATTTTCTTAAGCAGTTAATATAATTTCACTGTGTTTTTCATTTTTGACTTTTTCCCAGCTTAGTGTTTAACAGACAAAAGCTTTGCCAAAATCAGTCATTTTGGCTTTTTACTTCATCCTTCGTCATGCATCAACTACTTTGGCATGAAAACAAAATTTCAGGGGATCCTCTAACATACTAATCACAGTGCAATATCATTTCACTAAAATACTATATTGCTCATTTAGTACATTTATTTTGGTGCAAAGATTATTATTCATCCAGACATAATAAAAATAAAGAAATGAAAAACCACAATTTGCTACCGTTAGCTGAAGTGAAACTTCTCTAGTCAATGAGACATGATTTCATTGTTGACACAGATAACAACTATGAAATAAATCCTAGTCTCCAATGAAATGTAATTCAAAATGCTTATATGGGCGTGAACCAAACGTACCTATTACTGAAGAATTTGATATTTTATTCAATGCAGTGAACATGCATTATCCAACTACACACATTACCATAATTTTAAATTTGTCAAAACACAAATATTTTAATTCAAGAAAAAGAAACAATAAAAATAAAAAATTTTTGAATTAAGTTGCCATCAAGCTATTGAAAAGGAATGACCTTTAGGGGGAGCACTGGATGCCTGAACGGAGAATGCTTTGAAATAAACTGAAAAAGGCTCATTTTTTGAGAAAGAAGAAATGGGTCTTGCTCTAAAGTGGCTAGGAAGTTGAGGGCAAAAGCTTGAGCACATAGCCATGGCTGTCGATGATAGCAAGTGATAACCGTTACCGCTCTTTAACGACAATGGCATGGTCCGCAATAGTTTAGGCTTACAGTTTCAGCTTTCGACGGCTGTGACCAGAGCTCCCATTTCGATGCAATGTTTTTGTACGCTTGTTATTGGATAAAGAAAAAGATAAACTTTTTACCGTTTAATGGGCTTCTCTCGATGGGCCGCCAGTAAACTATAAACTACTGGACGACCACTCGACATGGTTTTACCGGACGACATTGAACGACAGAACGACTAAGTTGGAGAGATCGCGTTTTCATATTGAAAGCTGCCGTTGTCGTGGATCGTGTTCCCTCCTTTTTTTCTTCCCTGTTTTTGCTAGTTGGACCAAATCAAATGGAGATAGAAGGTGACGATGGCTATAAAATTGAGCTGAAACATGACGGTTCGTCGGCTGCGTTTGGAAGAGGCTTAGGGTTTAACACCAAAGACAGAACCGTTTCTCGCCATCACGTTTTATTTCAGCCATGCAAAACCGAAAACCAAACAGAACCTAGGGTTTCATTTCAAGTCATTGGGAAGAATCCGCTCTGGCTACGAAGCGGCGACGCCGGAAGCGAAACGAGGGTTTTCAGGAAGCTCGAGAAGGGTGAGGTGGCAGTTGGTGACTGCTTTTGTATTTCAAGTCAAAACCCTGTTTGGTTTAAGCTGAAGAGAATAATTGGAGAGGAAAGCGACTTGAATGGAAGTGATGTTTCAGAGATGGACCCTGTTAAAGGTTTGGCCTTTAAGCTACTTTCTTTCAATTAGTAAATAATCAGGAACCAGTAAACATTTTAATGCTTTTATTGACCATATAATTGTTGTCGGTATGCAGAGTTTGGGTTTCTTGTGATTGGGCATGAATTTGATTGCTATCCCAAGGAAAGAATTTGTGATGTGAAGAATTGGGATTGGTTTCTTGAGGAAGCTGAGCAAGATAGTGAAGATGATGATAGCGACAAAAAGAAGAAGAAAAGAAGTGGGAGGAGAAAGAGGAGAAAAAATGGAGGTAATGCTGAGGACGATGATTGGACTGTTGAGAGTGAAGAGGATAAGGAAACAGTATCTAAAATAAGAAAGATTGGGAGATCAAAATATTCAACAAGATCCAAGGATAAAAATAAACTTGATAAAAAAGATGAAGAAAGAAAGAAAGAATCTTGGCAGAGCAAAGCCATGTCTTCCAATGAGGAAGATAGTGAAAATGAAGATGAAGACGAAGATGATGATACCCTTGGAGGCTTTATTGTAGATGATGATGGTGATGATGAAGAACAAGTAGGAGAAAGTGATGAAGAGAAAGAATTCATTGATGGCGATGAGGAAGAGCTAGAAGATTAATTACAATAAGGTAGATGATTTTGTTGATAATTGTTCATAAGATGGTTAGTTGCTGCTAACATTTTGAGATGGGTTGCTAGTTTTTGTTGCAACAAACTGTTTTGTTTGTAGTTTGCACCATGTCTAATATGTTGCAGTACTGTTCTAAGGCTTCTTTAGATGAAACTTCTTATTTAGTCTCTAAGATAGAATTTAATTGTTTGAGATTCAAAGGAAGAACTGTTTGTTGTGAGCTGACTATTGCAGTAGAAGTTTTTTTGCTGCATAATCATATTTGGGATTATTGTATAATTGGGGTTCAAAACATGCAATTTTACTGATCGGAACATGCCTAATTTGTTATTCCGTCAATCGCAGTATCTTTTTATTGATCTCGCAATTCATGAAACTTATTCATGCGCTTTTTGGTGTTTCAACCTCAATGCAAATCAAATGCAAAAATGCTAATAACAACGTGGTTTAGTGTACAAGAACGACTTGGCCATTACAAAAAGGATAAATCATTGTTTAATCCTTATAGTTTGATAAAATCTTACAATTTAGTCCTTGCCTTTTGAAAAATATATTATTTAATTTCCTTGTAACTGTGAAATAATAAGTTCTACCGTAAAAAATTTATACCCTTTTTAAGTTGAATTTCCAGTGAAAAAATAAAGATATCTTTATTTCTAATGCATACTTCTTTCTCCTCTCTCACTGAAAAAAAAAAGAAGGAAAATAAGCATATCGCAGCATTCTAGCTTTCTTCCAATCTCAAAAAAGGATCTTAGGCAAATGGGGACTGGCTTCGCGAGATCATTTCGAACTACACAGGGCTAAGCTTTTGGGCGCCGCTTTTTGGATCAACTTATTAATCTCAATCAAATCCTTAATATATATAGTATCTTTTGTATTGGGGGATCGTCCGCAATTCATGAGAACTTATTCATGGCGCTTTTTTTTGGGTGTTTCAACCTCAATGGGCAAATCAAATGGCCAAGAAATTGCTAATAACAACGGTGGGTTTAGTGTTAGCCAACGGAACCGACTTGGGCCCATTCCAACAAAAGAATAAATCATTGTTTAATCCCTTCATAGTTTGGATAAAATCTTACAATTTAGGTCCTTGGCCTTATTTGGAAAAATTAATATTAATTAATTTCCTTTGTAACTGTGAAATAAATAAGTTCTACCGTAAAAAAAAATTTATACCCTTTTTAAGTTGATTTCCAGTTGGAAAAAAATAAAGGGATATCTTTATTTCTAATGCCATAACCTCCTTTTCTCCTCTCTCGCAACTGGGAAAAAAAAAAAAAGAAAAGGGAAAATAAGGCCCATATGCGGGCAGCAAATTCATAGCTTTCTTCCATCTCAAAAACGGCTCTTAAGGCAAAATGGGGAACTGGGGCTTCAGCCACGAGATCATGTTCGAACTAGCAAGGGGCTAAGCTTTTGGGGCCGCGGCTTTTTGGATCAACTTATTAATCTCAATCAATCGCTTATATTATATATAGTATATATAGTATATATATACTATATATATTATATAGTATATGAGGATATTAATTGTCTTTTTCACCTAGATTATTTTAATTGAAAAGCCATAACTTTATGGAAAAGGAACTTAATTAGCTTGAAGGGTTGCAAAAAGTTGGGTTTGGAAGCTGGTTTGGCTTATTTTGCCCTCTAAATTTTTGGAGAACCCTTATTTTTTTTTACAATTTATCCAAATTTAAGAATTAAAAATGAATAGTTGTATATGTTTAAATATTATTGTCTTTTCACTAGATATTTAATGAAAAAAGCATAAACTTTATGGAAAGGACTTATTAGCTTAAGGGTTGCAAAATTGGTTTGAACTGTTTGGCTATTTGCCTCTAAATTTTGACTTATTTTTTTAATTTATCAATAAAATTAAAAATGAATAGTTATATGTTTAATAAAATTGCTTAAAATTATTTTAAAAACAGTTTAAGCGTTTGGTTTTTATGAGAGAGAGAGAGAAAGTTTAAGTATTTGGCTAATAAGTATTAAAAAAAAACCAAATTTGTTATAATTACCATAATGGATATATAAATTAAATAGAAAATATAATAATTTATTGAAAATGGGAAGAGTGCTGGTATTTTTACAAGTTATTGGGATAATATGGTATTTTACTTGGTCCTGCAGTTTCAAAATAAGTAAATAATAAAAAATAAAAGGTATCTTATTTGTAACTTCTTATTTTAAGCATGTTTTTTTCTTGCGTATAAGGTAAATCAAACCGTTGACAGACCAGCCCAAAAATCATGCCAAAAATCCGAAGCCTAAAATGGCAGGATATCACATTGCATAAATAATGTTAAGAGGATCACTTGGAGGACATTTTTGAGTTTTTATAGCTTTTTGAGTCGATCTCTTTTTTTTCGATCTCCTAATTTCTTATATAGTTTTATGTTTTTTTTAAAAAAAAAATTTTTTGACAATTCATTAATAATAAATATAAATTGAGTACATTATAATATTTCTAAACAGGAACAAGAAAGCAATACAAATATAGAAAATTAAAATCTTCTGTTTAAAAATAATCTTGATCTTGGCAGAAGAGGTTAACCTTCCAGGTAAAAATTTGTCCATTTTCAAATAGGATTACAAAAGAATTTTTTCACAATAATGTTTCAAACATTGTTTTTCTGAAAACTTATTACATTTGACACCCGCACAAAAGTTTGATATACCAAATTTTGATGGAGGAACAAGTCGTACACTGCTAAGCTCCATTAGTAAAAGAAATTACCTAAACTTAACGATCTAAAATCTTCAACCACAAGTAATCAATAATCCATCTTGTATTTCGAACTGTCAGAGAAATAAAAGATCTACATCAAAGCTCCTCGATAATGAGGAACAACCTCATGAAATGAGAGAAATTAATAATCTCACTATGCGGGTACAAAAACACTTAATATCTATCAATTATTACAGATATGAGAAACTAAATTCAAGTTTTATTCTAAACAACCATAGGTTTTTGACATTATTAAGAAGAAAACTAAATAAAATAAAAAAAATGATAAAAATGGACAAAAAGAAATCACTAATGACCAAAGAAGAAGATTGTTGACGGTTTAATGTCTCTTTTATGTTTGCTTTTCTCCTCTCCCTTTATTCTCATCACCTTATCTCGGACCAAACATGTCAAGGGACTCATGATAACGCAAAGAAGATGATTGTTGACGGTTTGACGTCACTGTCCGTTTGTCCACCTATCTCAATGGACTCATGATAACGCAGGCAGCAGTTCAATATCTCTTTTATGTTGTTTTTCCTCTCTCCTCTTATTCTCATCGCCTTAACTCGGATCAAATATGCCACTATTTGTTTGTCCATCTATCTCAAGGGACTCATGATAACGAAGTCCAACGGACGCATAACCACTTTTTAACCAAATACAAACATTACTTTATTTATGACTTTCTATTTAAAATTAGATTTGGTCGAATTAAAAGTCATACCAATCACCCTTCAAATAATATATTTTTCAAAAAAGTAGGAATTAAATAACCAGCTTCAACAATCTATAAGGACTAACTAGGTACTTTCATTAATAAAAACCAAAGACTTTATAGATTGGAATGGAGATTTGATCGGTTCGGTTTTTTTTTTTTTTTGAAAAAGCATGAAAATGCTTTAAATGTAATTAGAATCAAAGACTAATACATCTGAAATAAATTTTGGAGGGTTAGTAGCCCACTCCATTAAACCAGACACAGAAATAGCTGCTCTAGTTAACGAATGAGCAGTCTGATTCGCTGATTTTCTAATAAAAGAGACTGACAGTGTGAGAAAATCGTCTATCAACTGTTTACAATTAAAATCACGAGCCACTATCCATGGCAAATTCGATCTTCCTTTAAGAGAAATCAATAAATCCCATGACTGACAATGTCTTTGTCTTTCTGAAAAACCATTAAAACCCGTAAATTGGAAAACTTGGACCCCCTGAGCATCAGCCTTAACATCAATAAAGTTTTATTATAGCCAAGTAAAGAACACTTATTCTTATCTTTCCACATTAGGGCCAAACCACCCCCATGTCCAGTTGGATCAACAACAAAAAGACCTTCAAACCCCAAAACCTTTTGAACCTGATCCACCTTAACCCACCCTACCATTGTTTCCATTAAAAAAAAAAAAAACAATTTTGGCTTCTTTAAAGACACTAAGTCCTTTAACTCTGAAGCTGTCTCCTAGTTCCCAGGCCCGCGACAATTCCAACTCAAAAAACTCATTGAGCTAGGTGGGCCTGATCACTAGAGCCCACCATACCGCCATCCATATTTGCCTCAATTGTTGGAGTAGAGACAACCTCCTTAGGGATGTGCTCTTGTCGAAATCTTTTAAGGTCAATCACAAGTAGCATATTATTATCTTCAGGAGACACCAAATTTGTGTCCATCCCATCCTTTTGGTTATTCACATTCATAGTGGTTGTATTTGAAATAACTGTCATTAGACCATGCTGATTTGTAGCACCACTTATTTCTCCCATATTGACGTGTCTTGTATGGTAGGATTCAACATCTTTCAAATTGTGGACTTTTTGTCCTACATTATCTCCATATATTCTGCTACTACCTTACGGTAGGGGTGGCCACGGTTCCGGAACCGGCGGTTCCGGTTCCAGAACCGGCGGTTCCGGTTCCAAAAAAACTGGAACCGGAAATCTTTCAAAATTGAGACTTTTTCTGTCCTTACATTTATCTCCAATATGATTCTTGCCTTACTACCCTTAACGGTAGGGGGGTGGCCACGGTTCCGGAACCGGCGGTTCCGGATTCCAGAACCGGCGGTTCCGGTTCCAAAAAACACTTGGAACCGGACACGAACCGGAAAAATCGGTTTCCGGGTGTCGCCCGGGTTTGGGAACCGGGAACGGTTCCCGGTTCCGGTTGTTCGCGGTTTCCGGGTCGGTGATAAAACCGAGGTTCCGATCGGATTTTTCCGGGCGAAATCACATAATTTGTAAAATTTTAAATTTTGGAAGATCGGATTTTCAAATTTTAATAAATTTTTGTGGGAAAGTTTATTTGGTGTAAAAAAAATACACCTAAAAAATTAAAAAATTCTACAATTAAATTTATTTTTTTAAAGACTTGAATATAATTATTTTTTACAAAAAAATTCTTCCACTGAAATTATTTTTTGTTTAAAAAAGTTTGAATATAATTTAAAAAAATATTGTAGAGAGAGTAAGTAGAGAGAGTAGAGATTTTTTTATAATGAATTTGTAAATGAAATGAGGTATTTATAATAAATTCAAAAAATTAATTTTTCAAAAATACCCTTGAAACTAGCCGTTATATAGCCGTTTATAGCTATTGGGAGGAATAATTAATAGATTTCACAATAAAATAATATAGCCGTTTATACGCTAGTTGGGCCAGGAATAAGTTATATAGATTTCAACAAAATAAAATTAAAAAAAAAAAAAACAACAACGTTCAAGACGCAATAATTATAAAGAAGAATAATTGTAATTTATTTTTTTATTTAATTTTCCTGTTGGTCGCCTTTGTTTAGGTGTGGGGCGTAGGGGTTTATAATTTTATTGTGGTCTAAGTTGGGTGGGACAGAGTGGGTGGGGCGTATGGGGGTTTCTTTGCTCTAAAAGGGAGCTTTTTTTTTTTTTTTTTTTTTTTTTTTTTTTTTTTTTTTTTTGGGGTGTGACAGTTTATCAGAACCATTCCGGTTCCGAACGCGGTTCGAACGGCGGCGGTTCTAAACCCGGCCCGGAGAACCGGCCGGGTTTCCAACCGGTTCCGAAGACCGGTTTTCTGGAAACCGCCGGTTCTGGTTCCAGAAATCTGGAACCGCGGAACCGGGGAACCGGAATACCTTCCGGTTTCCGGTTCCCGGTTCTTCACCGGGTTCCGGGTTTCCGTTCCGGACCGGTTCGAAACCCGGCGGTTCGGTTCCAGGAACCGTGGAAATTTGGCTGCCAAGCCTACCTACGGCACCTATCCTCATCCTAACGTTGAATTTTTTTTCGCTTATGCAGTGCCAACCCTACCTCTAGGTTGCACCCCACCCGGACCACCCACACCTGACCACCGATTGGACCTCCCAACACATACTGCTTCCGATTGTAGGCCATTTCCGGTTCCGGTTCCGGACCGGTTCGAACCGGCGGTTCCGGTTCCAGGAACCGTGATTTGGCCAAGCCTACCTTACGGCACTATCCTCATCCAAAGTTGAATTTTTTTCGCTATGCAGTGCCAACCCTACTCTAGTTGCACCCACCGGACCACCACCCTGACCACCGATTGGACCTCCCAACACATCTGCTTCCGATTGTAGCCATTTTGCACCGATTTGGAAAGGTCTTCTAGAATTAGCTTTCCTCCATGCACCACAGGGAAATTTATCATGAGGAATTAGTGACAAATCAAACAGCTTACTATAATAGTGATCTGAATGCCCCAAATGGCCACAAAAATAATAGAAAGTTGAGAGCTTTTTATATTTAAAATCAGTCCAAAACCAATCATGGCCATCCCTACTGAGCTGTGTTCGACGTTTTAACGGATGTCGAACATCAACATGCACACGAATTCTCATATAGTCCCTCCATATTATATAGAAGTTCATGGATCAGATTTAAGATAAGTACCAATAAAATTTCCAACATCAGAACAATCCCTTTCCGAATTGAAGCCATTGAGTAAATTATGCAATTGCACCCAAAAATCAACCTTCGTAAGCTCCACAATTCTTGGATTTTCATTAGCATATAACTCCTTTAACAACAGAAGGTTATTTGAGAACGTCCAAAGCCCTCCTTTCAACACTCTTTCCTTATCTATATCATGAAAGAATTGACCTTTTAACACTCTTTCCTTATCTATATCATGAAAGAATTGAAATAAGAAAGCACTATTCCCAATTCCTTAATAATCAAACCCTTCACTGGCCTCCAAATGCTAGCCATGGTTTGCTGAAAAGATGGAAAATGGAGTGGTTTGTCTGCCAACAATATACCAACAACACAACACTTCCACTCTGTAGTAGTTTCATTCGAAGTATTCTGCTGTGAACCACTATGCACCACCACTCTACCTTAGGCCTCTTCCAAATTCAAGCAAGCATACACTTGTTCCAACAGATCCCCAGCCTAACCTCCTTCCGCTATTTTCAAAGGAAGAGAAAATGATGAAAAGGAATAAAGAAAGAAAAGAGCATGGATCGGTTTGGTTAATTGTTTACCAAATTTAAATTAATCAATTTATTGATTAAGTATTAATCGTTTACCGATCAATTTACATATTTATCAAATTAAAAATTTATTAGTTTACCAATAAATTTTTATTGTTTACCGAGAATGCACTGAATTGATGGATTTATTTACTATATAAAGGTTGTTTTTTTTTTTTTTGAAAACAAAATTTAAAACGGTATCTTTTTCAGTAAAATAGTAAATTAAACATTATGATTTTTTTTTTTTATACTTGTTTGAACCATTTACGGATTATCAAATTTTGTCTAACAAATTTACCCAGCCTTTACCATTTATCATTTTACCGATCCATTTTTACTAAGTTTGCACACCCCTGCCCGTAAAAGATTAAAGAGTTGGCATTTTATAGGCTGGGCAACATTAAAATCAAAACCGGAAACCCTCCTTCTCCTTTCCCTCTCACAAAACCCTAACCAGTGAGATTCCTAAATCTAGTCGAATTTAATTTCACGATTTTATCCCTATCTAGGACTTTACTTCAAAGTCTGCTAAGCAATCAGGGTTGGTCAGTCATATCGTTCTTTTCAGGTTTCTTTTTGTTTTTCTTGGTTTTTTGATAGGTTATTTGAAAGCTTGGCCAAACAGAGAATCAATCAATGGATTATGATTATGGTCAACACCGCACTCAGTTTGAAGGCAATTTAGTAGCTTTTAATGGCGAAGAAGAAGAAGATGACGACTATTATGACGACAATACGCAGCAACAACAACATCATTACATGGGAAGCAGTGCAGGAATCGGCAGAAAGCAATCCCTAAATCATCACAATCGTGATTCGACCTCCTCTTCTTCTTCTTCTGCAGGGTTAGTTTACATAGGTTTATTGTTTAGGGTTTTTTTAGGGTCTTGCAGCCCAAAAAATTTAAGCGTGATTTTCTTCTTATTCTTGTTGGTAGAAAACTCTTTGTTGGTGGTGTCTCCTGGGAAACTTCTGAAGGTACGGCTAAAATTTCTTTTGAACCTTTTTTTTTTAGAGTTTCATGATTTGAATATGTAGTTCTTGAAATGTAATTAACTGACTGTGTTCGCATTGTAATAGTTGATGTGCATATTTTTTTTAATGTGTATAGTTAAAATAATAATTGGATAACATAATCTCAAGTATAGTTTAAGTATTCCAGTCAATTTGTTTGTTTTATGGTGGGATGTATTATGTCATTCAAGAGACTCTAGGCTTTTAATCATTGATTTATCACCTTCTGTTTTGATTATATCATTCTGTTTTTAGCTATTAAATTGCATTGTAGGTAATAATTAATAAATCAATTTTGCATTGGGTTTTTTCTTCTTAGGTGGCGGGAAGGTAATAAGATTAGTATAGATATGTTGGTATTGTAGTTCTAATCCGTGCTTATTTAATTAACCTATTTTGAAAAGGAATGCTAGTCATCTTCCTTCGGAGATAGTGTGATCATTTGGATTGACCAGACGGAATTGAAGCGAACCGCCCAAACTGAAGTGACTGAACAGTAGATATGTAGAAACTCAACCAAACCAAATATTACAAACCCAAGTATTTGGTTTTATTAATTCAAAACTGAACCGCATTGAATAACCGAAATTTTGAAATTTACTTTCTAAAATGAATAACCGAAAACCGAGAAACTGAACTGAATTATTGCAAATGAGATATAAAACAGCAGAATTCTTTAAAGATTCATAGAATAACAATAGAAATACATAAACAACTAATGATTATAGCAACACAAATAATAAGAGTAGCAACAGAACTTGATAATGCTGGTTTAAAGTCCATAAGGATGTAAATTCCTAAAGATATCTTGGCTAGACACAACTACACAGTTAGCAATAGCCCACTGAAATCACCAATAAGTCCCTCATTGAGACTATTTTCAAAGTGTTACATTTCTCAAAATAAAAGAGATTCACTTATCTATGCTACCAAACTGCCACTCTTCTGTCTCCCGCCCTAACACACATATAGCCATGTGATTTTGTTTCAACTGTGAATTCTATATGTTTATACATATTCCCTGTTTGCTATAATTTAATGGTACAGCAGATCGAGTTAGCTTGATATTGTAACCCTGATTAGTTAACCTAATTTTAGACCAAGTACTGGAAAGATGATCATAATCGAAATTCTTGGCTGTAAATATGAATAAAACTAATATCTTCTGCATCTGATCATGTCATATAAAAGTAGTACATTTTCTCTAGAGAGAAGTGGAGAAGACATGCATGAGCTCAAAAATATTATCAACTGCCTAACAGCTCATTGAACAAATGTAAACGGTGACGTCATCTTTTAACTGTTTGATTTTTGATTAATAATAATAGAACATGCAACTATTAGAGGTCTCAGAAACTCAAAAAACTCAAAAATGGGAAAAAATTGAATGATAGATTCCATTTATATTTCTTTTTAAGAAAAAAAAAGTCAAAAAAGGAACCCAATAAAGCAAAATCTTTCTGTTTGTTACATAAAAATTGAAAAGGAAAAAAATTGAAAGAGAAGAATGCTCAAAGCTGCTTAGAGACATACAAATTAATAAAATAGAACAAGCAACAAAAGAAGAACTCGAAGGTAAAAAGAAATCGAAACAAAACATTTCTTTACGATGCGAAATTAAAACTAACCTTGGACAACGTGACTGCAAGAGATCGTCTAGCTGTTGATAGAGAGTTCGTTGTTCACTTGGCACGGGTCGGGACCGGGGTGCGACTGCGAGAGGAGAGGAGTGGAGCAGCGGCAGATCTACTGATTTAGGAGAGATAGATAGATGAGAGATTGTTTGGTTGTAAAAAAAACGAAGGATTAGGGATTTGATCCATTTGGGCGTTAGATGCCTTCTTGAATTCATTATGGTATTTTCTATTGATCAAACGCAACGTTTTGATAATAATCAAAATGCTTCTGCTTTTCAATTCGGTGTTTTGGTTATAACCTGTTGTCTTTGAATACTAATTGAACTGAAACTGATATACTGGACTTTTTTTTTATTAACCTATTTTGATTGAATTCCTTTGAAGACTGACCAAAGCCTAACTGAAAGCATAGGTTTGGTTCGGTTATTCAGTTTGGACTGAATATTGCTCACCCTATTAATAGGGTTTGAACCATTGTTTTAGTATTTTTTTTTTTTTTCTGGAATTTGAAAAACATAGATATTGGTTCTGTGGTGGGGGACTTGCCTTGCTTGATTGTATAGCAATGTAATATTCCAGAAACATGCCACACCCTGTGTGCTATGAAAATGAAATTCACATGAGTAATGGAGCTTGAGGTTAAGCTTTGCATGCTGATTCAATGCTCTACATGAATATATGCACATACCCACGTTTGTGTCATTTGCCTTTTGGTGGAAAAGTTTACATTGACTGGTATTTTTCTTTCTTATTTGCTTGCTAGAGTACATACAGTTACAAACATGGACATGCATAAAACGTCCCATGTTGATTACTAATAATGATTAGTGAAGTGGCTTCTATCTATTCTACCTGCTGTATCTTAATATCCAACGCACTATAAATATATATATATATGCTTTGGATAGAGTTTCAGCTCTTCTTTTACTATAAATATCTGTGTTGATTTGGTTCAGAGACATTCACTAATTACTTCAGCAAGTATGGAGAAATCACTGACTCTGTAATAATGACGGATAGACATTCTGGAAGACCAAGAGGGTTTGGATTTGTGACATTTGCTGACCCAGCAGCTGCTGATAGGGTTTTGGAGGAAAGCCATGTCATAGATGGCAGAGCAGTAATGTTCTTGTTCCTTGATGACACGTCACTGAAGTTCCCTTCAATTTTTGTTTACCTCTGTTTCTTTTCTTTTTTTTTTTTTTTTTTCCTGGGAAAAGTTTACATTGGACTGGTAATTTTTTCTTTCTTATTTGGGCCTTGCTAAAGAGTACAATAACAGTTAACAAAACATGGAGCATGCATAAAAACGACCCCATGTTTGATTACTAATAATGATTAGTGACGTGGCTTTCCTACGTCTTATTCTACACTGCTGTAATCTTACTATCCCAGAACGCACTAAATAAAATATATATAATATGTTGCTTTTGGATAGGAGTTTCCAGCTCTTCTTTTTTACTATAAATATCGTGTTTGAATTTGGTTCCAGAGACATTCACTTAATTACTTCAGCAAGTTATGGAGAAATCACCTGGACTCTGTAATGAATGACGGGATAGACATTCTGGGAAGACCAAAGGGTTGGGGATTTGTGATATTTGGCTGACCCAGCAGCTGCTGGATGAGGGTTATGGAGGGAAAGCCATGTCAAATAGATGGCGAAGGGCAGTAATGTTCTTGTTCCTTGATGACACTCACTGAAGTTTCGCCCCTTCAATTTTTTGTTTGACCTCTGTTTCTTTCTTTTTTTTTTTTGTTTTTTTTCCCCTTCCAAACATTTAATATTCTGGTGGGCATTCTTAATCTCAAGGTTGAGTGAAAGGAATATAAGAGAGGGTTTTCTTTTTTTTTTTTTTTTTTTTTTCCCTTCAAACATTTTAATATTCTGGTGCATTCTTATCTCAGGTTGAAGTGAAGAGGACAGTTCCAAGAGAGGATATGGAGGTTAAAGGGGTTGTAAGAGCCAAGAAAATTTTTGTTGGTGGAATACCACCAGCTCTTTCTGAAGGTAGCATTTTTACACTTTGTCTTGAATTTTATCATTTCCTAATTGTGCTAAATGGATTCTATATATTTTTTAAACCATCTGGCCTTTGTTTTCAGACGATTTAAGGGATTACTTTTCTGTTTATGGCAACATTATTGAGCACCAAATCATGTTGGATCATAAAACTGGGCGTTCTCGGGGCTTTGGATTCGTCACTTTTGAGACTGAAGATTCTGTTGAACAGATATTTTCAGAAGGCAAGACGCACGAACTAGGAGGTAAACAGGTAAACTATGATTCTTGATAAAATCGGTATTGATGTTGATTTTCTATCTGTTTTTGAAATGAAATAATTATAACTTGAGTCCTTTTCGTATATAATATTCAGGTGGAAATTAAGAAGGCTGTACCAAAAAGAGGTGGTGGTGACTATGGCTCTGCTGTGAAGCCCCATACTGGATTCAGTGATGGTGCAGGTGGATATGGTGCTGGCCATAATTCAGGGGCAATGTATGGTGGAAAAATGTCCAGAGGATATGGTGGGTACGGCGGATATGGCAACTACAATGGTTATGGTGGCTATGGTGGCTACGGAAGCAGTAATGGTTTTTATGGTGGCTACGGTGCTTATGGTTATGGATTTGGGTTTGGTGGGCCCATGATGTTTGCCAATGGTGGATACGGAGGCAATGGTTATGGTCCTCTGAGTGGGTATGTTGCCTCTGCCGGATATGGTAGTGGTAGGGGATATGGAAGAAGCAATGACAGTAGTAGTTTTGGCAATGGTAAGGGATATGGAAGTGGCGGTGCTGTTAATGGTGGCCATGGCAGTAGTAAGGGCTATGGAAGCAGTGAGAATGGCAGTGGTGCTGTTACAACCAGGTACCATCCCTACCAAAAGTGAAGGGAGTATTTATTCTGAAAGGGCTGCTGCATATTCTGTTGTTGCAAATGTTTGCTAACTGTATGAGGTTTACTTGGTTATAGAATGGTTTTTCTAATGTGAAAAGGCTAAAATTACAGTATAGTGTTGGATTTTGCAGTGCTTGTACTCTAGGATTATAATTATTGGTTTATTCAGGAAGTAATTGAAATTTGGAGGCGAAAAAAAAAAAAAAAAAAGTCTCTTGTTTCAAATCTGGTATTCACTAGTTATCCAATGTTGGCATTTTATGATCCTTTGCAAATCTATTCGTGGGCATCTATGGTCAGCTTGTTTATAAATAACCAAAGATACAAATATATATACACTCGAGTCTGAGGGTTGGGGGTGAAATTTTGAAATTGGAACTTTCTGTAGTTGTTTGATCTTTGCAGCTGCAAGTCAGGCAAAAGCTTCATTTGTTATGTGGAGTTCATTCTTCTACTATATGTCATGTGGCGATCGGATAGTTGAAAGTTTTCTTGCTAATATAGACGTATTGTTCAACTGTAAACAGTTGAGTTTTACTTTATAATTTTTTTTATTTTTTAGGGGGTTTTTTTTTTTTTAAATAAGGGTTAGCAGGACTAACGGCTTAAGTGGAGGGAAAATGCCCTTCTGCACAATCTCTGTTGGCTTCGCCATTGTATAACTTTAATCTCATGGTATTAATTTTAAGTTCAGGAGTGATAATAGCCATTTACTGTTGAAAAATTCATGAGATAGTCAAAAAAAATCATGCAAGAACACCCCAAAATAATGGTAAGAGAGCATCTTTGCTGTCTAGGCCCTAAAAATTAAAAGTAATAATAAGCAATGAGTTTAAGTATAATTATTGAAGATTAAGGGTGGTTAGTGATGTAATCCAAGAAAGATGGATAACAATAATCATAATAGACACGACTTGAATCCCATATTCAATTTTAGCTTGTGACGTGACATCCACACCTTCCTTGTACTATAGCTTGCGACAACATTGCAATTGAACAGAAAGTTCAAATCTTTATCATTATTAAAATATTTCGTAAAAGCATATAGCCAGCTTTCATGTAATAATTAATTCAACGTTACTTGTAATCTTCATGAATATTATCTCACCTAATAACCCTTGATTTGATCACTAACTAATTTGAAAATGAGTAAATCACTGGATTTAACAGATAATTTTTATAAAATCAAGAGTTCTAAGTCATAAAGATTTTTTTTTTATCTTAAGAAATAGCAAAATTAGAATTTTTTTTCATCTTAATATAAAAAATTTATATTATTAAGAAGTTGACCTTTTTACATAATTATGTCTTTATTGTAAAAGACAAATACAATAAAGACATAATTCATGTGTTATCCAAATCATAAAATATTATGACATTAAGCATAGTATGATATAAAGACAAAGACATGAATTGTCTTAATTTTATTTTTTATTTTTCATCTTTTATCCATAATGAAATGAAATAACTCTATGATTCATCCATTTCTATGATTATCTCTTTTTTTTTTTAATATAGAAAATGAAAACTATCAAGCAAAAGAAAATAAATTTTTTTTAGGGGAAAAAATAAAATAAATTTTAAGTAACTTGCTATGATTTTTTTTTTTGTCCTCCTTAATAAATAAAGCTTCTTAATTTAATATACATTTATTGCTTAATAAATAATTCATCCTCCTTAGTCTTATCCCCCAACTAATTCAACTAATTCATTAGTATCCTAATAAGTAATATGTTAGTTTGAGGTAGGAATGCTGATGTTATGAAAACTAAAAAAGGTTAATTTAAATCACAAAAGAAACTATTTGAATCTTGCCTTGAAATATATTTTTAATTTTTGTTCACTTAATTAGTAATTTCAATATCTACATCATCATAATTAAAATAATAAATTTTTAACAATTAAAAGTTTATAATTTAAAATTTTAAGATTAAAGCAAAATTTTAAAATTAAAAGTATAATTTAATTTAATATATTTAAAATAGTAAAAACGACTATGGTAGTAGTGAGAAGCAAAATGAGAACATACTAAACTGTAAAAATGAAATTTTACTCAAATTACCAATGAATTCAAAGACATGTCTGAACAAATTCTGGCCACCAATTAGAAATTATGGATTTTACAATAAAAAAACCTAAGATATCTAATCATTGAGATAGTGTATATATAGGAAATTTCAAGGCTTTTGAGAATAAAAACTGTATTTTCCTTAAAAAAAAAATAAAAGTTGAATTAAAAAAAAATTTAATATTGAGTTTCAATGAAAAGAAAAATTCAAAGACATGACACATAAAGGTGGAACATGGAAGCACATCATTAATGGAGGGGATCACAGTTTCAATAATCTAATGACTAATGACACTATGCTTAGAGATTGACATCAAATTAACTTTTCTTTATTATTTCAAAACATATTATTATTAGTAGTGTGAAATCAAAAACTAAAATCCAAACAACTATTTATAGTTGTAAAGTAAAATTAACAACAAACAGAAATTTAAATTAATTAGTTAATTAATAGCCTAAAAAATTATTAGCCATCTCAATTTTGTTTTTCCCTCTTTCAAAGACCAAAAAGCACACTATTTCTTCCACCTCTAATCACGCCATTTTGTAACAAGTAACAACCATTCTCTTCTTCTCTAATCTCTCTCTCTCTCTCTCTCTCTAGAAACTTACTTTCTCCCGCAATCAAGTAACTCCGTTAGACCCGGTCTATCCATCCATCTATCTATTTCCCTTTTTCCATTTTCATCATCTCTTCATTACCCTCCCTTTTTTTTTCTCTTCTCTCTCTAGGGTTTTGATTCTTCTACTCAATAATTTTATCCATCTCTCTGTATTTCTCGAAATCTTTAATCTTTGACAATGACTTCTGTCAGGCCCAACTTCTTGCCTCCTGGGTTGGTTTCCAATCTTCAGGAAGTGTTGTCAAGCAGAAAGGGTGATGAAGGTGACCAATCAAATGATAATAATGATAAATCAACAGAACCCTCTACTTCTACTTCTGTTGAAAGTACTACGGAGACTGAAGATAATTCTAAGCCTGTTGTTTTGGTTACCAATGGAGATGGGATTGACTCGCCTGGCCTTGTTTTTCTTGTTGAAGCTCTGGTTCGTCAAGGCCTATACAATGTCAATGTTTTGGCGCCTCAATCGTGGGTTTTCCGTTGCTTATTTATTTATTTATTTATTTATTGCTGTCTATTGTTAATTATCTTATCTGGGTATGTGGGTTTTCTCTAATTTTTGATAATTATTTTTTTAATATCTTATTGCTTAGGTGGGATGCCTTTAATTTTTGAATCTGTTTCATATTCTTTTCCCTTCACTGTTAATAATGGTATAGAATATATTTCCATATTCTTTTCTCTTCATCTTCTTTTGCTCTTGTATTTTTTGCATTTGTTTTCTGTTTTTGAAACAGATTTTATGTCTGCCTTTTCTCTTTTCCAGCACAGGTATTGAAAAATTGGTAACATCTTGTGATTTCTTTAGTTCTTGAATATGTTGGTTTAGGGACAAATCAGTATCTGGTCATTCTGTTACTCTGCGAGAAACAATTGCTGTGACTTCTGCTGAAATCAATGGTGCCACAGCTTATGAAGTTTCGGGTAGGCTGCTTTTTCATTTTACTCTAATATTCCTTTGTCCAATATTTTTGCTAATATTATTTAATTAAGATACTAAAATTAATCGTGAAGTTGTTGAACATGTACAACATCTAGTATTTTGAGATGTTTTCTTGATTTCATTTTATGGTTTCAACTTTCAACACAGTGATGTGGTTTTTGAGTTTCCAATTTTACCTGCGCTTCAAGGGCTAGAATTTTAATGAAATGATATCGAAATGAGAAAATGTAATATCTTAGCTTGAAAAAGCCAGAATGTATACCTTTTACTTTCAATTGCTTATAATAATAAGATTTGGTGATGGTTTTTGTCACACAGGGACTCCTGTGGATTGTGTTTCATTAGCATTGTCTGGAGCACTGTTTTCTTGGTCGAAGCCTTTGCTGGTTAGCTTTAATATATTGTGCATTCGGTTACAGATAGCTTTTGCAATTAATAATTTCTTGAGAAGTTATATTAATTTAATTTTCAGGTGATTAGTGGAATCAACCGGGGATCAAGCTGTGGTCATCACATGTAAGCAATCTGAAGAGCTTTGTTCGCCATTATATATTATATTGTTCGACTCTCCAATAGTGTGTCAGTGAAGGTCTATGCCTCTACATGTTCTAATGGTTAAATTTGCTCGTCTGAGTATGTCTGTCTTAGTTGTAACTGATAGTAGTATTATCAATACATCTTTCATATGGATTTTGTCTTTTTCTTTTTCTCCTAACAGTCCCATTTAATTCCAATCTTTGTTGGAGGCTCAATGGTTGATTTGTTTTTCGAAAATCCACCAGGTTTTACTCTGGTGTTGTTGCTGGAGCTCGAGAGGCATTAATTTGTGGTGTCCCTTCTCTGTCAATATCGTTAAACTGGTGAGTTAACGGTGTTGACTTAGTGCCTCTTTTCTCCATATTGTGCATAAGCAATTTCTTAGAATTTTAATTGATTATAGGAAGAAGGATGAAAGCCAGGAAAGTGATTTTAAAGATGCAGCTGCTGTATGTCTGCCATTGATCAATGCTGCTATCAGAGACATTGAGAAGGGGAGTTTTCCAAAGAGCTGTTCTCTGCATATCGAAATCCCTACATCTCCAACTAAAAATAAGGTGAGCCTTTTTTATATATACTTTTTGCTGAGAATTTAACAAGGCTTCTGACCGTTAATAATATGCCTCCTGACTTTTAGACCATTGTCATACCAAATATTGGCAGTAATTCATGAAGTTATCTGATCATAAATATTTTGTCAGTACAAACTGGATCCACTTATCTACAGTTGATAAGTTGGGGGCCTCTGCATTTTTTTGGAGGAAAGTTGCCTTTAGTCAATTTTGTTGATCCAGTTAACCAAGAGATGAATGCTGAAGTGCTTCCTCTGCTGGTCCATTTCTATGCAGCAAAAGTTATTAAGGCAGCCTTTTGTGATAGTATATCTTTAACTGCAGAAATAAGCATGACTACTCTCTCTTTCAGAATCTTGCAATTGGAAGTTTGGATGGCCACAAGAAAGATGGTTTTGGAGAGACATATATGCTTTTGGAATATTTAGTTTGAAGCTTTAGGTGGAATCCATGTCTTTCGGTGTCTCTCGAAGCTTTGTTCAAGAAATATTATGGAACATCTATTTGGAGGCATTCTCTATTTAAACTTGAAGCTACCTCTGTTTTCCAATGCTAAGCGAACAGCAAATTGAGCTTTTGAAGCTATGATTATCAGACATAATTTCATTGGTACAAAAATGTGATTCATCAGTTTTATATACCAGCTTGCACTGTTGGTTCCAAAATCTATACATAGTCAATGGGGTCATCAGCAGCTGTTTTGTGGTCATCCTAGCTGCTTATGGAAATTCTATAATTATTAATTTAGTTTCAGCAGTTACCATTATCACAACTAGTTAACCATTGACAACGTGTGTCCATTTATAGACAGTAGTTTCTTGAACTGTTATTATAAGGTTATTGTGGAGTAAATAATTTATTTGTTCGAGCAACACTGAGACAAAGGGGCATGTGAATCCTCTAATTGGGAAAAGAATCATTGTCAGCAATTTATTTGTTGTAGTTATTAGAATTGTAGTGTAGAATGTTGAGCACAAGAAGATTAAGTGGGGAGAAGTAGTGAGAAAGGATTTAGTAACAAATCAATCTTTCAAAAAGTGTAGTTCTAAACTGAGTAGAATGGAGCATTAATATACCCAAACGTAACTCCTTTGGGATTAAGCTGTAGTTGAGTTGGGCTATTACTTAATAGACAATTAATTAAGGTTCTCTGGTGGGAGTGTGTTAGCAGTGGCTTTGGAAAAAAAAAAGGATCTTCTTCTGTAATTAGAAAGCTGTTTAATGATATTCAGCTTATAGCATCATTTCCTTAAAGTATAAAATGCAAGTTCTAGACTTCATCCTCTAATATGAAGTTGTGTCCTAGGAGATGTTTATATTCAGTAAAATGCTTTTACTTGTTGATAGAATACACTATGGTAACACTAAGAGAAAACATGTTGTTTGTGATTTGGATAACAACATGTTGAGATATGCCTTCTTAAAGGCTTGTATATGATACCTTCAATTTCCAAAGCCCATATAGGTATATCTTGTCAAATATGTTGATGTGATCAGGACTAATTGGCATAAAGTAAGCTTTGACCATTGGGTTGGAAGGCTTATCTGCTACTCAATTGGAATGACTTTTGGGTTTAATGATAGATGAAAGGAAATAGTGGAGCCTGGAAGTGCAACATGCATATATTGCTGAATATGCATGAAAAGTCTGAACTCTGTTATTTCTGAGATTAATAGTAGAAAAATTGGTGCACTTTTAACTATCTTTTGATAAAGTTATGCACAGTAAATCTGCTCTGATCAACACTGATCCTTGTTATTTGGGCAGCAATTGGCTGTCTATTGAGTAGTTGATTGCAGGCTTATATTGCAAGACTAAGTCAATCTATATCATAGATGGAGGATTATGCATTTACATACAAATAGTTTTGCACACATATATCTTAGGGGTCTTTAGGCAATTCCGTTACTAAATTATAATGCAACTCGTACAGAGTTTAAACATTATTGAGCTCTATTTTAAATGTTCTTTGAGTTTTATTTTGTTCCAGTCTCAACATACAATCAAGGTCTTCATATATTGTCATTAGTCACCATCCTCTGCCTTACAGACAGACTTTCTTGATTAATGAGCTCTTGTTAGTTTACTCTCTTTATCTCTCTGCTGGTTGGCCACTCTTCCTCTCGTCTTCCTGCTTCTTCTATTTTTAATTTTCCATTTGTTATTTGTTTTGGTGATACTGAGAGGAACACTCGTCCATATTTCTGTGAAGAAGTTCTGGCCCTTTGTCTGACATGATAAAATAGCATGATGCTTTACCCGATGATTGGTGATAATTTTTCACTTCTCTTGTGTTTACAGCACATTTTCTGTGGTATGCAAGGGATGCCTTCAATAAAAGATAATGATGCCTTTTCGATCTGAGTTCTAATTTAGCTTTTCTGTTGTCCTCTTTGTGCTGTGCCACATGCATGGAATGTTGTTTCTTTCATTCTTTCAGTTCATAACTTTTAGCTAATACTATTATATGCTCACCCTTTCTGGCATATGTTTTTAACTGAAAGGGTTTCAAATTGACTAAGCAAAGCATGTGGAGATCCTCGCCTAGCTGGCTAGCTGTTTCAGCTAACCGGCATCCTAATGCTGGTTTCATGTCTAATCAACAGAGTCTTGGCATCCAGCTTGCTCAGCTTGGGCGAGATGCCTCTGCTGCTGTGAGTAGCTTGCACTTTGTAATTTCTTTTGGAAAGGACAATTTTTTGCATATCTCTCTCCATTGATGGAATTGTTTCTTTTGATTTTCTCAGGGTGCAGCTCGCCGTTTGACCACACAAAAGAAGAGTGTGGTGGAGATTGAATCAGTTGGGGCTGCTGGGAAATCTGATGCTGGTCGAGTGAAAAAGTATTTTCGTCTAGAGGTAAAGAAAATTCCTGTACTAGTATTATTTTCAGAAAAACGAGTTAATTGGCCTTTCGGCTGTATCAAGAATGTTCACATCACTTGTTTTAGTAGGACGAATAACTTCAGCACCTAGGTGTCCAGTAGGAAACTTGCGTCTTTTGAATTATTATTTTTGTGGAGAGCTTCTTTTGCCCAGTTCTTAGTCACGGAATTAACTAGCTGTTATTATTATTATTATTATTTTTTTTATTTTTGTAGTCAAGATGTATTAAATTGTGTAGTTGACATGGAAGTACAAAAAACTTGTTTTCAGCATATCTGCAATTACTTTTTGGGGACCGAAATGTTTTGTGGTACAACATACAAATTTTCTCAATATTCTATTTTGTCATCTTGATATGTTTAGTTCTTATATGCTGATTGACCTCCCGTTCTTTGCCCCTTTTCCGTTGGGCCGTTAAATATCGATGAACTAAGTTAACATAGCTTTAACTTCAGTTTCAGGACAAAGAACAGGCAGATACAAATGAAGATCTGGATTTCAGGGCGCTTGAAAATGGATTTGTAAGTTAAAATTCTGTGCTTTTGATGTTAAAGTATTTCATGTCCATGTTTAAATCCACCAAGGTATCATTTTTTTTTTTTTTTTTTTTTTTTTAAAATATCGATGAACTAAGTTAAACATAGCTTTTTAACTTCAAGTTATTCCAGGACAAAGAACAGGGCAGATACAAATGAAGATCTGGATTTCAGGGCGCTTTGAAAAATGGGATTTGTAAGTTAAATTCTGTGCTTTTGATGTTAAAAGATTTATGTCCATGTTTAATGCCACCAAGGTTATTCATTTTTTTTTTTTTTTTTTTTTTTTTTAAATTTTGAAAATGTTTTTTTTTTTTTTTTTTTTTTTTTTTAAATTTTGAAATGTAGGTGTCTGTAACTCCTTTATCGCTTTTGCCACATATCGAGCCAGAAACTCATGTAGCAGCTGCAGATTGGATATCTTCTGCACTTAAAGAGGACCAATAAACCACATTGACTGAGAGAACCAGCGATTTTGTATACATTTCCTGTTGTGTTAATTAGTTATTAATTGATTTGTGATTTTTGCATTTGCTTTTTTAAAATTTTACCCTTAATTTATTTTTCCCAAATATTTTGGTGGAGTTGGGTTTGTATTTAGTAGTTGCCTACACATAAAATGTAATTTAAAAATGGTCAGGTCCTAATTGATCGACCTTGCCTTTTTCTCTAACTGCTCTTTTTCCTTTTATTTTTTTTTTGTGGAATTGTATCTTGTATTTGTTTCTTAACATGTGATTCATGATTTATTGATAGCAGAACTAATTGAGACAGTGAATGCTCCAAATCATTAATTTACTTTGCAACTTATTGTGAGATTGAATGTGCCCTCTCTGTCTTAAATAAACTGATTATAATGAACAGACAAAAGTATTAAGTTCAAGGATACGTGTCGGTTTTGAATGAGTAATAATTTTTTTTTTATATATAATCAATAATTATTATTTTAATTTTTTGAAATTTTGGAATTTAGATAAATTATTAATGTTTTAAAATTTTGGTATTTAGATATATTAAACTAAGGCAAATATAATTAATTTATTTAATAGTTTAATAAAATTCGGATAATTTTAATAATTTTTTTAAGTAACCTGAAATTTCGGCTGTTTAGGAACGAGTATGACAATGAATGGCTAATTATCCTTTTCTCAGGGAAAAAAAAACAAGAAATAAATGGCGGCGAGCACATAAAGGCGCACTAACTAATTAATAATGGGCTGAATTAGCTACTTTGGGCTCCCGGTGGATGATAATGGGCTCCATGAAGCCCAACCTCTATTCTAGCTCTCTCCGTCTCTTCAAACTAACAACCGGAGCACCGTCTTCGCTAGGGTTTAGTTTTGAGAAAAAAGGGATCATTTTTCCGAAACAATGGCGACCAAAAACCTTATTCGAACCGGAGCTTCACTGATGAACCGCATGTTCCTATCGAATCCTGTTCTGCATCAGAACCCTAACACGACTCGTCAAGTTGCATCTCACGGCTTCGAAATTACTCCTCAGCTATTCCCTTCTCTCTCCAAATTCCAAATTTCTCTCAATTTCCCTCAAAATGACGCCCATTCTATCAACAGGCTTTCCAATGAAGGGTTTTTGCATCCCTGTGGTCTGCCTTCTCTCGGTTTCTTCTTGCCCGAAGGTACTTTCTGTCTTGTCTATCAATATTCTTTTTAATTTATGATTTTCTATTAAAGTTTAAGGGGTTTCGATTGTTTAACATTGTTGGTACCGAAAATGTTGGATATCGTATTTAATTGATCTTATCATTGTCAATTAGTGGATGCCTTCTCTAATTAGTGGATACCTTCTCTGCTTTCGTCACTAATTACATATTTAGCAAGAGAATTTGATAGATTTCGATTTTCTTTGAGCAATAATTGATTGCTGATGTGATGTCAGTTTATATAACTAAATTTTTTCTGGTTTTTGCATTTTGTAATTAGTCAATCATTAGACTTTCAATTTGGGTTATGCCTTTCTCATTCATAAAGGGTGTCCTTAGTTCACAAGACATCCTGTTTGTGCCTTTCTCATTAATAACCGGTGATATCTTTCATGCACCACTATGGTATACTCAATTTCTGGATCATTCTTTCCATTATTGAATACAGAAGCACCATTGTGTATAGTAGTTACATAACGTTTTCATGTTTAGTCCTTTGGTGCTTTTATTTTGTGATTAGAAGTACATGATTCATTTGAATTAACATGTAATTGAATTATTTTATGAGGTATAACATTTTTATCAGAATCCAAATAGTTCAGATAAAGCCTTTTCTGTTTCACTCCTGAATTCTGATCTTTCGACAGTATGCAATCAATAATATTTAGATGTAAATTTCTAGATTCAAATATGAAGTTGTCTTAATTGTTAAGATGACACGTCGAGGATTATATAGACATGCTGATATGGTCCCTGGAATACATATGCTTACCAGTTAGGAATCTGAATATTTGTTGGATTTATATACTGGTAGATAAAATATTATGATTTTGGGGTGAGTAGAGGAAAAAGGTTGTATGTAATTTTGTTCCTTTAACCAAATATGAGTCACAGTTTCTTATTTGATTCTACAAAGTAGAAAATCAATGTGGCCCTGCTCTGGCTTATTTAAAATTCTTCAACCACAGTTCTTGCAAGCTTTTGAATGAGATTCAGAAGTCAGATATATCACTTGAGGTTCTGCTAAAAACATGAAAAGAAATTACTTTAGAAAGTTTCTTGCAAATAAATAAATGAAAAAATAAAATAAAGTAGTGTTTAGCAGATAGCATTTTGGTTTGCAAAATTGGTGTTATGAAATGTAATTGTGGGTAAGTTACTATGTTTGTACTCAACAAATTCAGGCTAAAAGTTTTAGGATGCTGGGATTGGTCATTGATCAAGTAATCACACTGTTTTCTTTTGCTTTTCAGCTAATGCATAACTGCTCTGATATTCTTCAGGTGATTCATCAAGTGAGCCAATGTTCTTGATTAAGAGGACATTCCAACCTAGCATCCTTAGGCGTAAAAGGAATCATGGTTTCTTTGCACGGTATCTCTCACCTCCTTCCCGCAACTGGACTCTTGAATCTTGATTTTCCATGAGGAATAGGGCTTAGGTTAATTGTTAATATTTGGAATTTCAGATAAAGAAATCATGACTTTTGGTGCAAGCACAAAATTTGCATGAGAATATTGGAATAGGTAGCTTTTTGTTGAGTATCTTGTGAGGCGAAATTAACTTCCCTGATGCATAAAAAACTCTTCTTTCATTAAAATGTGGAGTGATAATTCTTGTGTTTAGTGATTTCAAGCCATCATTTGGCCCTTGCATGCCTATCAGCCACAGATCTGCCATGTGCCTTTTCTGAATGGTCTTTCTTCTTTTCCTTTTATGCAAATCTAATTCACAGGGGTACATTTACCTATATGTGTGTGAACTTGCTGAAATTCGTTCACTTGTGTGATTGATGCAATTTGGTATGTGACAGCAAGGCAACCAAGGGTGGTAGGAGAGTTATTGCACGAAGAATAGCAAAAGGTCGGTCAAGGATCACTGCTTAGCATCTCAATCAATGAATTGTTAAATTTCTGCAATTAGAAGCTGCCCTTTTTTCATGGTATGACTAAGCAAATTAGAAAAGACATTTGCTCCTTTTGGTGGTTCAGTCTACCCTTAATTCCTTGTAGGACTACAATGCAAAGTTAGTTTCAGTCTTTCATTTGTTTACATTATGATTATTCCTCCTCTATATAAATATTTGTACGAGTATGTTGATGAAACTAAGAATGTGGTGAACATAAATGTTTCTTGATAGTAGTAGCAAAAAGGCTTGTTTTCTTAAATTATAACCTCTGTTTTGGTTTGTATTTGTGGAGATGCTTGTTCATATTAGTGGTGTCTTTGGAAGGGACAATGACCTCTAATGATGGTACTGTACTCTGCTGGGTTAAAAGTTCCAATTGCGAAGCATATGCAAATAATATAGAGATACTCTGCTGGGTTAAAAGTTCCAATTGCTAAGCATATGCAAATAATATAGAGATACTCAATTTTGCTTTCTAGTTAGTGATTCATATATTGTAGTCTAATCAACTTGTGAAGGTACTCTTGTCACTTGTCGGTACACGGTAAAGTGTATTTGTTATGCTGTTCTGCAATTTTAGAGTCACTATAGAAGACACTGATGAGCAATTTGGTGAGCTTGTTACACTGTTGGTTTAACTTGATATTGTTTTTTTTTTTTTTTTTTTTTCCCTGCCTGTTCTGCCCAATTTTAGATCACTATGAAGACACTGATGAGCAATTTGGTGAGCTTGTTACACTGTTGGTTTAACTTGATAATTGTTTTTTTTTTTTTTATTTTGCTTCCCATTTATTGACTTTGTATAATGGCAAAAAATTTATAATTATTAAGTGAATAATCAACATTGGATAATCTCATTTGCTATTGATTGTCTGTGAAAGGTAGGAAGGAAGTCTGTTATATGCAACAGATGGTGTAAATGCATTGAAAGCAGAGTTTTTTTTTTTTTTTTTTTTGTCCCATTTATTGACTTGTATAATGGCAAAAATTTATAATTATTAAGTTGAATAATCAACATTGGATAATCTCATTTGTTTGATTGTCTGTGAAAAGGTAGGAAGAGTCTGTATATGCACAGAATGGTGTTAATGATTGAAAGCAGAGTTGAACTTTGACAATAATTGAATACTTTGTAAACAAGCTACCCTCTGTAAAGGAATAAAGGGTCACAAATCGTGCATTGAATGGCCCACTTAAACATGTATAATATTATTCGACAAAAAACATGCCGGCGTTTGTGAAATAAAATACTATATGGGCAACCTTCAGTCATGTCTAGTATTTGCCTCCCATAGTACAAGCAGCCAGGACTCTTCTTCTACATTATCTTGTGGAGTCTTTCCCTTGTTTCCTACTAATCAAATCACCTTTTATTGTAGAAAGAAAATCTGTGTCTCCTATTTTGTGTATTAGGGATTATTGGGTCTTGGGAGTATCTTTGTGCACTCGCTGCTGTTCAATAATGCAAACGTTATGAGTTGTACGAGGAAATTATTACTTGCACTTATAGACTCGTCCTATAACTATCTCATCATTGGAAGACAAAAACTGAAATAGCTTTGTTCCAATCTCAGTGGATAACCTTGCAGCGCTACAATTTATTATTGATGAACCATGAAAAATGAGTATGTATATATACATAAAAATCTCTCTTGAAAGTTAGTTTAGTTATCTTCATGGAGATTCTGAAGATGGATGATGAGTGTAAATTACATTACATACCATTTATGTCGTGCTTGTATATGTGAAATGAAGTTATTAATTGTTGCTAGCTGCGTTAGAGTACGAGGAAAATGAAGACAGCTTGAGAATGAAGAATAACTGAAGAAGGTGTTTGACAAGGTCACAAAAGATAAGCCTTTATAGTACATCTATTTTTGGGCTATGTATGAGTTACATTGTGGAGAAAGAAAGGCAGTGATGTAACCAAACAATGACAAGTACTAGTAGTTAGCACAAGCCTTTCTTCTATCAAGTCTTTATTATTGTAAATTGATTAGAGTTGCAACTTTCTTGTTTTTTGCAGTTTTTGAAATTCTTTCATTTACTTAACTTGTAATGTAAAATTGTTTTTTAACTTTTATATCATCTCCAATACTTACAAAGTTGCACGACACAATAAACTAATCATAAAAGTCATACAAGAAAACACCTCCCTTCACTGTCTATGTACCCTTAAAACAGTTAACAACACATCACCATACATTCAAGAATTAGTTAACCTCTATCCTAAGCAACAAAATCAAATAAATAACACTATTTTCCTAAAAAAAAAAAAAAAAGATAAATATTAAATGAGAGAGAAAGAGAGAGAGCTTTAGAAATAAGATAAACGTATATATGCAAATATAGGGTACTTCACCATAAGAGGATTTATTGAGGTGGAAATATTGTAGGTGAGAAACATGTCAAAAGAGCCTACACATATTTATGAAACCTCAGGAAGCATTACTCACTGAAGAGCCTGAACTAGTAACATCTAGGTTTTCCCATAAAGAGTTGCACTCACCATCTTATGCATATATCAGGAAATAAATGCACTTCATGTATCAAATGAATCCATACACAAACACCTAAAAGGAAGCCCACCCCGTAGCTAGGCATCCCAACAGCAGCTTGAAGGAAGATTATTATTATTGTTATTATTATTATTATTATTAGGGTTTGCACCAAATTGACCACTTGAAAATGCTGATGGTGAAGATGATGGCAATGATGACATGATTGCATCAATATACTCCATCTGATTGCTTGGCACGTGCGGGTCATGTGGATAAGACCCTAATTGAAAACATGGAAGTCTAGCAACAAGTGGGTCAGTTACTACTACTTCTTGTGAACCGGATGATGATGCTGATGATGGAATAATATTGCAGCAAATATTACTGCTCATCCCTTCAATTATCTCACATAGTTTTGGCATCATTGGCATCATACAAGCTTGATTCTCATGACAACCCATTAGTGCACTAATACTTTGATGATCATTAGCAAGCTTCTGATCTTCATCTTGATGATGATCAACGTAATGTGGGCCAGCTCCATTGTTCAGAATTTGATCTTCTTGATGATTTGGGTCAAGGTGTTGATGTAAATAAGGGAATGCCCACATTGGATCAAAAGAAGATGAAGAATCACTATTATTATTTTGTGGTGGTGGTGAGATTATTGAAGGTGCCAATTGAGATAAATCAAAATTATTGTAACTGCTATTATTATTGGGTTGGTTAAATTTGTAATCTCCCAATTGACCAAAACTTTGTAGCATTGAAGTTGGGGAAGGAAGGTATAGTTGGTCCTGTTGAGCACTCAAGATGAGATTAGGGTTTGCACTCAGAGAAAAGAAAGCTTCCTCAGCACCATTAGGGTTATGAACATCAGTAAATGCAGCTAAAGCAGGAACATCATGAGATATTAGCCTCTTCTTTATACTAGAGTTCCAAAAATTCTTCACTTCATTATCTGTTCTTCCTGGTAGATGCTTAGCTATTTGTGCCCATCTGTTCAAAAAAAGAAAATGTGTTCATATGATTTATTTTTGCAAGAATATATATAAAATATGTTTACCGATAATAAACTTTAAGATTTGTTAACTAGATTTTGGCAGAGGTTTCAACTTTGTAACAAGCTCATAAATTAGATTTTAGACTACTAAACCAAAGTTGATTGGTTGGTTATAAATTAAAGTAAATTTTTTTATTAATTATGTAAATATTATACCTATTTCCAAGAATGCTATGAAGTTCAACAATGAGGGCTGCTTCTTGAGGAGAGAAGCTTCCACGTTTTAAGTCAGGTCTTAGATAATTTATCCATCTTAATCTGCAGCTTTTTCCACATCTCTGCAACCCTGCAATATCAAAGAAAAAGCCAAAGGAAGGAGAAGGAGGAGGAGGAGGAGGAGAAGGAGATGGAGAAGAAGGAGAATTAAAGAAAGGAAAATCAATCAAATACACCATGGAATTTGAACCTCAAAAAATAAAAAACACTTGGAAATTTATTTACTTATTTATATATACACACACACGATTTGGTTCAAAACGATACAAGAAATTAAATTATAAAATATAGAATTAATTAATAAAAAAATATAGAAGGGCGATGATGGATCCAGAAAATGATGGTTGACCTATATAAATATTAAAGATATAAAATAATAATTAACAAATGACTAGTGTATGTGTGTCTGTGCATGTCTCTGTGTGTCAGACAGAAAGAAATAGAAAAGAAAACAAAAAAACATATCATACCAGCAAGTTTAGGAACAGAACTCCAGCAGCCATGGCCATAGGTTGAAATGTAGTTGATGAGTTTCTCATCTTCCTCTGGTGACCACAGTCCTCTCTTCACTTTCTGTTTGTTACAGCAGGAGTGATGCCCCATCTCTCTCTCTCTCTCTCTCTCTCTCTCTCTCTCTCTCTCTCTGTGTAAGGAATAATATTATACAATACCCAATGACAGACCAAAATCAGTAGTGCCCTGGTTTTGTTTATATAAAAGTGAAAAAGAGCTACAGAGAGGTTAAAAAGAAAAAAAAGACTCTTCTCTTTCTTCTCCTCTTCTCTTCTCTCTCCTCTTCTCTTCTCTACCAAGTAGTACTGGACTGGACGGGACTGCACTTTTAGATTACATAATTTAAAAAAAAAAAAAAGAAAAAACTGTTGAAATAAAAAGATGGAGATGAGTATTAAGAGAGAGGGAGAGAAGAAGAAATAAATGAGAGGAGCTGTACAAAGGTGGGGGCCAATTAGAGTTTGTGGGCAAAAGGCTAAAAGCTGCAGAATCATACTGTGAGAGCTGTATGGCTTATAATGGGATCCTCCCTTTGCAATTTCAGGGTTAGGGATGGGGTTACCAATGCCACGTGTCATTCATGCAATGGTTTGTGGGGCCCTTTTTGTCTTCTTTGGTCCCACCCTTTGGACTTATCGTCCGCGTCCTACAGGGATTTAATCAACAGTTTCATATCATCTCATGTCATGGAATGGAATTACACACTATCATATCAGTGTTTCTCACCTCACCCTTTCTTTTTTCATTTCATTTTATTTATTATATTATTTAGTAACAATGTAACATCATTAAAAAAATTATATATACATACATATACATATCTCACGTGTATATATTCAGATAAAAAGATTACCTGTCTACTTGTTGGTTACAACGAAGTGGATGATGAAGTCATCTCATCTGACGATTGTTTTTGCGTTTATGGCTTTGACTTCATGATTTTTTATTAGCGGGATACATAAATTTAATTTTAAATTCAGTTCGTAGCTTTAAATTAACTTTAAAATACAAGGATATTACAAAATTAAAATAATAAAATTTACGAATATATTTATGTATTTGGCAGTTTGTTTTTCCACAAGTATTTTCACTTCCTTTTAGATAGATGTTAGTAACCCTTCATTCTCAACAACAAATTCGATTATTGGAATTTAACATTTCTAAAGAAAATTACTTTCAGAGAAGAGTTAATATTGAAGGATGAATTATCTTATTTGGATGAGAATAACAATTTTTCCAAGAAAGTTAAGTAATTACGTTGGATTTAATTATGAAAAAGTCTTTTAAAAAATAATAGATTACATTTTTATTCATAATTTAAATATCTTTTATTTAATTAATCTGTAAAGTCATATGAAATTTAATATTAAATGTTTCCTATTTTTTAATATGAAATTTAATTTTCCAATCATTTTTCTCAAATCGAATTCTTATCATTATTATAGAATAAGACTCATGATTTTCATTAATGATATATACATTTTTGTATATATGTAGTATTTAAAATAAAAAAGAAGTCAAAACATCTTAATTATATGTAAGTGTCCAAACTTATGAATTCATAAATAAAAACATCTTTATCTTAAAAATTAATATTAAAGTTTAGATTCTGATTAACAAAACAGTGTGAACAGTCTTATGTATTGAACAAATAACCCACCAATTAATGTCTCCCTCCAACCTCACAAAAAGAGTGAAACATAAAAATAAAAATGTATATATAAAATTTCTAACATATCTCAGAGGAGTTTTTGCAGATTTTCTTTTCAAAAGACCTCAAAAGTGCAAATGATAAGACATGAATTGCCCTACTATTACTATATATATATATATTCCGATCGTAAAGATTTATTGATAAGAATTATTATTTATTATATATATTGCTTCTTTTATGCACGAGAAATATTTGTATTACTATATTGAGTCTGCTAAAGAATGCCCAGAGAGAGAGAGAGAGAGAGAGTGATTGCTGCCTGAAATTATGAGGATTAAAGGAAGTGAAGGAACCCAAAGAATATATATATTGCTTTGAATATTTCATGAGGAATCTGATTTTTACTTATGGGCCTGCTTACAGCTGGAATTTTCTTTCAGTGGATAGAAATATATATATAAACATGGAATTGGACATGAAAGGGTTTGCTCTGGTTTTTAAAGAATGGAGAAGGTAGGTCATATGGATGCATAAAGAGGGTGTCGCTCACATAGAAAAAGTAATTATGAGAAGATGCTTTTTCTGCTACAAAATTTCATAATTTTGGCACTGAAATTATGATCATAGAAGCACAGAAATTGGATCATTTTTAGATAGAAGAAACCGACATTACCATCAATAATCATTACTATTAGTGTTTGTTTTGACTTGCAAGTCAAAAAGATTAATATAAATCAACACATTTTCATTTACTTTAATGAGTAATGATGAATATTGCATTGCCCCATTTCTTTCTTCTTCACATATTCTTCAATTGCTTTATCGCTAATTAATTAATCAATATATTTAACAATTATAAGTGTGTTTTCAGTAATTGCGATTTTGGGATATTGGTAAGGTTTGATCGCAGCTTTAATTATTTGTTTCTAATTAGATTTTTCGACAAATAGAGGATTATTGAAATAATGAAGATAGTCATTAACTCAATAATTATACACAAGACGATGGGATATTAATATTTAGTCCTACAAATTACAATCAACTCCTTTAATTATTTAGTATTTTATCAACAGCAGCAGCCTATATATGACACTGGAATGGGCAAGGAAAAAGAAAAGACAATGACAGATTTCACTGACGAGCATCGATGATTACAAATTATTACCAAGTCATATTATTGGTTTGGAGACATCAAAGAAATTGATTTTTGAAGATTAATTAACATGAGATTAACCCTAATTACGTTAATCAAGTGTGTTTTGATGGGTGTTCTCTTAACTACGAGTGTTTTTCACTAATTTGGTAAATTCAGGAGAATGTTATCCCTATTGTATAGTCTACAATATTATTTCGGCCCATTAGACATTCCAATGAATTAAAAAAAAATATATCCCAATTACAAAATTAAATTAAACCCTAGAACACAAATTATAATAATCTCAGGATATTTTTTTTTCTTTTTCTAAAAGTTCAATACTTCTCTCCCCATGGAATATCTGCCTCTACTCATATTTAAAAGTTGGAACAAAAGAAAAGAATATTTGCAAATATTCTTTTCTCTTCTTCAAGAAACTTGGGAGTTTGGTACTACTTTAGGGATTCACTTAATTATTCCTCAATGCATTATTCTAATATTGTCAATATGCATTACTATTACTTTCAAAGAAAAAAGAAGAAGAAGAAGAAAATTTCCAACCACTTGCCTCATATTTCGTTGACAAGGTGTTTATGTAATGCTTTCATCTTCATGTAATAAAAGTAGTATTTAAGTATATATAGCAAAAGTTTAAGTATCAAAATATATCTTCTTTTTATCCATTTTTATTAGAGGATTTTTAATTAGAAATCTTAGTTAGTTGGCAATTAAACTCTTATGGCTATGAAATATATTGTTAATTATGTCATGGAAATCCCAAGTAAACCCTAATCTTGTAAAATGGTTAAGTTTGGTAAGTAAATAAAAAAACTTAAAAATGGATTAATATTCCAAAATTATGTATTTATTTCCTTGTGGTACTGAGTGTTCAAAAATAGGTGAAAGTGATAAGTTGTTCTAACAAACCTATTTTGGAGTAACTTGTGTTTTCCTCCATCTAGTTGTGCAGCTACTGGATAAAGACAGTAGAATGAATCTGTTAAGCTTCTTGTCATTTGTTTCAACTTATTGCTAATTTAATCTTCCATTTTGATTAGCTATTCAAAATATAAATAGCAATCACAAGTTGTGGTAGCTCTTTTTTTTAGTATATATAATCTCAAATTCCTAATTAAAGTAATTAAATTCATCCAATTAAATTAAATTTGTAGAGATTAATAATAATAATAATGAAATAAGAATGATAATAAGCTGAGGTGTCAACAAAAGAAGAGTAAGTTCATTAATTATATATAATGATTCAAACAAAAAGTGAAAGTTACAGCATAGCTAACAAGTAATTAAGCAAAAATGCAAACAATATGTTTCACAAGAAGGAATAGACAAAGGGATTGATTAAAAGGGGATTGATTGGTTCAAATTAAGAGAAGAGAGAATCTTATTTTAAGCTTTTTGCATAATCGAGGTTTTGCATATAATCACCCAAATCATACAAATTAAAGATTCCTTCATTGGACTAGGGCATATCTATAATATATATATTCCTTCAAAAAAGCATATATATATATAAATTATACTTGATTATAAAAAAAATTGAAAATGATTTTCCATTGGCTTCATATATATGAATTACTATTAATTAATATAAGCACTTGACACTTCAATGTTGGTATTATTATAAGCCAAAATTCATTTAGTTCTTCACTCTTTAATTTCCTAAAATAACATCACTATGAAATAAAGAAAAATAGAAAATATAGGAGAAATAGCTTTATTGAGCCAAGAATTTCATATCCATCATTCAATAAAAAACAAGAGGAAAGGGAAAAATTTTTTATTTTTCAAAAAATATATATATGAAGTGATAAATTCTGCCATTTCAAATTATGCTATTATATGACTAGTGCCCTTATGACATCAGGACAAACTGTTATAAAACAAAGCATCAATTGTTTCCCATATTGACTTTTAAGGTCCTTTTTTTTATCAATTTTCAATTTTTCAATTTAGTGAATATATATATAGTCTAATATAAAGAATTTAATTAACACTAAGAGATTTGATTGGTCAAAATAATACTGCAGACTACAAAATAGAGATAGTCTTCTCCTAAACTCAAAAAATTGATGAGAACACTTATGATTGAGAAGAATCGAGTGAGAAGACCAATCATATCACACCTGATCGACTCAATTAGCATTTTTTATTAAATTAAAAATGAAATATTTAATAAAATAAAATAAATAAAGATCATATAAGATGATATTTTAGGGCTATTTTCTTTAATTAAAAATTGGAGAGGAGGATAAAAAAATGAAGTTTGAATTGTAGAAGAATAAAGTTGAAGTGGCATAATTTACTTGGGTAAAAGTGGGGTTAAGCAAGCATCAAAATTGGAATTTATATTCTTGCTTGTGAAAGAAAAAGTAGTGAGGGAAATGCTTGTGATAGAAGAAAAAGGACCAAAACAAGATTCTTGATTAATTGTTGCACATGCAACAATTAATATGGCAACAGATCTTTTTGCTTTATTTGTTGAGCCATTGTAGGACATTAGCTTTGTGAGATTTTTGTTTTTTCCCCACCCCAAAACCCAAAGTGCATGCATGCCTTTGTCCTCTCTTCATACAAGATTGGTTTTTTGGTATAGGTCATTTTCACTCATATTTTTTTGAGGGAATATTAATATTTTATTTTGTTTTTATCTATGTTTTTTCAAATTCATTTAAATTACATTTCAATTTCACCAATTTAAAGGCGTTTTGGGTAATATAAAACTGTTTTAGCAGCTGTTAGAGATTGTAATAGCTGTTAGCAATTAGCGGATAGTTATTACCAATTAGAGGTTGTTTTGCTAGCGATTAACTGCTTTAATTACATTTAGCTATTAGCTGTTTTAGTAATTTTTCATAAAACTACTAAAAGTTAAATATTAAACAAGTTAACTTTTTTTAAAATACTTCCAAAAGTTAGTTCATAAGCTATAATACTGAATACCATAAAGAATAGCATCAAAAAGCTAAAAGTTTTGCTGAATACAGTCTTTAGCTGATAGCTGATTATGTAGAAGTTTAAATTATTAAAAGTGTTCGACAAAAATAACTGTTTAATGAATTGTTTAACTTAAACAAAAGATATTAGTCGTTAACTAGTTGAATTAAATAAGAAAAACAATAGGTATGATTATCAAACAAATTTAATTAATCTTTGTGAAACGATAAAAGTTAAAGTGGATAACGTTTCGTAAAAAGCGCTCGAACCTCTAAAAACCATTATAAAAGCTATGTTTTCAGTACAATTAATATAAATAAAGTTTTAACACTTTAACTCCTTTTACACCAACTAACCTCATATTCAACTTGCATAGCAGCAGAACTTCTCTCCTTAAATAGATCCTATACATAGGTTTACTCCTCCCAAAAATTTTCCATTGATATACATGTAGATTAATGTATGCTAGTAAATTAAAGACCTTAAATATCACAAAAAAAAAAAAAAAAACCATTATATTGATTAATTTCATGATTTCTATTTTAGGTCAACTTTGTTAAAATAGAATCCTTAAACGATGCAAACATGTCTTCTCCTTTTGGTTTTTGGGTAAATTACAGCTAATCATAATTAATATCAGGTCGAATTTTTTAAACTTTATGTCATCTTGAGAAATAAATTTCACATTAAAATTATTCAAAATTAGAAATTCATAGGTGAATCAGAGGTTATATATTGTTTCGCTATTAAATAAAATACAACGTCTAAAACCTTGATATTAAATTTAATTGTTCGCAAAGTGGAAAAAATATTTCACACTTGGAATTAATTCCAATAAAAAGCTTTAGAACAAATTGATATTCCGTCGTATAATTATTTTATATTGCAAACATGAATAAAACAAACGTTAAAATTAATTAATAAAAATGAAATAATTATTTTATATTTTGCATCTAATCTTTCACTTAATAGAGATTTTTGTTTCAATGCGTGACAATAACTTATAGAGACATTTTCACACTGTTGGCCCTTGGAATGTTAAAATATGATTGATATATCACACGGATTACAAAAGTTCCAATTGACTCTTCACAATATTGCAAGTTTGAAAACAATATATACTGCAGAGAAGATGAAAAGACGAAACAATGAACAAAGCTTTTTTGTTCAATTTAAACGTGATTAATTTCTTCAAACACTGATCATTTACCTACTAGTTAAGGTTGTTTCACCAACAATTTTTTAAATAATTTTTAACTTTTCGTGAAAAAATACCGATCGAAGTAGAAGTAGGAAACTCTCAAGTAAGGTTCTAATAGAAGTAGTTTGCTAGCCTATTTTGAACAGGTCATTCGGCAAGGAGATTCATGTAGAAATAGAAATAGAAATAGGTCAATATTTAGTTATTTCTGCTCTCTTTGCATTTATAGTGTTTCAGTAATATAACGTTTAAATTAGTTTTTAGTGGTTAACGTAATATCTTATAAAAAGATAACCATATAAAGTTTACTTTTTAACGTTTTTTATAAAAAGTTACTCGAACAACCAGTTAAACGTTATTAAATTAGTTGCCAACTAACGATGCTGAGTAGACCTCAAGTATTTTATTTTTTGCACACCAAGGGATCCAAATTTGACCTAGTAAATACAGATATGACCTGACGTCCAAATTCAAATCTCTCTGCGATATATTAACGGTGTTGATTTCATGTTTCGAATTCCAATTTTACATGTAAAGATAGTGTACTTCCATGGACATTAATAATAATCATGTTTTTATAGTATAGGATATCGAACAACTAAAGACAGTATTTGACAATATTAACTGTTTTGGTAGTTATTGATTGCTCTAATAATCGTCACTTGTTAACTAAAAATTAGAAGACCCGCAGCTTTTTAAATTAGTACAAATACTACACAATCAAACAATATGAAAAATGGAGATTATGTGTTGAGGAAAATTAAACGCGGCTTTAAAAGCTGTTTTTGCTGTATAGGGCCAGAGTTGATACATTTTCCATTTAAAAGTTTTAACTCAAAGTAAAAAGGAAAGGAAATGAAAATTCTGAACATAAAAGGTAAGGAAACAAAAGAAAGATGAGTAATGAAGAAAAGAAAAATGGTGACCCCCACATTGTCTTTCCTTATCTTCATGGCAATCCCCATGAAAGAAATTCTACTAATTTACTCAAAAATTTTCCTTTTCTTTACTTCACTTTAAGATAATATACAAATAATAAAAAAATATCCCATGAAATTACAACTTCTGGTAGAATCCTGATTTCTTGCCTTTGTTTGTGCATATTCTCACATGGGAAAGAATACTTCTTCAATCTGCAATCCTCATATCTTCATCATGAGCACGTAGTTCATGCAGTACACAGAAGTCAGTCTTTAACGGATTAGAGATACTGTCTAAAAATTTCTTTTTCAGTTTTTGAAATTGACCCATTAACTATTCTATGGATTAGTCTATTTTCTTTTCTTTTTTTTGGTTTCTAATTTTCTTCTTCTTGCTTAAATGATTATTAAACTATTTGCAAAACGTCCGGTAGGGTTTGACAGTGATATTTGTGGTCCTTTACTAAGCGTGAATGGCGGGACCATATAGTAATAATCAAAATCTATTGTACCTTGTTATTCATAATATATATTTAATCACCATCATCTCCCTAGTGTGTTTAATCATGTCTTTTTCAGCATAATCATTCATTCTTAAACACTTGATTATTGCTACACATGATTCAAAGTTTCTTGTCTGTGACATTGGAATTGTACTCTCCACTGCTAAAAGCAAAATGTTATTGGATTTTGATTATGGAGTAAGCCATATTAACGGTCTATTTGCTATTCACTCCCGTTCACTTTCCTCTGTCATTTAAGGTTTTTGCACCCAACACTCAACTTTGGCACTGTGTTGATTAAGCTAACATTAATTACTAGATTGCTGAAATTTTGCATATGAACTGGGTTTAAGATTTTGGAGCTAACTAATTGAAAGATTAGTAGTTAATGTTGTGATATTTGTTTTGCCAATTGGTGAATCAGAACTCTGCCACACATATTATTAAATGTGTGTTATGAATAGTGGTGGGCAGTGAGCAGATGGGGTCCTTGACTATTATTTCTCATATTTCCAAATAAGAGAAACAACTGCTTCCCTGAAAGGAATGACTTTGAAATGAATATATAAATCTGACAAATAAGGAAACTGAGTTTGTTACACTCAAATCTCTATATCATCTCATATATACCAATCATAGCGGTTCAACCTTCATATTTCAAATTGGAAATAGATAACTGATTCTCTTGCTTCACTACTAATTTTTACCACCTCAATCATGTAAAGAAATCTTTTTTTTTTCTTTTTTCATGTATGGAGAGAGATATACCATAGAATAAGGAAATCCAATAATAATGCATAATTTTGCACACAATATCAGCAGTCACCAATATTACAGATAGCTTAAGATCAATCTTCAACCTTGATTTAATCACAAACAATTACAAACATTGACACAAAAATCCTCATTTTGCTAGACACAAGCCAAAATATGCAAATTGGAGGTCTTCAATTCTATGATCATGATAATTCCAAATATTAATATACTACAATTATCTATATATAACTGAACTAGTGCAAATTTCAGTTCATAAAGCAGCAATCTATTCTGTCACATGAATGGCTTCAGAATTGTGAAGGGCAACAAGCAGTTGAACTCATCAATTGAATATGCAAATTTAATGTCGTCGATTTCTAAGCTCATCATGTCTACCCAGAGGAATTGGAGGATAAAGATCCCTGCAAAACGTAAATGAAGGATTAGAATCACCACTAGTCTTTGCATTTCCATTGGTAAGTGGCATTGACATAGTATGAAACTGATCCTCCATCATTTGCCTTGGCATAACATAATTATTTGCAGAATAATGTCTGCAAACTTTTTGCTTAGCCTTAATTGATTCTGTAAGACTCATGTAGCTTGGTTTTCTGTTATAACTCTCTTCTACTCTATCCACTTCTATTGTGTTGCTTGACAATGGGATTGGAGAGACAGTTGTAGATGCAGTAGACTCAGAACTCTCATCATAAATAGATTCAGAACTTGGAGCAGAAGCTGAGGAATTAATATGACTAACAGCAGGAGGTTTAGCAAGAACTTTTGTTGTAACAATGTTTTTTCTCACTTTAACCGAGTCATTTATTGAAGAATAGGAATAAATACTGGCGATGTTATCTTCACTTTTCCTGGAAAATGTAGTCTCCAGTGAGTTATCAGTATGAATTTCTTCCATCAATCTGCTTTCCCATGGTTTTGCTGCCATCCACCGATCTAGCCAGCTCCATCCAGGGCTGCTATTATCCAACATTTGATTCTTAACAGAAAATGCTGATTTTTTTGTTCTTCTACCTGGGCTTGCACATGATCTTGATTGCTGAGAGCCAAAAAAGAAAAATTTTTATTGATCTTTTTTAAAGAAAAATATTGGAATATGAATTCTTGGATTTAGGCATCCATTTTCATCCGGTCCCATTTTCAAGGTGAACCAAACAACGGTTTTATTACGGTGAACAGCTACATTATCTTTCTTTACAAAGCAATTCTATCAAGTTCACATCTTAACAACTTAACTACCTGTTGGGAGAGAGAGTATGCAATTGCTCTTTCCCTCTTAATGGCTCCCTCCTGCCTCATTTGTAACTTCGTTCGAACTGCATCAACTGTTCCAAGACTATCACACCATCCTTCCTGCAAATTTCGAAAGATTACATGATTCATATACTAACGTTAACACCCATCTTCTTCATCTTTTATAAACAGAACTTGATAATGGAAAAATCAGGTAAAATATTCAGATATCAGGATTTGACTTTAATTTAATACCTCAGCCTGCTTTGAGGGATCCGATGTGCTCTGTACATCCAACAATTTCTGCATATCTTTGCCTTCTGAAGAGGTTCTCACACCTTGTGCTCTTACTCTAGCCTGAACCCTGACAAGAGCTTGCATGCACCTCAATGTCACTGCAGCTTGCTTTCTAACCTGTCTACCACGAAATATAGCTTGAATTCTCACTACTGCTTTCAACGCCCGCAAAGCCCTCCTTGCCTGTAATTACCAAAACAATAAAAAAGATGTAAGCTTTCATCAAATTACAAGAGAACAGCAAACTGAACCAGCGTAACCCATGACATATGGTAATTATATGCTCATAAGTTTCATAATCAAACAAGGAAAACAAGTCTGAACTCATATCAGTGGAAACAGCAGATAAGAAAAATTTTTATAACCCAAGATCAATCCTTTACTGGTTTTAATAGGCTAAAAAAAACAATTACATACTTTAAAATATTTATTGTTCACTTATATTCCAATCCATATATGCCTTTAATTTAATTTTATGATCTTCCTGTCCCTTTTCTCAATTTCCTTGGCATTATCCATTCAAATCATTAATTACTTTAATAAGTCTATGAGAAGCACCTAATCTTAAGCCCTCCAATCCAAACTGTAATATATACCTAAAAGTTGTTCAACTCCTGAATGATTTCCACATTAACTAAAAATTAGGCGATTCAGAAAAAATTAAGCTCAACTGTAACAAAACTGCTAATTTTTACAAGTTCACGAAGCTCAAACTTGCACGTATAGAGAATCAAAATAAATAAATAAATAGAAGTAAAATGAACCCGTTTTACCAGCAAGCCTCGAAAAGCGGTTTGGATCCGGATCGCAGCCCATTCTTGCTTGACCACCATGAAATCTCTTGGCGGAGCTCTGGCAATAGTAGCCATGGCAGCAGCGAATGCATCATCAAGGACAAGGGACGACTCCGACGGCTCTGATGATGCAATGTGGACCCTTTTCAGGCCCTTCGACGAGGGTGGTCCAAACCCTTCTGATGAGCTCCTCCATAGCCTCCATTTCTTCTTACTCTTAGTGTCGCTCTGTTTCTCCTGTAAATAGCGGAAAGAGAAATGAGAAAGGTGCCAATTGGAAATACAAAACTTGAACAAATCAAAGAAAAGATTACCTGGTCAGTTGTTGGGATTTTTTTGAGAGTGATTAGTGACTTTAGCCATTTTCCTGAAGAACCCATTTGCTGATAACGGATTGATTGATGATTCTTCAAAGTAGAAGTGATTTGGAAAAAACTTCTTGTTTTTGAAACAGAAAATTTGCAATTGAACCTGACGAGAAAACAATAGAGAGAGACCTACGAGTGGATTTGACGGTTGGTGTGCAGTTATTCGTTGTTATTAGGGGAGAGAGCTATTTGAAATTTGAAACTTTGAATAAAAGAAAAAAAAAATTGTAACGGATATATGGACTTTTTGCCGCTCGGTAGTCGGTTCCAAAACTGAAGGCCTCTAGAAGGATTGTGATATAATAATCCGACACATTTAAATTAATTGTGGGCCCTCCTAAATTTAAATTGACTCTTGCATGTAATTATTTCTTGTTTTCTTAATTATTTGTCATTGTATGTTTTTTTTTTTCTACTTATAAATTTATTAATATTATTTTTAGGGATATATTTTAATAATTGCTAATATTTAAAATTTTTCATGAGATTTTAAATTGCAATTATGAATCTCTCTTCTTTGTTTCTTTTTTTGGTTACTCTCTCCGACTCTCTTTTTCTTGTATTCTTTTAAATTTTATTTCTAAACCACTGCCGACTTTCTTTGGTCGACAGTGGTTTTCTCTCATCCTTCTATATCATTTTTCTTTATTTTATTTAATTTTCTTTTTAATGATTTTCAAACCTATAATCGTTTAGAACAAAATTTAGATTTAGTCTTTCAGATATGTAGATCTTGGGTGTTTTTGTTATCCTTTTAGTAAGATTATTAATTTCTTTCATTTCATGGAGTTATTCTTCATTGTTGGAAAGTTTTGATGTAGATCTTTTATTTCTCAGATAGTTAGTTCGAAAGACAAGATGAATTGTTGGTTGTTTGTGGTTTGAGACTTTAGATCTTTAACTTCGAGAAGTTTCTTTTATCGATGGAATCTAGTAGTGTGACATGTTCCTCTATTAAAATTTGGTACATTAAACTCTTCTACGAGCTTCAGTTGTAACAATTTTCCGAAAAAACAATATTTGGAACAATATTATGAAAGTGTTTTTTGTCGTACTATTTGAAATATATCAGTTTTTACCTAGAAGATTAATCTCTTTTGCCAAGATCAAAAACATCCAAACAGAAGATTTCAATTTTGTATATTTATATTTTTATTCCTATCAAAATATTATTATGATTCATTTAACTTATAGTCATTATTCATGGATTATTAAGTTTTAAAAAAAAATTACAATCAATTTCTATATTTATATTTCTTATTTCTATCGAAATATTATTACGATGTACTCAGCTTATATTCATTATTAATGAATTATTAAATTTTTTAAAAAGAATTGCAATCATAAATGAATCATACAATTACCAAAACGAAGAATTTACCGCATCAATGAAAAGCGAAAATAATTACTGAACTGTATAAATAAAAAAGTAAATTAATGCATACAAAGTTTAATTGTTAAAACACTTTCATCATTGCCTAATTTGATTAACAGTGGTTATAGGATTAATCAAAATCCATATTTTTACGGTAACCTACATATAAAGAGGATACAAAGAGGAGATATACACTTCGATATAAATTTAAACAAAATATTTAAATAGCAAAGAAAAGAAAATGTTTAATTAAAAATTTATTGACATTAATAATTTTAAATAACCATATTTAAATTAGGCAAAAAAGAAAAATTTTACAGGAGTTATCCAACCTATTACCCATCCATAGAGGAAGCTAGAAGGGGAAAAAAGGAAGAAAAAAGAAAGGTGTAAATTTCCTATATGAATATGAAGGTTAATAAAAAAAAATAATGAAAAGAAAAGGTATTGGGTCAGTCCTTTTTTTTTTTTTTTTTTTTTTTTCCTTTTTTTTTTTTTTTTTTTTTGAAATAGAGCCCAGAAAAACTTCTAAAAAGGCTTGAACCTTAAAAATTGGAACCTAATTTAAAAAAGAAAATTTTTTTTTTTTTTTTTTTTTTTTGAAATAGAGACCCAGAAAAACTTCTAAAAAGGCTTGAACCTTAAAAATTGGACCTAATTTAAAAAAGAAAAATTCAAAAATTCTTGCGTTTTTTTTTTTTTTTTAATTTTACCTTATTATTTTATAATGAATATCTAGTTTGTAGTGTTAGGAATGTGTAGTCTTGGGCTTGGAAGGCCCATACATGTAAGTCCAGGGGAAAGGTGGATTTTTGGGCTAGGTCTTGGCGAAGGGATTGGGCCAGAACTAGCAAAGGACCCTGGCATGAGCAAAACCCTTGGTGATAAATTAACATGTTCAAGAGCCTGTAATTGTAGCTCTGTAGGGTATTCCCTAACACAACCAATTCTAGGCCCTGCTCCAGTGCTCCATTTACATGATAAGGACTTGTGCACCTTAAAAACTCTACTTGCTTCCTTATTTTCTTCTTTTATTTTACCCACATCTTCAATATCATTAATGGTTGAAGCAATCTTTTGGGTCTCTCTCATGCAATTGAAATCGGCTTCTTCATCTGTACTCTTAAAAGGTGGGATGTCATCATCCACGGGACATTTCTGCATCGAGAAATATAAAGAGCTTAAGTAATGGAATCATAGGGGGAAAAAAGTATAAAAATGATTTCTTTTTCCGGCACGAGTATCCAGGTATGAGATTAATATCGTTTTAGGGTTTAGGGTTCGTAATCGCTCTTCTCTGTGAGTGCTTTCTTCACAGGTCAAATCTCTAACCTTAGAAAGATTGTTCGCTGAACTTAAGCGTAATGCTATAGTTTATTACCTGAACATTTGTGAGGTCAATATTTTGTTCCTGCAAGAAGGTAATGAACTCTGAGAAATTCTCTTCTGTTGGCCGATAGTGGCCACTGTAGGACCAAATAGCCTAAAACCAGACAATGATAATTAATCAGAGAAGATGAAGATGAAGGAAAATTTTAATTATATTTTAGCTTGGTTTAATTGGTACATATAGCTATAATGTAGACGACATAAACATACCTCAAGAACTCCATCATGAGCTACTAATCTCCCAGCTGCAATGGCAGCACCACCAGCTAAAAAACTAGAATGCTGAAAAAGACCTTTCTCCTTCTTACCAACATACATAGTCCTTGACGCACTCAATACAAATATCCACTTTGTCCCTTCCTCTGTTTCCACTGCTCTTTCACCTTGTCTGTAAACTAGCTTCCCATCCTTTACTATCACTTCGTATGCTTTTCTCTCTTTCTATAACGTAAAGTGAAATTTTTTAAAAATAAAAATTACATTATATAAAATATTTCGGTGAATATAAGCTTTTTAATAGCAAAGAAGGAAATTAATAGCTTGCTTACCGGACAAAGATATTTGATGCATTGACGTTGTAGTTGAGCCCTCGGACATGACTCCAAGTTTACTTCTTTCCCTTCTCCCACGTCCAACCTTAATTTCCACAAAGAAGTTACCAAGAAACAAGTTAATGGCAGATGAGAAAATTAATTAAGGAATTTAATAAATTGCTCCGAAAAAAGATACTATTTTCATATATTTGTTTTACCAGTAGAAGAATGGTTGTGAGCTTTCACTAGCAAACCACACATTATAGTAAAAGTGCAGATTGTGGCCATATCGATGTCTCGGATCAATCTGTGCATGTCCACACAGTAATAATATTATTAATTAATATTGCAAAACCGAAAACTTTAATTATTAAAAAAGAAACAAGTATACACTTTCAAGGAGAACTTACAGCTTCAAGCCAATGTCTTAATGCTAACTTCTGAGCCTTCTCATCCTTGGACAAGCCCTTCCCAACCTGCACCAATTATACAAATCAAAAATAATTTTATTTTTCAAATGAAGAAGAGAGGAAAGTTATGAAAGTTTGAACTCGTGAGCACGTGCATGACTACACATAATATCAATGTGCATGATGTATATGTATAATATATATTTTTTCAACACGACAATACGTACAGGTTTAGCATCTTTAATATGCAAAAATATTCCAAGAAAATGAAATTTAAAGGTGTGAAAGTAAACCTTAGCTGCCTTATTGCTAGCTCTTGCCCATCGTGAAACAGCAGTTTCTGATCTATCAGACTCAAAGAACGATATAGAACTCCGCCGCAAGCTTGCAAAATCCAATGCCTTCCACCTATATAAGTAGAAAACAGAAATTATTAATGTTAATGCCAAAAAGACTTAAAAATGTTCAAAATTTATTTGCTATGTAATTAAAAGAAGAACGAAACAAACCATAGCTCTTCCACAACAACAGCACAGTCTGCAAGGTTTCTGCGAGTCCGATAACTCTTGTAAGCTTTCTGTAACTTCGTTGCAGCTCCATCAATCTCACTATCTGGTCTTGGAGAATAATCCACTTTGTTGATCGAATCACATTTCTTGCCTTTTATTACAAGATTAAGATTCTTGGAAGAAAACTTTTTCTTTTTGTTGAAGTGCATAGATTCTTGGATAAGTAGATCATCATCAAGGTCTCCAGATTCATCAACATTGTTTGATTCTCTTTTCTTGAAGCTTATATTTCTCACCATTATATCTCCATCTTTTGATTTGAAGTGATGAATTGATCTCGCTGCAACCATATTTCTTGTTTCTGATAATGAGAAAAACATAAAAATTAATTAAAGAAAGTCCTATAGGTTTCTTACAGATACTTAAACAATAAGACATGCATGAATATCCTAATCCTCCAGTTTTCTTTTTTGGAATTATTTATATATACAACGAAACATTCAAACTTAAAACATACGATGATTAAACAGACCACTTTAATTGCTGTCATTAACTACCCTAAAATAGTCAGTATTTTGAATTTGACCATAATTAATTTATTAATATCTACCCAATAAAAAACTGCCATAACATTTTCCCAAAATCCAGAAATTGTTGAAATTTCAAAATAAACCCTTCTATAATTTTGAACCTATTTCACTTAATAGAAAACTGAAAATAAATTCATCTCAGTTCTTACAAATCAACTGATCCTGTCGAGTGTTAACGAATGATTAATAAAAATAAGTAAATAATTCTAGAACACGAAAGATTAATTAATATTAACTTACCTGTTCTTACACTGAACAAGAGCTCTTTTGTGAAAGAGAATTGGCAACTTCTGAATGAGGCCTCTTCCCTCCTTTCATATATGCAAATAGGTGTCCGGAAAAGCAAGAAAAAAAGTCACCTTCAAACACGTAATGGGAAAAAGAAAAGAGAAATCTTGTAGCCAACGTACGGGTCATTGAATAATAATAAAGAAAAGAGAAATAGAAAAGTACCACGAGGAGCAGCGTTTGAACTTGAAAAATTCAAAGTTTTGATCATATTCATAGCGGGCGTTGGAAATTAATGTCACAAACATTGGAAGAACTAATAAAGTGTTACATTTTCCTCCATTTTTGTGACGAACCAAAAACATATTTGGAGGGATTCACTCTTCGTTCTCATTCATTAATAGAAATGGAACCATCTATAATATTTGATTAGTGGAAACAATAGATAAAAATAATAATTTAGCAAAGGTAAAAAAAGTAAAAATTTAGTAGATGAAATAGTTTGAATATTATTATTAATTATATATACTAAAATGTAAAAAACCATAAACTAACATGTAAAACATCTGTAAAGATAGTTGCATCAACCTTTATTATATTCGCATCTGTTAAATATGATTTTAGATTTTTCACTATAATTTATTTTAATATATTTCATATTACTCATCTTTTAACTTTTTCTTAATTTTTATACGTGTTTTTATATCCGGGCTAAAAATGACATTCAAATAAAAAATTTTAAAAGTAAAAATTTAAGTTTAAAACTTCTGAAGCTAAAATTTTTCCATTCACTTCACAATAATCCAACACTTATCTCTTGCTTGAGGAGTTGAGTAATTGATTTTCATTGAGACTTGTTTTATTAGTCATAAAAATACTAATCTACAACTAGATGCATGTTTGACGTGCCACGTGGAATTAATTGTGACAATGACTATATTTACGCGTGAATCTTAATATGTTTTTTTCTTGTTTGACGTGTTATAGTTTTGACATGGTTCAACTGTCCAAACCCATAATTAATTATCTTCTGCTGCTATGAATTTTGTGAAATAACTGTACATGCATGTGCAAGAATTCAACTTTAGACATTCTCTCCATGTAAATCATGGTTTTTTTTTTTTTTTAATTTGTACTGTATTTTTACATTTAATTTTCAACATTTTTAAGATTTTTATTTTAATTTTATGAAAATAAACTGATTATGATCTCATGTTAATGTCATGTTGTTGAATTAATAATTAAGTAGAATCATCGGTACTATCAAAAAAAAAAAAAAACTGATTATGACTTCCATGTTAATGTCATGTTGTTGAAATTAATAATTAAGTAGACCTCATCGGTACTATCAAAAAAAAAAAAAAAAAAAAAAAAAGTACAATTATTAATGTACCGTGACATAATTTAGTAGTGAATACATATCCAATCTGATAAGAGATCTAAATTTGAATATCCGTCTTCCAATAATGAAAAAATAAGTAGAATTAATCAAACCAATTTATGGACGTAAACTATTCTCTTATTATTGATGCTTTGACATGGAATATGGATTGAAAAGGTAATTAATTTTCTTAAATTATAAAATTAAGAGTAATTTGATCAAATTACTTATTATCTCACATTGTTATTTAATTTATATTGTTATATTGAATTAATATAAAATAATGATTTATTCGAGAAAAAAAATATAAAATAATGGTAAAATTAAAAAAAAAAATTATTACTCCTTAAAAGTTAAAATACTCACAATTAACTTGTATTTTGAAAAAAATTAATCACCTAAAATAGTTTATATTTTGGACGGAACGAATATATATATATATTATATATTATTATATATATATATATATATATATATATTATTATATATATATATATATTTATATATATATATTATTCTTTAATCGCTGGTGAAATGAACAGAAATATTTATTATTAACAAATGGGAAACTAACTGAAGTAATTAAGTGTAAGATTTGTTGCATTAAAGTGCCTTGCACTTTAAGAAGCTAAGTATTTTTTTTTTTTTTTTTTTTTTTTGGGTTTTTTTTATTTTTTAGTGGTCGGCCGCCTGCAAAACAACCGTGCATATATGAAACCAAACACTTAGCTTTATTGGGTAAATTAAACTTAAATTATTTTTTTTTTTTTTTTTTGGGATTTTTTATTTTTAGTGGTCGGCGCCTGCAAAACCAACGTGCATATATGAAACCAAACACTTAGCTTATTGGGTAATTAAACTTAATTATATTAATATTAATTATTATGACAAAAAAGAACCATCCATACAAACTTTTAATTTCAATTCGCAATGTACTAATAGCTGGAATGCAATATTTGACCAAAAAAAGGGAAAAAAAAAAAAATTGGCTACAACACAATTGACTTAATTAGTACATAGATTCCAAATAAAAACATTTGCATGAAATGTTTTTATTATGCAAAACATGAGGGAACCACAAATGCTTCCTTGGACGGTGGCAACTTAAATTATATTACTAAACTAGTCACATAACTACGTGATGTGTGATTTATACATATTTGTATATTTTATTATTTTATATAGAAATTTTTTAAAAAGTGTTTACGCTGTTACCTCTTATAAATGACAAACTCAAAAATATATATAAAATATATAAATTATGAGTATATTAGAGTAATAAAATATCTAAAATATTAAGATTCTTTGCTGAGAATCACAATTAGTAAATAAATCAATATTCAAACACGAGTCATATAAAATAAGTGAGGAATGTGCACAAATAGTCGAGTAACATTCAAAATTGTCAACGCTCATATTATTATAATAGTTAAATATTAAAAATTATCAAAAAAAATTCAATAAACCATTAAAAAAAATGAAGCAAGAGAGGGAAAATTAGATATGGTATTATTAATTCATAGTAAATTCGAATATCGTATTATTAATTCATAAACTATCGTATCATTAATTGTAACATTGATGGTGTATTAGAAAAAGCCTCTTCAACAATATCTTTTTGAATTTTCTTTTTCTTTTGAAATGATCAACATCCAATACTCTTGAACTACAATCTTTTTTGAGCAAATTTATGTGTGAATATAAATTTATATCAACCTTAAAATTGAAAAATTTTTAAATTCTCAAATTATAAACTGAAAATTTATTATCCAAATTAAATATGGTATTCAAAGCTTTAATTATAAAGTTTAGTGACTTTGAAATTCTAAAATTATAAAATAAAAATTTAATTATTATAATAAATTATCATAATTAATGGGTATTGAAATATTTAATTATAAAATCTATACTTATTTATTATTGTAACATTTATAAAGTTCAATTCACGTCGCTTTAGCATATTAAAAATCTACGAGAATGCCACATCAGATTGTAGGACTCTAATTTTATATATTTATATACACGTAAGAAATTTACATTTGCATCTTTTTTTTATTTTTATTTTTTTTCTAAAACAATAGAATACCACATGAAAAACGAGCATGCCCATAATATGAAGTTAAATAAAAACTTGTAAAAGGACAAGCATCACCAAATTCAAATTAGTTTGGACCTACTATTAAGCGGAGATGAAAGTAAGTGTATATGTAATAATTAATTTTGATTAATATGTATAATTAAATTTATGAATTTGTATATATTCAGTCAATAGGAAAAAGCTATCGCATTGTGTATTTAATTAGAATAATAAATTTATAAATCACCGTCTCTTGATGAATATTAAACTTTTTTTTTTAAAGGAAGCAGAATAGATATTTACGGTTTTCGTGAGCATTTTTTTTAGAGAAATAAAATATATGAGGAAAATGTCAAAAGAAAATGTTTTTTTTTTTTTTTTGTTTGAAAATGATGGAAAAAATAAAAGAAATGAAAAATATACATTATTTTCTTATCTGGCGATAAAATAGTGGGCCTTCTACAAGAGGTAGAGAGCCCAAGAGGCCTAAAGACTATTCCATCACCAGTACGTGAGATGAGCATGATATGTCACTAGCCCACTGGCTGGGTTTAGTTTAACAGATATGCCCGTCCACGTCAGTATGTGGGCCAGCTTCAAAAGCAAAATGGGCCGGATGAATATTTAATGATAATTACTAATTAGCTTTATGCTAATCCAAAATTCTTGAATCAGATTCAACATTCAAGAACGAAGAAAACTTTAGCAGAGTAATTTTCATGGCAGAATCGAAACCAAACCCTACAAACTCTCCATCAGGTATGTAAATGTTTGCTCAACTTGCAAAGAAAGATGATTATTTTTCTATTAGAATATTGACTTTTTTTTTATTACTGTTTGTTTCTTCGTCTACATCTTTTAAGAAGCTATGAGCTTTGTACATGAGCTTTTGCATTTACCAAATCTTTAGTTATTGAAATTCTTCATTTAGATATATTAATTCACTGTTAAGAGAAGAGAAATTGTGGGGATTTCTTTTTCTTGTGCGTTGATGTGTCAAGTGAAATGTAACCAACTGAAACCTTAATCTTTTTATCAATCAAATTGCATTTGGGTATATGCATTGTGAGTCTTTTTAAGGAATTAGAATAAGTGAGATGTGGAACCATAAGTTGAGTTTTGAGGGCTAGGAGCAGAAGAACTAAGTCTTGAATTTTTCTTTGTTCCTTTTTTCTTTTTGTTTGTTGAAATAGAAGAAAAGGATGTTAAAGCCCCAAATATATTTGAAAGAGCAAAGGAAGAGATTGAGGAAATATTTCATATTCCACAACATCATAAAGAAACTCATGGAACAAGTGATGACATTGATGAGAGTACCCCCATAGATGAAGTCAAAGCACCTGGTGTATTTGAACGAGTTAAGGAAGAGATCGAGGCCATTGTTGAAGCAATTCATCCTAAGAAGGATGAGAATCACAAGCATCCTCCTAATGGAGAAATCAAGTAGGTTTCTGCAAATATGATTTTTGTGGGATTGAATAATGGAAATTGATGTTGTATTCTTGACTATTTTCAATTGCTTACTTCCTATGTATTTTTGCTGCAATTTGCTTATCTAGATGAACTTGGGCATGGTGTAATATGTATCATTTGTTCTACTGGTTATCTTGAAATTGAAAAACTGTAATTTGTCTCTCTTTTTAATGGTTGTTAAATTTGGATTCAAAAAGCACACTTTCTTAATTTTAGATTGTACTTTTTGAGAAAGAGTTTGGCATTCGGATGGAAGCTTGTCGCATACGATTTGCCGTTGCTGCAGAATTATGAACAAAAAGATTACATCTTATACCTTTGTTTTGATTTACCAAAGAAAATTATTTTGTCTTCTTAAATCATTAGGTTAAAGACGAAAAATTCAGGGCATTGAATTATTAAGTGTATAGAAGTTTATTGCTGAAAAAACAGTCAATTCTAGAACAAGAAAAACCAGTATAACAACATCGGTGCATCATGAACTTGTCAGTGATTAGCCTGAAAAGGTGCATTGCTAAGGGGTAATGTGGAATTAGAAGCATTTATTGGTACAATTTGACTAGAGAAGGGATAGATTAGTCTGCATGTGAATTATTATGTGGCTTCAATGCTGCTAGATTTTCAACTGAAATTGAAATGTGTAGTTTGTTCTCATGTGCAGATGATGACTAATAGGTTTTCAGTTCAATATCTTTAGATTAACCATGTCTATTCAAGTCATATGCATGTGAAAATTCTGGCCAAAATACAGCTTAGTAGCTTGGTTTTCTTGTTGGCCCTGTCCTCAAGCAGTCTAGCTGTTAATGTTAATGCTCACAAGTCATTGTACAAAAAGTTTTGTTTTGAAAAAATATTATGCTATTGATGTTTGATTTTAATCATCCAGCCCTGAAATTTGCTCGGAGAAAGTGTTGTTTGATGCTGGAGAAAAGCACAGCATAGCAACTTTCTTTACCCTCTCTGTTTTCAGGTTGAAAATAAGTTGGTGACCGAGGATTTTACAGGTACAAAGCACATTGAATGATCAAATCACTCAAATCAACACAAGAATCAACGAGTATTTCCTGGACCAATTACATCACAATTTCTTTAATTAAAGATTCATTATACTTTCCCTTTACATCTCTTCAAGATATATTTTCACTGAATCTTTTTTTAACATTTCTGGGCTTACCTCATCTGGGAAAATTCTCTCTCATCTTCACATACCCAATTGTAGACTATCACACAACTCAAGTCTCAAGCTTGCAGTGCCTGTCAGGTAGCCTACTATCACCTACACATACCCCCTTGCAGATTACCATTATGGGTTTAATGTTAAAAGTAAAATCATTCAGGAAACTTAATTCATTATAGTAAAATGAAACTATCTACAAGTTTCCCACTTGCATATGTTTTAAACTCAAAACGGTAAGACACGCATGAGGTTAGCGGATAATCTTTAAGGTCTGGATGGAAGCGGATCGTGTCCTTAAGGGAGAACTGGGCTTGAGCCCAGTCTCATCTACATATACCAGTCCATTTGACGACCGTCAGTAATTCAGTAAATGACAAATAGTGTACAATAAAGCAGTGATAGTCTGTGATGGAATGGAATCAAATTCTTGATTGAATATGCAAATCTGGAGATACCAGAAAAATCAAAAGTAGGACCACTTAACAAAAAGTCTTTAATTGTCATCATAATTGATGGTTGAAATGAATGGTCCAGATTGAATCTTGCATGTTCCTCATCTACCAACCTGTTAAAGGTTGACCTCTAGGGTAGTAGTACTCTTTATGTATTTAATATTATTAACTAACTTATTAGAGAACTTTGTGACAGTGCTGCTGCCTGTCTGAGGACTTCTGCTATGCTATTCCGAGGGATTTCTATTACACGAAACACTCATTACTAGTACCATAATTTTACAAAAAAAAATTAATGTTCTGCTCTAAAAATTGATCAATTGAAATGTTATCAATTAGATGGCAAACCTTTTGTTTCCTTGTTCCCTTCATGAGGAGGGAGGGATAGTTTGGGTAATTAAACTAGTCAAACGGGTCCTGTATTCACCCGACCATGATTAAAATTAACCGGGTATTCTTAACACCGTTGGGTTGCAGTACGTCTTGGCCTTGGGTACCGAATCAAAAGCCGTGTCTGAGACATTGATGCTTTTTTTAGTTTTTGTGTAAATGGGTCTCTGCCACTGGATTTCTTTTTATCTTCCTTTTTATGGGAATGAAACTATCAGGGAAAAGAAAGGCTCTGCAGCCTAGGGAGAGGAGCTAAGATTTTCTTTTTTTTTATCATTATCAGTGATTCATAGGGTCCCTGCAGATTTCTCAGGAACCCCAGAAAAAGGAGCTGTTAATTTTTTGGAAATCGACCATCTTATAGAAGTTCTTTTACAGTTTGATTTTGACAGAGAAAAATCAAAAAAATATAGCAGAAAGAGGGCTTGGCTTGTGTTGAAGGTAAAGGAAACAAATTGAGGATAAGGTTTTTGAAGTGAAGTGAGTTGTCAATTGAAAGAGAAGCTTACAGGTGTTTCTCACTAATTGACAAGAAACAAGAATCACTTGTTTGTTAAGCAACATCACTAGCCAGTACAACAAGAAAAGGGATTGAAGCAAGTAGAAATCCAAGAAAACTTTGGAGGTTTTTGTGGGTTAATGCTTTTTGGGAAGTGGGTTTTCAGTTTGTTAGCATTTTGAATTTTTCTTTTTACACCTATATATATATATAAGCAGATATAATGCATGGCCATCTAAATTCTGTGTGGGTGATCATCAAAAGCTTTCTCCTTTTTCTCTCTTTGATTAAACAAATCAGTGACTATCATCATTACAAATTCTAATTAATTAAGCACATGGAGGCAAGACTTTGTTGTTTTGTATTAGCACTGCAAATAGTGTGTTTGGTTTTTGGGACAAGCAGGCCTTTTGCACCTGATGACAATGTTGGTGTCAATCAACTCTCAGGTTAGGACTTTCTTTTCCATCACAAACTCTATATCTTGCAATGATTATACCTGTCTTCTGGTTTTTTAGCTCCTATTAATTACCATCTTCCCCTCGTTGGTTCTTCTCTCTCTAGTTTCAATCTCATTTTCATCACCTTTTTAACATCAAACAAACATGTATATATATTTGATTTCACATTCATTGGCTTACTTTTGGCTTCTGTCTCTCCATATATCAGAACTGCTGATGATGAACTGCTAGAATTTTTTTTCTCCAATTTGCCTCTTTCTAATACACTTGAAAGTTTTAGAAAGGAGAAACCGTTAGGCTCAAACTTTTTTCGCCTTTGACAAATGAAAAGAGGATATATTACATAAACAAACTCAAATTTTGACTGTTCAAGTCATTAAGAAAAAGAAAATTCCACTTTCCCAGAAAACAGTTTCTCTTGTAGCCTTTCTCAGTGTGAAAAGTTCCTTACTTTCTACTGATGTATTTTACTTTAATAATCTTAAGTTACCATTTTCCTAGGAGTAGGGACCTTTTCTTATTTTACATCAGACCCCATCTTTTTCTTATTCAGCTTGCAAAATTGCCATATTTAAGCACTAACTATCATTAAATGCATGATCATATATGATACAATATGACAGGCCAGAAAGCACAGTCTGTACAAGTTCCTTTGGACTCTAAACAGGTACTCTCTCTCTCTCTCTCTCCACTTTATCTATTTATTTTTTTTTTTTTTTTTTTTTTTTCTGTTAACAAGTTCCTTTGGACTCCTAAACAGGTACTCTCTCCTCTCTTCTCTCTCACTATTATCTATTTATTTTTTTTTTTTTTTTTTTTGCCAACTCCAGAAACAAGATCGTTTTTGATATTTTTTTTTTTTTTTTTTTTTTTTTTGTCCAAACTCCAGAACAAGATCGTTTAGATAAAGTTTTTGATTTTTAACTTCTGAAGGGTATTAAAAGCATGAGAGGAGTCGGAGTGGCAGGTTTAAATGAAGAAGAAGAAGAAGAAGAAGCATATTCTAAAGGATTAAGCAAAATAGGGTCAAGTCCACCAAGCTGTGAACACAAGTGCTTTGGTTGCACTCCATGCGAAGCAATTCAAGTGCCTACAACTAGCAAGAACCATAATCATTTTGGTGTCAATTATGCAAATTATGAACCTGAGGGTTGGAAATGCAAGTGTGGCCCTACTTTATATAGCCCATGACCATGTCTAAAGGCTGAAGCTTTAGCTAGATAATCTTGTCTTTTCTGTACAAATTCACATTCATATTATTATCAGAAACAGGCAGTCTCTATCTGTACCTAGATAACAGGCTTTCAATAGTTAGAGCATTTGTTTTGCTATTCTTTAACCCATTTATATGGAACATGCTGAAGTGAAGGTCACTGTGACTGCCTCTTTAATCTTTTATGATAATGGATAATTTGATTTGTTTTTTCTTTCTATTCTGAAAACATAAAAATAACTGTAATATATATTAAAATAATTTATGAGGACTTTATTCTCAATTTTTTTGGTAAAAAACAAAAAACTATACAGTTAAAAAACAATAATATATCATAAGATGAAGATGTGTGGGCTTATCACCTGAAAACAATAATAGAAAGTTAATTAGGCTTCTGTTTTTGTTCAAAAACTATGGATATGGGCTACACTCAAAGCGGGCTAAGGCCCAATCTATTCTGGATTGTTCATGATATATCGTTTTAATAGGTAACTGTTGACATTTTTTTTTTCTTCGTAAACTATGGGCCTAGACTATCAAAAAGTGGGTCAGGCCTATTCTCTTCCAGTCTTCCTTACCCATTAGGACGAGCTGTTAAACAGTTAGGTCCTTGGTTGCTCAGAATCGAAAGCAGAGACTCTGCAACTAAACCAACACTCAATTCCGTCGATGGCGCTCTCTGGCTCTCGTGTAAGTCTCTCTCTCTCTCTGTGCGAGTTATAGAATGTGAAGATGCCAAATTTAGATTCACTTTAACTGTTTTCTATTCCAGATCTCGATCTAAAGATTTAACGATATGTAGAAATATGCTCTGTTTGGTTGCTAAGAAAATATGGGAAATGGAAAGCGAAGTTAAAATTTTCGACGTTACCTTACTAATTATTGGCCTTGGTCATCGGATCTCCTTGTTATATTCATTTTCTATGCACAAGTATAGTATTAACTCAATCGTAGAAGCTGAGTGTAATTTTGGATACTTGGTTGGATTTAGAATCTAGAAATGGAGACTTGATTTATGGAAATTAATTCATCTGAGTATTGGATGGAGATAGCTAATACTGTGAGATTTGGCTCCAGTGCAAGATGGCTGTAGATGGATCCTAGCCTGTTAGGCATGAGTTAATTATGTTAAGTTGCAATGAACTAATTTCCATCTTTGTGGTGGATCTAAGTAGTTGTAAGATGAATTGTTCTAGTTTTCTTTCTTAGATGGTAAATTGATGGTTTTGTAATTTGTTTAGTTTTAATTACATTGGATTCCATAAAGTTTAATTCATGATAGTGAAATGAACATTTTCTTTCATGCCAAACATGAGTGCATGAAATTCTTTTGGAATTCATCTATGCCAAATAGGGCCTTTGTGGTTGATTTCTTCATCATTTCTTCCATATACTGCACACGAGATTCAAGATCCACACTTGCCTCTGTGAACATTAATGGAGAATAGTTAATTTTGTGTTTTTGCAGGATGCATGCCCCACGGTAAAGAACATTCTTCTACTAGACTCTGAAGGGAAGCGTGTGGCTGTCAAATACTACTCAGATGATTGGCCAACTAATAATGCTAAGTTAGCTTTTGAGAAGTCACTGTTTGCAAAGACTATGAAGTCCAATGCCCGTACAGAAGGTTTGCTTCATAAGTTGTATTTGCTATTTTAGATTTGCATGATGGCTAATTGGTTGTTAACATATTATATCAAAATTATTTACTAATGTGCCCTTTAGTAGTTGTAGCACTTCCTGACCAACAAGGTTCTCTTCTAGATCGTATAGAATAAATTGTATGCATAATCCTTCATTAATGCTGCACATTTCATTCAATCAACTGTTTGTCACTCATTTCGCAATTAAATATATGATTCTTAATTAGAAACAAATTAGCAGGCTTCTTTTATGTTCAATAAGAACAATATTCTTTTGTGTGCCATTGAACATAAAACAGTCGCCTGTTATTCCTTCTGGCTCATAGGAAGCACTAGTTCAGTCTCCAATAGATGAATTCTTGATTTTTCATACTTTGTTAATATTTAAACAGGGGATATTAGGTAATAAGTTACATCCGATTTTCATTCTTTAAAATCTGAAGTTAAATTTGTGTTCTATACATGTGTTCCCACTGATATGTATGTATATTTGTGTGTGTCTGTTTCTGTGTTTCATGGCATCCTTAATGGTCCATGCATGTACAAATTACTGTCAAAATAAATTGATATCCTTGGAGTGTGAAGACATAGCCAGGTCGAGTATTAGGATGACTAATGGGTATGACATTTCTGCATTATCATCTAATATATGTGTGGCATTAGCCATGTTCCCTTGTAATTAAATCTCTGTGAAGGTTAAAACTAGAGAGCCTTCAAGATTATGCTTAATCTGTTACAAAGGTTATGAGATAATGTACAATCTGCATTCCTGATATGTTCTATATGCAGCGGAGATCACAATGTTCGACAACAATATTGTTGTCTATAAATTCATCCAGGACCTCCACTTCTATGTGACTGGAGGTGATGATGAAAATGAACTCATCTTAGCTTCAGTTCTTCAAGGTTTCTTTGATTCAGTTTCCCTGCTTTTGAGGTATTTGTAGCAGTAACTTCAGCCTTTGTTCTTAACTTGATTTAATGATTAATTAGTTCTTGTTTCTCGTTCATTTACCTTTGATATTCTTGTTTATAGGAGTACTGTTGACAAAAGGGAGGCACTCGAGAACTTGGATCTTATTTTTTTGTGTCTTGATGAGATTGTTGAAAAAGGGTATGCAGTTTGCTTCTTAAATTTAAATGTTATGCTTTTTCTTAACCCTTTTTTGTGCTCATTTGAACTTTGTGTTGGTTTCTTTGCTATGCAATTGTCATTTTAGTTAGGAACTGAAAATGGAATATACAATATAAAATTCAGTATCCATGATACTTTGTGCTGCCTTTTAGTCTTCCCTGTTAAGGACATGCGCCCTATTTGTAATGGCAGTTTGTTTAATGAAGGGAGTTGATGGTTTATGTATCTTTCTGATGGCAACAATCTGAAGATCTGTTTTGAAGACTTTTGTGTACATAAATTAAAATTTGAACTTGCTATAGTTCAGAATCCATCAATTTTATTTTTTGAGAGTTCACTGAGTGGGATGATGATAAGAGTTCTACACTTGTTACTCTTTATCTGCAGCTCAGCTTGCACGATGATGCAAGCCAACACCCAAGTGGTGCCCTCTATGAACAGGCACTGATGGCTTCTGCTTAGTTCTTTACTTATGGTCGAGAAGCATTTGACACTTTCTATTTATTTGTTTTGGCAGGATGATACTTGAGACAGATGCCAATGTTATTGCAGGAAAGGTGGCAGTAAATAGCATGGATCCTGGCGCACCTTTGTCCGAGCAGGTTTGATTTCTATCTATCTATTATTTTCTCAATGCTAAATAATTGGATTACAAAATTGTTGAACAACTGAGACATTTTTGACATGAACCACAAAAACCTCTTTTGCATATTCTGAGGAATCCCTTTTTTCTTTAATTTAAATACATAACACGTTCAGAGATCAACTGCTGTTATACACTTAAACTAGTGCATTTTCTCTCCAATTTCTGTGTGTAACCTTTATGTTTCCTTTCTAATACTGTAGACCATAAGCCAAGCATTGGCTACGGCACGTGAACATTTGACGAGAACGCTCTTTCAGTAAGCTTTCCATGGATGGGCAGAGAAAATCTCAGATTTCATTCTTTGTTAAATTTTGTTTTCCAATCTGTTGGCATGTAGAAGTTCATTCCATTTGATACATTATTGGTGGGCTTAAAAATAGCGAGGATAGTTCCAACTGGGCTTGTAATGATTATGTTTATCACATCAAATAATAATTTTAAAAGGTTGTGTGCAAGGGTTGGCTTTTTTTGTTTTACTGCTTTCTAAAATTCTGTGTTTGCTTAATGGCACGTGGTTTACCGATATTAAGATTTGAGATTCCTCTTAAACCCACGCTATTATTAATGGTAAATTAATATGAAGACGACAGTTTTTACTGGAGGGACAGGCTGTGAAGGGTAAAAAAGGCACAAAGCAGGATATTATTGGACCGACATATGCTTTAAAACTATGTTCTTTTCCAAAATCTTGTGTGGGAATTTTGATATCTGAACTTTCCATAATACCGAGATTTGAAGTCAAGATGCTCAGATTTTATATCTACAGCTTGAAACGAAAAAGAACCAGAAAAATGGAAAAACTGAAATTTCATTAATTACTCTTCCGAGGCTTTATGGCTTTCTTAAATCCCTAAATTTGTTAATAGTAATAGGAGTATTTTAAAACTGAAATATTTTTTTCATCCTTTTCATTAATTCAAGTATTTAGTTTTAGGTCTGTCTTTTTCTTATTTAACATCTTCCACCGTTTATATATCGCCCATGAAAATCCAAATCTATATATCAATGAAGCTACTAAAAGTTGTTAATCCAATTATATATTTATACTCAAACAAAGAAATAACATTAAGGGGCAACACAGAAACAGATATAAAGAAGAGGCTGTAGCAGCCACCAACCAGAAGAAAACAGAAGATCTGTACAGAGCAGGCAATTGCCAGAAATTTAATATTTATTTGTACGCACGTGTGGAAACAGCTTTTTATCATTACAATTAGTCAACACTACACGTCGGACGGTCTTTGGTGTACGTCGGCACATTACACGCTTGCTTGCAACTTGTTATTTGCTTATTTGCCACTGCTCATATTGAGAAATATTCCTCGTTTTTTCCAACAAAATCATCATTTCTTATCCTTTAGGAATCTAAATAATTTCAGATTATTTCTTGCTTCCTTCTTCAAATATTTAGGATTTATTCAGAAAAAAAAAAAAAACTGCACTTTTTCCTTTCTTTTTTAATTAAACACGCGGATTTCGATAATACAGCCGCGTAAAATCCTTTTAATATTAATTTTTTAAAAAAATAATCCGATTTAAAATGGAATTTATTTATACCCATCCGAATTAAGATTTTGTGTATTTAGAGAAACTTATTGACTCGGGTTTAGTGTTTTGATTTATTAAGTTTTGTCTAATTGTAAAAATTATATATAAAGAAATTAAATTTGTTGACAAGACAAATATATAATTTCTTTTCAAATTTCATTTAATGAATTACAAACTTACAAGTTGGAATTCTGAGTGTGTACCCAAATGTAATAAGGACATGGAAGACCATAAGAGTCACGTATGATAAGTGCTTCTATGAGAAGTATTTCCTTTTAGAAACAAACAAGATGAAACGAAAAAGAAAAAGTGTGCATCTTATCATGTCTCTTTCTTTTCCTATTGAACGAGTGAAAATCTTCTCCGCCTTCATATTTTCAAACTTCACATCAAATATAGGTTTTATCTACTTCGCATGAATTTCCACAAACGTCTCATTCAAGTTCAAACATCCTCAAATGGAAAATTAAAATTAAAAAAACATGTCAATAGTTAAGGAATTTTCATTTTGTTCAATGTGAAAAACGTTTTAGGGTTAGCTATCTACTTATTCATTTTGATATCCATCCATGAAATTTTTTAATTTCTCATTTATTTGATGATAAATTTAGTATATCGTGAATATAAATTACAAGCAGTAGGTCAATCATCTGCATTGGATATGCAATTTATGTATTAATTTGTAATTGGTATTATATAGTAATATACTATAATGAGTTAGGTAATATATAATTAATTAAAAATAATTATTAATTTATATTTGAGTTTAACAAATTTTAGTGGATTATGCCTTTTGTTGAACCAACCACGGTCATTGATCAATACATTTGATAATAATATATTGCAAATAAATAAATAAATAAAATTCCCAACAAAAAGAACATGTTCTAATTTAATATTTAATTAATTTCAATTTTACGCATAAACAATATGTTGCAAATAATTAATCTTATTTGAATATTATAATATTGTTACTCAATAATAATATATATTTATATTAGTAGAAAAATCGAAATTCCATTAAAAATATTATTAGAATAATGACACTTGTATGCACTAATATAGAATTAAATATTCCAACTTTGCTTCTTCTTTTTTTTTTCCAACAAAATAGTACATTTACATATTTTATAATTAACGGTTTCCCACTTAATTATTTAAAAATTAAAAAAATTCACCCACTAAATTGGATAGCCCAATAGTATAATTCCTAAAATTGCTTACAGCACATTTAATTAACTTGAGCTCTCTCTAGCATTGAATCTCTAATCTCTATTATGATTTTGATGGTGAGTGATGATGACATGGAGCCCATTATCAACCCAATAGTCAAATACTACTTTAAAAAAAATAAATCTTAATTTGTAATTAATTAATTAATTTGTGGGTCATCCTCTTTCAATGTACCTTAATGTTATAATAAGTTAGGACTTATCCTAAAAAACTTGAACAAGCTAGGTCACAAAAAACCAAAAACTTCTTTGTCATTACAATGTTTATATTAGTAATAATTCAACAACTAATTAAATAAATTACGACTATTTGTTGATTAATAAAAAAAAACACTAACCCACTTAAGTTTGGAGACCCTACTTGAAAGCTTGACAGGTGACTTCTTTTTAAATGGATGATTAAAAATCATTATTCCTAACCTACGGATATGGTTTAATTGGCAACATAAATTGGACATATGGAAAGAGCTATCGGATTCAATCCCCATTAAATATATTTGCAATGAGAGACAAAGAATTTTAACTGTGATTAAGTCTTAAGTCCAATTAAACAGTTCCTAGTAATGGGTCCAAACCTCTAATCAACATTAGAGTTGAAACTTAGTTTTTTTTTTTCTTTCAATCACGTGATGATCTCGTTAGTCTTTTTACTCATGTAAGGAGTGAGAGATTTCAAGTTCGAGTCTCTATTGACCATAGTTATTTTCACAAATTTAGTGCATAAAGATTTATCCTCAGTTGTAGATTTTACAATGTTATTTCAGCCGATTGAAATTTTAATAAATTAAAAAAATAAAAATAGTATATTTTTTCTGCTTTTCAAGCAAGTCCAAATTAGGTCATGGCTAGTTGACATTAACTTTATAGATGTATCCAACTATTTCTACTACATGCTTGCTTTGAATTTCATGTCCTACTTTAAATAATTTTGTACATATCAAAATCTTTATATATTTTTAAAATTTTCTCATATGCATTGAATAGATTTTTAACAATAAAGTTGCATTATTGTAATAAAACACTTCTGCAATAAAAAAAAAAAAAATTGATTTGATATTTTCAATGTATAAATATAGAATTTATACATGTGCTTCTTCTAGTTGGCTATTTGACTGTTTCCCATGGAATGGAGTGGAAGACCTTAATGTAGGCGCCACCCTCCACTTCTTCCTTTCTTTATTCAATTACAGCCATCTGATCTGATGACTTTTTTAAATTTGAAATGGCTTGTTCAAAATTTGAAAGACAGAAAAATAGTTTTTCAAATGCATTTTTTAGTCACCTTTAACAAATTTTAATCTTTTATCACTACATATTTATTTAATATTATTAAATTTAATAATGTGTGAATTAGCAGAACAATTAAGATGATAAATAAAAAAAAAAAATCTTCCACCATTGCTAGCTCTTGAAGAAGCTTGATAAATTATTTGTTACCCTTTATGGTATAACGTCAAAATCAAATAAAATAGACATGCACCGTTCAATTCACGTAATTATGAAATATGGACAACATGAGTTTAGGTATTAGGTTCTATAATATGGAACAGGAAAATAATTTACTTTTAGATTTTTTTTTTGTGTTGTTATAATTTAATTTATAGGTCAGATAAATTTACTTTTAAAAGGAAAATTATGAGCAAAATAGTATTTAAATTGTCTACTATATATTTACCACGTGTCACTTCTTGCATGCATATATATTTACATTTTAAAATTTGTTGTTTGATGTTAAATTTGTTAATATATTTCCATGGCAATACGATGAAAATAGCTTGTTCTAAAATACTCGTAACATTTACGGTTTCAAGGAATACTAAATATTCCTTTTCGTGTTTATCCTTTTTATATGACTAATAATTATTACTTTAATTTAATGATTTTCTTAAAAAATTAGTATTAAATTAAGGATAATATAGTGAATTTATTCAATAATTTATTATAATTTAATGATTTTCTTAAAAAACTTAATATTTCAAATGTGATAAATATTATGGAATTGATATCAATCGTACCTCCATAACTGCAGATGAATAGACGGTAAAAAGTAAAAAAGTAAAGATTAAAAGCCTAGAAATTGAACAAGTACTAAGAAAATGACTCCTAATTTCAGGCATAATTTATGTCTCTCATTTAACACTTGTCAAGAAACGTAAAAGGGCACTTAAAATCACAAATATTTTTTGTAATTTTATTTGTTTTTTCTTTTCATTTTTAAAATTTTTTTACTCATTTAAAAAAATACTTAATAAATCAGTTAAAATATTTACTAAATTTATCTGTGTAAAGTTGAAAATTTAAAATTAATATTTTACCTGAATACTATTTGGGGCGAGTGATTACGTGTGCAAAAAAACTGATTTTATAACTTGCCATATAGGATAAATAGGTCCCACGCGCTGACCAGTTTTAAAAGAACTGGCAATCAAAAACCCTTGGCCCGTGCCAGGTCATTTTAACGTGTAAGAATCCTGTAAAAACATTTGTTTAGTAATTTATTTATTTTTTAATAAATAAAGAAATAGAGAGAAAAATTTATTATAAATATAAATTACTATACTAGGTGAAAAAACAAAAGAAAAAAGAAAATATAGGTTAAGGGAAGGGAAGTGAAGGCACCCCGGGAATTCCTGGCATTGGTTCTGACTTCCATCGTAGAGAAAGGGAGGGAGAGAAAAGAAAAGAAAGATAGAGAAAGAGTGTTTCTCTCTCCGTGGCCTAAAACCCTGTCTTTCTCTTTCTCTCTCCTCTTCTCTCTCTCCCATTCTCTCCTCCACTTTCTCTTTCTTATAAAATCAAATTTCTCTCTCTGAAACAAGGTTTCTCTCTCTAGATTTTGTTTTGTCCTTTCTTGATCTGCAACTCTCCAGCTGTTGTTCTTCTTGTTTCTTTGTCTCTCTGGTCGAATGGGTCTTTGCTAATTTTTGCTCTAGATGAACCAGCCTCATGATAGGTACCATTTTTCATTTTCTCCATTTTCTTGTTGCTGCTTTTCATGGCGTGAGCTTTTTTGTGTTTCTTTATTTATTCACTTGTTTCTGTTGAGGTTAAGGAAATTTTTTTGAGATAAAGATTTGGTTATCAGTTGTAGCTGGACATTGCTTCCTCAATTTTTTTTCCCTGTAGGAAATGTTTTTTTTTTTTTTTTAATTTGATTCTAGTGACTCTTTATTTTCTATGTGTTTCTGGAAAATGTGGAATTGGGTTTGAGATTTCGGCTTATAATGTTGGAAGTCTAGACATGGTGGGCAATTAAGGTCAATTATTGGGCTCCTTTGAAATCTTTTCTAGCTGTAAATGAATGCGGATTTGTACTTGTTTGTCTCATTTTGATCGATTCTTATTTTACTAGCTGTTTATTTCCTCATGATGCACAACATCATAAAATTCTGTGTGTTAGATTTTGAATCCAAGTTTTCAAATTTGAAATATGATTCATTTGATGTACTTTGGTATTTTCGAACTTCATTGCATAAAAGTTTAATTTCTATGATTTAATGAATGATGTTTAATCCTTGATGTTGGTTTTCAAATTATATGATATATGATGTTATTTATGTTGCAATTTGTTAATCGAATCTTCCTTTTCTGTTAATTTCCTTTTATTTTTTTTTTGGTTGCATTAGGCTTTAGAAAAGAAATTGTTTGAAAGGGACGCCTTTGATATCTGCATTGAAGGCAGGGCTGTGGATTTCCCTTTCTGCTGTTTTTGAGTCAATTACAGCTGCTCTGAGTTAAAAATTTAAAAGATGGGACGAAGTAGGATAAGGTCGAAGCTCCGTCGGAGCCATTTTCACCCATTCTCGTGCATGAGACCAAGAACAGAAAATGATGATGGACCACATCCTATTGAAGGCCCTGGATATTCAAGAATTGTTCACTGTAACCAACCCCGTATGCACAGGAAAAAGCCCTTGAAATATTGTTCAAATTACATATCCACCACAAAATATAATGCAGTCACCTTCCTGCCTAAGGCGCTCTTTGAGCAGTTCCGGCGGGTTGCCAATATCTACTTTCTTTTGGCTGCAATTCTTTCACTTACACCTGTTGCCCCATTCTCTGCTGTGAGTATGATTTTTCCTTTGGCTTTTGTTGTTGGTATCAGCATGGCAAAGGAAGCTTTGGAAGATTGGCGTAGATTTATGCAGGATATGAAGGTTAATTCCAGGAAAGCTAGTGTTCATAAAGGGGATGGGGTTTTTGGTTTTAAGCCATGGCAGCAGATTCAAGTTGGTGATGTGTTGAAAGTGGAAAAGGATCAGTTTTTTCCAGCTGATTTGCTTTTATTGTCCAGTAGTTATGAAGATGGAATTTGCTATGTGGAGACTATGAATTTAGATGGTGAGACGAACTTGAAGCCGAAGAGGGCTTTGGAGGTAACCTTGCCTCTTGATGATGATGAGGTTTTCAAGAATTTTACAGGAATGATAAAATGCGAAGACCCAAATCCCAGTCTTTACACCTTCATTGGTAATTTTGATTATGAGCGTCAGGTTTATGCTCTTGACCCTAGTCAGATTCTCCTTAGAGATTCCAAACTCAGGAATACAGCCTTTGTTTATGGGGTTGTTATATTCACTGGTTTTGACAGCAAAGTCATGCAGAACTCAACAAAGTCCCCTTCAAAGAGGAGCAGAATAGAAAGAAAAATGGATAAAATTATATACGTCCTTTTCAGCCTCCTATTATTGATCTCATTAATAAGCTCGATCGGTTTTGCAGTGAAGATAAAGCTTCAAATGCCAGATTGGTGGTACATGCAACCGTCAAAACCTGAAAATTTGTATGATCCCAATGCCCCTGTCAAGTCAGGTCTTGCCCATCTGATCACTGCTCTCATCCTTTATGGGTATTTAATACCCATCTCTCTTTATGTTTCAATTGAGGTTGTGAAAGTTTGTCAAGCAAGGTTTATTGATGAAGACCGGAGCATGTATGACGAGGAAACTGGCAATACTGCTCAAGCACGAACATCAAACTTAAATGAGGAGTTGGGCCAAGTGGACACGATCCTTTCTGATAAAACTGGCACTTTGACCTGTAATCAGATGGATTTTCTTAAGTGTTCCATAGCTGGTATTGCATATGGTGTGCGCTCCAGTGAAGTTGAACTTGCTGCAGCGAAACAGATGGCCATGGACCTTGAGGAGCACGATGCAGAAATGGCTAATGGTTCCAGGCATACAAATCGAGATAGTAATTCATGGGAGAAAAGCAGTGGAGCACCAGAAATTGAACTGGAGACTGTCATTACTTCTAAGGATGAAAAGGATCAGAAAGGAGCGATAAAGGGGTTCAGTTTTGAAGACAGCCGTTTAATGGATGGAAATTGGTTGAAGGAGCCCAATACAGATGTGATTTTGTTATTTTTTAGGATATTAGCAGTTTGCCAGAGTGCGGTTCCAGAGCTCAATGAAGACACTGGAGGCTTCACATATGAAGCAGAATCTCCTGATGAAGGGGCCTTTCTCGTTGCAGCTAGAGAATTTGGTTTTGAATTTTGTAAAAGAACTCAATCAAGTGTGTTTATCAATGAAAAACATGCTCGATCAGGACAGTATGTGGAAAGGTAAGGATGCCAATAAATAATTTTTTTTGTTACTCTGGCTTTTTGTTCATCAGTCCCTTTGATTTTTCATTAAACTGGGCTGTCTCATGGGAATATTGCAGAGAGTTCAAAATTCTCAATTTGTTGGAATTTACTAGCAAAAGGAAGCGAATGTCTGTAATTTTGAGAGATGAGGATGGACAGATTCTACTCTTCTGCAAAGGTGCTGACAGGTTAGATTCCTAACTGTCTTTTAATTTGTTTCTTTTTATAAATTTGAAGAGTATGATAACTAAAGCAATTAGAATTTCCAGCATTTATTGATCATTCTTTGTATTTTTGAGGGTCATATCTAATATCCCTACTAGATTGCCTCCAAGCCATCTGAAATACCATCTTGCCGCTGCCTCCTTCCCATGCCCCAAAACAGGAAGGACAAAAATTTATAAACTTCTTGCTTGCGCTGCAACTGCTCATACTCATTTGCTTTAATTATACAGCATCATTTTTGACCGGCTAGCAAAGAATGGAAGAACATATGAGGAATCTACTACTAGACACTTGAATGAATATGGTGAAGCTGGGTTGCGGACATTAGCACTTGCATACAAAAAGCTTGATGAGGCCGAGTATACTGCATGGAATAATGAGTTTGTTAAAGCCAAAACTTCTATAGGTGCTGATCGAGATGTAATGCTTGAGCGAGTGGCAGATGTTATGGAAAGGGAATTGATTCTTGTGGGTGCTACTGCTGTGGAGGACAAATTACAAAAAGGGGTACTCATTATCACTACCTCATAGTCATAACCAGCATGTTTTTTCATTTTGGTTTTCTTTTATTTATTTTGAATATTCCTCTGCAGGTGCCCCAGTGCATAGATAAACTTGCCCAAGCTGGTCTCAAAATCTGGGTTTTGACAGGGGATAAGATGGAAACTGCAATCAATATCGGGTTGGTTTCTCAAAGATTACTATAAGGTCCTTGCAACATATTATTTTCTCTGGTAATCTTAGTATACCAAAAAAAAAACTCTTGTTTCCATGATGCAGATATGCTTGTAGTTTGCTTCGCCAGGGAATGAAGCAGATTTGTATTACAGTGACAAACTCAGATACAATAGCCCAAGATTCCAAACAAGTATGTGCTGCTTGGCAAAGCAGTAATTTTTTTTTTTCATGAATTGATTTGATGTTAAGATCTTTGTGCTTTTTATTTCCTAACAGGCTGCAAAAGATAATGTTTTGAATCAAATCACCAATGCCTCTCAAATGATTAAGCTAGAAAAGGATCCACATGCAGCATTTGCATTAATTATTGATGGGAAAACTCTGACGTTTGCTCTGGAGGATGATATGAAGCACCAGTTCTTGGGATTAGCAGTTGATTGTGCATCTGTCATATGCTGTCGTGTCTCTCCCAAGCAGAAGGCATTGGTATAATCCTTTTTACTCATGGAGTTCTCTTTCAAAAGACTGAATGAATAAAGTATTCTTAAGTGCAGATCTAGATATTCATTTTTCTTCTGTTGGGCTTTATGTTTTGGTACCAGGTAACACGGTTGGTGAAAGATGGAACTGGAAGAACCACCTTGGCAGTAGGTGATGGTGCAAATGATGTTGGAATGATTCAAGAAGCTGATATTGGGGTTGGCATCAGTGGAGTGGAAGGTATGCAGGTCAGTATAGTATCTTATTCCTGCATGAACATTAGTAGCAATTTTACCGTCTTTTTTCTTCACTTTCAACTCTTTAATAGTTTTGCACACACTACACTAGGAATTCCATTTAATCAAACAATTAGCAATTTCAAAAGAAAAAAAAAGCGCGTATTTCTCCTTCTGTGTGTGCTAAATGATGTTCCATTGAAGCTGAGAGACCTTTCAAATTCAATTACAGGCTGTGATGGCTAGTGATTTCTCTATTTCCCAGTTTCGGTATTTGGAAAGACTTCTTGTGGTCCATGGACACTGGTGCTACAAGAGAATTGCTCAGATGGTAATAATCAAACAGTTAGCGAGCTTGATGCTTTATTTCATGAATTCAATATCATAATATCCTCTGCACAGATGCACGTATAAAAAAATTGGTTAATCTTTACTGAAACCTGGATATTTGACATTCAGATTTGCTATTTCTTCTACAAAAACATAGCATTTGGTCTCACCCTGTTTTACTTCGAGGCATTCACAGCCTTTTCTGGGCAATCAATTTATGATGACTGGTTCATGTTACTGTTCAATGTCGTTCTTACCTCACTGCCTGTTATTTCACTTGGAGTTTTCGAACAAGATGTTTCTTCTGACGTCTGCTTACAGGTTTGTCTGATTAATTAACTCTTGACTAGCATCTGATCCATGTCTGCTTACATTTATACTAATACATGCATCACTCAATTTGCAGTTCCCAGCACTGTATCAGCAAGGACCCAAAAATCTGTTCTTCGACTGGTATAGGATACTGGGATGGATGGGCAATGGTCTCTATTCCTCTCTTGTTATTTTCTTCCTCAATCTTATCATCCTCTTTGAGCAACCATTCCGCGCTGAAGGTCAAACTGCTGATATGTCTGCTGTGGGCACCACCATGTTCTCTTGCATCATCTGCGCTGTCAATTTCCAGATTGCACTTACAATGAGCCACTTCACATGGATTCAACACCTTTTCGTCTGGGGCAGCATTGCAGCTTGGTTCTTGTTTCTCTTGCTTTATGGGATGTTATCTCCAATTTATTCTGGGAATGCCTACCAAATTTTAGTGGAAGCCCTTGGTCCAGCACCTTTATACTGGTGTTCTATCTTATTAGTAACAGTGACATGTAATTTGCCTTACCTGGTTCACATATCATTTCAAAGATGTATCCATCCAATGGATCATCATATCATCCAAGAAATCAAGTACTATAGGAAGGACGTCGAGGATCAACACATGTGGAGAAGAGAACGGTCAAAGGCAAGACAAGAAACCAAGATTGGATTCACAGCAAGAGTGGATGCAAAGATCAGACAGTTAAAGGGAAGGCTGCATAAGAAACATTCAACGTTGCCGCCTAGTTATGCATCCTCACCATCATAGTTTAATATTTTTCAGTTATTTTTCTTCTTCTTTTTTAAGTTTTTAGGGTTATTTAGCCGTTTGCAGTTTTCTATCATGGCCCCTGTAACCATTCATTTTGCAATTAATTTTTTATCTGGTTAAGTGGACTTTGTTCAAGTCCCATTCATTATACAAAAGCATTCGACCCTTTGTATGTACACTACCTACAACATTTAAGAAGTTAACAGCTTGTGAAAATAGTTTATATGTAACATTGCTATTCTTTTTCCCCCATTTCTTTCTGACTATTTGATCGAAGACGACATTGTTTCCCATGTTTGATTCTGTTTATGGCAATGGAGGGGGATTATATTATAAACTGTTGAAGTTATATTTCATTTAAGTAATCTTTTCTGTAGCAGTAGTAGTTATCTTAAACATTAAGTACCACCTAACACGAAAATAATAATAGCTTTGAATGCAAATTTAAGTCAGTGGTACCCTACGCTACATGCATTGTGTTCAATCCAACTTGGTCCTTGTCCCTTAATGAAGAGTTAAAATCAAGGAATGCATAATTGTAGGACTTGAAAGCATCGTAGAAATATGCTTATGAGATAATTGTTGTTATCAAATGTTTTAGAGGTTGTTGCAACTTAATTACCGAAACATGAAAGCAGGTTTCTATTAACTACTGCAAAAGTAGGTGTTAACGGTTAACCTATGCATTTAGGTAATTATAACAAAATTGGAGAAACTAAATAGTAGTAGTTTTTTTATCTCTTATTTTGTTTATTTAATTTGTTTCTTCACAAAAAACAAAGAATTGCATTGGCAGAAGCAGCACATATGGAATATGCCAAACTACGTCGTTTTCTCAAGGACGAGAAAGCGACATCGTTTAAGTCGCAGTAACGCGATTAGATAGCCTTGTAAGAAAGTCCGCTCTCGATTGGATCAAAGATCACACCAACAGGAGCAAAGCTTGAGAGTTGAAACGATGCCTTCTCTCTCTCTCTCTCTCTCTCTCTCTCTCTCTCTCTTAAGTAATAATCTCTAGAGAGAGAAAGTTAAAGCTTTATTTCCATCTATATCCTATCCATTTCTTTCTCTCTGCTCCCCGGGATTCTCTCCGCCGTCGATTTCATCCTTATCATTGTCGTCGCCACCGACAGCTGTAGGGCCCTTAATTTTTCTTCTTATAAAAAATTTTTGAGGGAATTTTTCGTTTTTTTGTTTTTCTTGGCCATTAAAGGGTTAGGGTTTTTGATTGCTATAGATAGAGAAAGTTTGGGGTTTGCGATATTATGGAACCGCGTGTCGGCAACAAGTTTCGTCTCGGTCGCAAGATCGGTAGCGGATCATTTGGAGAGATCTATCTTGGTTTGTTTTACTTTTTTTAGCTCTTTTTCTTTAATTAATTATCTCTTGATCTTTGATAAATTATTTTTGTTGGTATAATATATTTAGGTACTAATATTCAAACAAATGAGGAAGTTGCAATTAAGCTTGTGAGTTATTTTTTGTCTATTTATTATTTCCTTTTTTGAACTACTTTTTTTTTTAATCATTTTGGTTTTTAGTTCAGAAATTGTTAATTTAGTTAAATTTCTATTCAACGGCAGTGGCTTGTTTCTGTTTATCATGTTACATGTCGTTGGTGGATTTGTTCTGAACTTCTTATTGTCGTTTTCTTGCTCAGGAAAATGTCAAGACAAAGCATCCTCAATTGTTGTATGAGTCAAAGCTATATAAAATTCTGCAAGGAGGAAGTAATTACCATTAGTTGCTATCTGGGTTCCAATTTGTCTTAGTTTTCTGTTAGTTTTTTTTCTTGCAATTCGTGCTTATTGCTCCTTATCGGAATCTTGGCAGCTGGAATTCCAAATGTTAGATGGTTTGGTGTTGAAGGGGACTATAATGTCCTTGTGATGGATTTACTTGGACCAAGTCTTGAAGATTTGTTCAACTTTTGCAGTAGGAAACTGTCTCTCAAGACTGTTCTGATGCTTGCAGACCAAATGGTAGGATTTTTATTTTAAAAAATGCTACGTTCTTATGAATTTATTATGTCATGATTTTATGCTGTTTCATTTATTTTCTCAATTATGATTTCCTTGTTAGATTAATCGCGTTGAATTTGTTCACTCCAAATCATTTCTCCATCGAGATATTAAGCCCGACAACTTCCTAATGGGTTTAGGGAGGCGTGCAAATCAGGTCTCAGTTTGATACTAATTCATTTTGTTGACTCTTTTTATCTTGTTGTGTTTTAGTCTATGTTACTTGATATCCACTTGAATGCAGGTGTATATCATTGACTTCGGTCTGGCTAAGAAGTACAGAGACACTTCAACTCATCAGCATATACCTTATAGGTGAGCAACTTTAAACTACTCATTAGGCTAATTCATTTAATTTCTGCTGTTTGGGATTAAATCTCATTTTTCAATCTGTTGTTTCTAGCTTTGTGCAATATTTACGATTTGTCTGTGTGGATTAGATTGAATGGAATCCACTGTCTTTGCATGTTTGCTTTGTTTAGCATCTAACATCTGTTATTGTTGCTTTTTTCAAAAATCATAGACTGGATTACATCTGCTTTATCATTCAATGACTTATTACCTTTTTCTTATACTTGTCCACATTGGTTACATGCAATCGTAGTGTTCCTAGTTTGTTCTTTGTTTCTTACATCTCAGTACTGCCGAAGTTAAGAAATCTTGTTTTTCATTGGTTTAACCTTGATTTTATTTTACGATTTCTTTATCAAGTCGTTTGTTAGGCATTTGCCAATTATTATTGACCTAAGTTCAAATAACGTGATGTTCTTACTTGGGCCTGACTTAAGCAAAATTTTGCTCATGTAAATTGCAGAGAAAATAAGAATTTAACGGGAACTGCAAGATATGCTAGCATGAATACTCATCTTGGAATTGGTATATTATTACTCTTATTCTAGTTTCCTTGCTGTCTTCATGATGTAATATCTAATTGATTATGAACCATATAATACATATGTAATCTGTAGAACAAAGCCGCAGGGATGATTTAGAATCGCTTGGATATGTTCTAATGTACTTTTTAAGAGGAAGGTAAACACGCCTATCCACCAATATCAGAAAATTTATCCTTCTGTTTTTTGGTTCTGACAACAAGTAAGTTTGTTCTTGTAGTCTTCCTTGGCAAGGACTTAAAGCAGGCACCAAGAAGCAAAAGTATGAAAAGATCAGTGAGAAGAAAGTGTCAACCCCTATTGAGGTAAACTTGTATCTTAAAATAGTATGTCTATTTTATAATATTGTCCTGATTTATTGAACTGATTTAAAATTGCACTTTATGCTCTTTAGACCTTATGTAGGGGTTATCCTACAGAATTTGCATCCTACTTCCATTACTGTCGGTCACTGCGTTTTGATGACAAGCCAGATTATGCTTACCTGAAGAGGCTTTTCCGTGATCTTTTTATTCGTGAAGGTTTGCACTTGTCCCTTTTTGCTCTCAGATATTATACAGACTTTACCTGCTGCAGCAGTAAAATCAAGTGCTTAGCCATTAAAATCAGTTTGATTTCCTTCTTACTTCAGGTTTCCAGTTTGACTATGTCTTCGATTGGACAATTTTGAAATATCAGCAATCCCAGATTGCTAATCCTCCTACTCGTGCACTTGTAAGCATTAATGTCATTACTATCTTTCTTAGGAATTTTAGCTCTACGTGAAACTTTGTAACTCAATGTTTTATTTATTTCCAGGGTCCTGGTGCTGGACCAAGTTCTGGCATGCCTCCTGCTGGTGCAAATGTTGACAGGCTGACAGGTTGTTCCCCTGCTTTTTGGTTTTAGTCTCTTGTAAGATGCTTGTATTCTTATATTCACATATATGAGATGCATAACGTGTAATTTTTGTATTTATTCACAGGCGGGGAAGAAGGTAGATCTGGTTGGCCTTCAGCAGATCCCTCCAGAAGGAGAAATTCTGGACCAATCACAACCTCTGGAAATTTATCCAAACAAAAAGGTCCTGTTGCAAGTGATCTACCCTCGTCCAAAGATGCTATTGTAAGTACCTCCAACACGCACCTGCTCATGATTGGCCATTACCAATAGTAATTGTAGATGGGTTTTGTTGCAACAGTCTTGAACTCCGTTATGGTAGTTACTATTGTTTATGATCTCTCATATTTAGAAATATATATCAGTTTTAGGGGTGATTTTTATCAGTACTCGTTACTTATCAGTTGGATTCGTTTTGCATGCTTGGACTGGCACAGTTATCCAGCTCAAATTTCCTGCGGTCAAGTGGAACATCAAGGCGACCTGCCATTTCTAGTAGTCGTGATGCAGCAGTTATAGGGAATGACTCTGAACCAACTCGCACTCGGACAACAGATGTAAGCCCTGCAGTTAAAGTTTCCAGTGGTCAAAGAAGTTCACCGATTGTTTCTGCAGAGCAAAAGAATTCGACTTCTGGGAGAACATCGACAAATATAAAAACTTTTGAATCAACTCTTCGAGGAATTGAAAGCCTGCACTTCAACAATGAAGAGAGGATACAATATTAGCGAACCCCAATCTCAACTCTCCGGCTGTAAATTTAGAATCGTATACTATTGTCACGTATGTGAAAATGGAATGTGTTATCTCTCTCCATATGTTTACAAGCTGCTAACCGGCACAATGCATATGCTATCTAATTCGGTTTCTTGTTTTGAATTTGATACATCAGCACAGATATAATAGAGTTGAGGTACCAACTGATAGAATATGTATAGCAACACGTTGCCAATATCAGTTTCAAATTCTATAATAGAACAACAGAGCTTGTTGCTATTTTTACTCTCTTAAAATGAATATTATTAGAAAGAACCGAAGAAGTTCTATTTCTATGCTTGTAATTGCTTATTGACTCTCCTCAGAGTTTGGTTTGGTTGATATGATCTATCTGACTAGATCGTTAATATTCCATCTTTTTAACGTGTAGCATCTAGCTTTATGGGTGGATATGTACCTGAGCAATGACATGTTCAGGTACCCAATAGGGTCATGCCATGCCATGAGGCAGTAATCAATCTTACACTAACAGATGTCTAATTTTTGTGTAATCTGTACATGTAGGGTATAAAATATTAAAAAACTAACGGTGCAAGATTGATGTCATTAATGTTCGTTGATGTCATTAAATTGGAACAGAAAAACTGATGGGATTGGAGAATTTTACTAGAATTAAAAAATCATGTGAAATTGTTAATATATGTTATGGATCTTGATCAAAGAAACTATAAAGTCCAAGCAATGGCATATATAGCAGAATCCAATTTCCAGATCTGAAAGTCTAAAGAACAAGAAAGAAAATCAACAACAATACTATAAACTTAAGTAACATTTATAGATTTTAATAAGAGAAATACATCAGATCTTGGCCTCTCCCAATATCCATTACAAGAAAAGAAAACACACAAAAACACAATAAAGAAAGTGTTTCTTTTTTCTTTTTCTTTGTTTTTCTTGAACAAGAAATGTGGGAATGTGGAAATGCTTAACTTCGATCATCTCCATCCATAAACCACTTGAGTATATGTGTCTTTGATCCACCTGAAGCTCTTTCTTAAAGAACCTTTCATTTTGCCTTCCACAGCATAAACCTTATAGCTAGCAACTCTTTTTTTCCTTTGCAATTCAGGATCCTTAAAACTCCAGCTTTTTGAAGATGACCCAATATTATTATTGCTTTTCCCTTTCTTGATCTTCAATTCTTTCCCAAACGGATTTGGTTGTTGTACTGTAGAACCTGCATAGCTTACACTATAAGACCTTAAATCTTGCATGCTTGTGGGTGCTGCTTTGCTGCTGTTGCCTCCATAGTATTCCTCTATTTGCATCCTTCCATCTCTGCAAGACTTGGATCTAAAACCTTCCATTGAAAGAAGAAAAAGAAAAAGAAAAAGAAAGAATCACTTACACAGAAGATTGATAGATTCAAGAATTTAAGGTTAGGTTATAGAGGACAAAGGAAAGAAAGAAAATCTTGCTTTGGCTATTTAGAGGAGTAGTTATAACTTTATTGAAAGTTAACAGTTGCAACCATTTTTGGGAGCTCATAGATTATGACAATTCTAATGTGTTTTTTTGACATTAGATTGATATATTGATGCAAAGTTTTACTGTAATACTTTTCTTTTGCCTTTTGAGTTATATACAAGCACTAAAATATCATTTATTTTTTTCTACAACTATCGATATTTTAAAATTTACTGGGCTCCGATTAAAATTTAATTCCGAGATCTTTGATCAAAAGAAAAGGAATTTTAATCGTTCTATCTCAATTAACATTAGAACATTAGAAACATACTTATTGATTCCTAACCATACTTGGTCTTTTCATGTCTTGGTTTTTAAGATTAGAAATTTTCCGAGGATAATCATGGTAGATTTATTAGAATTAAATCTAAAGCATTGATCTTCCATTTTAGGAGACAAACACTAGTCAAGGACCTTTAAAATACAGAGAATTAGAAGTTGTAAATTTGAAATTCTCTTTCCATCAAATCAAATATTTAAAAGAGACGTACAAGATAAGAAAAAAGAGTAGTAGAAAAATTACATCATTGTATAGTTAAGCCTAATTTAAATTCCATCTATTTTATAAAAAAAATTTTTATTAACCAAAGAAAATTAGGAAAAAACTTAACTTAATGATTGAAATGAAAATGTGTAATTTAGTTCAAATTCTTCATTTTATTTACATTATTAGCCATATTTTTTCACTTAATATTTTGGTTCTAGATTGAGCGTAGGATACAATTTGATTTGATTTTATTTGATTTTGTAATGTATTACAAAAATTATTTTTGAAGCAAATGAAAGAAAAATAACTATTAAAAATAATACAATATTTTTAAGTTTGATTTGATTCGATTCACTTCAATTTATTTTGATTTGGTTTAATTATTTAAAAAAATTTATAAATTGTATTAAATATGAAAATAAATGAAACACAATCTTTGAATTAAGGCGATTTCGATTCAATTTTTTTATTTAAAACCGGATATTGCCAACTATCAATAGGGAAAGATTAATAAATAAATTAACAGCAAAAATATCATAAAAAAAATATAAATAAATAGAATGAAAATATGAAACCATTCAATTCATATAACTCGAACAGTAGATGTCTGAAACTATTATATAAAAGTCGCATTCGCCATGGGTCCAATGTACCATTGAATTTAATTATTTGATTTGACATTAGATGGACCCAAGAGCTTTTAAGAATTCAAAATGGTTCTTCAATTTTCATTATTAATTCAATTTACTCCTTCTTACATGTATTTTAACTGCACCATTAATAAGTTCAAAATGTTCTTAACCAGGTATGGAGTTTTCGATTTTCCTTGTATTAATAATTTATGAAAAAGACTATAAGCATTCTAATCTTTTTTAAAAAAATTCAAAAATAATAGTTTGATTGCCATTTTGTCATTTATCAAAAGTGAGCATAAAATAAAATGGATGGGGACAAATTGCAAATGGACAGGCCATATGATATGTGTTATTTAATCATTGATCATATCTCATCTCATGCAATAAAATACGATAACGATAGGATTTGGTTTAAGAAAAAAAGAAATCATCCATAAGGCCATTTCTTTGTTTGTTCTGTCTCCAATAATCCAATTTACATTTATGGAGAAATGAAATCATTTCATTTATTGACAATCAAATGTTTGGAACAAAGATCATCATTCATTGGTTATTAATTTCAGGACGTGAATGTCCTATCAAAAAAATATATATATATTTAGGAGGTGAATGGACCGTTTTCATTGGCACGAATCTCTGTATGCTTTGGCTAACAAAAAGAAATTGCAGAAAGCAAAATTGAGTGACTAGTAAACAATATGACAATAATTTATAGAAAGGTAAAAAGGGTATATAGTACAAAAACCCATCAAGCAAAACTTTCCAAGAGGACCCAAAAAATAAAAATAAAAAGTAAATAAGAACTAGACAATCCCTTCAGATTGCAATTGAGAAGGCTGATATGAGATAAACTGTCAGATGTCTGAAAATATTAAATTAAGACACTAAACAGGATGGAAAACAACACGTTAAATAGTACTTGCAAAATAAGAAACCCTTTCTCAACAAGCACCAAAAATTCGCATCACAGAAGATCAGCAACATTCGACGGCAGTTCCTCAATAACCACGTTGTAGAACTTCTGAATGTCAAACAGCATTCTCTCATCATCCCTTGTCACGAAGTTAATGGCAACACCCTTTCTTCCAAACCGTCCACCTCTTCCGATTCGATGAAGGTAGTTTTCAGGTTGAGTCGGCAGATCATAATTTATCACAAGGGAGACTTGCTGCACATCAATACCGCGGGCCAAGAGATCAGTGGTGATGAGAACTCGAGAAGAGCCAGAACGGAATTCCCGCATAATGATATCACGGGTGTTCTGGTCCATATCCCCATGGGTGGCCGAGACTGTATGGTCACGGCCACGCATCTTGTCAGTGAGCCAGTCCACCTTGCGCCGTGTGTTGACAAAAATGACACTCTGGGTGATGGCTAGGGTCTCATACAGATCGCAGAGTGTTTCAAGTTTCCATTCTTCTTTCTCAACATTGACATAGAACTGCTTGATACCCTCAAGGGTAAGCTCATCACGCTTAACCAAGATCCTAACAGGCTTGTTCATGAACTTCCTTGTGATCTCAAGAGCTTCTGGTGGCATGGTAGCAGAGAACACTCCTACCTGAACTTTTGCTGGCAGCAACTGGAAAATATCATAAATCTGAAAGACAAAAAACCATATTAGAACGAGAAAAGGCATCAAAAAGTGCCTAAACCATTTGCTTGGAGGGGGGATTAAGAAAGAAAACAGAAGAAAAGAAGGTCCAATTGCAAACCTGATCCTTGAAACCACGTGAAAGCATCTCATCAGCCTCATCCAGTACAAACATCTTAATGTAATCTGGGCGAAGAGACTGCCTTCTCAACATGTCAAACACACGACCAGGAGTGCCCACAACAACATGAACACCTGCTTGAAGAATGCGCTGGTCCTCACGAACACTTGTTCCACCAACGCAAGCATGAACCTTCACACCAAGATAATCACCAAGGGCACGCATAACTTTCTCAATCTGCTGTGCCAGTTCTCTAGTCGGAGCCAACACCAACGCTTGACATTGAACTGTAGCATAATCAAGTTGCTGCAGAATGCCGGAGCAAAATGTTGCCGTTTTTCCAGTTCCAGATTGGGCCTGCTGAATAACATCAAGACCCTTACAAAATGGAACAATTCCCCTTTGTTGGATAGCAGAAGGCTTCTCAAAACCTTGAAAAGAAATTTAGCGAAGCAAAATTTAGCATACTTGGGCAAGTGCAAAAATTTAATAGAGACTATGTAGTATTCACAAACCAGTCAATTTAGTCACATCATGTAAGAACTGACAAGCAAAGAATCCAGTAAAAATTGACTCCAGAAAAATAAAATAAGCTTTAAGTATGACCAGCAGATTGTTAAGATAATTTGAAGATATACTAGCATGTAGAGGCAATAGAATATGAGGAAAAAAACATACCATAAGCATAGATGCCTCTCAGAAGGTTCTCTTGCAATCCCATTGCATCAAAACTGTCATAAACCTCATCATATGTGGTGAAGAAATCTTGTCCATCACTTGAGAGCCTGCAAAGTCAGTTCAAAAAGGCTCATAAATAAACATCAAAACACAATATACGACACTCAATAATTCATGCTTTCAAGCAAAAGGTTGCAAACAGTAAGCTTACAATTCATTCATTTTGGCGTCATATTGCTTAGCATCAAACTGTGATCCTTCTGGTGCCAAACCTGCCATGACTGCACAAGAAAACCATAATTAGAACGGGAGTTAATATAATAATTGCAAAACTGAGCAGGTAGAGGATATAAAACATATTATAGTTCATCCTTCAAGATATTACATAAGCTGCAGGATGGAATGTCCTCATTAATTATTACATAAAACTATATAAAAACAACTAGCAAATACAAAAAGAAAATCATCCACTAGGACGCAGAGTTATCTGCTAAATATTGTATGCTAAGAAAACAAAAGGAATGTCACAGAAGAGCCAAACTTGCAAACCAAACAGGAAGAGGAGTACAAGCATTAAACTTCTGTTTCGCTTTCTGGAGAAGATATACAAAGGGCAGCCAGGTTTCTGATACTTTTGAAGTTCACCACCAGACTGTTTCACCCACTCCTCCAAAATATCAAATTAAAAAATCAAGCCCTCATAGCCTATGTAAAAAAAAAGACAGCTCTCCATGAATTAAGAAAAGCAGTGGAAATTTAAGATTAACAGCTCCAACTCCTGAATTACACTAAATGTTATGAGAAGACTACGGCCTTGTCACATGGGAAATCAACAAGTAAAACAAGCATAGATGAGATATCCATCCAATATTGACACTAGTGTTTTTTGTGCTACAGAAACAGCGAAAAAATAAACTCTCATACTACTACATAACGAAATAGTATCCAACTAGACAACCATAATAACAAAATAAATGCTAGTACAAGACATCACCGATGTAAGCAGTCTTCCGATTCACATGCCAATATTACATTCTGTTCTGATTACATCAAGAAATCGTCTATTCTTCTTTTGCTTAAATCAAGGCCAAATTGAGAAATTGATCATCCAAAAGCTTTCAATAGACTACTGGTCTCATCTAACATCTTGCTGTTCTTCAATCAGGACCACTTAACCATCAAACCAGTAAATGTCAAAAGCTTTAATGCCTACTAGACCTCAGAATCACTCAACTAATTACGTCATCGCAAACAATAAAAATCAAAACTTTACCTATAACACAAGCAAACAGATCAATCCCAGATCCCAAACAAAACCATCAAGAAAAAAACCAGCAAGCATCGCATCAAATCACAGCTAAATCACCCTCCAAAAGGATAAAAAAAAGCTAGATAACATCAAGAATATCACCAGCTACAATACCCAAATAAAAAATAGGTGAAGGCCACATGAAAAAAAATAAACTCAAATATAGATCTCTTCATAAAAAAAAAAAAAAAAAAAAAAAAATCTACGGCCATTGTCCACCATTGGGAAATCTAAACAACGTCAAAAAACTAAGATAGATAGGATTACTCATTCATCTGTTCCAAAATCATTGAACCACTAGTTGTTTCTTTCTTTGGAATTACTTACAAGACCACGCTCCGAAATAAAATAGAGTAAAACTGCTTAACTACTACATAACGAAATAGTATTCCAACTTAGACAGAACGCCCGATTCTCTTGGATGTAGATGAGCTAAATAATAAACAAAATAATGCTATGTAGATATCAAGACATCACCGATGGTGAATGCAGTTTCTTCACATGCCGAATATACATTTCTGTGTGTGATTATATGCAAGCAGAAGCAAGTGGTCGATTCTCTTACTTTTTTGACTTTTATAAACAAGGGCACTCAAATTTGGAAAATTGATCTCATATCAAAAGACTTCCGTAAACTACTGGTCTCATCTAACATCTCGCTTTCTTCAATAAGGAACCACTTAAGACATCAAACCAGTAAATGGTCACAAAATGCTTTGAATGGCTACTAGGAAGAGCGCCTTCGAGGAAGTCACTCACACTAATCTACGTCATCGCAAACCTCATATAAAAGAATTTTCAAAAACTTTACCCTGTAATACACAACACTTAAGATTCAATTCCAGGGAGTACCCAAACAAAACCATCAAGAAAATAATAAACCAGGCCAAGGCATGCCATTCAAAATCACAGCTAACCATCACCTTCCAAAAGGATAGAAAAAAGAAGCTTAGATTATACATCAAAGAAAGAATCTCCCAACCAGGACATAAATCCACATCGACAAAAATTGAATAAGAATGTAATTTCCTGAATGAAGGACTTGGTGGAAGACTTGGCAAAATTGTAGAAAAAAAAAAATTAAATCTCAAATATAGGAGTCTCTTCCATTAAAAAAAAAAAAAAAAAAAAAAAAGCCCCAATAACAAACACTAATAACATTAGCATACATAAACACAATCGTATAACAGGTACCATATATAGAATAGAGTAGAAAAAGTGAAAATAAAGGAAAGAATGGTAAAGAGGACCTGCTGTACTGGTCTGGAGGAGATGAGAGGAGCTTTGATTAAGAAGAAATTTGATGCGAACTCAGTGAGACTTTTTAGAAATGAGTTAGAAGAGATGAAATAGTTAGGTTGTGCTATCACCAAATGTCCTTGCTGAGTGATTTCCGCAACTATGGAGTTTGACTACAGCGGATAAGAGATCTGAGCGAGTTAGAGTCTTGGAATAGGTTGAAGTAAAATGATCCGTTTACCGTCCTATTATCCGTGAGCAAAAACTCTTTTATATTGCTTACACATTTTCTCGTTACGCAAATTCCCGAAATTTGCCCCTTCCAAATATCTAATATATCATTTACTATCAGCTCAATAGATTTGATGATAGTCACATATAGATTAATATGTGATGGAAGCATGTAGACAGTAAAAGAATCTATATTTAAGAAATGAGGAAGAGCTAGTTGAGGAGATGGGAAGCAAATTCATTATCTTCTTATTATTCATTAATTATTCTGAGAAATTGCAAAGAAAATTAGTATAATTGGAAAAAAAAATTAAGATAAAAAGTCATTGCATGTACCTATATTATTCCATGTCGGTTTTTCTTATTAGCTAGAAGTATTAAATTAATCTCAAAAATATTTTTCTCTTTTACTTATTGTGAAAAATTTTTAAGTGAATCTCACAAAGCTTCTATATTGATTTTGTGAATAGTATTTTGTAATAGGGTATTATAGGAAAAAGCATTTTAAAAGTATTTTCAGAGTTAGCAGGATTTTGAGGGTTATGTTTTACTAATCTTTTAAGTTTGCTAGAATATAAGAGGGTTTTGTTCTTCTTTTTTCTGTGGGTTATAGTCTTTGTATTTTTTTTTTAAGATTTTTCTTAACATTTTACCCTTATGCAAATAAATCGCTTAAAGGGTATGTTGTTTCTTAATTGGAGTGGTGTTACAAAACGTAAATTGGTATAATATATTATTAATAATATATTTTCTACTTATGCGAAAATTAGTATTTTTTATGGATAACGAACGTTATTCTATTTTTTAATCGTTATCCTACACTGATCTTTACCTTGAATTCTAGAGTTTACGGCGCGCTATAAATGATAACTACTAATGTCCCATAATTAAAAAAAAATTTAGCTTTTCTCTCTTGCGAATATGCTTCTGTAGTAATATTACACTAATTATGAAGCTACATCATTAGTATTTAATATCACCTTAATCAACCAATGAAAAATGAAAGTATATATAAATTATAGTAACACTCTTAATTTATGTATATACGGTCTTTACATGATATTCTAGAGTTGTACCGTATAAATATAACTACTAATTCAATAAAATTCTTTCTAATAGCGAATTTATAATATGAAATATAAGTAAAAATTAAGTAATAAATATCACCTTAAATCAACCATGAAAAATGAAAGTCTATAAAAAATTTTTGTCAAAAATAATCAATGAAATACTTTAATTAATGAGGTAGCAATGTTTTTTTATTTTTCATTAATAGGGAAATGTAAATTTTTCATCTTTTAAAAGATATTATTTCGAGTAGATTTGAATTTTACAAATATAAAAATTTAATTTACCAGGTAGAATCTGTATTGTTCATGAATATTAAGAATCTAATTTTGTTTGAATGTGAAGTTCATATATCAACAAATACTAATAAATTACCATATTCTTTCGAGTTAATTTTTCATATGATCCTAACAATCAAACGCTTTTAACTTTGTAAGTTAATTTTTAATATTTTGAGTTAATTTTGATTCACAAACCATGTGGAAATGGTCAATAAATTTTAAAAAAATATATAATTTGTGTTGAAAAATACCCAATAATATTCCGATAAGAGCAACATTAGGTTCATGCATAGTATAATAAAGCAAAGCAAAAGGGCAAAAGCATATCCATCCACGCATGAGCTTTGGCATTTGATTGGATAATGTTAATTCGTAAAAAGCTTTTTGACCCATTTTCGCAATTATTGATCTTGTTTTTAATTTAGTTACTTCTCAAACAAAACTTCAAAAACGAAGCTGCAAAATACAAGTCTGAGACTTGCCTAAGCAACCATATATAATATCATATTAGCTTATTAAGCATCTATCACTTTCCTTTTAACTTCTTATTATTATATATTGAACTTCTAATTCCATTTGAAATCCGCTAAAAAAAAACATATTTCTGAAAAGTCAACTCATTTATTATTAAGTTTTGTGACTTGTTTATTTGGATTTTTAAAGTTGTCTTGTGCTCTGTTTGACAACATCGCTAAACTTTTTTTAAAAAATTGTTCGGTAATATAACGTTTGAACTGGGTTTTAGAATTCAGGACAACACTTTATGAAAAGTTAATTCATATAATATTTAGTTTTTAACGTTTCATGAAAACTACTCAAACAGCTAATTTTTTCAAATAAACCCTTAATAAAATATAAGAATTTCTTTTTCCTGTTATTTCTTTTTTTTTTTTTTGGGGGGGGGGGGTAGAGATTTTTTACGTTCAATGGAAACCTAAGAAGTAACGCTCAAAACAGTCTATATTTATTTTACACTTAGTTAAGCCTCTAACTCAAAATAAATTATGAAAATTTTCTTTTATGCCCTAGTTATTTGCTTGTTTGTGATTTGCTTTTTGGCACGGTCTGGCTGGGATGAGGGAATTCATAGTTGGCGCAATTGTTGGCTAGAAAAAATTTCATGTTGTTCAAAAAAATTGATTTTGGTATTTTGACTACAAAGACCTTGGTGGGGGCTGCAAGGAAAATATAAGTTGAATAGGTCTCTATATTATGTTTGGAAAGACAATAAATTTACAAATGGGTTTTAAACTCCCCGTCCCAAGACTTTGTGTCGATCATTAAATTGCCACAAATCTCTTGGAACACACATAACATTAAGTAGTCAGGCAAAAATTGGATTCTTCGCAAACATATGGCATTAAAAAAATGGACTCCAATAAGTATTTTCCTAAATGTGTGAACTATCTTGGGATGAGACGGTTATAGAGAATAGACTATAATTTCACATTTAAAGTCACATTATAAAGATGTGAAAATATACAGAAAGCGTTTATAATCTACATAGTATGAGTAACGACAAGTTTCAATAACTTTCTTGTGATATATCATTCATTAATTGGCTAAAGGTATAATGTTCTCATAAATAAGTATTCTCACACCGAAAATGTAATTTTCTTTTCACATTTAAAAAAGTGTAAATTCTTAATCAATATAAAAGTTATTGTTAAAAAAAATATATGAAAAAGTTATGTTTCGAAACAATCAATTAAGTGCCAATTTGGGGATGTGGGAACAATTATCAAATTGGGGCTGCCAGTAGAAGCGGCACCGCCCTACTCCTCGTGTACGAGAAGTTACCCCAGTCTATGTGTGCTCAACAGTTTCAAGCCAACAAGTTAATGTAGATGCAGCACAAAACGACAATTGGAAGTTTGTCAGTCACACAGTTTAACAGCTGACGTCCCTGTCCGTTTTCGTCTAACAATGGCGTTTAAGAAATCTACTGTACACGTGAATTACTATAAGCAACTGTAAAAGGCGAAGAACTGCCTAGAGACAAACGGGGAATCTTGTTCAAATTGTCTAATGCACCTTATCTGAGGAATACCCAAATAATAGTTTAGCGTACGCTCGCACTCTCAACACGCAAGCCAGTGCATCTAGTTAATCTCGATCTTTACCTTGTGTCCTTCGTCTCGGTGCAGTTTCTCATATAAAGAAAGGTCAGACAAGTATTTCTCAATGAAAGCGCACTCCTGAACTTGACTTCGAAAGAAGAATAACTGTGCAAAAGCATTTTGAGTTTTACTACTACTACCGAGGTAGACGGATACATCTAGTTTAGGCTTCTGTAAGTTGCTACAGTATCTATCAGTCAATTTCCGATCCTATTGCATTACACCCAAAATGAGGATTTCTTACTGAATCTATCCCCGCGTATGAATCTAATGAGTTTATGTGTTTTTTGCTCTGATCATATCGTCACTAACTGAGGTGGGAGAATCAAAGGGAAAGAGATAGAGGTTGAAATTTTTTTGGTATATTCCTTTGCTCTGTTAGCATATTTATATGGTAAGCAAGATGTGTATTGAGCCTTAAACTATATAAAAGTACTTGAATTCATTTTTTATAGGATCAAGAGAATTGGGGGGGGGGTGGGGGGAATTCATTATTGGATTGGTGCTAGAAAAAATTCATAAAAATTGATTTGGAATATAACATAGACTGGTGGGGGAAAAATAGTTATGATTCTAATATATGTTGAAAGAAATAATTTACAAATGGGTAAAACCAAGATTTGAGTATAATAGGATAAACCTTCGAACACATAAATTAAGAGGGCCAAAATGATTAAAACAATTAAAAAATTACTACAAGTCCTAAATTGACTACTAAATTTGTAAGCTGTTGAAAATTTTCATAATTCACATTTAAAATATTAATGTGAAAATATCAAAGTTTAAATCTCATGATAGTAAAGAAATGTAATAATTTATTTGTAATATTAATTGTAAAAATATATGTAGTCTTTCATAAATAATATTGCACACCTAAAATGTAATTTTCTTTTCACATAAAAGTGTAATTCTTAATCAATATAAAAGTTATTTAAAAAAAATAATGAAAAAGTTGGAAACAATAATAATGCAATTGGATTTGGACAATATCAAATTGGGCTGCAGTAAAGCCCGATCCGGTGATCAAAGTACCCCAGCTAAGTTGCTCAACAGTTCAAGCCCAACAATTAATGTGGGCTTTCAAACAAACGACAATTGATTAGTCGTTACGTTTAAAACACGTCCTGTCGTTTCGTCGAACAATCGCGTTTAAAAGAAATCTACTGTACACGTGAATACATAAGCAACTGTAAAAGCGAAGAATTGCAAGGAAGGGGATTGACAAATACACCCATGAACTTTATCTGAAATACCCAAAAAGTTAGCGTCGATGCCCACCCGCAAGCCATGGTTTGTTCGATCTTTCCAAAGCTGTGCCTCTCTGTGTGTCTATAAGAAGACAGAGGCTCAATGAAACCCTAGATCTTCGAAAGAGATAACTTTGAAGCTTTTGTTTCGCTCTACAGGTAACTACTCTGTAGCTTCTGTAAGTTGTACAGTATCTATCATCAATTTCGTTTTTTTGTTTGTACCCAATAGATTCTTTAGAAATTCGGTGAATCCTAATGAGTTTATGTTGTTTTTGCTTTTTGTTTCGTCTCTGAGAAAATCAAAGGGGAAAAAGGGTTGAATTTTTTTATATTCCTTTGTCTCTGTTGATTTTGTTGAAGTGTGTATGTACTTAACTATATATTGAATCATTTATAGCATAAAAGAAAGAATTTTTATGACTATTGATTATTTGATTCCATAAGAAACATTGAGTATTTTAAAAGAAGATAATTGGTTTAATTGGCATTTTTTTTCTGTTCTTCAAAATGGAACAATGTGGTGTTTTAGTGAAGTAGAAATGTTTGTTATACTTGGCTCCAGAGGGGAAACGGAATATGACTCTTTTTATTTGAAGTTATTTTGGATTACAAGTGATGGAAAGAATTGTTATCTCTCTCTACTCTCTTTTTAATTTTTTTTGTTGGTCTCTTTATTGTACAATTAATTCACTGAGAAGAAGTTTGAATAGACAAGGATGAATAAAGCCTATATAGGTCTACAAGCTAAGTTCTGTGGTTTTTTAGAATCATTTGTGGCAATGTACTGCAACTTGCAACTTCAGTTTATTCGGTAATTTTTCTACATGAACATTTCATTGATAAGTTTTTTTGTTTTCTTCTGGGCTGCCTCTTCAGAAATTTCCACAATGGCTGATAGCAATGCATCTTCTAGTTCACCTGAAGAAACTCCCAACCCCAATCCTGATGGAAATGCACCTTCAGATAGTGATCTTGCACTTGATACAATAGCTAGAAAGGTTCAAGAATCACTTACTCTTGGAACAAGACATAAATTTTGGGAAACTCAACCAGTAGGGCAATTCAAGGATATTGGGGATACCAGTTTGCCTGAAGGCCCTATTGAACCTCCAACACCTTTATCTGAGGTAAAACAAGAACCATACAACCTCCCCAACCTTTATGAATGGGTGACTTGTGATATTGACACTGAAGAGATGTGTACTGAAGTTTACATTCTCTTGACTAATAATTATGTCGAGGATGATGAGAACATGTTCAGATTTAACTATTCTAAGGAGTTTCTTCGCTGGGCTCTTCGTCCTCCTGGCTATTTCAAGAGCTGGCATATTGGTGTCCGTGTCAAGAGCTCGAAGAAGTTAGTTGCTTTCATCACTGGCGTTCCTGCAAGAATCCGAGTTCGTAATGAGATTGTTAACATGGCAGAAATTAATTTCTTATGTGTTCATAAGAAGCTAAGATCAAAAAGACTTGCTCCTGTCATGATTAAGGAAGTGACAAGAAGAGTTCACTTGGAGAATATGTGGCAAGCTGCTTATACTGCTGGAGTGGTTCTTCCAACACCAATAGCAACCTGTCAATATTGGCACAGATCTTTGAATCCTAAGAAACTGATTGATGTCGGTTTTTCTAGGCTTGGTGCGAGAATGACTATGAGCAGAACAATCAAGCTGTACAAGCTACCGGAGTCAACTGCTACTCCGGGGTTTAGAAAGATGGAGCTCCGTGATGTTCCTGCAGTTACTAGACTAATTAGGAAATACTTGAGCCAGTTTATTGTTGCACCTGATTTTGATGAAAATGATGTAGAGCACTGGCTTCTGCCAAAAGAAGATGTTGTTGATAGCTATCTGGTTGAAAGTCCAGAAACCCGTGAGATCACTGATTTTTGCAGCTTCTACACGCTTCCCTCCTCTATCCTTGGCAACCAGAATTATTCTGCGCTGAAGGCAGCTTATTCGTACTACAATGTTTCCACAAAGACTCCTTTGATTCAGTTGATGAATGATGCTCTAATAGTTGCAAAACGCAAAGACTTCGATGTGTTCAACGCGCTCGATGTCATGCAAAATGAATCTTTTTTGAAGGAGCTGAAATTTGGACCTGGTGATGGGAAACTTCACTATTATCTATACAACTACCGGATTAGACAAACGCTGAAGCCCACAGAACTTGGTCTTGTGCTTCTATAGTTTGGAATTCTGATTGTTGCATTGGCCAATCAAAGGTTTCTGTTCTTCATAGATTTTTTACCTTTTTTCGGTAAAACTTGCTTACAATTTTGCTTGTAAGCTTGTGATAACTGTGACAAACCTAGATTGTAGATTTCATTGTGCTATTTAAACAAACCAAATTTAGTCAGTTTTCTTGTGACACGTAATTATCCTTGGTTTTTAAAATTCCCGAAATATACTTGCCGTTTTCATAATAAAAATGTCGTTCAATGTCTAACTAGTTTTGTCTGTGACCTACCATCCGATATTTACTTGTCAAAATATAGTTTGCATTAATAAAATTTGGAAGAAAAAGGAAAAAAGAAAAGGAAAATGTTATTGTCTAGAAGCAAGAGGCTTAAAAATGTTCAATTGATTCAATGAATTTACATGTTCCAAAATTATGGATATTTTTGTTTTTTCCTAATTGTACAAGAGAAATGTTTGACCTGTCAAAACGTATTTGCCTTTTAACTAAAAAGGCAAAAGAAAGAAACAAAGTGCAACTCAGAAAATGCCATGGCACTGACGAAATGGGTTTACACACCAGGTTCTGAGAACTACCAAGAATTTTGCTTTTTCTAATTGTACACACGATAACTCTAAGCCAATAGAACAATTTCACCTCGTGAGCCTGCAGAAGTTCATAAAAAAAAAAAAAAGATTTATAATTTGATTTTGCGATGATAAAAGCATTTAAATGAATTGGGACATTTAAGCACTTACATTGTTCATAAATCTCTTTCACTAACTGGAGCATTGAATCTGTGTCTTCTGCTACCTTTGAGACTCTTTCTGATTCCTTAACTGCTTCAGCAGCCAAAAATGATTTATTTTCTGCTTCGGCAACTTTATAAGCAGCAGCTATTGCTGCTTCCTCTACTGACTCGCCAGATGCTAATATAGAGTTCTGTGAATGCCGGGGCCTGATATCTTTTTGTTTGGGGGTTGGTGTTTTTGTTCCCAGTGCGCCATCTTGGCAGATTCTATAGCAATTTTGAACCTGCAAATTGATGACAGGCACAGAAAGTAAGAAGCAATCAAATATACAGTGTTTCAAAATACAACAAAATAGAATAAACAGTGTACCAAATCAAGAACCATAGAACAAAATTCCGATATGAAAGAAACATCTATCCTTTATTTGATCTAATGTATTTGAAGTAAGTTTTTCTTTTTCTTCCTTTCATTTTGTTTGTGTGTGTGAATTCCATGAGATTCCAAGTGCACATTTGATGAGTAAGAAAAATAAAAATTAAAGGAGAGGCAATTTCAATAAAGCTTTTCACCTTTTCCAGTTTGCCTTGTGAAACAAGCCTTCTCAACCTTGAACTTAAATGCCTTCTAAAATTTTGTGGCACCTCATGCCTTTGCTGCAGCACATTTATGAAGATGGTCATAATCTTAACTCTTATTAAAATAAATAGGGATGCTAAAACATACAGATTCAAAGAATAAATTAAAAAAGGTTACCACCGGGAACCATAACATATCATTCCATACATACATCTATAGCCTTGTGCGAAGTGAAGAAGGAAGCAAAAACATCCCAAGATTCAATGACAGTTAAATTTTGATTTACGTTCAAAGGTAAAATTCATTAGTTGGCTTATTACACAAACATTAGTGTCCAATATGGGTGCCGCTTCCTCTAATTTCAAATCACTCATATATCTCTATCTTCAACTGACAAGCAAATCACACTGACAATCCTTGGCTATCAGGCATCTTAAACCCCTCAACTCCCTAAAAAGAAAAAAAGGAGTGAAAAAACTAGTCAAATTCTAACTTCAACCAGTGTTACACACAAGCACAAAAGAGCCACAGGATATCATCTTGGTTTTTTTTATTGTATACTATGGAGGTGCTATTTATATTGCCATCAGTTTGTCCTTTCAGCCTACAATGATAGTGTGTACCTCATGCAATAACATTATAGGACCTCCAAATTCCTAGTATTTTGAGATACAACACTAGCATTCCCATGGCAAAATCATGTTCACGAAGTTCTGACATCAGAACCAGGAATTAGTTCCCCTTTAAGCTGTGAAGAGCAAATGATAGAGGGATTTCAAAAGCAATCATGCATCCAGAAACCAAAATGAACCGACTTCCATATCCTTTACAATGTTCAAGCACTAGGTTTGATATTCAGTTTTCTTACTCAGAAAAGAGTTTTCCAGTCCACTCAAATGCAGGTACAATGGGAACATAAATAGCATAGAAATTACAAGAAGCATCCATCTTACCTCAATGAAGTGAACAATAGCACCAATATCACATCCATTTGTATCTTTTATGGCTGAAAGAGCTTCAAAAATCATTGCGTTGTACCTGGTGGGCAGAACAACATTATCAAATACCTATAAATAGGAAAATGAAAAAAGAAAAGAAGCGAAAACCAACATAATAATTTTCAAGGTTCAACTTGACCATTATCCAACATTAGATATGTCAACAACATCAAGAAAATCAGTTTGTCAACATAATGCGATACTTTTCATTCCTGCTGGCCATATGAAATAAAATGCAACATGAATTTTAACATGAAATGTAAATTTGCCAAATTGAATAATTGTAGAAATCAGGCAGTTCTATCCTCTATTGACTATTTAGTCTCTACTTGTTTCCTACTGTATATGTTGCCGCATGAAGTTTAGCATCTTTATCCAAATGATTTTGACAGGGGTCAGTTTGCCTGCTCAGTTACTCCCTTAATCCCTTTCATGGCCGCCAGCTGATATTATAATCATATTTGCAACATCTTACGAAACCTACACATGTGAACTTCAAATTTATTTATTTATTTATTTATTTATTTTATCCAAACCTTAAATGACCTATCCTAGAGTATCCAAGATTCGTTATAATAAGTCACCAAAATACGTAGTAAAAACCACACTGAAGAAAAATTTAAATATATTTTTACTGAAAAGGCACAAAACATAAAGGTAACAATATCAGCAATAAAATACATCAATATACAAAACTTCTGTCAGTATATATTTTCTAGAGAATAAATTCATATGATACAACATTGAACAGCCACTATTATAAATTTTAAAGTAAGAACCGGATCTTAAATATATACGAAAGGTGTGACTCAATGCTTTGATGCCTGAAAGGCTGAAGCAAAAATTAATGCATGGATTGAAATTTATGTACCATATCTATTACTAGAAACGAGTGACATCAGAGAGAACAGACTTGACAACCTTGGGGCATTTTTTCCATCCACTGCATTGCTTGAAGGATCATCCATAAGGACATCTGCAGATGTATCAGCATGTGCAAAATTTTGAGCATTGGAGGAGGGCAGAGTAAGTGCCAGGGTTTTAACTTTAGGTAACCTTGATTTATCCTTAGAACCTTGTGTAGCATTGCTGACACTTAAATTTCGCCACTTGTCCTGTGTATAAAAGTATGAATGAGAAGTTGAATAGCAAACAGGTTTCCCCGAACTTTAGCTATATAACAATAACATGACAAAATAGCTACAGGAACTTAAATTACATGAATCCAAACAGCAAGATTAGCCTGTAACCTAATCTTTTTACTTTGGATTTCAAATATTTTAGGGGTTGGGTTCAAATAGCTCACGAGTAGCCTGACTCACTTACACGCCTATTTTGTTCTTCAGTTATTTCTAAGCTGAATTTGCCCTTAAAATTTGACGAGAAGTTCACAATTTATCATATTTGAGCTACTTTTTTGCTGTTTTTTATGGTTAACTAGGCTTGGATTGGACGTTGGAGTTGAACCTGTAACCTAATTTTTTACTTTGCGACGGTAAATTACCAGTGGTAACCTAATAATCAAAATTATCAAACCCAAATGTACCGACTCACTATCTAGAAACTATTCAATTCAGAGGTGATTTAGAGCTCAAAAAAATGGTAGCTTCTTAAATTCGTGCACAAGACTAGGGTTTAGTGAATACATTTCAACAGTTACTGCTCCGACACAAAAACAATCCTAAATTCACCAAATTCTGTGACAGAGATTTAAAAACCTATAAAGTATACAGGTATACAGAGAAGAAATATGCGCGTGAATATAATAATAAGAGAGAAAGAAAGATGGCAAGAAAGGTGAGCGGATAGAAACCTTGAGGTCGATATTGGAGCGTTGAGTGAGGAAAGGAGCAAAATCAGGATCTTTGAGAATGTTCTTCCACTTTCCAGGGCCGTGCTTTGCCACTCCGTTGAGCAGCGCCTCCTCCTCCTCCGCCGTCCATTTTTGCTTCTGGTTTCCCATTTTACCCTTGGCCTGGACCGCTTCTTCTCTGTTTGTTTCTCTCTCAGCCGAGAGATTAATATGGGAGTCCGAACTTTCGCTGTGTGTTTGTCTTTGTCTGTTTTGCTCCCTTGTTTTTTTTCGGTTTTCAATTGGAAGGCCCCTATGTCTCCTTCCCGCTTCCCCTTAACGATAATTGTTACTATTGATAATAAATAATTATTAAAATATAATTAATTTCTCTTTTTTTTTTAATAAGGAGATAACAGATTTATTAGAAACATATAATAATTTTTGAAACTATAATTTTTGTGTATCTAAATATATTTTTAGGAGTTAAGAAGTATTAACATATTTTTATGTCTATTAAAATAAATATAATTTTCTTCCTTTCAAAAAAAAAAAATTTATTTTTTTTATAATACATTTGGACGGTATGTATTAATTAATATAATTGAGAACTGAATGATAACAGTTAATCTGATGAGAGATATGTAAATTTCATTAATTACATTTTATAAATTTTTTTCTTATTAATAGCTAGTTAATTAATTTATATTTAAGTTGTTTAATAAACACTAAGCATTTTTCATATAATAAACAAGTTTACTGTATTTGGGTTTCTTGTTTTACAATAGTATATCTCCCCTTTCCCTTCCTGCTCCCTTCTCAATTTAATTAGCAATCAGCCATAGGAGGCGGTCCAATCCAATGTCAGAATAAGAAGGTGGTATAAATGTATTTTAAAAAATATGACAAGTAATTTTCAACAATCGAAGTAAAGAAGGTGATATATCTATTACGAGTGTTTAAAAGAACTTTATTCTCATATTCTATTGAGTATTTAAAGGAATTTCATTCTTAGTGTTCGAATACTCAAAACCTCTAATTAAGAGAAATGAGATCTCTTTGATGATGTCATCTCATCTTACCTTTCAAATATTATTTAAAAATAATTAGCAATTTTATCGTTAAAAAATTAATAAAAATCATATAAAATAAATTTAAACCACAAGTATAGAGAATGAACTTAATTAACGTGCATAAAACTAATAAAAATAAATGATTCAAAATTCAAATCATCTAAAAGGACGTGATATAAAAAAATCCATATGGATGACAAGTAATTCAGAGCTAAAGACTATAAACAATAATTAAATCATAATTAATCAGGTGTAGTTTGATTGATCTTTTTATTTATTATAGAAGGTGTAGGAAGTGAGAGGTCTCGAGTTCCAGTTTTTTCCATCACAAAAGTCATCGCCAATCTAGTGAATGTTATTCAAAAGGAAGGGCTGCTCTTACTATATAGCTCATAATGTTATTTCGGGCCATTGGGCTTTCCATGTATCAATTAAAAAAAAAAATTAAAAAAAAAAAAAAAAAAAAGAACAACTAAACTATTGACTAAACTTTGTAAATTATTATTGTATAAAACTTTCTATTTAATATAATTCCTTAATTGGTGTAGGAGTTGCAAATAAACATCTATAAATTAGTCATATGCACGCACGTTAAGCGATACGATGCAAATATATTATTTTATTTTTAAAAATTTAAATAACATTATATAAATTTGGTATTTTTTTTGTTCTTATCATTACATTTCAAAGTCATGAGATATAAATTTTAGTTACTTGTATATAGTAAGTGAATTATATATGCTATATTAATTTTATTATATTGATAAAAAGAGCTTTTTATTTTTAATAATTAATAATCAAAACAATAAATTTATTTTATGAATGAAACATTTTAATTTTTTAATTATTAATAACCTCATATAACATATTCACCTATCGATATATATTTTCTCTCTATTATTTCTTTACATTCTTCAAGTGCTTCCGTCATTTTATTGTTTTTTCTTTTTCTTTTTTTTTTTTTTTCTTTTCCGCTTATGTCTTTTATAGCAAGAAAATCCCTAGATAAAGTAAATCAGTAATTGACCCATAGAAATTTTTATGGGTCTTTTAAATTTTAACTATTTACCCTTAATTTAGGTATTCACAGGTTTCTTGCCTTAAATCTTAAATTGTATATATATTAATGTCATTAACAAAATTTACGATAAACTTAATTACCAAACGAAAAAGAACCTGCCAAGTAAATGAAACTTAATTTGGAAGTATTATTCTACATATATGGCATTCATCGTTTCCAAATTTGCCCGTTGGCACTTACAAACGACGATGGTAATTTTTAATGAATTCTTATTGTTATGCTTTAGAATAAATTTAATTTCATGAATATTTGTAGTACATTAATTAATAGAATAACCTAATAATAGAAAAAATAACTATTTTATAAAAAAGATAAAGTGAAAATTTTTATTGGAATAAATGTGAATTTGGTTGTTAAACTTGTTTAACAGGATAAAAAAGGTCAGAGATTTTATCTTTTCGGTCAATTTAACTTTTAAAATTATATAATAAGATTAAAAAAAAAAAAATCTGATTTCACTTTTTAAACCAATTTAACACTTGTATATTTTATTTTAGCCAGAATTTTTCTCAACAATTATGTTAACATTTATAAATTAATAACATTAGAAATCCATCATTCAATTTGCACCTTTTTACCTTTTGTTTTTGTTATTTTATGCGAAAATAAATTGATATTTGAATTGTATACTAAATTGCTAAATATTATAAATATTTTTTCAATTTATTTCGTTTATATACATATATATTGATATAAACCGCTTGAGGTATCTATATCTATCTATAAATAGCTTCTAAAATTTCTCGTGAAACCGCATCAACAAGCCATCGTTCATTTCAACAATAAAAAAATCCAAACGTCAAATCTGAAAACTTAGCATGGCCGATAGCACAACCAGTCCAAATAAATTAAAAACCAAAAAAATTCTTTCACCGGATGAATCCTCCATTTTCAACTTGAAAGGTTTAGAAGACAGTTTACTGATCGAAATTCTCTGTCGACTACCATCCGCAAAATTCGCCGCTCGTTGCAAATTGGTGGCTAAGCGTTGGAATTATTTGATATCAAGTCCTTATTTTGTGCGTCAGTTTGTAACTCACCATTCATATCATGATAACTACCAAACGCAAATTATTATTACCGTAACCGAGTCGTGTCTACCAGAACCTGATCATATTTTCAATTCTTTTTGTTTCATTTTCGATCCTCCTTTCGAATCCAAACCTCCCTTGGATTTCCGTTTCAATTTTCCCCATCGTCACAAAGACTTTATGCATTCTCGTGTAGTAGCATCATACAATGATTTACTTTTAATCCAGCTTGCATTAAAACCATTTCATGCTGTCAAAAACTATTACATCTACAATCCAATAACAACTCAAGTGCTTGCTTTCTCTTTGCCTGCCAATGCATCACAAGAAGATAACACTACAAATGTTGGATTTATTTGCGAACCATTTTATTCTATACGAGGAGATCAATACATCATAAATCCTAAATTTAAGTCTAGAGTGGTGTTGTTTCATGAATTTACTGAAGATATGACAGTTAGTACATATTCCGTTGAGACTGGTGAATGGAACTTTTCTGTTCTCGATTCAAATTATAGAATACAGAGTAATATTATTGCATATAAAGGGAAATTGCACTGGTTCAATGGTTCTAATATTGTTGCTTATGATCCATTCGATGTCGATCAATCTTACTTCATTAGAGGCCCTGAAGGGCTTGAGGAGATGAGCAATCATTTTATTGGAGTTTGCAATGGCTTTTTGCGGATGATGGCAATGCACTTGTCCATTGAAGATGACATTGAAGCTAGTAGTTTTCGCATTTGGGAGCTCAAGGATTATAAAACAGGTACATGGAGCTTGGAGCACAATATACTATTTGGTACTATGATTTCCGACGGTATTCAGATTACGGAACTTGATCAGTGGGATCATTCCACCTTGGGATTGGGTTTCCATCCAAGCGATGAACATACTGTGTACCTGGCCTTTGGTAATGTTGAGGTTTCGTGTAACCTTAACCAGCAAGTACGAAAAGTCCACGAAATTCATACATATAAGCGGACTAATCGCAGGACTTTTTTTCAGCTTGTGGCACCTTTATGGCCTACACCTCTTTAGTTCGAGCTGAAGAAACATCAAAAAATTTTATTTTTTTATAATTATTAGCAGCTAGAATTTGTATTTCATATATATTGGACGTGGCATTGTTTGTCCAATTGTGATCGAACTTTCCTATAATTAGTTTATTATTGTATTTCTGTTCTTCCTATCATATATTTTGATTCTGTTACCTATCATATTTTTCATCAATTAAAGTTTTTGTTCGTTTATTCTTTTCCAATTATGAATAAATTATTAAATTATGTTCCTAACTTCCAATACCTAATTTATCAGGTTCTGATTCTTGGTTAAGGCTTATGTTTTTTTTTTATTTTTTATTAGAAAGTGATTCTTGCATTAATTGTAATAGAAAAGTTAGAAACACACTTATATATTATTCCTAAAATTATAAATTCTAAACAAACAATTTGAAAGAAAATATAATTCACTTGCAACAATGATAATTTTTACTTTTTTTTTATAAATAATATAACAACTAAAATATTTAATTTCAAAAAAAAAGGAAATGTATTCCAAAAAATATAAATTGATTAATATATTAACTTAATCAGTTAAAATAATTTACCAAGGCATTTACCAATTTACTACTCAAAAAACAAAAAAAAGCCTACTGGCCATTCAAAAAATGTGGGCGCCTAACAAGCCCAGCCCAAATTTTCACCAAACTCCTTGTTGGTCCCAAAATCCTCTACATTACCTTCCTATGGTAGCCCTAGTGCACCTTCTATCTTTCCTCAAACCAACATAGTCAACGGCGTAGTTTCATTTACATAAGAGTAAGTACTAACAAGTCTTAGACACGCTGACGATGACCGTCCGATGCATTTAGAGCACATTTACAACTATCTAGATTTATTCATATAGAATCCAAATGTACATAGGCAAACCGCATTTGAGTAGAACTCGAAAACCCTCAGAAAAATTCACCGAAAAACGAAGCATTAAACCGGAAAATAAATAAATAAATAAGCAAAAGTCGAGCGAGATCTGTTTTGATATTCATAAAAAAGAAAAGAAAAGTAAAAGTCCTAATTCCTCTTCAATAAACTAAATAAATACCGCTTTTTGGCTCAGCCGTCTCTATTTCCAATATTTTTTTCTTTAATTTTATTATTTTTGTTCTTCGTTTAGTTGATTACTTTGTTTGAAGATACAGTCATGGCGTATGCATCTCATGCAATCAATCACTCGAAAAAGGTGCTGTCCTATTTCAATTTCCAATTCTGAGCGTGTGTTTCTATTTTTGATTTATGTTGTTGAATTTTGTCTTGAAGTTTAGATCCTGTTTTCAAGATTATTGGATTAATTGATTGTTTCTAATTCTGTGTTCAAGCTCGTTTCAGTTTAATTTCACTGTAATACGACGTAACGGTGATTTGATTATTGGATTAGTGTGTGATTTGGAGAATGCAGATAGGAGAAATAGTATTAATCAATGGCAGACTATAGTGCTTTTGTCATAATTTTAACTCTTTTTTCTGAATTTTTTTGGCTTTTCGCAGTTGAGAAATGTTTCCAACTTACTGCGACATGAGCATGCTAGTTTGGCTCGGTGTTTTTCAAATGACACTCGCTTCTCTGTCAGTAAAAAGGACGGTCAGTAACTGATCTTGTGACCGATCTCGTTTGCTGTTAATTACTGTGTTTTCTTATTCCTGGTCTTTTGCAATTTAATAATGACTTTTGCTAATGACATTGCCATACTAGCTTATCCATAATTAACATGCATCTCTTTGCTAGCTTTCCTGCATTTATCGAAGGCAACGTTATGATAAAACACCAGTGTGTTTGCATTAGCTGGCATTTGTTGCAGGTGTATTGTAGGATAAATATGCATTCTCGCAAACATGATATTTTTTTCTTTTTCTCTGTAAGTTTGGCCATTTATTTCTTTCCATGACCGCCAATGGTGCAAACTTGCTCATAAATATATAGCTAGACATGCATGAGATAATAGGATGGGCTCACCTTTAGTTTCTTTGAAGGGTTTAGCAACCCCATCCTGAACTGAAATGCTTGCCCCGTAGCAAATGCTATGCCTCTGGCTTCATGTAAAGGGAGAATGCTGTGGAAAATGTCAAAATTTGTTGTCTTTATTTTTTTTTTTTTTTCTGGGGTTTTCTCTTGGTTAATTGATTTTACTTTCTGCTGCTGTCTTCTAATAACGGTTTTCTTTTATTTGTATCTTCATGTTATTGCTATTTTGTATTTCTAAAGCCCGAGGGGGTGATTAATCTACTTGAAAGAATATTGCACAATGTGTTTCTTGATGATTTTTTCTGTTTGATCTAACCTGGATTGCGTGGATAACCATAGTTAAGGGCTTGTGCCTATATATTTTTGTGATATTGGTATTGCTTTCATTACAAAGCCTTATAAACTAATGTTGATGGTTAACTGTAATGTCCGAGATCTTCCATTTAGTGTCTAAAGCATTCTAAGCAACCAATGAACCTACCTCCTATACTTGATATATAATTTCTACAGCGTATGATGAAAGATGAGTGGTGAGAAAAGTTCATACGTCTGATCGGTTTTTGAATAGAAGGAGAAGGACAACGCATTATAAGGCATCCCATGGGCGGAATGGCCACTAGATGCAGTAATCTAAATCAATGTGAGGAATTGTGGCATTAAAGAGTTGCACCCTCCAAATTTTGATCTCTATGGTTATCATAGATTTGTAGCATTAAATTGGGGAGAAATTTGAATCTTTAGTCCATGGTTCTAGCCTAAGATATGTAATGTGTCACTTTCAATAAACTTTTGTTTATATTGCTATAAGATTAGTTTGTTGTTTCCAGATGCTGGGAATGCTCGTCACCATGGCCTTATGCCTGCTGAAAAAATGAGGTTCTCTAGCAGCACTGCTAATACCACTGTAAGTTCTACCAGTTTTGTTCAGTGATCAGCATGTGTAATGCAAGTTACTTTGATTGAAGCCTTCCTGTTGCACATTGTAGTCATTTCCAATTAGCATCAATCAACTATTTGTTCTTATTGAAGTGAGAATCATATGGCTAAAGCTACAGATATATGTCTTGTTTTGTAGGTATCATCATTTGGTGCATTTAAGAAAAATACTTCTAGGATGATAATGCAAGTAGGGAATCCGATGGCTGCACCTCTACTCTCGAAGGAGTTTTCTTGGTATGTCCTGTAATTTCTGTCTATCCCTTCTCACAGTGATTGTAACTACCTTTTTCTTTTTCACATTTCAGTTCACAGGTACAGTCAAGGAGAGGATTTTCATCTGATTCAGGTAGATTCTATGATTATATCTACATATATATTATTTATGTTGTTCGAGTTCTGATAAACATATTGTGAGTTCTGTTTTTTGTCCTCAAAATTGGTTGCGTTTGTTTTAATATGAATAATTGTAAATCTCTGCTTGATTGACTGAGATAATTGTTCAAAATATGTTGCAGGTCTTCCTCCACACCAAGCGATTGGAATGCCTTCTCTCTCACCTACAATGACAGAGGCATGCACCTTTCTGCATCTTATGAAAAGATCCTTTGCTTGTTAAATGTGTTAATTGATTATTTTCCAAATTTCAGGGTAATATAGCAAGGTGGTTGAAGAAAGAGGGTGACAAAGTTTCACCTGGTGAAGTGCTATGCGAAGTTGAAACTGTATGGTCCCTGAACTGGTTCTGGTCCAGGCTCCAACTCTGGTTTATTTTTTGTTGCTCATTATGGAATATTTACTTTGTTTCCCTATTTGATATTTTTAAGGACAAAGCAACAGTTGAGATGGAATGCATGGAAGAAGGTTTCCTTGCAAAGATAATAAAGGGTGATGGATCAAAAGAAATTAAAGTTGGTGAGGTATTGATTTCATCTGATACTAAGGAAAACCACTTGCACTTCTTATACCTTCCATTTATTACTTTTGTTTTCTATTGTTTTTACTAGGGGAAAATAAACTGAATAAAATACTGAGGCATTTATGTTGGAAACAACAAGGCAGTTTAGTTGTGGATGCTGTTAGTTCGTGTTGGTGATATGTTTTGTCTGTAAAATTTTGTCTTCTCATGCAGATTATTGCTATTACTGTTGAAGATGAGGATGACATTGCCAAATTTAAGGATTACAGTCCTTCAGCATCAGATGGTGCTGATGCAGCTAAAGAACCTTCTTCCACCCCACCTCCCCCACCCAAAAAGGAGGTGGTTGAGGAATCAGTTAGATCACCAGAACCAAAGATTTCCCAGCCCAGTGCAGCTCCTTCTGGAGATCGAATTTTTGCTAGTCCTCTTGCAAGAAAATTGGCTCAAGAAAACAATGTTAGCACGACTACCTCTGTTGTTTGGTAATAGAGTGTAGATATTGATCTTGAGACTATTCTCAATAACATTGTTTTCACAAATATAGGTACCTCTCTCAAGCATTAAAGGAACTGGTCCTGATGGTCACATTATAAAGGCTGATGTCGAAGATTACTTGGGTATGATTGCTAAACTTTGTGTGCCTGATGATTATAGTGCTATTTGTTATTGTCAACCTTGATTTAATTAATATTTATGCTGGCTGTATAACGTGAGTCATGAGTATTGTCTGATTTTCCTTCTCATTTTATAAATCCTCATCTAATAACAGCAGTGCTTACTGAGGAATTATACTTATTTTGCAGCTTCAAGTGGGAAGGAAGTTTCTGCAAAAGCACCTAAGCCTGCTGCATTAGATTATGTTGATATTCCTCACTCCCAAATACGGAAGGTAATATTTTATCATCTTTATTTGCAATATCTTTTCTTTAAGTTTGTTATGGAGAAATTTTCTTGTATCATATTGACAGGTGACAGCTTCACGGTTATTGTTCTCAAAGCAAACTATTCCTCACTATTATTTAACCGTAGATACATGTGTCGACAAACTTATCGAGTAAGTAATCAGTTTCTGCCTTCCTTTTATTGCAATCCAATATTCTTGTTAACAATTTTTCTGTAATTATTTAAACCATCCTTTTGGGTACAGTTTGCGGAGTAAACTAAATTCATTACAAGAGGCCTCAGGTGGGAAGCGTATATCTGTAAATGATCTTGTGATCAAGGTATACCACCTTCTTTGCTTGGATTATTGGGAAATTACTTGTCATGCTTCTTAAATGCAATACAAACACAGCCTAAGCTGTTAAAGAGTTCTTTGTTAGTTGGATCTGTTTAGAGAAGATCTGACACTTATATTTAGGATTAAGGGGATTATGCTGAAAAATAAGCATAATTGTCTTCCAACTTTTATGACGCCTTGTATATCTCTTTGATTTTGTATGTTTTAAATTTGGCCATGGAGTAATTTCAGTGACACTGTAATTGCAGGCTGCTGCTTTGGCTCTTAGGAAAGTTCCCCAATGCAACAGTTCATGGACTGATAACTATATTCGCCAGTATGTACACAGTTAATTGATGTTATGAAAATTTGTATGACATGCAACATCTCATTTCTCATTTGCTTGCAATACAGGTATAATAATGTCAATATTAATGTAGCAGTACAGACGGATAATGGACTATATGTCCCAGTTGTTAGGGTGAGCAGTTGTCTGACTTAATAATTTTCTGCATTTTTTTTTTTATGGCTTGACTTGAATTTATGGTGTAAAATATGCAGGACGCAGACAAGAAAGGCTTATCTAAAATTGCTGAGGAGGTCAAGCTTTTGGCCCAAAAAGCCAAAGAGAATAGCTTGAAACCAGAAGATTATGAGGTGAGTATTATATTTCTGTGCCAGTTGGCTGCTGGATGATTCTCTATAGTGAATTTTATTTGAAAAAACATTTTCCTGTTTTGCAGGGAGGCACATTTACTGTGTCAAATTTGGGAGGGCCTTTTGGCATCAAGCAATTCTGTGCCATTGTCAATCCTCCTCAGTCAGGCATTTTAGCTGTTGGCTCTGGTAATTTGTAAAATAAATTACAACTTCCAAATTAAGTTATTTTCTTCTAATTTATTCTCATCTTTGTGATTATTTGACCTTGTTCTTGTGCAGCTGAGAAGAGGGTTGTACCTGGTTTGGGTCCCGATGAATTCAAATTTGCTTCATTCATGTCAGTAACGCTAAGTTGTGATCATCGTGTTATAGATGGTAAGCATCTAATATTAACCTTTCTATGGAGTTGAATGTCTTAGATTCTCAGGGATGTGACACTGTTAATTACACTTGCATTCTTCAGGTGCAGTAGGTGCAGAATGGTTAAAAGCATTTAAGGGCTACATAGAGAATCCAGAATCAATGTTGCTGTAAATCAATTTCTAGTTGTTTTGTCATTTCCTTGTATACCTTTTCCTGAACACAAGGCAATTGTGTTCCATACTTCGACATTGAGCTGCATTTGTTTTTTTTGCAACCGGTTCATCAAATAGGAACTCCTGTAGTTTTTTGGGGTTCAACAATGGTTGGGTGGAATAAGAGCATTGGGTTGTTTGGAGGCAGTGAACTGCAACTCAGTCAATTTTGCTTTTGCACAGTGCTTTAACGTACTTTTCCAGGGGTTATATCTTTTATCGAATAGATTTGTTTTTTTGGTGATCCAATAGCCGATCCTAATAATAACCTTCCGTTCAAAGCTTTGGTTCACTGGATGAAGTTTTTGGTGAACTAACTTATAATTGTAATTTCGTTTTTTTCTGTTTGTAAATTCGGTGAGCCTATCACACGGGCCAAAGACTTTTCACATTTGTTCAGATTCGACGATAATAAACTTTATTTGATATTTCTTCTTGGTTCTTATCTTGAAGCAAAAAATTGCATCTGGCTTATGATTGATGGTTTTCGTGTGGTTGGGAAATCAGAAATATGGTTTTCTATTGTGAGGCAAATATGCATAAACAAATCAAACTTGTGCTTTGCTAAGAATGCCAAATCATTTCATCAACACTCGTATGCGCACCTTCACCTATGCATCTGTGGGTTTTGTTAATTCTTTTTATGTGAAAATTGTGATCGACTGAAATTTCATTCTTTAAATATGCATCTTCTTTTTCAGTTAACATGCATCTTCACCTACTCGTAAGGGATACTAACTCATTAATGCCACACCCAATTGACGAATGACATTTTTGATTTTCAATCACGGTTTAAGAAATTACCAACCACGCTTCCCTTGAGGCATTTGGACCACCAATCATATTGGCAAAACGAAAAAAAAAAAGGAACCTCAATCATCCTTTTTTTTTCAGTTGAGAGAGCATCAGCAATCCAATAGGAAAAACTTATACATGAGTATAAATATAAATAAACTCAAAGGAAAAGGAGAATCTAAAAAAGAAAACATCTTTAATTTCACCAGGAACAAACCTTCAATCAAGCGCACCACCATCAGAGTTTTGAAAGATGCAGCGCGTTCAAACACAATTAATTGTTGTTAGTTATAATGTTATTTTTTTCTATCATAACAAATTCCGTTCTTTTATTTTCCGGACATTTCTAACATAAGAAATTATCAGAACCAATGGCTCAGCCATATGAAATACCGCATTAATTAATCCCTGGCATGAGGGTCCATCCTTCTATTGTATAAGGATCATTGCAAAAGCATGCAGTAAGAAAACTGTGCTACACAGACATTTGTCTTCACAAAGCATTCAGCGATTCAACATGATGCTTTACCAGATAATGTCTCTGGTATGACACTGATCAGAATATCAAACTTGATTATCAAGTCAAGAATACGAAAAATAAAAGCCATGTCAACACTGCATCATGCTTTATTTTGGTTAAAATGTTGGAACTTTCACATCATCCATATGCGTATTGAGCTTGCTATGCTATAATTCTAAACGTTGGATCAGTATCAGATGTCACCTAAAGGTTGAAACCAGAGACAATTTTGTTTTTCCTTGCACATTTCCAAGCCCCAATGCTTGTTTCCACATTTTTCTACTCTTTCTCAATTCACTTTTAAACCGATTTACAACAAATGAATCAGCAGCAAGCAAAATTGAAAAGAAATCAAAATACTTCTATTTCTATTTCAAGATCAAAATCCTATATAAAAATGAGTATAGGGGGTATTGCAAAATCCCACACCTAGGAACCAGCATTATCTGAATCATTTACAATGTTATGCATTTTTCACTACCCAGATGAAAGATGAAACTAGACCTAAATGTGATATATGCTCTTACATGTACAGTAATTTTACAAGCATCTCAAACTCTGTTTACGTCAAGCTAACATGTAACTATATGCTAAGTTCAACTTTCAACCTTCTAAATTTAAACAGCAACTCCAAGAGACTATTTTAGTCAGTCAAATGGTAAGAAGGCATAAATAGGTCGTTCCATATCTCCAAAAACTGTCTATCAGTACTTGGAAGACCTTAAGAAGGCATCAACTATGCAAACCATTTGAGAACATTGTGCAAGATAGCAACTCAAAAATAAAACTAACAGAAAAATCAGACAATACAGTAATAGAAAGTTCAATACAGATGCACAACAAACTGCAATCACCATACATCATTTCCAATTCTAGTGGTAGGATTAATTAGTCTCAAAAGAATTACCCTACTCAAACACAAATGAGCGAATACTATACTAATCATCAATTTGTAAGCCTCATCCACCATTGTTTTCAATTAAGAAGAGAGGCTTAAATAACAAAAAAAATTGGTGAATATATGTTTTTTTTATTACAAGTCATCACAAAAATCTGGTCTTTGCCTTTACAAAAGCATGTTTCTTCCATGCTAAAAATGCAAAAATGGTTCATATTAATATTAATTGATTCCAATATTATTAATATATTGCTAACAAATTCATGATCAAAATTGAACAGATACAGCTTGTGAATTTCAAAAACAATTTAGAACTGACAGCCTAAACTCAACCCAGAAAAGTTCTCTCTCCTTGTTTTAAATCATAGCATACCTTTTCAACAACTGTTTCCCTGCCACCACAGTACCAGCCGCCAACCCTCCCAACGCACCAGCCACCGCAGCTGACCTCACCCCTCTCGCTGCCCTGCACACAGCCCCTGTTCCAAGCCCAGCCGCCACACTAGTCCACACATCGTCCCTATCGGTAACCGCCACGACTCCACTCTCCATCACGGCATAGATCAATCCCACAATGCCGATCCGGTTCCCCCAGACTCGTCCAGAATGTCCCGAATAGTTCAAAATCCTATTCACTTTCAGCTTCAACGTATCGGTGGGCTCGAAAGATTTGAGAGCAGAGAAAAACCCGACGGAAGCACCACCTATGGAGGCGCCAAGGTAGGCCGAACCGGTGTAAAATGTGAGGTTTTCACCCCAGGAGCGACGCTGGCGGAGAGATTCTTCGGTGAAGAGGAATTCGGGAGAAGTTGGGAGCTGATAAAGAGTTTGGATTTGAAGGTTTAGGTCTTGATAGGGGTTGTAGAGGTGCGCCTGTGGCGATTGGGACCGATTGCGCTCGTGATCTGAACTAGAGTGAGCCATAGGATTAGGGTTAGGGTGATGAAGAAGAGGAAGAGACGAAGTTTGGTTAAAGAAAGCTTCTGAATTTGGTTTGTTTAGGTGAAAGAGAGAATCTGGAATATTGATTTCTGGTTTTTCATTTCATTGTGCGTGCCACTATATATCACGCTGAGAATATTCTTTATGTCATTATAAATGTGTGTGTGTTTTTACTTTTTAAATAAAAATTCAACCTTGGAAAATATTTTTTAATTAAATTTTAAAATTGTATTTTTGAAAATATGTAATTTGCTTAATTTCTTCAGTTATTTTACGGAATAATAGTACTTTTATTGAGGAAAAATTAAAAAAGAAATATCGCAGTAGCAAATTCGCATTAACAGAAGTTAACTTTTAAAGTTTGTTTTACGTTAATCTGAAATATTGAATTTACATGTTGATTAGTAACAAAAAAAATGCTATATCATTAGCAATTAATTAAATGATCTGGCATGTTAAAGAGGTTCATTGAAGGAGCTTAGAAGCTTGTTAGCAATTAATTACCATATGTTAATTAGTAAATGGCAAGAGGTGGTTTTTGTTTTTTCATGGACTAAAATCTTAGAAGACAGCTTCTCTTCAAGAATGCGTCACGGCGCAATGACACCCTTGGCTACGAAAAAGAGAGAGCAAACATTCTGCATTTTTATGTTGCAGGATGAGGCACAACAGTGCAGCTTCCAAACGAAGAACAAAACACAGGGAATGGCATCATTTTTGTTATTCCAACAGCGCGGTTTCTTGTAGGCCGTGGTCGACGTTGATCGTGACCATGATGACGATGATCAATGCTTGATTTTTGAGAATTGTTCTTCAAGCTCCTCAGCCTTTTCACACCATTCAAGTACAGCAGCTGCCATCCTCCTTTCGCATTGATCTAAGTTCAATTTTCCATTTGGACGTTAGGATTTTGTTTCTTAATCGTTCCTGATTTGGCATAATAAAAGAGATATAGAAAAAGCAATTCAGAGGATTTTGGAAAGGGCTTAACTATGAATTTCTTTGCCAAGACTCGAGATTTATATAAATATCCCACCAGCACATTGGATTTTTATTTAATCATTCATATCAAACAATCAAATGCACATGAAAAATGTGCCTACAAAATCACTTTCATCCTCTTAAAATAGTTACTAACCTCATTTGAATGAGTGCTTGCTTCTGAAACTAAATCATCTGGACTGGGTAGCGACAAAATTGTCCTATGTTGTGAAGCTTCATGAGACATGGAAAGATCTTTTAGCCGCTTAAGCTCTGGCCAAACAACAGAAGCAAGATCTGGCCTATCCTTTTTTCTCAATTCACAGCACTGCACTGCCAGCCTCGCTAACAATAGTGCTTCATTTACAGGCCAATCAGTTATTGATTGGTCGAGTATATCTGAAAATGTTCCTTTCTCGATAGCTTCCTGAACTTGGTAAGCTAAACCCATAGGAGGTTTTGCTGTAAGCAGTTGTAACAGCACTACACCAAATGAGTATAAATCTGACTTGACACCTAACATTCCTGTTTGCTGATATTCTGGATCAATATAGTAAAATGTACCAGCTGCTGCTGTCATGCGATATTGTGTAACATCACTAGCTGCAGATGGTGGAAGAAGTCTGGCCAAGCCCACATCGCTGATTTTGCTCACATAGTTACAGTCTAAGAGAATGTTTGCAGGCTTCAGGTCGCGATGCACTAGAGGTTCTGGTTTTGTTTCATGAAGGAAAAGTAAGGCCGTGGCAATTTCATAAGCAATTTTAAATCGCCTTCCCCATGGTATTGGAGGAGTATTGTCTTCTCTATTGAGGCGGTCTTCTAAGCTACCATTTTCCATGTACTCGTACACAAGGCATCCATATTCAGGACATGCACCAAGTAGGATAACCATGTATGGATGTCTCATACTGCTTAAAACATCAACCTACATCGACAAAAAGAAAGATGTATGAAAGTCATTTCAACAATTTGCATGCGTATGATGAAATAATTGAATATACCTCTTGTTTGAATTGCTTTAGCCCTTGTGACAAGTCTGGCCTTAAGATCTTAATGGCAACAGCAATGTGATTAAGCATGCCTTTAAAAACAGGGCCATATGCACCTTCACCAATCTTATTGGCAGGGGAAAAGTGATCTGTTGCAACTTCAATCTCCTCAATTGTGTATCTTCTACATCGAAAATCATTGTTGGCTAATGCTTCCATTTTTCTCATCTTGTCTTCTGCCTCACGATGGGCCTTCATTTCTACATTCTTCTTTTGTGCTTCTATTTCTGCTGCTCGGGATGCTGCTTGTACTGCTTCTAAAGCAATTATGGTCTTTCGCTTCTCCATTTCTTCTAAAGTCAATGCAGCGTCTTCTGTGGTTTCCTCTGTCTTACGTGCTTCCAATTTTTGCAAGTGACGAAGCTTCCTCACCTGTGAACACAAGTTACGCAACTAACATAAAGCCAAGCCAAGCAACAAAAATTATTCATAATTATTATGTTAAACTGTTACTCTGACATTACCATCTGCTTGGCGAAAACTGCTTCTTTACTAACTGAGCTAAACATTTGCATAGATTGTTCAAGTTCGAGCTTTAACCTCTTCATTTCTGCGTCTAATGTCTGTCAAAAGGAATAACATCAATTTTAAAAAATGTTTCGTGATATCTCATATAGAAATCAAAATTTTAATAATTTAGCAATACTTACTGCAATTTGTGAGGAATCGGGGCTCTTTGAACCAGCACACGTGGTAGAGAATTCCAAATTCTCAGAGGATATTCCACTTGATTGAAAACTGTGTTGCCCTGAAAATTCACTGGCACCTGATACAGAATTTTCATTTAACACATCCGGTGATTGACCATTTGTTGATACCCCTGACGAAATTTCCTTGACACTGAATGTAAACTTATCATTGCTAATGAATTTACCAGAAGATGAAGATGTTTTGTCAGAACCGTCACTTTTCCAGCTTTCACAAAATCTTCTGCAAACAAGAAAATTCCAAGTTTTGACAGTTAGAACATTAGCTGTATAGTAAAAAATTAGAACTAGTCCTAGTTAAACTTACTGAGACACATCAACAGACGGCCGGCGATCTTTTGGAAGATGACGTTGTTCCCAAAGATTTGGTTGCCCAGTAGTACATACATTGTTATACTTGCTATGTTTACTACTGTTACGAGGTGGTGATTGATGTAGCAGGCAAGCATTTGCAGAGCTGATTGAATCTGCAGAACCAGTGGAATGTGCAGAACTAGTTGAACGTGTAGAACCAGTTAGCGTACGAGGTCGACTCGCTAAGCGAAAAGTTTGAATTTTTCCTTTTGATATTACATATACTGCACATGATTCTGGTGCAGATTTTAGTAAAGTAGAAGGAGTGTCTGCATGTTTAAATTTCCTATACCAAGAAAAAATTTATGTCCCAAGTATTTGATTTTAGTCATGATTTGTCTGATAATATTTCTCCCCTGATTCTAAATTAGAAAGAAAAAAGAGAGGGACCTTGTAAGAGCATGCCTATGAGATGCGCCAACAACAATATTAGCAATTCTGTTGTGAACTATATAGTCAATAAGGGCACTTGAAACATCAATATCATGGAGAACGACTTCCTTTGTTTCAATCTGAAAAAATAGTATAGAAATGCTATTTAACTATATTAAATTTTGTAATTTGAATATGCGAAATTCATCTTAAAGAAAAGAAATTAATGGTCTTCAATTAATACTTTAAATAAAATACTTTCTCAATAGCTATTCAACTAGTAATGCCAAACAGATTCTCTACATTCTCTTAATTATCACGCAATTCAAGAAAATAAACAGTTTTCTAAGCCAAAAATGAGCTGCTAATGTGATATAAGATATGCAAACGCATGGTGTGCTTAATCATCTAGTATTAAATTACTCACTCCTTTTCGAGCACAAAATCCTCTGTAGGGAAGGAATAATTGCTGCAATTCTTGATGCGTTGGAGGACGACCTTCCTTTGATAAATTACAAACCTCTTTACAAATCCCAAAATAACAGTAGTCAAACTCAAAAAGAGAACAATCCATAATCTCAATAATTTTTGTTAATATTTACATAATCATGAAAGTTTGTCTGCAGTATTGGATATATATATGCACACACATATACAAAGCATTAAACAGGGAAAACCCCTATGCATTTATAGATGCAAAATTATATAGGGAAAACTCAAGATTTTTTTCACCAAAAGCATTCACATCTTTTCCTTTCTTTCTAATCTCGTTTCAAGGTTAATGATAGCTACTCCTATAACTGCTTTTTCACAAATTAAACCCTGAGCTTGCAGAAGTTATTTTCCTTCTCTGATTATAAATTAAAAATCCGCAAAATATATAACCATAAAAGCAGAAAAACTAAAATTTATATCTATGTTATTTCCTTATGCATTTGGAAGAAGATGGTATTTAATTGATAACGGAATAAAATGATGAGAAAAGAAATGAATTAATGAGAAACCGCAATACATACCTGGACTCGCAATTTTGGATTGAACATGAACGAGTATACAATTGTGGCTCTTGTTATTTACAAGATTATCCATAGCCCATTTGACAGCGGATTGGCTGTTCTTGTCTCCATCAATGGCGATGACTGTAGTTCCATGATCTTCCTCCGGCTTCAAATCTGATCGGAGAAAAGCCATGCTCACCGTAAAATGCAAGCAAAACTTATATCTCTAAGTCGCAAACAATGTAGAGTATAACATGCAGAGGAGACAAGGAGATCGGATTAAAGTTACTGTTACAATTCAATATTAATTAATTCTACAAGAATAAAAATATATATATATCCTTACCAGGTCACCGCCGGTATTGCTGCTTCCGCCACCGAGCCGATGCCCGGGGCTGCAACTCAATATTAAAAATGAATGACAAGAAGATATTTGGATTGCAAAAACTTTTAGCTTTCATTGTTTGTTGCAGTTCAGTTTTGTTTACTAAATAAAGAAGACAAACGAGAGTTGGCTTAATTTATACGTACCAAAATAATAAAAAAATAATAATAATAACAATAATAATCGTTATGCCTTATTGATTGGAATTTGATTATATATATATTTGTTGTAAAAAAAAAAAAAAAAAAAAAAATGGGCCTTAATTGCATTGGAATTTGATTATATATATAGTCTTGTAAAAAAAGAAAAAAAAAAAAACTATTAAATAGTTGATCGAATAAAAAAAAAAAAAAAAAAAAACTATAAAATAGTTGATCGAAAATTATTTTTTCTCAATTGCAACTAAAAATATGTTTTCCCAAAAACATAATTTTAAGCATTTTGTCAAATAAAAAATAAAATAAAATTATCATATAAGAATAAGATAGGTTCAAGTGATTTAAAAAAGAGCTATGTTGCTTTTCCTTTTTCTATTTAAATTTTCATATATATATCACAACAAGCCTTTAATAATTTAATTTATTTATTTACGAACACTTCTCTAAAAATTAAATCTCATTCGTATCTTTATTTAAAATAAATAGCAAATGTGAAAAATATTGATAAATTGAAATGCCTAAAAATAAAAACATTCATAGAATTTATGATCAACTGGAGCCTATAGAATACGAGAATTACCCAATCTCATTCAATTGTCTTTTTATGAATTCTCTAAATAATTACTTACTTAATAAAAAATAAAGATGCTTTTCTTGGTTTTCTATGTAATAAATAAAGTGGAATAAAAAAAATTTAAGTGCTAAGTACATTATAAACCAAACAGACTTAAACTGAAAACTGAAATTTAATACCTAATGAATTTTATAATTATGAAAATGGCTAATTTATATTATTAGTAATATATATTTTTTATTATAGTGGCCAATGGCCCATTTTGGCCCACAGAAAGCCTTCAGCCAATTGGGCTCAGCTTTTGTAGAGGCCCTTATTTTATGATTTTCATGTTCCTCTTTTGTGTGACTTGTTGTGTTTCTATTGGTGTTTGATGGATAAGCATAGCACGAGAGAGCCTACCTACCCTTTCGTTATTTATTGTTATGGTTATCACTGCCATTACCAACCACAAATCTCCTTTTCAATATGGTAGAAAAAACCAAAAATAAATCAATAAATAAATAAATATAAAAAGAAAAGAAAATTAATTAATTAATTAATGCTTTCATCCAGTTATACGTGTGAAACTTTTTTAATACCAACAATTAATCACAAAAAGAAGAATTTATTACTGTATAGAATAGAATATAAAACCATAAACAACTAAGTGTTTCTTTATTAATATTATCATCTTACTATTGAAGCTAAACAAACTTTTATTAATTTGATAATATGAAATAATTTGCAATTGCTCTATGTTATATGTGAGGTTTACTTTTATTAAATCTGCCCTATTAATAATTAATAATTTTTATAAATAGTGAAAACGAATTGTAATTTTAAATAAATTTTATCCGCTATATCAGTTTTTTAAAAATTTAAATTTAAATTAAATACTATTAAACGGATCCGAAATTCAAATTTTATTTAAATATTACTTCTGAATTAAGCATGGAAATACGTTTGCAAACTGGAGAAAATAATTAACAGAATTTTTATTTTCAATAATAATTACTGATTAGTAATTACCTCTTCTTTGGAAAAGAAATTACTTTTTACAGGAGAAATAGTGAAAGCAAAGGATCTACTGCAGGTTGAAATCTTTAACCGTATGGGTTCAGGGACATCATTGCTATGCAGTGGACTTTTCAGTGGAAGGGACACGTGTCTCTCCTCAAAGTTTGCCTCATGAAAAATCCATGAGTAGTTGTCCTTATGTAAGCACTATCTTAACCTATGCATCTTCTGTCCCCCACAGACAGCCTTAAATGATGTATGATAATTACATGTATACGTGTCTCTTTGAGGAGTTCATGGTAAAAAAAAAAGGAAAAAAAAAATGAAAAGAAACCATTTTTTTGCCACTTATATTCTCTCTCTTCCCCTCAATATCTCTCTTCCTCAAGCCTCCTTCCCCAGAAATAAAGGGAAAAAAAATCTAGGAAAAGAGGCCTAACTCACCTTATTATCAGGCTCCAGGTCTCTTTTTAAGTCTTTTGTGTTTCAAGCGGGTAAGAACCCTTCAATTATTTTTGAGCATCTGTTATTCTTTTTTTATTTTTTATTTTTTATTTTTGGTTTCATTCTTTGATCAGATACTACCATACCCAGATATTCTGTTTTTTTTTTTTTTTTTTTTTTTTTTTTTTTTTTTTGATATTCTGGTTTCTTTTTTATTTTTTGTTTTTTTTTTTGTTTTTTTTTTTTTTAAACGGGTTTATGGAATAGATTCTTTAATGTGGAAGATGGTTAGAGGAAACTTTAATTTCAAGAAGAGGCTGAGGTGGGTTGCCTTAGATCCAGGGGGAAACATTTGAGATGTAGTGAAAAAAGTTCCATCTTTGGGTTGTTCTTTTTTTTTTTTTTTTTTTTTTTTTTTTTTTTTTTTAACGGTTTATGGAATAGTTCTTTAATTGGAAGATGGTAGAGGAGAACTTTAATTCAAGAGAGGCTGAGGTGGGTTGCCTTAGATCCAGGAAACATGAGATGTAGGTGAAAAAAGTTCCAATCTTTTTAGGGTTTTCTTGTGATTGTCTGGGGTTGGTTCTACTTTTTCCAAGATTGTTTAATTCCCATGACTCCTTTTGCTTTCTATTCTTGGGTTAACAGATGAAGTCTTGATTTTAGTTTTTTATTTCTTTGTCCTTTTCATTTATGCTTTATGTATTTAAGGGTAGGTGGTAGGGATAGGATTAGTTATCCTGTGGTTGATTCTTTCTTGAAAAAAGGTGAAGAAGAATTTGATAAGTTCTGGAGTTTTGAGGATAACATAACTACCTGAGAAGACTTGAAGTTTCTGATAATTAAAAGGTTAGATCCATTCTTTCTCACCAGATCTGATAACCTGTTTTCATTCTCCTTATGCTCAACAGCTTATCTTTCTTTGATTTTGACCTTGGAGGCTGTAGATTGTCTTTTCCCATATATCTCCTTGATACAAAAGGATTGGTGGGCCATTGGGATGTCGTAGGATGGAAGAGGAATTGCTAGAACCTGCAAGCTTAACATCAATCTCAATGGTAAAAGGAAATGAAGAGGATGAGAATTGGCAGATTTTGTGAAAATATTAGGGATTATTAGCCATAACTTTTAATTGGACAAAGGGTTGTATTGATGGAAGAGATGTCCCCTGCGGTTGCAATGACACTTAGTTTAGGCAATTCTATTTGTGATAACTCAGGTATTGCTACCCATGTAGAAATTACACGGCTAAAGCTTGTAACAGACGCTGTGAGCTTGCTGTCTGATCCTGCTAAGGTAGTATCCGATGAGGCTGTTGCAGTGTGCAGTGGAAGCTCTGATGATGCTAAAAATGGAATGGAATTCACCACCTTGTCTGAATCAAAAGATGGTGGTGTTGGAGGAAATGATTCAGTTCCTACTGATGCTATGATTCAGGAAAGTGACGAAGATGAAGTATCGTCTGTTGTGGAAGACACTAATGGAACTATATCTGAGGAGTTGTTAGCATTGGAAGCTGGATCTGAAATAAATTTACCAAAGTCTGTTGAAATTGAAGATATGATTGAAGATAGCCAAATCATTGCTAAGGCTATCATTGTGGAGTCATCAAATGAGGTGCAGGTGCCGACGGCTAAACTCCTCATAGCAGCAGTGAGCCCAAATGCAGACATCACTGATGGCTCTGAGTTAAGGGCCTCCGCAGTGGTTCTTAAGTTGCCCAGTGAGAGCAATCTCAGTAAGGGAACTTCCCGTAGTGTATTTGAGATTGATTGCGTACCTCTTTGGGGTTCTGTCTCTATTTGCGGAAGAAGACCAGAAATGGAAGACTCTCTTGCGGCTGTTCCTCGGTTTGCAAAAATTCCTATAAAAATGCTCATTGGCGATCATGTCGTCAACGGATTAAATGAGAGTTTGACCCATCTAACAAGTCATTTTTTCGGTGTTTATGATGGCCATGGGGGCGCTCAGGTACATCTATATAGCTAGATATTTATTTTTATTCTTGTCGTATAGGATATGTTTTAGCCTGCTTTGCAAAAGCAATTGCAATTCACTATGGGAGTGTTAATTGTGTAAGACTTATGGCTGGGCATGTATGATAAGTTATTGTGATCCATTTAATATAGTGATTCACATATTGATTCGAAGTGTCTCATTAATATTGCTAACTAATTCTAGCTTAACTTTTGAATTCCTAACTTATTGTAAGCAACTTGTTGTTGGCAACACGGGCTTCTTCATCACAATCTGCAACCTGATTTTGATTTCCAAATAATCAAGGGTGAACTCATGACTTTCTTTAATACGTATTTGATATTAATCTTATATCAAGCGAAATATGCACAGTTTTTTATCTGAGAGAATAATTTGGAGGGATCTCATGCAGGTTGCTAACTATTGTCGTGACCGAATTCATTGGGCCTTGGCTGACGAGATTGGAAATGTTAAAAATGATTCAAGTGGTGTAAGCATGGAAGCAAATCAGCAGGTGCAGTGGGAGAAAGCCTTCACTAGTTGCTTTCTTAAGGTTGATGATGAGATTGGGGGAAAAGGTACCAAAGGTACCATTGAAGGCCATGGAGATGCTTCTGATCCCACTTTTGAGCCTTTAGCACCAGAAACAGTTGGATCTACGGCAGTGGTTGCCTTGGTCTGTTCATCTCATATCATAGTTGCAAACTGTGGTGATTCAAGAGCAGTGCTTTATCGTGGAAAAGAGTCAATGGCATTGTCAATTGATCATAAAGTAATGCTTGTGCATTTATATCATTATTTATATGCATATATAGAACTGTTTCCATGCCTGTTTCTTTTTCTTAAATTATTCATTTATGTTTAAATGTTTTCAGCCAAACAGAGAAGATGAGTATGCCAGGATTGAGGCATCTGGAGGCAAGGTCATACAGTGGAATGGACACCGTGTTTTTGGTGTTCTTGCCATGTCTAGATCCATTGGTATGTGTCTTCCATTTTGGTGATGATTTTAATTCTGTATAGTTGAAGCAATATTGTGCTAATTTGCTGAAGTCCTTGCTCCAATGCTCTGCTGCTTGCTTCAAAAAATTTTTCTTGCTGCTAAAGACACCAGAATGCAAGCAGCAAATCAGAGCAAAATAATGATCTGGATTACGGTGTTTTAGGCTTCATTTGCTTACCTTGCTGGGACAAATTTCTGCCCTTTTTTTATCGGGCAAGCTTGTTTTAATAATGCCTTGGCTTCATGGTTGACCATTTCTCAATATCAATAAATCCATGAGTATTTCAGCACTGACGTTTACTATCACTTGTTTCTCTTTTGTACTCACAGGTGATAGATATTTGAAACCATGGATTATTCCAGAACCAGAAGTTATGTTTGTTCCTCGAGCTAGAGAAGATGAATGCCTTATTTTAGCCAGTGATGGGCTGTGGGATGTCATGACAAATGATGAAGTCTGTGAAGTGGCTCGAAAGCGGATTTTGCTCTGGCACAAAAAGAACGGATTTACATCTCTTGCTGAAAGAGGCAATGGAATTGATCCCGCGTCTCAAGCAGCAGCTGATTACCTTTCAATGCTGGCCTTGCAAAAAGGAAGCAAGGACAACATCTCAGTGATTGTGGTGGATTTGAAAGCTCAAAGGAAGTTCAAGAGCAAATCTTAATCAAGGTTTCATTCATCAACTAGCTTAAATCTATATACCGCTATATTAGGGAAGGTACATCTAATTAAATACATAGCTTGGTCCATTCCTTTTTCTCATGGGCTTAAATGTGTGTACAATAATAGAAACTAGTTTGTACTATAGCTAGTGTATCCGAATGCAATATTGCCTATGTTTTTGGATATTCACTTTGCCAAAAACTATACCACTAGTTATGTAAATTTGAGCTCTTGCATGTAGGGGGAGATTTACAGTGTTCAATTTTGTAAGTCATCCTTAGCTTTTCAAGTATGAGTTTTCTCTCTCAACAATAGATTGAGTGGTGATGGTTTGAACATCACAGGTACTACATAAGTCTCGGAAAGGCCATGCTTAGGCATCTTGTGCAACTGAGGTTAAAATAATGTTCAAGTTCAAACATTCTCTTGTTGATTGCTTGCTTTGCAGGCAGCAACCTTCTTGCTTCTGTTATTTCTTTTTTGGAAGGAAGTTCCAGAATTGTTGTACTAGTCAAAAAAAATTGAATCAGAGTAATTGCATAGAATTACTAGCAAAATATTAAATATTTGACAGGGCATTAGCAGAAGGAGAAGTCAGTAAATAACTAACTATGGGGAGCTCTATAATTAAAACAACTTGTTTGATCTAATGTCCTCGTTTCTTCTCCCAGAGAGTTGGAAATTAGAGAGAGAGAGAGAGAGAGGTCTAACATGCTAGCTTGCATCCGGGTTCTTGAAATGGATTATCAGTATCTGTTGGATTAGTACGAAAATTATCAGCTTATAATGAGCGCTAGTCATAAGTGAAAAGTATATCATTTTTCTCAGTTGGTAGCCTTTCTCGACTTTGGAGTGAATTTTTGGCCTAAAGTGCTTGGAAATCCTCAGTTCTTTGCTGTTGAAGTGCCACTGCAAGAATTCAGATCTTTAAACTTGTCAAGATAAGCAACGTAAGAGAAAATTCCACACAGTGTTTTCTTCTCCACCTTCATCACAGAAACAAGAACATGATAAAAATATCGAACTTTTTTTTTTCCTTCTGAAAAGTGACACTGTATTAACGATGTTAGCAAAAGATCCTGTCGTGCTTGCACTTATTACACGGTATCTTATTACCTGCCTTGGCCCCAGTTTTAAGACAATAATGCTTATATGTCTCATTAGTCATTACTAACAATGGTCCAGTACAGAAGTTAAATATTGTCATCTTCCCAAAGGAAATCACAAAGGCCATAATGATAGCAAGAAAGAAAAACTCATACAAGGGCACCTGACAGTTGACATTATCTGAAAGGGAATGAGAAGAAATGGTAACAAAGGAGGCCAGAAGCAATTGAATCACAATTTAGACTTCAACAACTAATTGGAAGAGACTACCTTTTCTAAAGAATTCTGTGTTCCATAATGGGGAGTAAGCATCATCTCTCTGTACTATAGTGTACGAAACTTCTAACTATGAGCGTTCCCGCATTTCGGACACGTTTCTGTTTCCTCGTATAAAATACCATTTCACTGTGGAAATTATATTTAAAATGTCTTTTTCCCCGTATCATTTCGCATTTCCATGTGTTTTCATTTCTGTTTCCTTACAACATAGTCTCTCCACATACATGTATTTTCAATATAAATATCTAGCAGCATTTTCCAAAATCCCTGACCTTTAGCAGCAGCATCTGAAACTTGAACTTTTGGTTCCAATATAAATATCTATCAACAACTAAAGGTCAAATTGAATTCCATTGCAATAGAAATTATGGCTGGTCAAGTACTGTCATGGATCCATAGAGAGTTGTTCATCATTAGGTTCGTATAAATCTCAATGCCTTTTTGTGGTTCTTGCGTTAACTTGTTTAATCAATCAAATTTCAATTAACTTAATCTTGTCCTCTAAGAAGACAACTTTAAAACAACTGTCGTTTTATATTTAATTAAACAAGTAGTACGATGCCTTTTGAATGTTCCAAAAACATACCTGGCTAATATTTTGCAAACAGTAAATTAATTTTCCTGATTATCAAACAACAAAAACAATTCAACTTCATGGAATATACGTTCAAATGCCTACAAACACACGTTTCCAGAAATATTTTTACGTTTAACACCCACCGGTGGTCAAATGAGAAATCAAGATACTTCAACAGAACTGATGAGAATTGAATCAAAGATACTTCCCCATGACTACCTGCCAAAATGCATAATCATATATTTAAATCAAGAATAGTTATAATCCACAAGCACCATGTTAGTTGCACAGCAAAATATTATACATGAATCTGAAGTTTTTCCTGAATCCACAAAACTTAAAAAAGTCATTTATCTCAGGATTCTTTTTATCCTATTGCAAGCTTCCAAGGCTGTGGAACTACTTGCTGTTGAACAATCGCCGAATCAAAGAATGAAAATTTTCCCATCTTCTAATCCGCTCACTACCTTTTTCTTGGCCGCCCCCGCCCCCGTTTCACTGTTTGGAATTTCAGAGGTACTGGAAGGGTTGCCACAAACGACTTGTTTTCATTTACACCCTTGCAACCCAAATTTTCAAAATGCACTCTTAAGTCAACAGGACTCATTCTTAGATCCTTGGCAATATCTGTGGGATTACTCCGGAAGTCATCAACATATAGAGTGAGCACTAGAACATAACTAATGAGAAGATCAATTTTCTCTATTGGCAGCGTCCTTGATCCTGGAGTAAACATATTCATAAATTTCTGCCGAAGAATGCTCGGAAATCTGTGATTCTTTGCAGAAGCAGCACCATCCAGAGAATGCATATCTTTAAACTTTATAAGGTGAGTAATGTAAGAGAAAATGCGAGAGAGTGTCTTCTTCTCAACTTCATCCTAAAAGTAGAAGCATTATAAAAATAAAAAGCTATTCCATTTCCACTAAACAAAATACCAAAAATGAAAAGGGAACCGATTCCTTAATGGGAATATTCAATAAAACTGCAATTGATAACAGGACCATTTTATAAAACATACCAAAGGCGTCCTGGATTCAAAGAGAGACAACAAAGCTATTTCCCCTCCAGGCACACTTGAAATACTGAGCTAGAGTATGCACATTGCACAGAGAAGTTCTTGTACAAAATAAACTTCAATGCAGCCATCGATCAAGGAGGATAAAATTTACAACTAATTAGCTACAATGCCAAGACATTGGGGACCTAAGCATGGAGCTTTCAGCAGGGATAAATTCCAGCTCGAATTTAAAGTTCAAATTTTCAAAAGTTGCTAAGAAAGAATCTCTGTATGCAACATGTGATCGATGTAAATGTTTTGATAAGAAGCTATAAGCAAAGGCTAGAAGCTGATAAAAAGTCCCCAGAATTCTGACAGAACCCATTCCAAAGACATCCATGACCAAAGGTTACACGCTGATAAAAAAAAGTTCCCAAAATTCTGACAGAATCCATTCTGAAGGTTGCAAAAACTGCTTAGTTCTAACTCAATATTATAGACTCTTTCATCTATCATCTCATTCATTTCAAAATTCAGACTAAGACAATAAACATTCAAAGTGAAATTCCATTCAAATATTGGCAAAAACATCACTACTTACACTTTTACCTGAATTTCCTGTAATTTATGTATTCTATTGCGAACAAAAGTTGGGTAAGCATTGCTTGATACGCCTGCCCCAGTTTTCAAAATCTCATAAACATCTTCAAGGAAATCCCACTCTCCTGCCAGAATAATCCCATTCAATGGATAGGCCTCCTGAGGTGTGGTGGCAGAAGAGTTATAAGGTGGAATATTTCGAGCAACCTGGGCACTGGTACTTGCAAGAGCCTCCTTGTTTACCACAATATTATCAATTTTATTCCCCAAATCCTCTTGCGATTCGGGATTATCTCCCTGCCTTAGAGCCTGCAATTTTTTATCCTGCAACATAATAAAGAATTCAGCCTTAGCCACCAATTCCCCCAAAGAATGATTCGACCAAACTGAAACACAAATTGTCAGCCATTTAGACTTGGATGCCAAAAACATGCACCATCATTTCACTCCATCAGAAACTATCTTTTTATTGAAGTGCTCTTGAGAAGAAAAAAAATTCAGAATTGACTTATTAGTGACAAATTGACTTAGGAGCTGCAGACACCATTTTTGTTACAAGACGAACCAGAGAAGGGAGCTTAGAGTAAAATGAAAATTCCCAATATAAAATAGGGTTCAAGCGATAAAGGACCTAATCCTATACCATCATGAATAGCAAGAACTACAACAACAACAAACAAGCCTCCCAAAATAGTTGGGCTCAGCTACAAGGATATGAAATTCTATGTGATGATGCATGTATCCATGGGAAGCCAATTAATGTGGCAATTACCTATTTATTATTAGCTACAAGGATGGGCTGGTAGTATTAATGTTAAATGCATTACACCAATGCATATACTTTTCTTTAAACCAGCAATCTTAAATAGATTATAACAAACAGAATGCTGCTTTTAATTTTAATCAATTTGTGCTGAGGCTTTAGGGGATGGAAAAGGCGGTACAAAATGCGCTATCAAATCCATCACTATATATTGTATGCACATGTTTGGACACACAGTGTTCGTTACCAGCATACCATTTAACTGTTTTTTCCAATATGTACCACAAAAAATTATCAACACTCTTCAGCAAGAAACTATCAAACAAAGGAAACGAGTTCACCAATGACAGAAAATTCTTTTAGCCCTTCCATTGGAAAAGAAGTAAAGACATAACTTGCAGAATAAATGCTCAGGATCAATTAGAATATACTTTCTGTTTTTCCCCCACCTAACAGCCTTTTAACAAAAGCATCATTATTCCATTACTTCAATAGTGCATAAAAGTTATATGTACCATGCTAAATAATACCTTCTTCCATGTCTAGGCAACAATATAATTAGAAAAAAATTAGCAATATTTGTATTTCTTATTAGTTACAAGTAATCTACAAAAAATAATTAAGCCTTAATCCTTAACCATTTAAACTTGACCATAACAATCATTTTCCTCCACTCCAGGCAGCTTAAGACTATAAAACCTATTAGCATCTACCCAATTAAAATCAATGAAATGCACTTAAGGAGGATGCAGTCGAACAAAAATCTAATATTTCACAACTAAAAAAAAAGTAAGCATACCCCTGCTATAGATCTCTTTGTTCCATAAAGTACAGCAAGTTCCCTCCTTTTATCTGTCCTGTTTTCTCCAGAAGGCTCATTTTCCAAAACTGAAGGTTCCTCGTCAGCAGTATCTAACCCTCGAACTTTTGGTTCCAATCTAAATATCTGCAGTCACAAGCAAACCCACATTACAGTCTATTTATATCAAATACGTGCACTTTTGGACTAAATACCTCTCCCAAGTGTAACTACTATGGGAGAGCTCAGATCATTAAATATGAAATTAGTTGTATCATTGTGGACTAGTGTATATAAGTTAACAGTAAATATGATGCAGAACCTATGAACTTTTCCATTTACAAAGCAATCTTTGTCTTCCAGAAATTTTTGTCTTACAAAACGAATATTAGGTTAGCAATGCTGTCAACCAGCAATCAGGGTTTCAAGTAGCCAGAAATTGGTGACTTATTGCTTCAACATACTGACCTTATACTTCTTGAGCCCCATCATACAAAAATCATTTTTAGAAACAGTTATAAGTAAAAATTTTGAAACTTTGTTGTCCCCAAACAAACACTGAATTAGCAAATTTGCCAGATAGATTAAGATCTTTACATTTCAATTACAAAACTCAGTATATTAAACAGATGCATCAATGAACTTAATTCAATGACAATTTCTTCCTTCAATATCCTTCACTTTTTTGGCAAGCAACAACAAAATAATTTACCACATAATCAAATGCATGTTGGGATCAAGCCAAAAAAAAGGAGGGAATTTAAATTCATACTTTCTTTCCTTTCAATCGCCCATCTTTTTCACCATGATCAAACACCAGATAACAAATATCACATCAAATAAAATTCAATGAGCACTTTCCTTAGAAAATAAATCAACATCATGTAGAAAAGCACCCAAAGAAAGCCATACTTTACCAAACACAAAAACACAATGAAATACAAAACATTCACAGTTGATCGTAATGTCTTCTATTTTCCTCCTATGCATCCTCGTCATCCAGCAGACAATAAAATAATTAAATAATCAAATTCAACTTCAATAGAAATACCTTATACTACCTTATTTCCAGCAATTGGCACAATCTTCAACGTCTGAGTCATCTTATCAAATACCCCAAGCGCATAAGTGCACAACTGAGCAGCCATAGCCTCACCTTTATAACTCTTACCCACAAAGTCCACATTGGACCAATGAGGACTCACAACCAGTTCCAGCCTCTCTGAAGTTCTCCTTTTCTCATCCTTTTCACTGGAGCTTTTCTCCATCTTGGCACGAGTGCTCCTATAAAACCTAACAGTTGATTGCTGTGGTGATAGGTTCTCTTCATTCTTTTGTGGCTTATAACCAGAAGGGAAATAGCCCACTATAGGGGCACTCCTGTCAGCACGGTCATAGATGGCTTCCACTTTCACATCCACAGATTGTTGTTCAGTAAGTTCAGCACTGGTGGATGGTGGCTGGTCAGTGCTTTTCTCTGTCTCTCTCTTTCTTTTCTTTTTTGATTTCTTAGTTACTGTTTGTGATGATTCTTGACTAATATCGTCAATGTCAGCCATCTTCGACTCAGAAACTGACGACATAGAGTTTCCTACTTTTCAGCAATCATAATAAACCAATTCGATTCAATCGTATTGATTAAAAATCAAACATTGTAATTAAACAAACATAAACCCAGAAATCATTTCCTCTCTCGCTATCAAGTTCAATTATAAAAACAAATCAAAATTACTTCCGCTTTCGGTCTGATTTGATTCTACACATATCGAGCCAACAATAAGAATTTTTCTTCTGTAAAATAACCACACAATTGAACTGGAAAAAATGTAAGTGCAAAATTACCTTTTTTTTTTCGGAAGGTTTTCTTCTTCTTTTTTTTTCGCCCTTCGCTTTCCCGGCAACCAAACAGATGCTATTTTGTAAACGGGGGAATTCTTCAGAGAGAGGTAATCAGTGAAGCTGAAAGTCAAAACCCTAAAATGTTAAGGGTTTTGGATAATAACCGATTTTGTAAACGGTTCTACTTGAACCGATATGTCGGGGCAGATCAAATTATTTGGATGGGCTTGTTGTTGTGGTTTATGTTTCAAGATGGGCCAACCCATAAAGTCTGTACAAGGGGAGTTTTTTTCTTTTTTTCTTTTTCTTATTCTTTTTTTTTATTTTTTATTTTAGGAAACAAGGGGAGATGCTATTTTCCTAGGATTTAGTAATTTAGATTGTCTACAAATTTTGATATCTTAAAATCTCTCACAAAGAAAAAAAAAATATATATATATATATATTAATGAAAACAAACTCTCAAAATGCTAAAATAAAAATTTAAGCAGAAAATAAAAATTATCTAATAAATTATTTTGTTTTATTTTAAAAATCAAGTTAAATAAATAAAACCCTATTACAAATACTGATTAATAATTTTTTTATATAGTTTTCATGGGAGAACTCTTATACTTTTGAAGATATATAACTAATTTCATTTTAAAATTTTATATGATCAAGCACTTACTTTTCAGATATCACTAGTGAGGATGATTTAAGAGGATTTGTATATATTCCCACAAGTATAACATGACCATATTTAAGTATGAATTCTGTTTGAAATTCTTCTTTTCCTTATAGAAAAAAACACTATTATGAATAAAAGTTAATTTTGCATTTAAAGTTTATTTTATTTTATAATTCCATATAACAAGAATCATTTTTTATTTTGTGGATTTTAAAGTTTTGAATTGGGTTGCATAAAACAAATTACAAACCATTTAAAAAGATTTATGAACTGCGAAAACTTCTGCATTCTGCTGTCTTATTTTCTAAATAAAGGGGGGGGAAAAAAGAAAAAAAAAAAAAAAATTTTAATTTAATAATTTCCATATAACAAGAAAGTCATTTTTAATTTTGTGGATTTTAAAGTTTGAAATTGGGTGCATAAAAACAAATTACAAACCATTTAAAAAGATTTTGAAACTGCGAAAACCTTCTGCCATTCTGCTGTCGTATTTTCTAAATAAAGGGGGGGGAAAAAAAAGAAAAAAAAAAAAAAAGGCAAAAAACTACCAGTTTTTTTTTATTTATTTATTATTATGTTTTTTTTTTAGAGAAATACCTTTTTCTTTTTTTTCAAAACGCCTCACATTAATAAAACAGTATAAAAAAAAAAAAAAAAAAAAAGCAAAAAACTACCAGTTTTTTTATTTATTATTATTATTTTTTTTTTTTAGAGAAATACCTTTTTCTTTTTTTCAACGCTCACCATTAAATAAAACAGTAAAAAATGGGTATTGGTTTGTTTCGTCTTCATTCTTGTTGAGGTCATGACATTTACATTAATGGAGATTGGAGAAACACGTAATCGAAACGCGAAACGCCCTTTCTTGGACAAGTAAAGACAGTCCTTTGGAGAACTGATAAAACCTGCTTCTTTTCTTCATCGTCAGCATTCTTTTTCTGCGAATTTCACTAATTTATCACCACTGTAAGCTATCTTTACCCCTTTTTAGTTCTTGCATGGTGAATCTCTTGTTGATTTTGAGGGATTTCTGATTCCTTACTAAAGTATATAGCTCACTTGTGTTTAGGGCAGTCAGTATAAAAAATTTTCGATTTTTGCACTGCAGCTGGTTGTTTGGGGCGCGTTTTACTTACTTGTGTGTGCTGAATTGATGCTAATGTAAACTTTCGCCTTTACGAGTAGAATTCTTTTTCATAGTTTGAGGGAATCTATTGCTAGAATATGGGGTTTTTCATTTTTCACAGTTTCTTTTTTGAATTAATTAATTTTAGTTATGTTTGTACTGTTGCATATTGAAATTGTTTCATCCTTGAGAAATCTTGGCGGGTATGAACTCTTTTGAGAGGAAATATTTGAAGAGGGTTTCTGAATTATCATAGGAAGAAATTGTGCTGTCTGATTTTTGCAAAAATAAAAGACTATGTTTCACGGGTTGATTTTTGTGTCTATCTGTGCAATCATTTGCTGTAACTATTTGCGTCCTCAATGTGTTCTGTTACAAATTCTTTTCTGAGTTTCATTGGAATTCTTGGTTAGTAGAATATTAATAAACATTTATTAGATGGGGGTATCCTTCATTTCTAAGTAACGTGGAATGTCGTATTCATTGATGTTGGGGGTTTTTGATTTGATACTTGGATTTATTCTCAAGTTTATCTTCTTACTCAGCTTATTTGCATTTTATTTATATAAGAAACATTTCTTTCTTTTTGCTAAAACCCTATTGAATTCATTTTTGTTCTTTCATCTTTTGGTATACTTTGAGGGAGTTGAAGCTGATTATTAGTAACCACTTTGTTGAAATTCATTTTGCAACTGTTAAATGATGGTGATGCATTGTGATATCATTTGTTTTAGTCATTTTAAAATCCTTCCTCACTCCTTTACTTTGTTGAGTGTTTTCTTGTATCTTTTCAGCAAGAGCTTGATATAGCAGTAAACTCACTTTCATAGATGACGAAATTTATTCTGTTTCATACATGATATTTTGCTTGGAGTCTTGATTAGAAGTGCAAGTCTACCTGATTAAGTCAATTATCTATGCAATTTTCATAATAGAGGATTTATTGTGTTGATGCCATAAATTTTTTGATATATCTCATTACCTAGTGTATTTCATCTTGCAGCTTTGTGAGAGGCTGAGTGGGAATTGAGCACAGAGGCTTACTAATTAATGGGACGAATGGATCAAGGTACTTCAGTTCTGTATCAATCATCTTCTTCACTTTGCAATATACAAAATGTTAGGGCGTTGCCCAAAGTTTTGTTATGGGGAAAAACTAGCATATCTATTAGGCTTTCAGACAGTCTTGCAGTAGCATACACACTGATTGGCCTGACGCTGTATGGATTAGTGTATATATAATGTTTGGTCATACTCAACGTTCCTATGCTGTGGATTAGGGATCCTGAATTCCTTGTTTTCTGCTGAGCAGAATTCTAGAAATGAGATTTTTATATTTCACTATAATGTGGAGTTCAAGTAGTGAGTTCTAAGTTTTATCTTCTGCGAAATTCTAAAGTGCTGAGTTCTTTTTTCTTGTGTTACTTTTAGAGGCATATGCACTCTTATTTTGTGCATATTGAGATTCTTCTTAAAAGATAGCTTTGCATTTTCTCTTTGTCTATACTAATATAGCATCTAACACGAAGCTGCTTGCTCAGTTGATATCAATCATTTACAGGTAAACTTTCAGTTCAGCAAACCTAGTAAGTAGACAATCATAATGAAAAGCAATCTAATCTTTGTGGTGGAAAGACATTGATATGTTGAATTTCTTTATTCTTCTTAACTGGGCCAACCCAGATATCCTGATCAGCAGAGGAGAAATTCTACAAAATAAGTAACTCCAATAAACTTATTCTTGTTGTGCTTTCCTCCGATGTAAAAAAGTTCAGTAACTCAGTTGTATTGCATGTAGAGTCTGAAGATATCATTTTTGCTTTGGGAATTTGTTTGGGAGTTGATACTTTCACCACTAGTTTGCTTTGCTAAGAGCCAAATTAAGGCATAATGTGTATGCATTAGTTTTGTTAATCTTTAAACCTAGCCGTTCCGGAACATTAGACAGACGAGGAATCTCTAACAATGAGGGAGTGTACCGTGAAGGTCTATTGTAAGGTTTAGTTGATGTCTATCAGTTGTATGTCATAGTTATCAGTAAGCATTAATTGGTGATGAGAATTCACATCATATTTCTGAGATATTTTATAATTGGCTTCTGTTCAATCATCTTCCCACATAATTTATTAACCTAAATCTCACTTGACCATGGTGAGAACTACAAAATTTTAGTTTTGCTTCAGAACTAACATTAGGCTCATACTTGTGTTGGGAATGTCTCTTTAACTGGTCTAAATTAATAACTTTTGCAGTTGGTGAATGGGACTCTAGATACTTGTTACTTCTTGTTATTACAAAAACTTTAGGGGTCCTAGATCCCTCTTTCAGCAAATTTAGCTGACAAGGTTGCTTGATGTGTTTGGTGAACACAGGGCCCTCAACTGATGTTGTGGACGACATACAAGGGAAATATGTTCAGATTAGGGATGAAGAGGAACCCCAATTGGGAATGTTCGACAAACCCCTTCCTTGCTGTGGCTGTGGAATTGGATGGTTTTCGTGAGTTTTTCTGCACTTGATCTCCCTCTCCCCCCCACCCCCCAAAAAACACACACGCCATGTGTTTTTCTTTTTTTTTTTTTTTTTTTTTTTATTTTTTTTTTTGTCTTACTGATTGGATGTGCTTTCTCAAGTCCTCTTACTTGGGATTTTTTTTTTTTTTTTTTTTTGTCTTACTGATTGATGTGCTTTCTCAGTCTCTTACTTGGATTTGCATGCCCATTGATGTGGTATTTTGCTTCAATTCTTTACATTGGAAAGTACTATCATAAGGATCCAAGGGAACGATCAGGGCTAGCTGCCTGTGCAATAGCTGTGAGTGTTAATGATTAATGTTTTTTTCCCATTTAGTCAGAACAGCCATATGAGAATTCTCATGCTATTGCTTTTTCTTTTCTAACTCATTGTTCATGTCAGCATTAGTTTTATGTGAAAACAGTAATAATAAAAATCTTAAGATCATTTGGATAACATAGATCATTTTGAAATTTTATCTACGCCAATATATCATGATCACCTGAAAACTAATTTTGGGGAAATTTGAAACATTCTCTAGGCTGAATTAAACTGGGTTTGCTTCAACTATCTTTGAAACTTTAAGCTGAACTTCAGGCTAGTTTGTAATGTGCGAGCCGGAAGAAATTGGTATTCGTTTATTGTTGATATCATATACTTAAAACATAATTTCAAATACAGGTTACAATTTTTGCAATTACTCGCTCAAATGCTATGTTCTGGAGAAGTACTTGCTTAGAGATCAAACATTAAATAGAACTATGCCTAAACCTTGTTGTAATTTAAGTCGATAAAAATTTGAGGAAGTTATTTATGTTGATAAATAGTGATTAGTGAAGAATATTTATCCTTTATATCCATGTTTTATTCTGTTCCATTGATTTGAGATGTTAACTAACTGTTGCAGGCTTCAATATGCACAGTAGCTGTGGTGATCATTCTGCTTGTATTTTTGTTATAGTCCTTGCCACCAAAATCATCTCTGTAACAGCCGACCCGTGTCAGAAAACATGAAACTGATTCCATGTAATTAAGACTTTAATCCTTTAGTTATGGAAGGAGAGCAACAGAGGTACTGTAGTTCTTAATATGTGAGCATTACTAAACCCCTCTTCAGTGTTGTACATAAAGTATGTAGAACTTTCAGCGGAAATACTACTGTTGAATGTCCATTTAATGGAAATATTTAAGTTATTGTATAGCGAATCAAGTCTAGCAAATGGTCCTTTACGGTCAAAATTCTGGAAGAAAAAAAATAATTAGATTAACTGTTGTATGATGCTATTTTATCAGGATAGCAACATATATAGCATATTTTCTTCACAAGAAAATAAAAATTAATGGATAATTTGATCAAATTGTTGTTGTCTGTTCTTCTATTCTTAAAGAACTTATAGGTTGTTCTGTTTGTTTCGTCAGAGGATCACTGAATAGAGTTGCCAGTCTCTATGTCTAGTCTAAAGGCATGGATCTTATCCCTCTTGACAATATTTTACAAGCTGTGTTCAATGATATTTCTTAATATATTTGCTCATTTTCCATTAAAAAAAAAAAAAGAAAATTAATTTATAATTTCTTTAGTGAAATTTTTTTGAAAGTTGCAGCTATAATAAACTCGTAGAAAATACTACTTAGTCGTGTAATTTTCCTTTAAACAGAAAAATATTTAAAATTTTCCTTTAAAGTGGTGTAATTTTTCCTTCCGAAAAAAAAAATTTCTATTAACCGATTTTATTTTAATTTCTGAAACATAAAAAAAATTAAAATTTTTTTTCAAGCAAGTTATTGTTTGAAAACAAAGGAAACTTATAACAATTATGCTCTGGAAATGAATAATGGATGAAAAAACAGAGAATTTATACAATCCATCACGAAACGGCGCAACACTTTGGATTCTTGCCACAAAAGCAAGAAACGGTTTCTTCTTTGTCTCCCCATTAATAAATAATAAATATAAATATTATTTAAAAAACTATCAAACGAAGACGCGTTCGGTTCTAAAATTATAGAAAAGTTAATAACCACTTGTGCTTGTCATTCTTTTAACTTATAATGCTGTAAAGTAAACGACGTCACTCCAAAGTTTTGAGCTTACCTAATATTTGATCACACCCGCATTTTTTTGACTTTGACTAAATTCGGCGGTAATTAATTATACTACGCGCTTTTTCATTTCTTTGAAAAAAAAAAAATGGAGATCTAACATTATTCTCTTTTTTATATATATTTTTAAATAAATTTTATTACCAATTCTCTCATTTTTTTTCATTTAAAATAATACTATTTAAAAAAAAAACGTTTTTTAAGGAATACATGTTTGTGTCGTGGAAATATTAAAAGGACAAAATGCAATCATGAGAACCTTGAATGATTTTGAAGCCCAATTTCTAGTAATTCATTGATCTGACATCATAATTCAAATTTTTATCAATAAAATAAAAAATAAAATTCATTAATAAAAATTAATTATTGAAAGATCTTCTGTTTCTATGTATTATATTACTATTGCAGAGTATGAAAATTCAATCACAATTAAACTAATCTGATAAGCAATTTCTTCCATGAAGGGTAGCGGCCACGCTAAATACTTTAACTCGCCTACAAATCTTGTGTAGGGTTACTTGTTTGGTAAGGGGGAAAGTTTAACTTTCTGTGAAAGAAAATAAATTTGTTGTGTTTAGTTTTTAAACTCCTGAATTTCTTAGAAACGGAGTATCTAACATCTTAATGGCACGACTAGCGGTGGCTGCCACGCCCACTATTTTAAAATATTTTTAAAATTTATCTTATAAAATATGAAAAAATTTTATCTTTTATCTATAAAAGAAAAAAAAAAAAAAAAAAAAATTTATCTATAAATATAAAAATTTTATCTTTTATCTATAAAGAAAAAAAAAAAAAAAAAAACACCATACGTGAAGGTCTTTCGAGTCTTGACAATGCAACGTACTAATTCCCTAATTTCCCTTGTAAATTGTATACAGCTTGCCAGCATAATACTTAGTGCGTGAAACCATATTTGGCTGTCATTCTCCTAGTGACATGGCAACATGTGGACACTAGTAAATTCGCAGTATTTTCCTATATATATATATATATATTATATATATATTTACTATTTATATTATAATTAATTGATAATCAAATTAAAGATAGCCCACATTTGTGTATAAAGAATCATTAAATATTACACATCTTCTGCTTAATTTATGCAAGCAAAGCATACAAAAGCAGATCCTCACCAAAGCAAGCAACTCAAAAAAGCCATCAAACAAAGCATTACCTAAAAGTGTCTTCCAAAAGCACTACTCTCTCATCTTTCTCTCTATCTCAAAAGGAAAACCATAACCCTCAAATAATGGAAGAAGAGGAAAACACGCCACCTTTTTGGCTACAAACCAAAGACAGCCACCGCGGCCTCCGCCGTCTCCGCAGCCAAGCCACCTATATCTTTCTAAATTCTGGTGTACTTCTTGTTGTTTTACTTGTCATAGCTTTTGTTTTTGTTTTTATTATCGTCCCTTCTGTTGTTTCTTTCACTTCCCAGATTTTTAAGCCACAGTCAATTAAGAAAAGTTGGGATTCACTTAATCTTGTTTTAGTCCTGTTTGCTATTTTGTGTGCATTTCTTAGTAGAAACAGCAACAATGGTAGCAATAATGAAAGTCCAAGTTATCGAAGCCTATCAAATGTACAGCAGCAGCAGCAGCAAAGATCGTATCCGTCAACTCCTGTACATAGATGGTATGATCATGATCAGTATCAAGATCGGACGGCCTATAATAATTTGAGCCGATTGAGAAGTTTTAGTTCATACCCAGATCTCCGGCAAGAATCCTTATGGACTACCGCCGATGAAAGGTGGCGTTTTTACGATGATACCCACCTTAAGAACAGTTACAGATTTTCATCAGATGCTCAACTACAAGAAGAGGATCGCCCACAGCAACAGCAAGAAAAACAAGAAACTGAAAAAGAGGAAAAAGAAGATGTGGGTATCGTGAAGGAAGTTGTTTATATGCCATCGTCACCACCTCCATCTCCCCCTCCTCCTCCACGACCATCGCCGCCGGCTCCACCACTGTCGCCTCAGCTTCAACCACCTAAGTCTGTAAGGAGAAGAAAGGTGAAGAGAACATATCAAGATCTTGAACATGAAAAGAGAAAAGAAGAAGAGAGAGATTTGGAAGAGAAGAAATTTCATGCGCCACCCCCTTCTCCTCCGCCGGCTCCGCCTCCACCGCCACCAAATTTCAGCAAGAATGAGAAAAAGAGAGGTAAAGATTTCTTGACTTCATTAAGAAGAAAGAAATTAAGGAAGCAGAGGCAAAAAAGTGTTGAAAATCTTGGGAGCTTATTTGACTCTCAACCTTCAACTCCATCTTTCATACCACCACCTCCACCGCCACCGCCACCACATTTCTTCCAAAATCTTTTCTCTTCCAAGAAAGGCAAATCCAAGAAAACACATTCAGCTCCACCACCACCACCTCCACCACCACCTCCTCCAGTTACTTATTCATCTTCTCGCGCTACCAAAGTTTCAAAAGCCATATCTCAGAATGCGGCATCATCAGTGGAATCTCTGGCATCAAGAACCACCGCTCAAGTAGGGGCAGTCACGGCCCATCAACCACCCAGAACAGTTAAGACGACATATAATTTCAAGAGAGTAGAAGAAAATGTGGAAAATGGCAATGCATCACCTTTGATTCCAATACCACCTCCTCCACCGCCGCCGCCTTTTAAAATGCGGTCATGGAAGTTTGTGAGGGATGGTGACTATGTTAGAGTGGCAAGTTTTAATAGTTCGCGTAGTGGGTCACCGGAATTGGATAGTGAAGACCCATCAGAAAATGAATCAAGTCCAATGCCAAGACAGGACGGTGATTCAGCAGTGCCATTGTTTTGGCCTAGTCCTGATGTGAACACAAAAGCTGAAAACTTCATTGCCAGATTCAGAGCTGGATTGAAGCTGGAGAAGAATAATTCTGTGAAGGGAAGGTCAAATCTTGGCCCAAGTCCTGATACTGTTGAAAGAGAAGACCCAAGATAGATTTTTTCTTTTTTAATTTTAATTTTTAATTTTTTGGTTTTTGAGTGAGGATTTGTTGATTTGTTTGAGTTGATATGATACAATACATTATGAAGTTCAATTATAGATATATAGGAAATGATACAGAGAGCTTTTACAGAAAATTTAAACAAGTTTCTTTCTTTTGATAATAGCTTTTGTTTTTAGGTAATAATCTCTGTTGATGTAGTTATTAACTTATTATAGTGCATTTATTTTTATTCTTTTGGTGGTTAGGTGATAATGGAGTGGAGAGGTTTAAGTTATGTTTTTGCTTTACAAGCTGTGATTAAGATATTTATAGTTGTAGATGGAAAAATGACAACTAGACTTTTTGTTGGTTTGGACTTTTTGAACGCAAGTTGGGCAAGATATGCGCTTGAGAGTAGGTATTGGAAGATAATTTATTTGTTGGGTTGTGCTATGTGACAATTACTTCTTAATGGGGAAGTAATGGATTGGATTTATACGTGGAGACAAACTGAGTCGTGCTATATATTTAACGTCTGTCGTTTTCAATTTTTATGATTAGATTCTTCATGGTTAACAGAGCAGTTGTTTGATTAGTTCTTGAAGGGAAGTTTCTTGCTTTATGCTTTGCATCCATCATGCCCTGATTCTTACTTTCTCTAACCTTTGCTTCAAATTCATAGCAATGGCCGGATTCCCATGACTTACAAAAATTTCTTCATTTCCTTAAGAGAGACAATCGTTTGACAAGCAATTCCGCCTCTGCACTACGTCCTCTCGTCCGTGTCATTACGGCGAAGAACTTGAGAGGCAGAGCATCCTTAGACACCATTGGATAGTTTGGTGCCTCAGCTCCTAAGGACCTTTTATAGACATTGTTGGTAGAAATGACTCGCAGTCAGTTCCATCTCTGCATTTATCAGGTTCTGCTAGTAGATGCAATGAAGGAATAGTATATTTCTTTCTCCTTTTAATGGGTTCTATTGCATCAATTAGTATTTGATTCTAGTTTAGTTTCCCTCTGAAGAATTACAGAAGTCCTATTTAGCATAACTCTATCGTTACTTTTAAAAAATAACAAAGCGATTTCTTCTAGTGCTTAATGTAGTTATGAAGTTAGAAACTGCTTCTTCTAGTTCTAGTTAGGGATTGGTTCAATATTGAGTTCTAACAAACATGCTGTTAGTATGATTCATTAATAACAATTATTTGAACTACCGGCATTCATTACCCAGCAAGCTGCCAGCCTAAAGCAAAAAACAAACTTAAGAATACATAAAGTAAATAAATGCTGCTTCGAGCAAATATTTCATTAATCCAAATGATGAGGAGTGAAAACCTCCTCTAAAATTGGCTACTTTACCAAAAATGTAGTTTCCATCTTCTAAAAGCTACAGAATAACAGAAAGTGAAAATCCCATCAAGAAACATTCAATACCAAATGATAACACCAATGACTTAAAATGCCCATTGATCAACCTAATACTTTGATTCTTTGCTCAGCAAATACTTCTTCAAAACATCCATAACTGACCCAAAATCAGCCTTGACACTCACAGGCGGATTAGCAAACCTACAAGCCATGTCCTTGATTTCGCTTGAGTGATATTCGATCTTACTCTGGGTAAACTTTAATCCATGAGCAGTACTCACTACCACTGTCCTATCTGTAGGTTTTATAACCCCACTATTCCTCAGCTTAATCAATGCTGTCAATGCCACCCCTGTATGAGGACATATAAACATACCAGTAGAATCAGCTTGGGCCATTGCATCCATTAGCTCCTCCTCAGTAGCCTCCTCCACGATCCCATTTGAATTTTTCAATGCATAAACAGCTCTATCAATAGAAACAGGATCACCAATCTGAATAGCAGATGCAAATGTATTATTTGCTTTGATAGATTTGAAGTCTTTCCATCCTGACTTGTAATGTAAATAAAGTGGATTAGCATTTGCAGCTTGTGCACAAACTAGCCTAGGAATCCTATCAACAAGCCCCAACTCTTTACACATATAAAAACCTTTATAAAAAGCATATATATTCCCCAAATTACCACCGGGAACAATAACCCAATCAGGCACTTCCCAATCAAACTGCTGCAAAATCTCAATTGCAGCAGTTTTTTGCCCTTCTAATCTCAAACTATTCAATGAATTTGCTAAATAAATTGGCAACTCAGCAGTAATCTCTCTTATTAACTGCATGCAACCATCAAAATCAGTATCAACACTCAAAACAAAAGCCCCATTAGCAATAGGCTGCACTAATTGTGCCATGGAAATCTTATTAGCTGGTAGAAAAACAATAGAGGGAATACCAGCAGCAGCACAGTAAGCAGAAAGAGCAGCAGAGGTATCACCAGTGGAAGCACAGCCAACTCCAACTAATGGTTTGTTCATTTTCCTCAATCTATTAACTTGGCTCACCAACACTGTCATTCCTAAATCTTTGAAACTACCAGTATGACTAATCCCACAATGTTTGACCCACAAGTCATTCATATCCAAAAACTGCTTTCCATATCTCTCCGCCCAGAATAAATTTGAGTTCCCTTCAAAAGCGCTAACAATATCATCACTTGATATTTGCGGTAAAACCCATTCCTTTTTCGACCAAACTCCGGATCCATAAGGCCAGGTGGTTTTCCCGATCCGAGAATCGAAAAGGTTTCGCCAGTAGGAACCAGAGAAGGCCTTGAGAGCGGAAATGTCATGTTGGACATCGAGGAGGCCACCGGACTGAGACCGGTAAACGATCTCATCGAGAGAGTAGGATTCCGTGCAAGAGGGTCCCCCGTTAAACGGGACATATTTAGCGGAGAAGTTGTGATCGGGTTGTGGGTTTGTTAGATTGTGGCGGCGAGCCTCGTCGCGTATGTTGCAACCTCTGGCACCGGAGGTTGAGGTGATTGTAATGTTAGAGGGATCGGAAGCTGACGAGGCTTTAACATAAAAATGAGTGCGTCTGGTTTTGGGTTTGGAGTTGAAGTAAGGGCTAAAGTGGGGAGATTGGAGAAGTGAAGAGGCAGCCATTGAAGAGAAGGAAGAGAAAGGTTGGTTGGTGAGAAGTGGAGACTGAACAGAGAGTACTTGGCCTAGATCTCCTGTGTTTGGACTTCTTAGAGTTCAATCAATGGAAAATGAAAGGGTTTAAGGAGATGTGTGAACTGACGGTAATTTGTTGTTTTAATGCTACTGGGTTGAGGTGATGACAAGTGGCATAGTAGCTTTTTTTCTTCTTCATCAAATCAAATATTTGTAAATTGCGAAATTGTGATATTCTAACAAATAAATTTGATTAGTATAATTTTTTTTAAAGGCAAATTTGATTAGTATAATTATTAATCATATTTAATATACTAATATTTATTAATGTTTTGACTATTATTTATAAATATCAATTAGAAATAAAACAATATTTAAAATATTTTTGCATCTAGACTTGAGAGTAATAAATGATTTAAATATAAGTATTATTTATAGTGTGTGTGTATATATATAATTGTTAAAACTAAAATTGTTAATTAAAATTTCACCTTAAACTTGTTATAGATTTTATTAGTTATATAAACATTAAATATATTAAGGGTCCTTTGAAATAACTATTACTTATTAATTTAAAATGCAGATAAATATTTTGTTTTATAATATGGTAGAATGAGTTCAATTTGTATATGAACTCCGTTAATTTTTAATTAATTGTGGAATTTATTATAATTATGCAATTTTATCGATTTATACTTGAAATTGATTGGCATAAGTTGTTTTTGTATTTTTTGATAAATTATAATTTACAAATCCTAGTATTTTTAGTCGAATTTGATGGAATTATGATTAATTTATATAATTAAAAATATATATTATTTCATTAAGGTCCATTTATATAAAAAACAAGCATATAAATTTTGTTCCTTTCAAAAAAAAAAAGAGAATATAAATTTTGTAAATAAAATTTCTCTAGGTTTTCATTAAACTAATTAATGTGAAACTTGAAAAAAAAAAATAAATTAAACTTTCGTTAATTCAAATGACTTTTGACTCTATTTATCATTCAACATTACAATGATAGTATGATCTAGTAATTGCATTTTATTTTTCATCAATACCATTATTTAATATTAAAAAATAAAAACCATAATACGATCCTTGTAGTTTATTAATGCAACTAATTTATTCACGCATTTTAAGAAATATATTAATTTATTTTTATATTTTGCTTTTATCATGCTATAAAGTTTTTCAGTCAAATTTTTACATCTTTCTTATTAAATAACTTGTGAAATGATGAAAATATTCCTTTTATTTTTAAAATTATAGAAATAAATTAGTTATATTTTTCGAACCATAGAAACTGCATTATAATTTTTCTTATATAATATTTTAGTATATCTCATTTGACCTTTGTTTTATAGTTCACTTAATAGAAAAGATGCAAAAATTAGACAGAGAGACCTAATAGTATAAAAAAAGTAAAATATAAGCATAACTTAATATATTTTAAAAAAAATATGATGGAATTAGTTGTATTTCATAAAATACAGAGACTGAAATGTAATTTTTCAAAAAAAACATATATAGAATGCTTCATACGACAAGTCGCATCATAAGTTGGTATTCCAAGAGAACGGCAAAGAAAAAAGAAGTACATATAAATAATCCGCCAGCAGTAGGCGGCAACTGATTCTAAACCCCCTAATAAACCCTAAACGTAAGGAGCAGCAGAAAGCATAGCAGAGATACAGAGGGTGACACAGAGAGAGGAAGGACAAAAACAGAAATTGGGACCCTAATTTGGTAACCTCAAGTCTGAAAAAGCTACCAAGCAGCTAATTAAAAGTTATCGACGTTGTTCTTTCTCACGAAATTGAAATTGAGCTTCCTTTTGCCCATTCAACCAATATAAGGTGCGCTCTTTCTTCTTTGTTGTTCACAGAAAAAAAGAAAATTTTAAATCGAATGATCATTTATATCTATTTTTCTCCTTTGAGACTACCGTTTTTTTTTTTTTTTCTAAAATACTGGTCATTTTTACTATGCATTCATTTTTTTTTTTTTTGAGTTTATATTACTATTATTGATTACAGTTTTTTTTTTTTTTTTTTTTTTTTTACTATTATTGATTACAGTTTTTTTTTTTTTTTTTGTTAACGGACCGGTTCCGCATTTTTTTTTTTTTTTTTTTGTTAACGACCGGTCCGCAGGTTTGCCAAGCTAAAAGCGAACTGATACAGGATTGTATATCCTTTTGTTTATGGCGTTGGAGTTATAATTACCTGTGCTTCAAAACACACATTTCTTATTATAAAATATAACAAACATTTTTTTAGTATTATTTTTGACACATAATTTGTTAGTATATAGATATATAGAAATATTTAAGTTTTTGTTCTCAGATGGCAATGGATGGAAGTTTCAGTGTTGAATCTGCATTCAAGAGGTTCCTTTCTCGTTGCCCAGAGCTTAGAAAAATTCAGAAGCTCAATGACCTTGAAAAGAAGGTAACTATTTAGTTAATATTTCATATTCTTTGTTTGTTTGCTAAAAGACTTGTGGCTAATAATGATAGGGGAAAGCATTGTCCATTTTACAGGTGTAAATTGTTGTTTTGGTTTCTATGGAAGTCTTACCAGGCTCTTTTTGCAATAATTGATTTTTCTGTTTTGCTACTTAATTTTAACGAAATTCAAACCCAAAATTGATTTTCAACATACACAATGGTATCAATCATTTCTGTTTTATATCTTTTGGTTGAAATAATTGGAATTTATGATGTTTTATTTAAGTGTTATTGGAAATTATGATGTCAAACTTGTTCTTTATGCTTTTTTGTTCAGACATTCTTCCATGATTATGGTTTGTGCAGGGACACATGACGACAGAGGAAGAAGTCATAAATTTGGTGGCAGAACTATTTTTGAACCCAAATTATACGATACCCTTGGTTGGGTGTTTCAGACCACTGGCTAGAAAGATCATAGATGAAACTGTGTCTTTGCTTGGCAAGTGTAATCTAAGTTCCAACCAGGATGACACAACAGTGGATCCAAGAGAGTTTGTTAAAGGAGAAATTGCTTATGTTATTGATTTTTATGATCGAAGTGGGAGGGGTTTGATTCTTCACGAGCTCGCTTGCTTAGCTTTTTGCCGTGCCCTTGATTTGGATAATTCCTTATTGGGGTAAGAAATTGATACTTACCCATTACTGTCCTTGTTTTTTCCTGCATTATGCTTGAGTTAATTTGTTGAAAAAAGGGATCATGGTATGAGTGAAAATAAATGCAATGGAACTAGTCCAGTTCCAATATGTTCGTGCTATAATCAATAGTTGCTGGGTTAGTGAGTACTTGTCATTATTTCTGGGTTAGTGAGTGTTTTTCAATATTTCTCAATCTCTCAATTTTCTCCTGAGTGCTGGGTTGTATAAAATTGAGGCTCTATGTACTTATATCCTACATTTTTGCTGTAAACCTTATGCTTTGCTCTAGTGGCAGTTAGTTTAGGAGAATATAGAATACCGTATAGTCCAAGTTTTCACTTACTGTTGTACTTGATAAAACTTATTTTCTCATGTGTGTGTGTGTGTGTGTGTTATTTTCTTGTATATATGCAGACACATGCATGCGCTTTTGTGTGTTTTTTACATATATATGTCTCCCTATGTGCGCATGTCATGGGCAAGTTAAAGGTTAAATTGTTAGATGCCAGTCTGATATTTTGTTATCATTTCTCCCTTATGGTCTAGATTCTACCTTCTCCTGAATGTGGACTATATTCATTTTGTATCTTTCAAATTCTTACTAGTTTCTGTCTGTCTGTCTGCTGTGTGGAATGAGACCTCATTTTGAAAGAAAAAAAAAAAAAATTACATTTAACTCAAAGAGCTGCAGGTATGATATGTTTCCAACATGGTAATATTAGTTACAAGGTTTGTTTGTTTTTTTACTCACATAAAATATGTCTGGTTACTTCTGTAGGTCTCTGTCAGCTTACTTCAAATTTTCATTGCCTCCTTTTGAACGTATTTTGAGGAAAAGAGCGGTTTCTGAGCAGATTGAGGTACTTTTTAACTCTAATGTTATTGTATGATCAATTTTTTGTTGGAGAATTTGTGTGTTTTCATTGTAATTTCCTGTATGTTTTGATCATTCCTTTGATTTTTTCTTTTTTTGTCCCTGATGATTTCTTTCCTTCCACCCCTCTTGTCCTATTCAGAGTCTTTCTTGTCTCTCCAAAGGGAAAGATAGCTGCAAAGCTAATATAAGTGAAAATCTAGTTCTCTAGGAGTCCTGTTGAGGGGTTTCTATTTATTTTTATTTTAAGCTAGGATTTTGATATAATTTATAGAGCTAAAAAACATTGTTGTTATTAAACCTGGATATGATAAGTGAGCTTTTGAAACCAAAAATATTTCAAATTCATATTATTTTTGTGAAAGTCCATACTGTGAGCAGTATGACTTTCAAATAATTTTTGTTATCAAAGTTGGTTTGAGAACATTTTTGATATATATTGTAGGTTTCAGAAGAATAGACCATAACATGATTTGGATCCACATCAGCTACCGTACATAATAGTTTCACATTTGTTGAAAAATCTCATTGTCCAACGTAAATGTTTGTTAGTTACATGTATATATCTGCAATTTCAAATTGATTTTGAGAATTGTATTAAATCTTATGGTTTGATTCAATTCTCAGACTCATAACATTATGATTTTGATTCATGGTTCAAATCTCAATTTTGCACCTGTAAATCAAGATTCTTTTCTATTCTAATAGGTTGTTGGTCATTGCTTACTTGCTGCACGGGTATCTTACCGTCTACTCCTTCTAGAACCCGAGTTCTTCTCTGTAAGGTGGGATTGGTCCTGTTTTTTGGAGCTTTTAAAGACAATGCAAAATATTGATCTGGGTCATGGTGCTCGAGATGAGGAGATTTCAGATATAAGATGGTGCGGAATACAAATCCTATCCATCACTTTGAAAATAAGTGACAGAGCAATTGAAAATTTTGGTGTGGGAGCTGAAGAAGCTGCTTCATGTTTATTGCGGTGGGTGGTGAAGAAAATAACTTCTTAGATATGTTATTAGTTTTTCTCCTTTCTATAATACTTGCATACTTTTGCTTTTTTCAGCTGGGAGGAGTTCTGTAAAGACGTGGCTATAGAGAAGGCTGGATTATATGTTGATTCACTTGAGCACATAATATTGGGTTCTGTCAACGGAGGACCTGATTTCAGCCAGCAAAATGTCCTGAGATCTCATGGCCACAATCCACTGGCTTCGTCAAAGTTTGATGAAATTGAGCCCACGATTAAGAGTCGACGGTTGGCTAAATGGTAGGCATCAAACTGGAAAGCAGATAAACCATTCATGGTTCTTCATAATTGATCATAATCATCATCATTTAATAGTCTGAATTGACACATTTTTAATATTTTGTTTCATTGGGACTTTTTAGTCAACTTTGCCTGGAACTTTGATTTTTTTTTGGCACATGTTAATTTATTATAATTTTTTGATCTCATTTGAATAGTGATCTTTCTTGTGATTTTAGGAATGATAAAGAAGGAAGTCCATTTGTAATGACATCAACAGTAGAGAAAAGTTTTCAGATGGTGCTATTAGCAGTGAGTCAAAGGTGGCCTGTTCTTCTGTATGGCCCTGCTGGTGCTGGGAAAACTGCCCTCATCAGCAAGTTAGCTCAAGATTATGGGAACCAAGGTATTTAAACTTCTAAGGGATGTATATCCTTCAAAGTGGTATTTTTATTTGTGTATAATTACAACCTTCCTAGATCAGTCTGCAACTCTTTAGGATTGTGTGGAATAACAGTATTGAATTACATGTAAGTTTTAGCGCTATAATTTTGTTGTATCTCTTGAAAAATAAAGAAGGAGAAGAGCGTAGCAAAGTGCTTTCAAGGAAGAATAGGCAGCAAACTGAAAAAACTATCGGGTGACAGGGAGGTCAATAAAATGTTACGTTAAATTTGTTGTAACCAGATAGACTAAACTGTTGATGTACATGTCCTGGTTTGATATAACATTGACTAAATTTAACATAATGAAAAGCTGATACTTTTTTAATTTCCATGATAACAGGGTGAAGCCGTTATTTGTAGATTATTTTTTACATTGTAGAGCCTTGTAATTTTGTTTAAATGCTACTTTGAATCTTTTAAAGTGTGATAAAATTGCAAAGTAAGAGCCGTAACCTTGTCTTATATTTGAACAAGATGAGTGTTTAAAAAAAGTTATCTTGTCCTTTCCTTTGTTAACTTTTCCTGATAGTCATTCTTTTTATGTTCATTCATAAAACAGTTCTTTCTATCCACATGGATGAACAAATTGATGGCAAAACATTGATTGGGACTTATGTCTGTGCTGAACAACCTGGTGAATTTAGATGGCAACATGGTTCACTTATCCAGGTTTGTTTCCTTGTTGAAAAAATTGATTTCTTTGACTGTGATTATGTAATATTACCTATTTGTAATACTGTTAATATTTGGTTTTTCCACAGGCTGTTCTGAATGGCTATTGGGTTGTATTTGAGGACATTGATAAAGCACCACCAGATGTGCAATCGATCTTACTACCTTTACTTGAAGGTGCAAACTTCTTCATAACTGGTCGTGGGGAGGTAATGATGTCTTTTATTATCATTTTTTGTACGAAAAAATGTTACGAGCTCACATTTAATTTTATAGATATCTTAAATTTAGAATCTGATTGGAATTTGATTAGCTCAATGGGTATAATGTTCATTGCATGATTTTGCTACTAGAAAAATAATTCTTTCCTTTATCTGCTCATATGAAAGCATAAACATTTTACTGTTTTCTCTCTCTCTCTCTCTCTCTCTCTCTCTCTCTCTCTCTCTTTCTTTTTGCCTTGTTAAATGTAATTTTGACTAATGAGGAAGAATCTGAGCTTTTCAGGAAATAAGAGTAGCAGAAAGCTTTAGACTATTTTCTACCATTTCTACTTCAAAGATTGATGTGTTCTGTAATGCAGAAGGTTTGTGATAGTTATCCTTTGAATAAGCTTTATGGAAATTTTTTGACAATTGTAAGGTTCATAAGCTGGTTGTTACCTGTTGAAAGTTGTACTAGATTTAAGTGAAAACTCTATATAGCGGCTGAATAGAAGAGTCATCTTGTTTTGGTTGTAGGTGGAAAGTTACTTAGCACTCTTTGGAGGAGAGTGATGATTAGGCTGCCAAAAAATGATGACTTGCAAAATATAGTGAAAGCATGGTATCCAAATTTGGAGCCTCTTGCTGGGAAACTTATAGGTGGGGCATAATTTTATCGTAGAATTTTATGTCAAGAATTTCTAATTCAGTTTAAATATTGCTTGTCTAACAACCCTTTTGATGTCATAGAAACATTTGAAAGAGTTAACTCCTCCTCTCTATACCATATTTTGGGATTTCAGTCTGGAAATTCCTGTCTTGGTGGATCTGTGGGCAGGTTCTCTTTAAGGTAGTAGATCAGAACCTATAGCATGTATTGTGATTTAAAGTTAGACAATTTTTTTCTAACTGTGACTTTGTTCTCTTGGCAGGGATCTCCTTAAATGGTGCAAACGAATAGCTGGATTAGGCTTTTGCACTATGGGAGATGCGTTGGCGGATTATCAGTGTCACTGCATCTATCAAGAGGTCTGATTTTCTTCCAGGTGTCTATTGTCTTGCATCCTTATTGCACTCTATGCGTGTTTACATGAGGGAGAGTTGTATAAATGTATAAAATGAGGTCCAGCCTATGGAAAAGTGCACTTCTTTGTTAAGAATGAAAGAGATGTTGGCTTCTGTTTTCAGGCTGTGGATATATTTGCAGCATTTTCAGCATCAGTTGAGACTCGAATGACTATAATGAAAGACATCGCGAAGTTGTGGATGGTTCCACTCTCTGAGTCAGGAATTCTACATCCTTGTAAACCCGAAATCCAGGTGCCTGTTAATTTAGATGATGTGGATAACCTAGTTTTCTATTGCTGCCATTTCTCATGTACAAATTGGAATGCAGGGTTTGCTTGCAGAACTAAGAATTGGACGAGTTACTCTTCAACGCACTGAAACTACGGTTCGTAGAAGAACCTTAGATATTCTCAGTTTAGTTTGTTTTGCTTTCTATTTCTTTGTTGATATTTTCATGTGATTCTTTCAGTTACATGGCCAAGAGAGACTTGTCAAGATGTGTAGTTCTTTGCATGTACTTGAGAGAATATCTTGCTCTGTTAAGTACAATGAGCCTATTCTCTTGGTTGGTGAAACTGGAACTGGGAAAACTACACTTGTACAAAATCTGGCAACAATGCTTGGTCAGAGGCTTACTGTTCTGGTATGGATGCATATCATCTTTCTCTGTCTCCTTGTCCTCTCCCCCCCTCCTCCCCCCCCCCCCACAAAAAAAAAAAAAAAAAAAAAAAAAAAAAAAAAAAAAAAAAAAAAAAAAAAAAAAAACGCGCACATGGGTGTCATGTTGCATAAAAGCTTCATCTGATAAAGTTTATTTCTCTTTTTCAGAATTTGAGTCAACAAAGTGATGTTGCTGATTTATTAGGAGGATTTAAGCCCATAGACCCACAGTCTATTTGTATTCTCCTTTATAAGGAGTTTGAATCTCTTTTTTCGAAGACATTTTCAGTGAAGGTATTATTCAACTTTTTTTTTGGAATTATGATTTATTTATATACCGTGAAGAGCTTGCATAAGTTACTTATTCCATGATATGTTGATGTCCAGGTAAATGATAAACTTTTTGCCTACTTACAAAAGCAATTGCGAAAGAAGAACTGGACAATGTTAATGGACGCATTTAAGAAGTATGTAGATTATTTCCAAAACAAAGTACAAGTAGAAAGATCTGGATCTGGGAAGAAGCGAAAAAAGCCTTTTGATAAAGAAGAAATGCGCGGAGCTTGGGAGAATTTTTATGTGAAACTTGTAACTGCATATGCACAAATTGGGGCTTCATCTGGAATGATGTTCTCATTCATAGAAGGAGCCTTCATAACTGCACTTAGAAATGGTGAGTGGATTTTGCTGGATGAGGTGAATTTAGCTCCTCCTGAGACCTTGCAGAGAATTGTTGGTGTTCTTGAAGGAGACTCTGGATCACTTTGTTTAGCTGAAAGAGGGGATATAAGTCATATACCAAGACATCCTAGTTTCCGAATATTTGCCTGCATGAATCCTGCAACTGATGCTGGAAAGCGAGACTTGCCCTACTCTTTGCGGAGCAGATTTACAGAGTACTTTGTTGATGATTCTTTAGGTAGAGAGGATTTGAAATTATTTGTTAACAAATTTATGGAGGAAACTCAATCAAATAAGGATCTAGAACAAAGAATAATTGATTTCTACGAGACAGCCAAAGTAAACTCTGAAGAAAGGCTTCAAGACGGGGCTAATCAGAAGCCTCAATATAGCTTAAGGTCTTTATACCGTGCACTAGAGTACACCAGGGAGGCAAAGGCAAATTTTGGATTTCAAAAGGCATTTTATGATGGCTTTTGTATGTTTTTTCTCACTATGTTGGATAGGCCCAGTGCCAAGATTATGAAAGAGATGATCAAGGATAAGTTGTTAGGGGGGAATAAACCTTCATCAGTACCTTTTGATACTTACTTAACAGTTAAAAAAGACTCCATCTCGGAGGATTTCTCAGAGAATTATGTATTGACAAGGAGTGTTAAGAAGCAACTCGAAAACTTGGCGCGTGCTGTTTTTATCAAGAGATATCCTGTCCTTTTACAGGGACCAACCTCCAGTGGAAAAACTAGCCTTGTTCAGTATCTTGCTGCAAGAACTGGGCATGAATTCGTACGGATAAACAACCACGAACACACTGATCTGCAGGAATATTTAGGTTCTTACATATCTGATATTCATGGAAAGCTTATATTTCATGAAGGTGTATTGGTTAAGGCTGTCCGTAATGGTTATTGGATTGTTTTGGATGAGCTAAATCTTGCCCCATCTGATGTGCTGGAAGCATTAAATCGGTTGTTAGATGACAATAGAGAACTTTTTGTGCCTGAATTGCGTGAGACCATAAGGGCACATCCAAATTTTATGCTTTTTGCTACTCAAAATCCACCCACTTTCTACGGTGGTCGTAAAATGCTTTCTCGAGCATTTCGCAATCGTTTTGTGGAGGTTCATGTTGATGAGATCCCAGATTTTGAGTTGAGCACAATAATAGAGAAAAGGTGTAAAATCCCTGGAAGCCGTGCCCAGATCATGGTTGAAGTCATGAAGGAGCTGCAATTGCATAGGCAGAGGAGCAAAGTGTTTGCTGGAAAACATGGATTCATAACTCCAAGAGACTTGTTTCGTTGGGCTAATCGATTGAAAATATTCGGAAATTCTAAAGAAGTTATGGCGGAACAGGGTTTCTATCTTTTGGCAGACAGGCTGCGAGATGATGGAGAGAAACTCGTGGTTCAAGAAGTTTTGGAAAAGCATCTCCGGGTCAAAATTGCCAGAGATAACTTGTACAAGGTATCTTGCCTTTGAATTACATGTTTGTGTCTCAAAGTCGGTACTTCTGTAACTTGTCTTTATGTTAACTTTTTTAATGGATAGAGCGTGTGATAATTCTTGGAAAATTGAATATAAATATATTTATCTGTTAATTAATCTACTGCAGTAACTTGTGAATGATACAGGTATTTGTGAGTTTTTTCTTCTTTGCCATGCATCATTTTGTTTTCCTGTTATGTTGGGATCTTGTGAAAAATCCTTGAAATGCATTTTCTTCGGGGAAAATAATGTCTCTTGATGATTAACGCATAAGCAATATGTTATCACAATTACACCATAAATATGGATAAAGTTCTAAAGTTCTGCACCTTTACATTTCTTGTGCGTGTGCTGGTTAACAAGTTGACTGTATGAAGGCATACCTAATAATGATGAATTATTGACATCATGATGTTCTTTTGGTAGTCATTAAGAGAAAATATGATGCATATGAGCTGCTTTTAGTGATTATGAATTTTCAATTGGTTTGTGAAATCATTAATGTAATCTGCAAGTTGGTACTATTAATACTAAGGGTTGTCTACTGCCTATGACAAAAGTAATTTTTGTTCATTATGCTATGCTAATGGGGTACAATGGTTATCATAATCTAAAGTTAGTGGTGGTTCCTGTTTACAATGTAAATTATGTACTATTTATTTCGATTATTACACCTTCTTCCAAAGGGATATATAACCTGAATGAGCGCTTGATTCATTTCTTCCTTGTTGCTTTTCCTCATTGTTCAGGATTCAGTTGGAAGGGACTCTAAATCCATGGAAAGGGACTTGAAGATTCCTGGAAAGTATGAATCAATTAGACCATTCTTTCTTGGTTGGGCTTGGGATTTTTTTTTTCCAAATTATTTCCTTCTCACTGCTGTGATGGTTGTTGCAGCATTATCTTGACTAAAAGTATGCAGAGATTGTTCTTTCTTGTCAAGAATTGCTATGAGTTACATGAGCCTGTACTGCTTGTTGGAGAAACTGGTGGTGGAAAGACTACCGTTTGTCAGTTACTTAGTAGCTCGTTGGGAACACAATTGCACATTTTGAATTGCCATCAATACACAGAAACATCTGATTTTCTTGGGGTTTGTTTTCTTCCAAATTCTCAGCAGCTTGTTTCATGTGTTCTTTTTGAGAATTGCTGCTTGGCCCCTTTGAAAATTGGCATGTAATTGATGAATTGTCTAACAGGGGTTTTATCCTATCCGAGAGAGATCAAGACTGGCATCAGAATTCAAATACACAGTAGAAAAGTTGAAGCTATCAAAGGCTTATGTCCTCTTCCCTGAGTTCTTAGTGAGAAAGTCATCTTATTAATAGGATTTTATTTGCATGTCTGTTTGACTAGTAAAGTAACTTGCTTGATTTCTTGGATGCAGGAAATCTCTTCTGATATTAGCCAGGCTTCTTCGACTCTTAGTCATCTCTCTGCAATACTAATTAGTTACAAAGAAGGTGGAGTTCCCTGTCCTGGTGTCACTATGCAAGATCTTGATACTCTTGAGGAGATGAAGTTGAACCTTGATCAGCTGCATGAAAAGTGGCAGACAATATTTACATGGCAAGATGGGCCTCTTGTGCAAGCCATGAGAGCTGGTGATCTATTTCTTGTGGATGAAATTTCATTGGCTGATGATAGTGTACTTGAGAGATTGAATAGTGTATTGGAGCCTGAAAGAACACTGGTGGGTTTGTGCATTTTCCATCGGGAACCTGGCTTCTTTAACGGCCTTATCTTTGAGATATCATCGTTATCTTTATTATTAATTTAGATTTTTATTAGTTTTTTCAGTGATGTGAAGCTCTTCTTAAACTGTTTATGTATCATTTGCTTTATGTATCATTTGCAAGGCATATGATTTTATCTGTTGTCTCATGTTTGGTGTCTGTGTTGTTTATTGCGTAATTTGATCAAATTAACTCCAAAATGAAGATGTTTACATTTCCCTTTTCTCCCTTTTGTAGTCTTTGGCAGAGAAAGGAGGGTCTGCTATGGAAAATATAACAGCTCATGAGAATTTTTTAGTTCTTGCAACTATGAATCCTGGAGGTGATTATGGTAAAAAGGAATTATCTCCGGCTCTTCGCAACCGGTTTACTGAGATTTGGGTTCCGCCTGTTAGTGATCTGGACGAACTTAGAGATATTGCTTTGAAGAGGTATGCCTGTTTAAGAACTTCTCCATTGGGATGCATAACAATTTGATGAACTCTTTCTTTTTGAATTTTTTCCCAATTTTTTTACCCACAGGTTTTCTAATCCAGAATTCTCATACATTGTGGACGCTATGATAAATTTCTGGGAGGTCAGTTCTGTTGTAAATCCTTCTTGTTGTCTGCATTGTAATGTCTGTGTTTGAGTTGAAGGGAGGAGGAGGACTTTGGCTAATATGCGAGGGAGGTTATGGTTATGGGTTAGGAGGCATGATCTCTTTGGATTAATGGAGCAAAAAGACATACTGTAATGCCCTAGCTTGAAATGATGCTGTTCAAGCGAGGGCAAATTTTTTTTTTTAGTGGAAAACTGAGTAGCTTTGACTAAGAGCACATGGTGCGCACCTGTTAGGTTTAATGCTTATGTCAACCGCAATTTGGACGGAATACAGATAGAGGCTATAATTGTTTAAAAAAAAAATTAACTGATAAAATTAAAAGAATTGGCCAAAATTATAAAAATAGTCAAAGTTCAAGTTTTTTTTTGGTCATTTGGCCTTTATTTTATATATATATATATTTGAAATTGACTTGTGGATGCAGTTTTATAATATTTTTCTCGCTTTATTAGGTAGGATAGATACTAATTTCTTTTATATGTTTATAAGTGTTATCTGATCTGACTGATCTCTATTTCTTTGTTGCTTTCAATTAATCTGATTCACTTTTCTGTTGTTTTCTTTGTTTGCAGTGGTTCAACCAGTTGCAAACAGGGAGGATGCTTACTGTGAGGGATCTCCTATCTTGGGTCGAGTTTATTAACACGACTAAAGGAAGTTTAGAACGTGATTATGCATTCTTCCATGGCCTTTTTCTTGTTTTGCTGGATGGACTAAGTCTAGGTAATTCTTGCTTCTTTTTCAAATCTTTCTGTGTCAATTCTTTATTTGTTCTTTACTATGTGGAGAATGTACATCGACTTTGAATTTGTTAAATCTTGTTCTGATTTTTTGTTTTGGACAAGGTGGCATTTGTTCAGTAGTAATTGAATTGAAGAAACTGGAATTTCTTTAGTCACATTGCTGATTCCAAATTTTGATTGGAAATTGTGAACAAGGACCTCTCTTGAGCTATCATCTCTCTTTTCTGTAGATTGAAAATTCCACTTTCTATCTTTACAACTTGCATAGTCGTCACATTTAAGCAATGCATTCAGATATGGAATGATAATATGCTACATCCATTAATCCTTTCCTTTATTGATTCTATGCTAATGTTTTCTTTGTGTGTGCGCTTTGTAGGGACTGGTATTTCCCGAGAGGATGCTAGACTGTTAAGGGAGAAATGCCTGTCTTTTCTTGTAAAGCAATTTGAGGTCTGTGTTTGTGATTTTATTTTTATTCTTAAATTTGAGAACTTATTTCTTGTTTCCTGTCTTGGTAGTGAAATGAATGCTATTGCTATTTTACTTATCAACCATAATTATACTGTAGACTCCATTCCCTTGTTGGTCGTCACTTATTTTTGTTTATGATTTCTCTATCATTTTTTTTTCATTTGTAGACAAAAGTAGGCCTCATGCGCATGAATCGTGAGACAGATTTGACAGATGATTTAATTTCATTGGGTTGAAGTAAAAACAAAAAATTGTAAATTTTTTTGATAATAAAATTTGAGATCTTTAAGCAAATTTGAAAACTTTAGGATATCAATTGGAGTTTCTTAATTTTTAATGAAATTGTTTATGGAAATCAAATAAGGTTACTATTTTAGGCATTTGTTAAACTGTTGCTGGGAATCACTTCATTTAGTAAGTAAAGAATTTCACAACTCATAAACTCCTTGCTGTGAGAGGTATTTTTTGGTCTCAGAAAATGGCAACACCATAAGCTACTTGCATATATGGGATATACTTTTGAGCACTGATGCAAGTTGTTTCTCACCTCTGTTATATATATGTTTTTTTTTTTTTTTTTTTTTTTTTTTTCATTGGGTTGAAGTAAAAAACAAAAAATTGTAAATGTTTTTTGATAATAAAATTTGAGATGCTTTAAGGCAAAATTGGAAAAGCTTTAAGGATATCAAATGGAGTTTTTCCCTTAATTTTTAATGAAATTTGTTTAATGGAAAGTCAAATAAGGTTTAACTTAAATTTTTTAGGCATTTTTTGTTAAACCTGTTGCTAGGGAATCACTGTCATTTAGTAAGTAAAGAATTTCACAACTGCTATAAAACTCCTTGCTGTGAGAGGTATTTTTTGAGTCTAGAAAATGGCACAACCATAGCAGCTACCTTGCATATATGGGAATATACTTTTGAGCACTGACTGCAAGTTGTTTCCTCAACCGTGCTGTTATATATATTGTTTTTTTTTTATTTTTTTGTTTTTTTTTTTTGAAATTTACCATTTTTTTTTTTTTTTTTTTTTTTTTTGAAATTTACCATTTGGACTTCTTTGGCTTGTATTTTTATTCTTGTGCTGTGGTTATCAATTACAGTTGGACAATAACGTGCTACATAAACTTTCAACGATGGAAAATTATGGTTGGGGTGATCTTGGAACAGTTGAAGATATTTCTTGTTGCCATGACATGCTCTGCGACAATGTTTTTGGTATCAGTCCATTTTATATTGAAAAAGGTTAGTTCATGAACCGAATGTTACGGTTTAATTCTGGTAGAAGTCGTCTGAATTTATTTATGCTTATTTTTTTCTTTTAGGAATCGGTAGATTGTTCTAGGCATTATGACTTGTAATGGTTTGTCATAGATTTATAGATTATCAATTTTTTTTCTTTGGATTTGGATTAATTTAGACTATGCTGAATCTTTAATAATTTTTGATATTTCCAGTTCTAAATCAAATTGCAGTTGCATGTATTCTGACTAATTGATTATATCTACAGGCTATGGAAAGTGCGAGACCAGTGGTTTTGAATTTTTGGCACCAACCACCCGCAGAAATGCTTTGCGGGTATTGCGTGCTATGCAGCTTCCAAAGCCTGGTACTGCATGCTGTTCTCAGTTATCCTTCTCCTCCTCCCCCACTAAGAAACCTCCCATTTGCACTCTCTCTCTCTGTGTCTCTCTTTGGGCTTGGTGTGCTGTAGGGGAGAGAAGAAAAGAGGGGGGGGGGGGAGAGAAGAAAAGAAGGGGGGGAGGGGGGTGTGAACTGTATTTATAGTTTTTACCATCTACCTGGGTTTTCAATTTTTTTAATTGAAAATGAATATTTGTGTTTTTGTAGTTCTAAACTGGAAGGGTAGTGCGCAGGTGTTGGTAAGACAAGTTTTGATCATTGCCTTGGGAAAAGTATTGCTGGCATAAAAAGGTTGTACGCAATAAACTTATCTGAAAAAGCAGGTCAGTGAGTTATCCATCATCTGCTTGCCACATCATTGGCATCCTGTGTCTCTCTTATTTTTCTGGTCTTCTTTGAGAGGGGGGGGGGGGGTGTGACTGTATTTATAGTTTTACATCCTACCTGGTGTTTTCCATTTTTTAATTGAAATGATATTTGTTTTGTAGTTCTACTGGAAGGTAGTCCAGGTGTTGGTAAGACAAGTTTGATCATTGCCTTGGGAAAGTATTCTGGGCATAAGGTTGTACGCATAAACTTATCTGAGCAGGTCAGTGATTATCCATCATCTGCTTGCACATCATTGGCATCTGTGTCTTCTCTTATTTTTCTGTCTCTTTGTTCCCTTTTTTCTAGTAGCATATTCGGTGGAAGCAACTTGTTTTTTGCTTGTGTAGACTGATTTAATGGATTTGCTGGGGTCAGACTTACCTATTGAAAGTGATGAGGGGATGAAGTTTGCATGGTCTGATGGAATTTTGCTGCAGGTTAGATTTCTTATCTAAAAGTTTTATTCTTGCAATTATATTGTGAATGTACTCAAATTTAATTTAATTTAATTTAATTTTTTTTTTGGGTTCAGGCTTTAAAGGAGGGTTGTTGGGTTTTGCTGGATGAACTTAATCTTGCTCCACAGTCTGTCCTAGAGGCATTAATACAAACCAACCTCTTTTTCTTTCACCTCTTTCATTTCTTCCCCCCTTTTTCTGCTTCTTGTGAATGTAAACAGTTAAAATTTATATTTATCAGGGATTGAATGCTATTCTGGATCATCGTGCTGAGGTATTCATTCCAGAGCTTGGGCTTACTTTTAAATGCCCATCATCTTTCAGAGTCTTTGCTTGTCAAAATCCTCTCTCTCAAGGTGGTGGCAGAAAAGGCCTTCCGAGATCCTTTCTAAACCGTTTCACTAAGGTTGGTTTCTGTCTCATTATTAACTTCTTGTTGCTGCTGTAAATCTAGCATGTGAAACGATTGACATAAATTGAATGCACCATTAACTGTTTGCCCATATATTTTTGCTTCAGGTATACATAGATGAGTTGGTCGATGATGACTACTTGTTCATCTCTAGTTCCCTTTATCCCGCCATCCCAAGACCTGTGCTTTCAAAGTTAATTTTCTTCAATAAAAGGCTACATGAAGAGACCATGTTATATAAAAAATTTGCTCACGATGGCTCCCCATGGGAGTTTAATTTGCGTGATGTGATTCGCTCGTGTGACATTATTCAAGGTGTGATGTATATCCCTTATTTTTAAGTGAGATGTTCTGTTTAAAGTTGTTTCATTGCTGGTGTTATCTTGCTTTTCCCTAATTTTTTTTTATGTTTAATTAGGTTCTCCAAACAAGTCAAAATTTGATAGCTTTCTTGACTTAATTTATGTGCAAAGAATGCGTACTCCTGCTGATCGCAAGCAAGTTTTACAGCTTTATGAAGAGGTATTTGGGGTGAAGCAGTTGATAAATCCATTCCCACGAGTACAACTAAATCCTAACTACTTAACCGTGGGAAATACTACCTTTAAAAGAAACAGTACTTGGTCTTCTAAACTTAAGAGTAGTCAGCTGAATGTTATACCTAGCATTCGCCATAGCTTGGAAGCTGCTGTGCATTGTGTACAGCATCAGTGGTTGTGCATCTTGGTTGGTCCAGCATCATCTGGGAAAACTTCGTTGATAAGGTTATTAGCTGAGGTCACGGGCAATGTACTAAATGAGCTAAATCTTTCATCTGCAACTGATATATCTGAATTACTTGGATGCTTTGAGCAATATGATGCTTACCGCAACTTTAGGTCCATTTGTGGTCAAGTTGAATGCTATGTTACTGAATATTGCAGCTTGTTATTGGAGTTTAAAGTGACACTCTGTGAAAAAAGGGATATACTCACCAAATGGCTTGCTTTCTTATCCAGTATGGACTCTAGTTTCTTGTCAACTTCCACGCTTTTCGAGAATTGGCAGAGTATTGTCAATTCTCTTAATTTGCTAGTTGAGATTACTGAGCAATTAAAATTGGAAGTGGTAAACAATGGCTTACCTGTTTCTTGGTCAAGCAATGAACTGGATGGTATCATGAAGGCTATTTCAAAGTTGCAAGATTATCTACAAAGAAGTCAGTTCTCTGCAAAATTTGAGTGGGTTGCTGGTTTACTTGTAAAAGCAATAGAAAATGGTGAATGGGTTGTTCTAGAAAATGCAAATCTTTGTAATCCCACGGTAATTAACAGCTTATGCATTCTTGATTCTAAGTTTTCTGATTTGCTTGTTATTCTATTGTTTTTTGATTCTCTTTTTGCCAATTACTCTTTCTCTGATTGTTTGCTTTAGGTTCTTGATAGAATCAACTCTTTGGTGGAGCCAAGCGGATCAATTACACTTAATGAATGTGGGCTTATTGATGGAAACCCAGTGGTTCTTCATCCACACCCAAATTTTCGGATGTTCCTCACAGTTAATCCAAGCTATGGTGAAGTATCTCGAGCTATGCGAAATAGAGGAGTTGAGATATTTATGATGCCACCATACTGGCTGCTTGATGAGGAAAGTAGAGCAGAGTTTGAATTAAAGGATGTGAAAAGATTTCTTGTTTTATCTGGTGTTCCTGTTGGTAAATTAGTCGAGTCAATGGCCAATGCTCATATTTATGCTAGGAATGAGGGCCTACACCTTAATGTTCATATTACATATCTTGAACTTGCAAGATGGATTAAGTTATTCCAGAAGCTTCTCATAAATGGCAGCCAGCTTTTGTGGAGCCTCCAAATAAGTTGGGAGCACACATATCTATCTTCTTTAGGTGAGGCTGTTGGAGGGTATATTATCAATCATGCAAAGATTGCTTTCTTATCAGTAAAACCACTGTCAGTCTCTGATTTGCCCACTGAATCATCTTTGTATTTGCCTGGTGGATGGCCAATGCCATTGAAGTTGAGGGATTACATATTTTACTCGAAGGAAGCTTCTGTCAAACAGAACTTTATGTATCTGGAGCACCTTTTGTCTCAGTATGAATTGGGAGCCTCAAGGAATAAAGATGGCTTGGACCAAGTTTTGTCTGCTACCAGCCTTGTGGGGGCTTATTTGGTCGATTTAAAGATGATCCATCTACTCATGTTTCCACAGGCTCGTAAGGGAATATTTTCTAAGTCATGTAGGGACACAAAATTTGACCTGAAGTTGGCTAAACAGATGATATTGTTTGCTGCCAATTGGACTATTGAACAGGCAACTGAAATTGATTATAAATTATTCCTTCTCTGGTTTGGTTGGATTAGCTCTAGACTAGAATGCGGTCATTTTTTCTATTCATTTGAGAAATTACTCGCACAGGAATTTGAGCATACTATTTGGAAGTGTATTTTTCACTGCCACCATGAACTTGCATCTCCTCACCAAATAGATTTGAACTTGCGTCCAGTACCATTGCTTTCACTAGACTTAATTGATTTAACTCGACCAAATGAAACTCCAAACTCGTTAAGTGAGCTTCTGTCCAAAGCTATTAATTCTGTAGGCATTCTAAGACTTTCTTATCAACAGTGGAATGCTCAAAGCCGGCATATCTATGATAATGGAGCCCAGCATTTCAAACTGGTCTTGGAGTCTCTGCAAGGGTTGGAGAAAGAAATCCTTGACATGCTGGTTGCATCTCCATCCTATGATGTGCTGATTAAAATTTACACTCAGCTTCTTGATGATCACATATTATTTTGGAATGCTTTTATCTCATCACAGTTTAAGGAATTGCTAATGTCTTGGAATAATTTAGCCAAGGATGTCTCAAAGTTGCATGATTTCTGTCCAAAAGCTGTTGGAAATGTATTAATGGTAAGCTAATAGTTGCCAACATCATCCCTTTTCTATCATTTACCCTGAATTAATATCTTTATCTTTTGGTGCAGATGGCAAGTATTCATTTAGATAAAGAATTCCATAGGCCATCTCAGCAGTCCTTGCTATGGATTCATGGTGGCCATCCAATGATACCTTCATCTGCTAAACTATATGGCAAACAGCAACAACTTTTACAGCTATGTGAGTTAATCTGGCCAACACATAAAAATCCACGTAAGCAAGGTATGGAATTCGTCAACTGAATCTTAGTTTGTCTGCATTTTTTAGTGGCTCTCCAAGTTCTGCTTTCCTCCCCCTTCCCCTTCTTTTATCTAACTTACCTTATACTCTCTTGTGGAAAATGTTGTGTGACAGTGGATGATGGTGTTATTGAGATAGCTGCATCTTCTGATCCTGAACTTCGCTTCCTTGCTGTGCAAGGTAGAACTTCACATTCTTTTATGGCAGTACTCATTTAACAAGGTCATATTAGCCACTTGGCATATCATACAGTTACTTTCCATGTTGAGCTCAAAGATGATCTGTGGTGGCAAGTTTAAATGGTGCAAGACGGCTGATCGTACTTACTGTCTTGTACACGACAAATATCTTATTTTTATTTAATTGGGAGTGAGCATTTGTTCGTTCACTTGTTCAGTCATGGAGATTATAGGGCAGTATCATTGGTAGTGAAAAGACTCCGTGGAAGATATAACTAGGAGAGTTAGGAAGTGACTCTAATTTCAATGAACAGAACAGGGATAAGTACAGTAGAATGTTTTTTAATTTTTTAATTTTTTAATTTTTTTTTATTTGTGACCTGCAATTTCATGTAGTTAGTTCTGCATGGCATCACTTCTAGCTTTGCATTACTTTAGTGAAGTGCTTTATACTCATTTGATTCACCAGTATGTCTCTTGCTTTTCTGACGCGGTTTTCTATTTAGGTATTTGCATGTCATTGTATATTACCAGTAAATGTGACGAAGACAGTGTTGAAGTTGTTCAGCAGTTGGAGGAGATGTATCAGGTTTGTGCTCATTACCTACCACTGTGTGAAATAGATCTGATTAGTCTGTGTGAACTCACACTTTAGATTGGGTTTTGAGAGTTTCAGATGCTTTTGGAAAGATTTAGATATGAAAAGCGCAAATTGGAGGCAAAGTTACAGTCTGATGAGAATTCTGTTCTTGAGGGGAATTCAGCTTCTCCTTGTATTCTCTTCCCTGAAATATTGCACATGAAGTCTGGTTGTGCAAGTTGGCAAGGGGCACTTTCCATAATTGACATCACAAGTTTTGTCCTCGACATGGAATTGCTTCAGAAGCTTTCAGCAATTATTTTGGTCGATCCCAGAGGATTGCAGCTGGTAAGACCTATGCTGTTAGTTTCTATAAGCTTCAGCCTTTTCTTGTTGGTTTCCAGCTTTAATTATTTCGCCTTTAAGTATTTTCTATAATTGTATAAAATCCACTGATTCCATGAATTACTTGTTGACAATGTTGATTGTTCGGTGATATGTTTGTTTCTCATTTCTAACATCTGGTTGAACTGTGTTTATCCATAATGATTGGTATTTAAATAGATGAATATTGAGAAATTGCTAATAATTTGTCTGTTTCACACTTAACCATGAGTTTCACATTTCCATTAAGATATTTGTTCTTTGAGAAATCTTTTCCTATGGCACTTATGAAGTCCATGACTTGCGTATGACTTGACTTGACTGGTGCTCTGTTTGCTTTCTTTGATGACAGGCACTTAGTAGTGTGTCTAACTTGCTGGATTCTTCCTTAAAATACTCGCTATCATTTTCATCTAGGCCTCCTCAAAATTTCATACCGCATCAAAAAATTTTATGGACGCTTGAAGCATGGACATCTATTGATGCAGGTTTGTGCAGTCCTTTGTTTATATACTTGCCTTTTATAAGCATTGCCTAACAATTCCCACACCCCCCCCCCCCCTTGCGTATGACTTGACTTGAAACTGTGTGCTCTGTGTTGCTTTCTTTGATGAACAGGCACTTAGGTAGTGGTGTCTAACTTGCCTGGATTTCTTCCTTAAATACTCGCTATCGAATTTTCAATCTAGGCCCCTCCTGCAAAATTTGCATCCGGCAATCAAAAAAATTTTATGGACCTTGGAAAGCATGGACATCGCTATTGATGCAGGTTTGGTGGCAGTCCTTTGTTTATATACTTGCCTTTTTTATAAGCATGTGCCCTAACAATTCCACACCCCTTCCCCCCTGCTCTTTAAAAAAAACAAGAATAGACCAATGGCACCAGATTTTTTATTTTGGCATTTGTGGTAATATGTAAGTCTAATGTTCCTTTTTCCGTTTATTCTTGCAAGTGAAATGCATAAAATTTCCAAGTTAATGTTCTTGAGATGTGGTTTTGGTGGCATTCATCTATTAATGGAACCTATCACGCCTTGGTTCGGCTTGAGGTAATATACTGGAGTTTCGATTGGAATTATTAATGAAAAATAAAAGTGGATAAAATCATGGTTTTTGATTGCCACTGTTTTAATTGTAGCAGAACTTCTCAAGACTGACCACCCCCCCCCCCCTCTCTTTAAAAAAGAAATAGAACCAATGCACCAGATTTTTATTTTGCATTGTGTATATGTAAGCTAATGTTCCTTGTTCCTTTATTCTTCAGTGAATGCAAAAATTTCCAGTTATGTTCTTGAGATGTGGTTTTGGTGGCATTCATCTTTATGGAACCATCACCTTGGTTCGGTTGAGGTATATACTGAGTTCGATTGGAATTATTATGAAAATAAAGTGGATAAAATCTGGTTTTGATTGCTGTTTTATGTACAGAACTTCTCAAAGACTGATAGTTTCAGTAGTCCTCTGCCTGCAATGCTTGCTCAGCCAATAAGAACGGCCTGTGTCACCCATATAGTGTAAGATTAATTACTTCTATGTTGTCGATGTTAAGCTTTACTTTTATATTGAACTTGCATTAGGTTACGTTTTTGGGTTTGGCAATTGTCAGAGTGCATTATATCATTAGCTTGAGACATTTGAATAATTTGATCATCATTGAATATTAGCTCTGCCATTTTCTTTAATCACTTAGCATCCCACTTTAAGAGTAGTTTGACATCATATCCTTCCTTTTCTGAGAAACAAATTTGAGAAGTGAACGCAGTTCATTTCTATGATATGATTCTTTATTCTTAACTGTGGTTTATATTCCTGCCTCAAGGATAGGAAACATTTACGGTCTTTGCATTATAATTAATTTTATGGTTTTTATTTTTTTAGTTCTGAAATAGTCTTCTGGAAGGGATATCCATATTTTCTGGTTCTTGGGGCATATAAGAAAATTGGTCTACAAAAAATATTTTCCTATGTGCTAGAAAATGAAGTTATTGTACAAAATAACTTTCCATTGCAAAATGGAATCCCATTTTCTAACCTCCACAAAGTTGCAAGAGGTGACAAATGGCATATGCTCGTACTCACTAGTCCATCAACCACCATTGATAGTACAACCATTGGTAACCACTACAAATTGCTGCCGTCTTTCCCCCCTCAATTTCCTTTCCTTTTTTAATGATGAATGATCAAAATATAGAGTACTTATTTTCCGAATATTGTAACCTTTTATAGTTCTGACTGCACCTTTTTTTTCCTTTTTTGGGTTCAGGCAAAGTTCATGTTCTTTTAAGGAATATTTTGCTCATTCTTCAAAACTTAAACTAGCTTCATGCAATTTCTGGCAAAGTCCTTCAACAGGGACAAATTTACCTAGTTTTCTGCTATTTGTTGCCCGCTCTCTCTTCCAACAGGTATGTATTTTCTGTGCATCGAAGATTTTGTTTTTGTTTGTTTTCAGCTGCACAGAGGAACTTGATTCCATTTTTCTTTCCCAGATCATACATGCATACAGGGGAGTATTCGATGCTGATAAATTTGCTGCAATCAACTCCATCTTCTGCTCCTTCCAGAAGAACATAATTACAGTATGCTTTGTTGAATTTCCTTTTTTATGAATAACTTACAGTACTGATTTGTAAAAGTCCTTGAGGAATTTTTTTTTATTTTTTTATTTTTTTTGGCTTTCTCCTAATTGTTGTTTGCTTGTTTACAGACATTAGAAACACTTGTAATTTCTAGTTCAGTTCTTAAACATTTTACCTACAAGCTAGTTTCTATTATATATCATCTCTAGACTCTTGATAATATCCTTTCATGGTGACAGGAAAATGAGGTGCAAAATTTGAGTTCACTCATTGCGTCTTCAAGCGATCAATATTTGAACTCCTTATTGCATCTGTTAATAGAGCCTCTAATCAAAGAGCTTTATCTCGATTGTTATTCCACCGGTGAACATATGTTTATTGGTCATTTTATCATTCAAATTACTATGAGGTTCTTTTAGCATCTTTTCTCTACTTCTATAATATTTTTTCTTTTTCTTGTTTTTGTAGACTTCGATTTGAATCTTGGTTATGCATGGTTACGGATTGGTGGATTGCGCTTCAATCTCTTGCTTAGTGGTCATGCTATGGATCCTGCCATGAAATACGCTTTCAAGTACTCACAATTAGAAGAAAAGATTTCATCACTTGAGCTTGAAATCAAGGTAGCTTTCTTTCTCTTGATTCTGATTTTCGGTCTCTTATGCGAGTTCTTGCATGGTTTTTGTCTCATCTATCATGATGCCTGTTTTGTATTGCAGTGTCAAATATAAAATCAAATGGCTGCCAGTTTGTGGTTGACCTGTACTAATTAATCTGTGGAGTTGTGATTTATGACCTCAAATTATAGCATATTAATTTCTGGCAATGATATTCGTAATGGATACAGTAAAATCACCTTTTTCTGCCATACTTCTCTTACTAGAATATTGTTAATTTTATGGTTTGGTCTGTAGGTACGACAAGAATGTGACTATATAGCAGGATGGTTTTCTTCAAGGGAGGCTGACAAAAAGAGACTTAAAGAATTACAGATGCTTAAAGTTAAGCAAAAGAGGCTTCAGAGAAAGGTCTAGAAACTTGTGCTTCTTTTTGTTCATTCCTATCTCTGTAGGGTCCTTGATAAATTAAATCAATTTTTTCCTTCATTTATTAAATTCGTTAGTTGACCTGCGTTGCTTTAGATTAGTGATCGTTGCTAGTCATTGAGCAAATTTGGTGTTCCAGTACTGCAGACCAAGAGGTTCTCAGCCTTCTGCACTCTTGTATGAACCTCCAATTTGAACTGCTGATGGAAGAAACTCCAATTTAAACTGATTGAAACCTGTCTGTTTTATAACCTGAAGCATCCTATTACTTATGAACGCTGGTCATGATGGAGAAATACTTTGTATACTGTGTGCCATTGAGATATAGTTTTACAATAATTATATTTGAACTTTTAAGATGCGGAAGAAAAAAACAAGAATCAATTTAGTTGATTTACTACTTGAGTTAAATAAAACTCAACTTTATTGAGAGTTCATTAGCTTTTGCAGTACTGAATCATGTTTTAGCACTTCAATCTGCTTTACTTTTCACATTCATGATTCCTACATCTCTTTTAATATTTGAGTACACTGCATGGAGAAACTGTCTCAACCATTGACTGCTCCTGAACTTGATGTTAAAGATGTCACAATGCATGGAGAAACCTTTTATATATGCTACGTTCTCATTTCAACTGTGCCCGTTTTGTCTACATTTTCTTGTTCTTTCTGTTTGTTATTCACTTTCTTAAGAAATAGACTGGTATTGAGAACTGGTACGGCAGAAAACACACACAACACAGATATGTTGCTGTGTAAACTGAAACTTAATAGGGGAGAACACTCCCAAATACAAAAATACAGTTTCTGGAATATCGACCTTCCAAGGACTAATTTCTTTGATTGCTCTAAATCTTATATACTTGAGACTTTACATGGAATAACCACAAAAGGATGGCCTTATGACAACCCTGTACTTCAGTCTTCACTTACTTCTGACAATTTTAACCCATACTTAGCTTTTTCTAACTTACAAGTACACCAACTTTTTACCTAATCCCAATAATAGAGTTGCTAGCAGAGTGAGCTTTGTAACAAAATCAAATACGAATTTCCCTCCAAAAACATCACACAACTGGGCGGCTGTCACAGCCTTCACAGCTGGTCTCACGATGGATAGCAGAAGTGGTCCTATTTATTTTTACAAATTGTTCAAATGTTTGATTGACTTTCTGTTGTTACATTTTCTTCGGAATTGTTGTGTGAAACTTTGTACGAGGTTGCATCTCTTGTTTCTGATGGTTAATTTCCTACTATTTGTTTATCTTTAGGTGGTGTTCCGTAGCAACCAGTCAAAATTTAATGCACTAAGAAAAGAATGCAAGGAGTTCCTTAAACTTGTTATTATGGTGGTGGATTTGGTTAGTAATTTTGATGTCATGGACTTACAAAAGGTTCTTGACCAAGTGTGTAACTGGCAGGTATGATTTTCCGTACATGTTATATATGATTTTTAGAAGATCATAGCGTTGGTGCAAGACTCGCTTCTCTATGCTTTTTTTGACATCTGGATTTCTCAGGAAACAGCAAGTTGTTTTATCAAAAGGTTATCAGATGAATATAAGGAATATGCTGATGTAGCCCAACCAGTTCAAGTTGCTGTTTATGAGATGAAATTAGGCCTGTCACTGGTTCTTTCTGGTGCCTTGTCAAAGAACCATTTAAACAAAATTGAGGTGGATAATATGGAGCAAGTTGTGGTACTTTTACTAATACCTTTTTCTCTTTCTCTCTTCTCTCCTATTCATCTCTCAATACTGACTTGGAGAATGTTGCAGGAATCAATTTATTCATTCATGAAATTCCCAAGGGGATATTCTCTTGATTCAATTTCTTCCAATGATATAGCCAGTCCTGTAAACTTCTCAGAGCGGGAAATAAATTTGTTGGAAAAGCTAATTTCTATTTCAAGTGATATCAATGCTGAAAGAGGAGTAAGCTTTTTCCTTTCCTAATTAAAATTTGTAGTTTCTTTGATTTCTGATTTCGATGAGCTTTTAAGCTTTACCTTCTGTCATGCGTTATGTTCTCATGAAATTCAACAATCTGTTGTGCCTGAAATGTGATAGGTATCTGTCTTTCAACTCAAAGTAGCTCTTCATCTGAATATTCTTGTCCATATTGCCCATTTTGTGGCCAATGCACAAAGGATTGATAGTACTTCTTTCAAGGTGAGATTCATCAAATATGTTTTTGTTTGTGCTTCTGCTTGGTTATGTGATACTTGAATATGATCATAAATCAGATATTGGATAAGATGTTCAATGAATTTGCAAGCATTTGGATGAATATGAAAGTTCAGGCAAAAAATAAAGAAGGTCATGATGCTCAACAATACAAATTCAGGCCTCGTGCCTTTGAGATCAAACGTGTTATTGATGTTAATATCTCAACTTTTGGCAAATTTCTGGAAAATGAGAACCTCTCAGAATGGCTTGAGTTTCTTTCTGAACATGAATGTTCAGAAAAGGTATGTTCAGTACTATTATAGTTCTTTTAAGATAAGAGCATATTATCGAGAAAGAAAGAAATGACTGTACTTTTAAATTTGCTGTTTTTTTTTCCTTTCGTTCCCTTTAATTTATAATAGAATCTCTCTTTTGTTCAGGTGGAAACTAGTTTGGAGAATGAAAGTTTGAAGGACGAATGGGACCTTATGCAGGAGGTGGTGCTGGACAACATGATCCAGATTCACAACCAATTATTTGGATCCACTAATCTTGTTTTACATGTAAGTCTTTGGTAATATTTCTGGTTGTTTCCAGATTTTTTTCCCTGACAAAAGCACATTTTCATCTAATTGTAAGTGTTTTTGTCTGTGCTTTGCGAAATCGTTACCAAACTTTGGTGCTTTTATGATCCTATATATACTTGTGATGATATATCACCATTGCAAAATAGTAACCATTCTGTAATCTGATATTTTTGTTGTCTTGTAGAGTTTTATGTGATATTTATTGATCTTAAGTGTAAAGGGTAGACTAGGTATTTCAATATACTTCCTATGTATAAATAGATGTATAACCATTGTTTACACAAGATGAAAAATAGAAACTTTTCACTCTCCACAGAAAAACAACAATTCTTCGCAGCCTTCTAGGTATGATAACTGTGCCTGCATGCATACACACACAAATATACAAAATGTTGCTCATTTTCTTTGGTAAAATAAGTTCATCCTCAAGTCACCTTACCAGTCTAAGAAACCTTTTGTTGTCATGCTTTGTCATTTTTTTCATAGTGTCTTAATGTGTCAGATTAATTAGTACATGATAGTAATGCAGCAGAATTTGAATATCATGTGCATATGTATGTGAGCGTATATGACATATAGATAACAATTTTCTGTGTGCCTTAGCTTATTAATGGTTTATTTTCAGCCTGGAACATTTTCTGTCTCTGATGCTGATAGATTGCGTTTGTTCACTGACTCATATTCCTTGGGAGCAGGGATGATCAAAGGTGATTGACATGTTCATCCTTTTCTTTGTGGTAAATGCATGTTATTTACTTATTGATGAAAAGTGACCATTGCTTCTTGTTTTTGTTTCCAGGTTTAGGGGGTTTAGTTTCCTCTGGTTTAGATGCTAAACTGGTGCCAGAGCATTTACTTCGCCTTTGTTTGGAGGATGAACGAATATTTGTTTCATCTCATAAATCATCTAGCAATTACAATTTTTATAAGGTTCAAAATTTTCATTTCCTTTTGTAAAAAACAGTTGTCATTTCTTTATTTGGTTTTCCTTGTGTCTCCTATTAACATTGTTTCTTTCGCTTGACTAGGATTCAAATGCTTTTGAGATGGCTAAAATGGTGAAGTTACTTCTCTCTCTTCAAGAACGAATTGTCAGCCTTTTGAATGAGTGGGAAGATCACCCTGGCCTGCAGAAAATCATAGATGCAATTGAACTGCTGTTGGGTATTCCTTTGGACGCACCTTTAGCCAAGGTAATAAACAAAGCTGTTTCTTCCTCTTTATCCTTCACTAATAAAGAGTGAATCCAGAAAGGAAGATGGATCTGGATAGGGGATGATGATATTGTTCTACAATTTTTATTTTGTAAAAAGAGTTTCAAATGAAAAGAAATCTGCCGAGAATGAATTGATGGAGAGTGCACTGAAGGACAGGTATAAAACACAAATAATCATGAAGAACTTAAAGCACACGCTAAAAATTGATGCTTCGCAATTAACTTAAAAATCAAAATGTCCCCTTAAAAGCTCTGGGAAGCATTAGCCTGCATAGAAGGTAAGGACACTACCTTGTTCGGCTTGAAATTAGAGGACAAATCATATTTTTAAAGTGTGTGCATTTGTTCTTGATTTAGAGACTCCAAAATATGCAAAAATCCAAATTGAAGTCTTTAAAGATTCTGGACATTATTGTGCTCCACACCACAAGCTACTCAATGTAAAAATATGTGAGAATGAGACCTGCCATACATGCAATACATAACACAGGGATAGGCTTTATCAGACTTCCGTTTCTGGAAAAAATCACTAGCTTTTAGGTTTGAGAGAATTGCTGGCCAAACAATAGCCCCTATTTTAAATTGCACTTGAACTTTCCAATTTTTATTTGATTTTTGAAAAATATTGCTTAATGTCTGTTTGACATTGCATTCAAAACTGCTTTGCATATTTAGAGTTTAGAAAATCATGGTTTGGAAAAGTTAGGTGTTTTAGCTTTTCAGACCATGGTTCACCAAAAGCAGTCAAAAAAAGTTTTTTAAAATAAGAAGGCAAAAAAAAAAAAAAAAAAAAAAACTTTATCAAGTACCTCTGCCTCCGTTTCTCTGGAAAAAAATCACTAGCCTTTTCACGGGTTTTGAGAGAATGCTTGGCCAAAACAATAGCCCCTACTTTTAAATGGCACTTGAAACTTTCCATTTTTATTTGATTTTTTGAAAAAAATATGCTTAATGTCTGTTTGACATTGCATTCAAACTGCTTTGCCATATTTAGAGTTTTAGAAAAATCATGGTTTGGAAAGTTAAGGTGTTTTTAGCTTTCAGACCAATGGTTCCCACAAAAGCATCAAAAAAAGTTTTAAATAAGAAGGCAAAAAAAAAAAAAAAAAAAAAATGAGAAGCAGCTCCAAACATCAAATCCAAAAGTGCATTAATCTCTTTAGAACTAAACTCTGTTCTATTGTATGAAGGTCTATTAGGAATTGCGCTTCCTACATTAACCAGGGCCAGAGGTTTGGATAGAAAATGGATCCAAATTTTCTCTGTCTGGTAATGCGCTCTATCCATGATATATATATTATTCACTGTTGTTGTATATATAGTCAAATAGGCAATGGTGGGGTTATTATATTGGTAATTTGCTGGCATGTAAGACCAACTCAAAACCCCCCCCCTAATATTTTTATTTCTCTGGTGTGCTTCTTGGCAAAGATGGAATTTGATTTTTTGGCCTGCACTGCCTTGATGAGGTGCTGAATCAATATGAGATCAATGCCTGCAAAAGGTAAGTGATACCTATCATATGATTTGGTTTTAAGTATGCATATTGTTTTCTATGATTCCTTAATGATTTTATCAGACTAATCAAAATTTGCCATCTTTTACCTTATCTAAATATAAATTATTGCAAAGGCTTAAGTTATGTGGTTTAACTCTTCCTTTTTATTTCATTGGAAGCTTGTGGAGTAAATTTTTTCTATGGCCCTACATGCAAGTGTTTTATTCTTTCTAGTCAGGAAATGATTGAACTGGTGTTTCTGCAAAGAGATATTTGGTTCCATTCATTTCCCCCCTCCCTTCATCTTTCTTCCCTCTCTCAAACATGGTGAAAAAAAGGAATCTCAAAAATTTTCTCGACCTTTTCTGTTCCTCTCCTCCTATGCCTAGGTTCCCAAATAAGTGTCATACAGGACTGTAGCATGGTGGATACTCATGTTATGATGAGCTTTGTATTCTTGTTTTTGCTAGGTAAACGTTTTGACTTTCAATAGCTAATTAGGAATATCTGAATTTTGCAGAATAAATTCTAAGTGATTTTTTTAAAAGCTACTTTATCTCTTTGTCTCTTGGATATGGATAGATTTGTGTTAGGTATGTATAAATCTTTCCTCTCTTTGTATATATATATATATATATATATATAGTATTGGAATTGGACTTTCATTTTGCATGTTGCAGTTGGTGGTTTCCTCCTATTTTCGGTGTGCACATAAGGCATCGGTGCTGATTTGCGGCTGATAAATATGAAGGCCAGTCCAGGATAGCAAGGCATGTTCTCCACATTGTAATCTGCACCTTTGGTCAATCTTTTTTTCTTTATGATACTTTCATCCTAGTAATCCTGCTTGAATCCTTCTTTCCTGATAGTGTGATGGATGCTATGCCAGTTTTGGAGGAGTTTGTCTCTAACACTTCCATGCATCGTGGTGGAAAGTTATTAGAAAAAGCGCCTTCAGCATTGCCCTTGTTGGTTGCTCTCTCCTGTTAAGATTACTGAAGGGGCAGGTAGTACGCCAATGGAACTGGAGACTTAAATGCAAGGTATATGATCATCTATTTCCTCAAAACATTATCTCCTTGGGTTATTTATTTTTTAATTTAAATGGGAGGATTGGAGATCTATTTTATTTTGTATCCCAAAGGGAAAGTCATGACTCAATCTCTGAATTAATGGGTGCTAAATTGATGAATTCGATAAGCAATGGCCAAGCCTAGGGAATTGGCTGCAAGTATATGATCTCTATTATCAGTTTTCAATTGAAACCTTATGGCATTATCCTATCTTATCTAGTTATGTCCTTTGATAATACAATTTTCTTGCTGAGGTGTTTTCTAAATTAGAATGAATCTTTGTAGTCCTTTGCAGGAACAGAAATTTGGAGATTTTGTAATAATGTGTTTGGGATACTATTTCAACTTTTGCCAATCGGAGGTACTTTCTGTGATGATTATTTTGAATTATAATGTTCTAAAAAATTTTGGTTTGTTTTGTTGGCTTACTGGCTTTTGTATCTTCTGACAAGAGAATCTTGGAGTACATTGAAACTAATAGAAGAAAATATTGAATGGAAACTGAACAACGCTCTCTTGACCCTATTGTATCGATAGGGAACGAGTTTTAGGAGCTTGCTATCTCTGACTGAAAAAACTCAAAACGGGCTCTGGCGAAAACTTATAAGAGCTAATTCAGAAATAATGCAATCTCAGTATATGCAGCATTATCATTCTTCTTTATGGTGCTGATTCCTTCCAATATTATTAAGGCAACTTCCAATTAATAAGTTGGGCGCATAAACTTCTTCAACAACTCCAAACTTAATAGGTAAGAAATTATTTCACAGAGCGACCTTTAGCTTCGGCTTCAGTAGCATATATGTATGACAAATTATGCCCCCATTAAAATTTCTCCAATTTTCGTTCTCCGACACCTACCCTTTGCTCGAGATAAGTATTGGTTATTTCCAACAATCACTTGCTCAAAACCAAAGCTCCCTACCTCCAACACGAAATACACCAAATGCAAGGCTCAAATAACACATATGTATGTCTAGCCTGGGGGTTTAAATGCGCGCTTTGATAATTTTAAAAAAAAAAAAAAAAAAAAAAAATGAGAAGCAGCTCCAAACTCAATGCCAAAAGTGCATTAATCTCTTTTAGAAACTAAACTCTGTTCTATTGTATGAAGGCTCTATTAGGATTGCGCTTCCTACTTAACAGGGCCAGAGTGTTGGAAGAAAATGGATCCAAATTTTCTCTGTCTGGTATGCTCTTCACATGATACATAATTATTCATGTTGTTGTATATATAGTCAATAGGCATGGTGGGTTATTTATATTGGTAATTTTGCTGGCATGTAGACCAACTCAAACCTATTATTTCTCTGGTGTGCTCTTGGCAAAAGATGGAATTTGATTTTTGGCCTGCACTGCTTGATGAGGTGCTGAATCAATATGAGATCAATGCTGCAAAGGTAAGTGATACCTATCTATGTTTGTTTAAGTATGCATATTGTTCTATGATTCTTAATGATTTTATAGACTATCAATTCATCTTTTACCTTTCTAAATATAAATATTGTCAAAGGCTTAAGTTAGTGGTTTACTCTCCTTTTTATTTCATTGAAGCTTGTGGAGTAAATTTTTTCTATGGCCCCTACATGCAAATTCTTTCTAGTCAGGAAATGATTGAATTGTGTTTCTGCAAGAGATATTTGGTCCATTCATTTCCCCCCTCCCTCACTTTCTTCCCTCTCTCAAACATGGTGAAAAAAAGGAGTCTCAAAAATTTTCCTCACCTTTTCTGTTCTCCTATGCCCTAGTTCCCAAAAGTAGTGTCATAAGGACTTAGCATGGGTGGATACTCATTTATGAGTGAGCTTTGTATTCTGTTTTTGCTAGGTAAACGTTTTGAGCTTTCAATAGCTATAGGAAATTATCTGAATTTTGCAGAATAAATTATAAAGTGATTTTTAAAAGCTAACTTTATCTTCTTTGTCTCTTGGATATGGATAGATTTGTGTTAGGTTATGTATAAATCTTTCCTCTCTTTGTATATATATATATATATATATATATATATTGAATTGGAACTTTCATTTTGCATTGTTGCAGTTGTGGTTTCCTCTATTTTCGGTTTTGCACCATAGGCATGGTGCTGATATTGCTGGATATGAGCAGTCCACGATAGAAAGGCATGTTCTCCACATTGTAATCTGAACTTTGGTCATCTTTTTTCTTTTTGATACTTTCATCCTAGTATTCTGCTTGAATGCTTCTTTCTGATATGGATGGATCTTGCAGTTTGGAGGAGTTTGTTAACACTTCCAGCATCGGTGAATTTAGAAAACGCCTTCAGCTTCTTGTTGCTTTCCTTGGTCAGATTACTGCAGGTAGATGCCTGGAAGTGGAGACTTATGCAAGGTATATGATTCATCTTTTCCTCAAAACATTTATCTCCTTGGGTATTTATTTATTTAAATGGAGATTGGGATCTATTTTATTTTGTATTCCCAAAGGAAGTCATGACTCATCTTCTGAATTATGGGTGCTAAATTATGATCTGATAAGCAATGGCCAAGCTAGGGAATTGGCTGCAAGTAATGATCTCTATATCAGTTTCATTGCAAACCTTATGGAATTATTATCTTATCTAGTTATGTCCATTTGATAATACAATTTTTCTGCTGAGGTGTTCTAATTAGAAATGAATCTTGTAGTCCTTTGCAGGACAGAAATTTGGAGATTTTGTATAATGTGTTTGGATACTATGTTCAACTTTTGCCAATGTGAGTATCTTTCTGTGATGATATTTTTGAATATATGTCTTAAAAATTTTTGGTTTGTTTTGTTGGCTTACTGGCTTTTGTATCTTCTGCAGAATCTTGGAGTACATTGAAACTAATAGAAGAAATATTGAAATGGAACTGAAACAACTTCTGAAGCTATGTCGATGGGAACGAGTTGAGGCTTGCTTCTCTGCTGAAAACTCAAAAAGGGCTCGGCAGAAACTTAAGAAGCTAATTCAGAAATACACAGTAAGCAGCATTATCATTCTTTCTTATGGTGCTTCCTTCAATATTCTTAGGCAACTTCAATATAAGTGGGCAAACTTCTCAACAACCCAACTTAATGAGAACTATTCAAGGCCCTAGTGGCTTAGACCTTGTAAACCCATTAAAATTTTCCACTTTGTTCTCTCTGCGATAGTTTGTTTCAATCACTTCTCAACAGCACCTCTCAACAGAATCACCAAGGAGCTCCTGCAATACGTATGTTGTCAGCTGGGGTTTAATTGGCTTGTATTGTTTATGATCAGCTCATGCCAAACTAGTATTCGCATCCAATAATTTAGTGCTGAAATTCTGTGTCAAAAAGGGAACTCAGTGATATTCATTCATTATTAGGAAAGTTATGATACTGCATTAGAAGCAATAAATTCTTGCATGGCATACTAGATTCCTGACTATGCTCATCTTTCAAATTCATTTATTTGATGCATGGTGATCCTGTTTTCTTTGTTTGTTGGACAGGATATACTGCAACAACCTGTAATGCTTATTCTTAACCGTGAGGCTGTACAGAAAGGCATAAATATTCAATCTGTCTGTGGTCCAAAGCCCCTCAATGATATTTCAGATGCCAACACCAGGTTGTTGAATGCTGTTCTAGATCAATTCAGTGATAAAGACAGGTCAACTCATCATCCACTTCATGGTTCTATTATGCTGTTATCAGTTGATGGCCTTGAAATTGAACTTTGATGTATTGTAAATTGTGCAGGTTTTTATGGTATCCTGATTGGAGGGAAAAAGTAAATGATACTTTGCAGAACCTACACGTTGACAGCATTTCTCAATTATGCTCACTGGGTGTCAAAGGTTTTTCTGTTTCCCATTAACCTTCCCTCATTTTCTTTCATGATAAACTCTAGTATTACATTATTGAAATAAATTATCGTCTACAAGACCCCTAAACTTATACTTTATGCAGATGTTGCAAGTATCACAGAGCAAGTTTTAGCTTCCCAGTCTGCATGTAAATTACAACTTGAACAGTGGAATGCTGTGTGCGAGACGCTTGAAAAAATATGTAGAGCTACTATTGATTGTGATTATCTGTGGAAAGATACAGAAAAAAGTGTAGGGAAGAAGAGGGCTTTCTCTGAGCTTCTGAAGCTGTTGGAAAGTAGTGGGTTGCACAAGCACAAGTTTGAAGTTATGAATGTAATGGAGAATGGAAGTTGATTTTTATTGTTTTTGTGAAATATTCTTTTATTATTGAAGGTAAAGTTAAATGATTTTTCCTTTTGATGATTGGCGTTTTACAGATATCCAACAATTCAAACTGGTTGTTCATTCAGCCATCATATGATGTGCAGCATTTGCTGCTGACCCAGAATAGACTGTCGTTTGGAGGTTCTACTGCCACTGAAGTACAATGTCAGCCTGATGAAAGTGTGGATGGTGAATGGAAAACAGTCAATGAATTTTACTTTAAAAGTACTGCATCTGTGCAGCTTCTGCAACAGATATGCTTGAAACCCCACGAAGATATTACCTTCCAGCAGGTATAACTATATGTAGCCAGATGCAGGTTAAAGCCCTGAAGTGTTGGTTTGAGTTTTCAATGAAATGTACCCTTTTTTTGTTTGACTAGTCTGATCTGGCAAGGCATCCAACTCAAATCTTGGCTAGAGGGCAACGTTATGTACTGCATTTCTGAAGCATAAAATAGCCAACACTACAAATATTTATTTGATTTGTCATGGCGATGCAGTCTAAAACTCCGATATGTGTTGATTGAGTTATCGAAGTTTAGAATTGTATTTATTTGACTACTACACTGCAGTGTTTAACATGACTACAGTTAGGTAGTGGACCAATTCTCTACTGCATCTGCAGCATTAGTTAACCAGTGCTAGCTATTATAGCATGAACTTTTCTGTTTGCTCTGTCTGGTTAGGCTACATGAGTTAGTATAATATTCGGAAATCTTTAAATTGCATATTTTTATGAAGAGACATTTGACTTGGTCATTACCATTTCTGACTTATGCAGGCTAGTAGGTCGCTCTCTTTTCTGAACCATCTAATAGTTGTACAACAGAGTCAACGTGCTGCTGCCTATGGTTTTTCTAAACGTTTGCAGTGCATGCAAAAATGTTTATCAGCTCTGGGAAATTTGTGTTCAAGGTTTCCTGGTAGGGACAGCAGAACTGGAATTGAATTCCCTATGTATCCCTTCAAATGTTTGTGGAAACAAAAGGTAAATAAGTTTGCACCTGAGTGTTTATCTTGTGTGATCTAGTCCTTGCTTCAATGCTTGCTTCTCAAGCTTGAGACTAAGTGTCCATATTTATTTTTCCTTTCAACATTTCAGCAATGGTTTGATGCTCTGACTGTCATGTTGGTTGAGGAATTGCTGTTGCTTAGAAAAGTAGAAAATACCCTTTTAAAGCCTTGTCATAATATCAAGCCTGCAGAGCATAATGTTCTTCAATTCATTGAAAAATTTATCCCCATCATGCAGAAATCCAAGGTGTGAAACTCTTTTTCTTCATTAGTTTACATAAATATTCTGTGTTTTGCATTCTTATCAAGGGAATTCTTCTACAGGAATCTCTGGACAGTTACCTTGTTGGCAATCTTGGAATCATGCAAAATGTTATAGAGGAATCAGTAGATAAATATCTACTTCATAACATGGGTGCTTTATCTGCCAGTCCCATGCGTCCATTTGTCATTTCGAAACAAATGGAGCAACTGATATACGGAAATTTTGAAGTTATCAAGGAGTTTGGAGAGCATCTCACTGATTTACGCAAGCAAGATTTGAGCAGAAGCTCAGTGATAGAGGCATTGCTTGGTCGTTTTCATGATGCATTTGAAAAGGTACTTTTCTGTCTTCAGTGCTTATCAGAGTTCTTGAAAAGTTTCTGGTCGCACTGTAATTGTCAATCAGTCTTGTTATCATTCTGAAAAATTTTCTTATAAATGTATTTTAATGTGGCAGAAGCGTGTATTAGTATAAAAAATATGCATGTACATTATGGCAAAAAAATGAAAGCACATAATTGTTTTTGCAGGGCAAGTTATTGTCTGAAGAGCTTGACTTTTCTCTAATGGAAAAATCAAGAAATGTATCAACAAACACATGCAACAAGTCCATCTGCCGCCATGAAAATTGTTCTGAGCTTGGTGTTGTGTTCGGTGGAACCCTCAAAAATACACTTCAAGTTATCATGGATGTGCTGAAAAAACAGTGTTCATTGAGTAATGGATGTGCTCTTTCTGGAGAGTCATTGGAGAATATTACGTCATGGGAATATCTATTTAAAACATCAGTAGAAAATTTGAATGTAGAAGAGTTGTATGATAATCTACTCAAAACAATAATTTATGCAGTAAGCTTATCATGTCCTATCATATCCACTTTTTTTGCAACTTGTCTGTGAATGTAAATTGTTTATATTAGTTGCCTTCTCATCCTATATAATATTTCCACTCAGGAAAAAGTGATGAATCATTCTGGCTGTGATACATCCCATCTTTCTTTCCATCTTGAAGCATGTTTTCAGCATCTGCATGCACTTTCAGAGCTAATATTGACTTTTGGTGATTGTCTACTACAAGAATTTTTAGCCATGCATAAAATGGTAAGTTGATGTCTGTTATTTTCCTGTATGTCTCATTGCTTACAATGTTGTTAGTTGTAACATTCGCCACGTTTAGAGGCTCCTGCTTTTCACTACCACTAATTATCAGTGGCAGCTATTCTGAAATTTGCTAATTTCCATGGCTACATTTGCATGCAGGTCTCTGTTATGACTCATGTTCTTGCGAATGTTTTATCTTCATTGTTCTCAAAAGGGTTTGGTACTGCTGCCAAAGATGAAGATGATGATGCTAGTCATGGTAAATCTCAAGATGCAACAGGGACTGGGATGGGTGAAGGTTTGGGACTTAATGATGTTAGTGAACAGATAACCGACGAAGATCAACTTCTTGGAGCTTCTGAGAAGGTAAGCTCTATGAAGATGTGTTCAAGTTTTTGCAGTTATAGCTTTACTCATATGACCTATGCATTGGCACATGTGATTCTTTATATGTGATTACAGGCAAGTGCAGAACAAGATGCTTCCCATGACGCTCCAAATAAGAATGACAAGGGTATCGAGATGGAGGAGGATTTTGCTGCTGATACATTTAGTGTTAGCGAGCACTCTGAGGAGGAGAATGATGAAGATGGTGATGATGGGCAACTAGAGTCTGCAATGGGGGAAACCGGAGCTGACAGTGAAGTCATTGATGAGAAACTTTGGGATAAGAAGGAAGATGAGGACCCTAATACTACAGACGAAAAGTATGAATCTGGACCATCAGTTAGGGACAGGGATCCAAGCAGTAGGGAGCTTAGAGCCAAGGAGGATTCTGCTGCTGATATTGATGATGAGGAACCTGGAGAGCTTAATTCTGTGGAACCTGATAAACAAAATAATGAGGTTGGAGACCAAGATGATCTTGGGGATGCAGAAGGAGGTATGGATGACATGCAGATGGACAAGGAAGAATCAGTTGCTGATCCAACTGGACTTGAGCATGATGAGTTGAAAGAAAGATCTGTTGAGGATATGGGTATGGATGAAGACATAAATGGAGAAGACTTGGACTCTAAGGAAGAGATGGGTCAGGAAGGTGGTGATGATCCTTCTGAGGATGGGAACCAGGATGAGTCTGCTGAGAATGGGAGCCATGCCGAAGAGAATGCAAATCCTGTTGATGAAACTATGGAAGAGGCGGATGCTGAACCAGTGGGAGGACCTTCTGAAAGTAATGATCATGGCAAGGATAAAGAAGAGAACTCAGATATAAATTCAATGGCATCAAGGAAAGATGTGTTCAGAGATGGAATTTCCGACTTAATTAGCAACCATATGCCTAATACAGCATCTGCAACACAACCAAATGGGAACTCACAGGTACCAGATTCACAAAATGTTGCACCAGAAGCAAACATATCTAGTACCAGCGAAACTTATAATGACCTTGCTCCCCAGAAAAGCTTACCTTCTGGTCAAACTTCTGAGATGGACATAATGATCTCTGACTCATCAAATAATGGAAGTCTGACTGATGATCACCAAAAAGCAGAACACCCTGAGAAGGAATCTTTATCTGTTCAAAATACCCAACCAAACCCTTACAGAAATGTTGGAGATGCACTTGAGGAGTGGAAAGAAAGGGTCAAAGTATCTGTTGATATTCAGGCAGACAGCAAGGAGGCACCCAGTGAGATGGAGGACAAGGATGCTGATGAATATGGATATGTTCCCGAGTTTGAAAAGGGAACAGAGCAGACATTGGGCCCTGCTAATTCTGAGCAGGTTGACACAGATATCAATAGTAAGCCAGATGAGGATAACTCTGCAGCTCCAAGAGAGGATATGAGCAAGATGCAGATTGAAAAGCAAAGTTCTGAAGATAGGCATCTGAAACATTATGGCTCAATCCTCAAAAGTAAGATGGAGGAGCAGAAGCAGTCCTCTGATTCTGAGAAGGCATGTAAGGAGGGATCCCCAGAAATCGATGGTCGTTATGATGATGGTCGGGGAATACTTTCTGAGAGTTTGGTCTCTATCAAGAAGTCTTACTTGACTGAGGAGATAGACCACCTTAGCAAACTTTCTGTGGACGATAATGAGCTTGGGAAAGTCCAGGATCCTGGAGAAATTTCCCTTGATATAAAGAGTAATGCTGCTGCTCTTTGGAGAAGATATGAGTTGCTCACAACAAGGTTGTCCCAAGAGTTGGCTGAACAACTGCGTCTTGTTATGGAACCCACTCTAGCGAGCAAGCTTCAAGGAGATTATAAAACTGGGAAGCGGATCAACATGAAGAAGGTATACTACATTGCAATTTACATCATACAGATATCTGAATGTTCTCTCATTTTTTGACGCATTTTCTTTTGTTTTTTCTTTTTTCCCGTGCCTGGATCATTTAAAGGTAATTCCCTATATAGCAAGTCACTACCGGAAAGATAAGATATGGCTGAGGCGAACCCGGCCTAACAAACGCGACTACCAAGTTGTCATTGCTGTGGATGATTCACGGAGTATGTCTGAGAGTTGTTGTGGGGATGTTGCAGTTGAATCATTGGTGACAGTCTGTCGTGCCATGTCTCAACTGGAAATGGGAGACTTGGCTGTTGCAAGCTTTGGTAAGAAGGGGAACATAAGGTTACTGCATGATTTTGGTCAGCCATTCAATGGGGAGGCTGGGGTAAAGGTTAGTATTATCTTCTTGTTTCAGTAAATTATTATCATAAGATTCTTCTCTCTCAAAGTTAAAAGCTTTCAAAGTACTACCTTAACCTTTGGTTGCTAAAGGGGCTATACAAGACATGTTCATTTAATGTGTATATATATAATTTTTTTGGAGCAGATCATTTCCAATTTGACATTCAGACAAGAGAACACCATTGCTGACGAGCCTGTTGTTGACTTGTTGAAGTATCTGAACGACATGCTTGATACTGCAGTTGCAAAAGCACGACTCCCTTCTGGACAGAACCCACTACAACAACTTGTTTTAATTATTGCTGATGGTCGGTTCCATGAAAAGGTACATTTCTTTTACTCGTTTGAGAAAGTTGGAAGTTTAGAGATTAAAGAGAGGATTGAAAGGGAGTGATTTATGTTGATTGAAATAAATAGCTTTCCATTTGTTGATAATTTACAAAAATTAGCTCCTATATTTATACAGGAGAAGTTGAAACGTCGTGTTAGAGATTTCTTGAGTAGGAAGCGAATGGTTGCATTTCTGCTTCTGGATAGCCCACAGGAATCCATCATGGATCAAATGGTATTCCTTTATTTTGTTGTATAGATGTTACGAACCTGATTTGCGGGCAAGAACAATTTCCATTTAACACCATAATTTCCATTTCAGGAAGCATCATTTGTTGGTGAAGGTGAAAAAAGAGTGCTTAAATTCACAAAATACCTCGACTCCTTCCCCTTTCCATACTATATTGTATTGAGGAATACTGAGGCACTTCCAAGAACCCTAGCTGATTTACTGAGACAGGTAATTCTGTGTAAAAGTGTAGTTAGTTTACAGTGAAGAATAAACTGAATGGCCTTGAGGCGCAAAATACCTCATGGAAAATTGTGAACTATCTGAAGAGTGCATAGCCACTGATCATCTTGAAAGTCGGCAATTGTTGCCCAAGGTGTTGGGTTTGTGCATCATGCCCCCGTTTCTCCACTTTGGTAGAGAGCACTTAACTTACGGGAAAAGGGGAAAGAAAAAATTGGATCGAGATTTATGATTTTCTGTCGTATGAATTTAATTTCTGAAAGACCTAGTGAGTGCTGGAATAACCAACTAGTATTGTTCTGACCTTTTCAATAATTTTTCTTTTTTTGGCAGTGGTTTGAGCTTATGCAGTATTCAAGGGATTAAATTGTTTTTGATTGGAGAAAGATCGGTGCGACAAGCAGTGCAGTAGAGTTATAGAGCATTTTTGGTACAGTTAAATGGGGGGAAAACTCTTCCTCAATGGTGGGGATCTTGTAAGGCGTAGTATAGGGAAGAAATTTAAACACACAAATGATCCCTCCATAGATACAATTTTGTATATGGCAGGCAGAGTGGATCTAACTCATATGTAAAGCTATTGTTTCATTAATGTCAAGTCTCGCCGTTTCTTTCTCAGTTGTTGCGAAATGCATAGAAGCAAACCTTGTATTCACAAATATCCCATGAAATTTACTTTCTTGTAGATGGAGAAGAAAAGCAACAGGTAACTTCTGTACTAAATTAAGCATACTAGGCATTTTTTTATATACTGTAAATCAGTTGCAGATTCATCAAAATTAAATCATCCATATTAAATTATTCTTAGAAATTAATTAAATATTTGGTTATATAGAGTTTATTAGAAGCCTAAAGGTCCATATGTTGATTTTATTTATATTAATATCGAATTGATGTAATATACTAATTTGACTATTATATTTATTGACAAAAAGGAAAGTATAGATAAAAATAAATTATGGGATGGAGCTAGTATTAGTTGGGATATTTGTTATTTTTTCAATTAAACTAAAAAAAATCTAATTTGCTAGTAATTAGTTAGTTGTTAAATTAATTTTCAGTAGCAGTCTCTCAATATATATGTGTATATATATATATATATATGCTAGTATTAGGTTGGGAATATTTGTTTATTTTTATCAGATTAAACTAAAAATCTAATTTTGCTAGTAATTAGTTAGTTGTTAAATTAATTTTCCAGTAAGCAGTCTCTCAATATATATGTGGTATATATATAATATATATATTATGATAATAGTTAGTGTATTCCAGCTTGCACAAAACTCAAATATATAGTTAGTGTATTCAGCTGCACAAAACTCAATTACAAAACCGTAGCGTAACAGAGGAACTAATTCAGACTTTCGTCGTCGAAGGATAGTTCTGGCAAAATGCGCAGATCAAATATTCTTTCCATCAATGAATCTAGCCGATGAATTACTTACTGAGATACTAATCAGACTCCCTCCAGAACTCCATTTATCGATGCAGGTCCATTTCCAAGCGTTTCTGTTCCCTCATTTCTAGTCTTAGCTTTGCTCGCCTTTGCAACCAATTGTTTGCCAATAAACCTTAATTTTTCAACTCCGGGAAAGATATGATCGGGGAAGTAGAGGTTATACAATTCTCTCAAGTTTTCTTTCCGTTCGGTGCCTAAACTATCAAATCAAATCTCATTTTCGCGATCTTGCAATGGATTGGTCTTATGTTCATCAAGAAATATTTTTTGAGTTTATAATCCATTCACTGGTCAAGAGGTCGTGCTTCCACCAGACCCTCTTCCCGTGGAGAAGCGCGGGGTGTAAAACCCGGTGGCGGAATGCGCATAAGAATTGCATATCTTGGCTTCATTTGTCATGGCTATTTTGATAAAGTAGTGGAGAAGAATATCCAGAAATTATACCTAATTTCAAGGTGGTACTAATTTTCCATCCAGTACGTACTGCATCCATTATAAAAATTTCTTGTTTTTGCTCAGAAAAAGGGAATTGAAATGTGCTTGATGTTCTCTGTCCTGAAAGATTCTTACATGCCTCTTTTACTAGTTTGGTTTTCTACGATGGAATGTTTCACTGGTCGTCTTTGGATGATCCAGTTGATAAACCTAATCAATTTGAACGCTTCATTGATCTGCCTGAAGGTGTGGATATTAATAGTGTATTATCAGCTTGCCTTACGGTTAATGAAGGAGGAATTGGACTGGACTACTTCAACTATAGGGATCATCATATAAATGTTTGGCAACTTGATGATTTCAGGAACTCTTTCGTGGTGTTTGAATTTCGACGTCCTTCATACTTGAGTGAGGTAAATACTGAAGAAGGAGAGGTTCCTACCATCCCATTCTTCAAGAGTTTCAGCCAAATCGATAACGACATTGCATATATTGATGTGCAACGCGTGTTATTCTCTTGTACAACATGAAGGCTAAAGTGCTGGAAAGGGTGTTTGATCTAGGCTATGAAAGCGGTTGCATGCACCATTTTAATGCTCCATTTGTTCTTCCATGGTGGTCAAATTTTTCCAATTCCTATTTCAGACCAGATGTACGCTAAACATTTGATTTTATTTTGCCCCTTTACTTTCTTCTTCTGTTTTTAATGGTGGTGTTGTTCCTTTTGTTCATTAATTCCAGTAAATTCAATCTTAATTTCGCAAAATTCCTAGCAGAAATTACATTTGATTGTTCTACCTGTATTTTGAATTGTTTTTTTTCAATTACGAGAATTAACTTCATAAAATCAAGGAATTCAGATTCCTCTCTGCAGAATGATAAAACTGCAGCTTTGGTTATACTTTTTTCCACCAGAACTATTTTCTTTGGTTTGAAATATTATAGCTTTTTCAAATTTAAGGGGACAAAATTAAAAAATTTACTATTTTATAGATAAAGTTGAAAACTTTTTAACTTTTTAGAGAATAAAAAGTGGGTAGGAGGCGGGGGTGGGGGCCACCACTCGCACTCCGCCCTCCGTCATTGCTTGATGGGCTGTTGTTCTCATGTATGCCAACCACGAGTGTAAAATGTCAACCATGTATGGGCACTATTCATGCCATGTGTAAATGGGTGTAATTAAATATATTTATATATATATATAATTCCAATGTCAGATTAAGAAGTTCAAAAAACCAGTCCATTAATTTTGTCTCGTAGAAGCTTCAAGGAAACCTCGAGCTACAAGAAAGTCTATTATTTCTATCAACCATATGGAAAGACGGTCAGAGAGTTAATCATGGAATTAGTTAGGCATAATTACAGAGAAGATCCAACAGTATTGTTATATGAAGCAGCAATAAGTGGCTGTGTAACAACATTAAACACGCTGATCCAGAAAGACAGACTCATTCTTAACAAAGTTTCACTTACTTCATTAACTGAAACACCCCTGCATATTTCAGCTTTACTTGGCCACCTTGATTTCACCATAGCTATCCTTGAAAAATGCCCTAAAATGGTTTTCGAGCAAGATTTGTTGGATTTAATTTTCTATTGTGGGCTTAATATGTAAAATTAAATATGTACAGCAGTCTAATTGTAAAGTCAATTTCAAATGTGGTCTTGATTGTTTAATTTTCTATTAGTGGGCTTAAATATTGTTAAATTAATATGTATACCAGCAGTCTAATTGTAAAGTCAATTATCCTTAAATGAATGGTCTTGATTGTGAATAAAATTGACTATTGAGGTATCAAACTAATTTTAGATATTAAAGTGTAAGAGACAATTAATATAATTCCTATTTCTTCGTTAAAGGGACCGAAATAGGAATTGTACTACCCTACAGGTATATAACGTAGTAGAGGTCCCAGAGCGAGTTGGAATACGATTCAGTTTTACGGATTCTGGTTTCGTATTGCTTCCGCTAAAATCGATTCTTCAAATTCTCTGGAGAGGACTGCAAACCTTAATTCTAAAAACACATCAGATCGAGAAATCAACGATGTCAGGGTACGCAACCTTTTTCTTATTCAATCTAATGTTGTTGAATCTAGGTGAATTTGCAACGATCTAGGTTTATTATGGAATTTATTTGAGAATAATCATAACAAGTTGGTTAGTCAGAAGCCTTTGTGCATAAATTGCTAGATTTTAGAATTGAATTTTTCGTATGTTTTTTTTTTATTGTTTACCCTACTGTTTACGGATTGGAGGGTTTTGTTTAATAAACAAAAAAGAGAAAGTTTATTGTGTTGTTTTGTTTTCTCACTGTTCTTCGGATTCCCCAAGAACGGGTAAGGAGGTGTTTGAACAAACGCCATTGACGATAAATTGTTCGTTTTGATATTTTATATATATTATATATATAGGTATATATATATATATATATATGTTTTTTGTTTTTTTCTTCTGGCCGGATTTTTTGGTTGTAAAAAAAAAAAAAAAAAATTCCAGGATTTTTTTTTTTTGGTTTGGCGGCAGGACCTGTTTTATTTGGATGCTCTAAAAGCTGGGAAGCAGTTGGACGTTCCTTTAGATTAACTTGTAGGCATTTCTGGATAAAGTTCCGAGAATTATCAGAGAGAGAATCGGAAATAGAAGGTGGAATACCTTGTCCGATCCGATACCATATCGACCAAGTTTCTAAACCGGAGTATGGAAGTTTTTCGGTTTTTTTTTCGTCTAGACCCGTGGACATATATTTAATTATATTAGAACCCCGAACTTTATTTATTCAAATTTATTTAGTCCAATTTTATAACTTAGTCTCTAATTTAGTGACTTAAAGACTAGATTATAATTTTTTTTTATTTTTTAGGGCTAAATAATTTTAGATTATTAAATATTTAGACAATCAATTCCTTTAATTGCAATTGTTTTGCTTTAATTACAATTAAATGAATTAATTTGTCGACTTGAGATTAAATTTTGGAGTGATTAAGTCCCTATTGTGTTTAATATTTGTTAAAATAAATTGATTTGATCAATAAGTCACCATTGATTTGATCAAAATAAGTCACCAAAAGTGACCTCTATTGCTTGAATTTGATTTATTTTAGAATATTTAGACAGGTGTATTATAATTCGTTGCGGATGTTAGTTAATCGCCCAAAAAGGAAGGTGGCTATCTGGCCTGAGTTTTGAAGTACATGGTTGACAATAAAGTATGTGATTAATTGTTTGATTATTTTCATGTAACAATGATATATTCGGCCCAGAAGGAAAGATTTTTTAATATTGTGTCAGCGAACTATGTTATCTAATATTTGATTGCTGTGTTGAGATAACTAATTTACATAGTTAATGTTTACCAATCGCAAAGATGAGAAATTAATGTTGTGTCATGTATCTTATTTCCATTTTTTTTAATCTCTATCTTATGTGAAATTGTTTTCATTTGTGGATTGTGAGCTTATTACTTATCTTATTTGTTTATTTTCTCTAAAGATGTCAGCTAACTATGTATTTAAAATCCTGATTGTGTCCCTACTTGAGGGAATCAAAATTTTGAGTCTTGTGAATCAAGATATTATGATCTTTCTCTGGGGCTTGTACTGGATTGGATCCTTGCGATCAGGATGGACGAACCTGGCTCCTCTTTACTGATACGAGCAAGTGATGTTCAAAGGGTTCAGTATGAAGAAGTGGAGCGTATAATTCGCTTAGGTCTTAATGATCA